AAAAAAATGCACGATTAATGATTTTTTTTTATTCGTTAGTCACGACTAACAAAACAAATAATTGAAAAAAAAAGTTCTTTTTTTAAAATGACTAACGACTAAAAATTTAGTTGTTCATTCATGAATTAATTTCCAAATAAACCATATGTTAAAATTGATTACAATATTTTTAAAGAATTTTTTTGCTCTAACAGCTCTTCAATTTGTTGAAATAGATATGCAATTATATTCTGATTTAGGACGGACAAGGGTTTTTAATTTTTTGAAAACTGTTTTGGTTTTAATTATTTTTAGTTTTTAAAAATGTTATTATTAATATAATCAATACCTATTTAATGTTAAAATGTGGTCCCATATACTATTTCAATGAATTTATCTAAGGCTTTCCACAACATCTTTAGACTCTCTCCCTTTTTCGATTGAGTAATCGTATTAAAAATAATAGAAATTATCTTAGTTTTATTAAAGATTATATTTTCAGGAAGAATACAAAAACATTTTTATATATATGAAATGATTCAAATACTCATAAAATCATCAACCGTCGTAGAAGTGGCTATTTTTGATAAAATAATGGTTTACTATTTTTAACAAGTTTGCAGTATAAAACGATAAGCGATAAGTTGGAGCTGTTATTTTTACCTGTCCAACTTCTATAAAATAATTTTCCTTGGATCAAGCTTATTTCCTTTGGTATAAATCTAAATATTATTTGAATAATAGAATATTTGATGACCTGGTAAGATAAAAGCCCCAAATAATAGTAAATTAAAACATAGTAGGCCCTGTCACAAGAGAAGTAAATCACTTCTTCTAATGGACAGGAGTACCATTAGGCTTGTACACTGGTCACTGTCAATTAAATAAGCACATTTTTAATTTGGGTATAAGTGAGACTTCCACTTGCAGGCTATGTGGCCTGGAGGATGAAATGGCTTATCACATTATTTGTAGATGTGATAATTTCGCTAGACTGCGATAGTTTCACTTTGGATATGATCGTACCATTGACCCTAAGCACTTCGAAATGATTGATCCTATTAGTATTAATAGGTTCGCAAAGGCATCTGGGCTGTTTTAATTGGGTCTGGAACGACGCACAATAGGCCTACTTGTCGGGAAAAAAATGAAAACATGTACATATTTTATTAGTTAGCCCCTCCCTCGGCAGATACTTATTCCAAGAGGATAACTATACAAACAGCAGACTGCCAAGATCTAGAAACCTAATATATTTTGAAAATAAACGACATTTCAATATCATAAGTTTGAAAAAGTTGCGAACCCCACACCCGATCGATCACATTTCAAAAGTCATTCATTTATTGGTCTTATTGTTAATTATTATTGTTTATTGTTTTAAAACTTTTTTTTTCTTGATAACAGAATTTAACTTAAGATGATGAAAATGAAAATCAGTGAGTGGTTTGGCGCCATTAGTGGAAACCATTTACATTTGGGGTTCAAATGGGGAAGTGAAGGAATGTGGAACACAAGTGGCCACATAGTCTCCTCTTCTCAACTCCTACTGTCACCTTCTCCCGGTGAGCCCCGTTAAAAAAAGCAACTTAAGTCCAGGTCAACCTAGCAACTCAGGTCAAAGGTAGTGGTAACCAAACCCTGAGGAGGACCTGGATGGGTGACCAACGAGTGAGAGGGTTTTGACAGGGCAGCCGGAAGGTAACCTGGGTCCCGGCTTGTCAGGATGGGGGATGTCGGCAGCAGAGCATCTCCTGTCAAACAAAGGAAGTGCCTCCAGGGAAACCTGTACTGTGGGATTGAGGGGCATACTGCGATGGTGGACGCGACTCTACAGTCGTGATGAAGACAATCGTCTATTGAAAGAGGGCACAGACAGAAAATCCAACTTGTCCTCCAGGTTGGGGGTTGGGCATCACGCTAACGACCCGGTCCCGGAAAAAATATATTGTTACGAAAAACCAACAAAAACATAGCCGGACTGATCTATTGGTAGAACCCAAGCGCGGGCTAGGAAAATCTTTGACTTTAGCGACATGGAATGTGAGGAGGAACCTCTTCCAGGTCAGGGCGAGTCATAATCTAGAGGCAAAGTTGCTTCTATATGGTGTGGATGTAGCAGCTTTTCAGGAGATACATTGGAAGGGTCTAACTAAAGGATTATCTACTCATCAACAGTGGACACAGGCGTGAACAAATAGGAACAGGATTCATGCTAAGGAATACAAGTGATGTATTAGAATATGCACGATTAGATTAAAAGGGAGATTCTTTAACATTTCAATCATTAGTGTACATGCCCCAATAGAAGATGCTGATGAAGAGACAAAATACGCTTTTTATGAAGCCTTGGAGAAAACCTACGACTTAATGCCTGGTCATGGCGTGAAAATAATAATGGGTGATCTTAACGCAAAGATAGGAAAGGAAGATTTCTTTAGACCCACCATAGGAGCCCACAGTAATCATGAAGAAACCAATGACAATGGATTTAGAATAGTGGATTTTACTATGGAAAGGAACATGTCAGTCAGCAGTACCTACTTCTCTCATAGAAATATACACAAGGAGACTTGGGTATCTCCGGATGGGCAAAAACGCAATGGACATAGTGAATGTGAAGCTTTCGTGGAGCTGTCTGCAGTTCAGACCATCATTTAGTGAAGGTGAAATACAGACAAATGATTTGAGTTGAGCGTTTTAAAGAAGAAAATGTGAGGCAGAAGTTTGTAACCAATGTTACAGAGGAAATCACCAATCGCAGGAAGTACTGACCATCGACTCAAGGAGGAGAATGCTTTAATGGCTTGTCAGAGCTGCTGCCCAAGAATTTAAGGAAAAGAGAAAAGAAGCCAAAAAGACGTATCATCAGAAGAAAAAGTTATCTGACAAGAGAAAATTAAAGCCAATAAAAGAAAACTTCAATGCACACTACACCAGTTCCTTCATAGGTGTAAGAGAAGTTAAGGGGGAAATAAACCACGTCTTAATTTTGCTAAAGACAAGGATGGAAATCTTGTGGTTGGTAAGGAAGCAGTTATTAGTAGATGGAAGGAGCATTTACAGGTGCTCCTTATTCAGGACAGAACATAAAATACAGAAAGGCTTAATGAAATAGAAGCAGACCTTGACTCCGAAATACTCGCGGACAACGAGGTCTCCCTGACAAAGAGGAAATAATGGAAATTGGGAAAAAACTTTTCAAGTATGGTGGAGACGAAGTTTGAGATGAGCTCCATAAACTTATTTATGATATTTGGATGGAAGAGGTCGCAGAGGAGTGGAAAGTGTCTGTCCTATGACAAATCTATAAAAAGGGAGAGACAAGCTAGAGTGTAGGAACTACCGAGGCATAGCACTGCTTGGCATAGCTTACAAAATATTATCATCTGCCATTGTTAGGAGACTGATATCATACATGGAGAGGAAAGTAGGCGAATATTAGTGTGTCTTCAGAAAGGGTAGATCGACTATTGATCAGATCTTTATACTGCCCGACAGGTGCTAGAGAAATCACTGAAATACAACATCAACCTGCATCGCCTCTACATTGATTTTTAGCAGGCCTCCAACTGAGTGGATAGGCAGGTTTTGATGAGGAAACTCCTCTCTCTGGATATATCTAAGAAGCTCACTCGCTTTGTAAAAATGACTATGGCAGATACAACATGCAGAGTGAAATTCCAAAAAATGCTGAAGAGTTCTATGTGGTTTCGGGAATGATGCACCAAGAAGACACTAAGGCTACTCCCCTTTTTGGCAGCAAGGGCCTTAAGAACCAACAAGGGAGGTACCATCTTTGACAGCTTTACACAACATATGGCGTATGCAGATGACATAGGGATTGTGGCAAGGATGCTCCCAGCTCTGACAGGTGCATTAAACGAATTCGAGACCGCTGCAGCAGGCCGAGGTCTACAAATAAACAAGCAAAAGACGATATACAGGAAAAGTTCAATACATCGCCCTCATCAAGAGTGGACACTAAGCATAGGCCAACATGAGTTCCCAGTACGCAGAGTTTAAGTACCTAGGATCCCTTAAGACGGCAGACGACAAAGGAGCGAGGATTGCTCCGGGAAGCCAATGTTTTTATGCCATTTAGCGACTACTTAGGTTTAGAAGTCTCTCAAGGAATGCCAGATTGACAATTTATAAAGCAATAATTTGTAGGGTAGTCACATACGGAAGAGAGACGTATGTTATCTCAGCAAAACATGAGAGGGCTCTTGGAGTGTAGGAGGGTAAGATACTCAAGAGGATTTATGGGCCTGTGTGTGAAGGTCCCGATACAACAGGGAGTTGAGACAACTCTACAGGATACAGATGTCGTTAGTGTCATTAAGACAGGATGCATAAGATCTTTGGGTCATGTGGAAAAGATGGCAACAGACCGAGTGGCGAGGAAAATATTACATGGGCGACCTGGACACGCAAGAAGGAGAGGAAGGCCACCACTCCATTTGCTGGAAGACGTTGAGACGGATTTGAGACAGCTTGTTGTCAGGCAGTGGCAGGATGTCGCATTGGACCGAGATAAGTGGCGACGTATTGTTGAGAAGGCCAAGGTCCCATGCAGAATATAGTGCCGAGGAGTAATTATTTACATTTATATATAGGGTAATGACAATTTTAAATGTATTTTTATTAGAATAATTTTTCATCCGAATGAAATTTCAGTCAAAAATAAACAACTAAAAATTAACTCGGATAAAATTTCATTAGTTTTTAACATATGTTTATTCATGATTATAAATTTATTGTTTTTTTATTCAAATAAATTTTCATTCAACTAACACCCAACTCTGGTCATATAAATAAAACTAAAGATGTAACTGAGCCTTGAAATGTGTGGAAACAATGCCAGCTAAAATAGACTAATAGTGAATCATTAGCTATTATCAAATAACAAAAAATATTATAAGCAAGAAAAACCAGAATTTCATAAATGTTAATAACTAAAATCAATTTATCTTGATTTTGATATCATTCAGGGATATAACATATGTAACACTACTTACAGTGGTAATCCTGCATTGTTGTCGCATCGACCAAGGACTTGGACTTGGCTTCACTAGGACAAGCGATAATTTTTGTTACATTTCTGAATTATTAATCTTTGTTAGTAGCTGAAGGAAATGTTGATTCTTTAGATGTGTTAAAAATGTTATTCAAACAAAGAATGATGCTATTTAATTAGGCCTATCCTCCTGAAATCTGTTCTGATCTACGCACATATAATTTTCAAAATATCTGATTGAATAAATGAAATGTCAGTTTTAATAAACTTGTTCTTTCTCCATATCCTTAACATTCAAATTGTTTTTTATAAGAATTTTTCTTTCCTTTCGCTCGATCAATATAAATTATAGTTAATCTAAGTTATTTAAAAATGTGACCTCTACTAAGTATTAGGAAATTTTATGTTGTAATGATTTTATGTATAAATATAAACCTAGAAAAATGCAGCAAAATGAGGTGCCTTTTGTAAGACACTATTAATTGTATAATTATTTTCTATTGGTTCAAAATATGACAGATGAGAAGTTTTGAGATTTATAACTGGAAGAGAGGGAAGGTCTGTCAAATAATAAGTGGAGAGATGTGATTTAATTTTGACCCTCAAAGAGGAAATAATCTAAATACATAGAATGTAGGCTATAGTCTTGGGCATGGAAAATATCAAAATATGAAAAACAAATGGATTACTTGAATTACATTAGAATTAGAAAACTATATTTCTTTTCAATCATAATATGAAAAAAACATTACTTACCAAAAATAAAAATGTAAACAAATGAAAATAGGAAGTCTAATATTGCAGCTGAGATGAAAACCCAAACAAAACAATATTTATGAACTATTTAGTGGAAATGAGTGTTTTAGTAGTATTAAACAGATTTTGCCATGAGTTACTAGTTTTAAAAAAAATATTGTCAACTTTAGTTCTTCGCATTATGAAATCTAAACATAAACTTTAAATCCATTAATCTGTAGACCAATTCACATATCTAGAGACAAAAAACTAAAAGACCCAATACAAATATAAAACTGACTATATAAAAACAGACACCTTTAACAAAACTCTTCTGAAGCTTAAAACATTAATTTTCTTCTGGATTTTTAAAGAGATACTTGGCATTCTCAATAATTTTGCCTCAGTTAAAAAACTTTCCTCCCTTAACATTGAAATTATCACTTCTACTCTTAAATCTGGCATTAGATAATTCTTCCTGCGGGGTCTAGATCTTCCTCTGGGTCATGTATCTCTTCTCTTGGTGTATTTGATGGGATCCCGTTAGGAAGGCTGGGTTCATTTTAAGGACAGGAGAACTCTACTTTAACTTCTCAAACCTGAGACAAGTAGAATCAAATGTAGGTAATCTCAATACAATTCAGCATTTCTTCAGATAACACAATCCTTGATGTGTCTAAAAATATTTTATTTCTTGTGATGTTTTTCATTCTACAATAAAATTTTTATGTACCTGAATTATAAGGAATCCATGTTGTACCCAGGTAAGTTTATACCAGTGGTATTATAGTAAGATTTGTACAACCTCAATTTTCTGCAAAATTTTCAGCATTAACAAGGATTTGTACCATTTCGATAAACACTGTATTTGTCATATTTCGATACTACCATACCAACTATTAAGTTGAGGAATGAATAATTAAATAACATTGAAACCAATATATCACCCTGTTGGACACCAAACAAACAAGATTTTCTCTTCATTAAAACTTGCAATACATTTTTTTTATATTAAAAATAATTAACAAAACAAGTTTTCTAAATATTCACATCCTTCTTGTTGCTTGGATTAGCACTTCTCTAATCAATTCATCAAAAACTTTCACCAGGTACATGGGTGGTGAAATTCATAAATTCCTTTACTGCCAGTTGCGTTAGGATGAAAATACAGCATGAAGTGAACAATTCTATGTAATCTACTTTCCATCTTGAGTTTCAAAATGTCATGGTGTAAAATTGTCCAATTTAGAAGATTAATACACAAGCCTATAGATAATAATTAAATAACTTTTTAGTGTTTGTTTGCTTTTTGATATTAAACTTAAAACTGACATTTCATATGACAAAACCATGTACAAATATAAAATCTGCCTCAAAAATGACAAATTTAATATTGGTCACCTCTTGATATAGTTTGAAAATAAAATGTTAATGAAGAAACAGAAATAAGTATCACACTTCTGGATTACTTTCAATACTTAAAAATTTGAAAGAGGCAATAATCAATTTGCCATTGCCCTAATTCCCAAAACATATAATAATCTATCATATTATCACATAAATAGAACCCTAACATTTCTAACATAATTAAACAAACTATGCCAAAATTAGAATAGTTTCAAGTAAAAAAATGCCATTTAGAACTTCTTACAAAGATTTTGTTCCATTAGGCAGACATCCAAGGTAGCCAAAATGGTTGAATGACATGGTTAACAGGCACGAACCACATAACAGCCTTACAATGTCAGTAAAATTACCTCCAAATAATGTAAAATATAATATTTTTTTTTCAAACAAAATTGACAAATCAAATCAACTGAACTAGTTAAAAAAACTTACAAATTAGGTAATTCATTTTTGGAAATTAAAAATCTATAATTATAACAAGAAATTTTGCTGATGAAAGGTAAAATAAACTTTGTAACAGTTTATAGCGAAAACCAAAACTATAGTTACAACTAATGAATATAAGTAATTAACGAATGGTAAAATATCTTTTACAATATATTTTGTACAATTCTTTAAAATATTTTTTTTTACTGCTAATGATAATTTCTTCTATTTTCATCAGCAAAATGCTCATCTAAAAGCCATATACTCGTTTTTTCCAGAAGTTAATTATAACAGATATAAACAATTGATAAATTATAAAATAATATAACATAGGTTTGATTGATCAAGCTATCTAACATAAGCTTTTATAATCTTTATTTATTTATATTATTACAAATTTATGGAAAGAGCAATACAGTACTCAAGATTGTTTATCCCCTTTTCTGTATATTTTTTCATCAAATATAACACATTTGAAGACAATTTTAAATTAACCAAATACCATTACGACAAAGACAGTAAATATGGTAAATAAAAGTATTCAATAATGACATTTCTTTATAATGTACAACTTAACACCATTCACAAAGTTAATAATGGCATAATAAATAGTTAACTACAATATATATTGCTTATAAAAAAGTGTATACAGGAAAGAATCTGTATCAACAATTCAGAAAGAAAAGGGGTTTGTTTATTTAACATTTTCTTCTCCATACATCTATTAATTTTTCATAAAATTCCTTTACATTTGCAAAACCAGGCTTGTAAAATAACATATTGTAATTTTTTTCCAGCTCTAGTTACTTGTATTCATAAATACATAGTCATTTTGTAGTGTATAAATATAAAATTATGTAAGTATACATATAGTTCTCATTAAAAAAATTATACTCAATTAATTTGTATTCTAATTTTAAATTAATAGTTTTTCCTTTTAATAGTAACTATTATATATCATAATAATAAACTAAAGAAATATTTTACAATAAAAGAAACTTTGTAACATAATGAAAAAGTCCATCTTAAAATGCTATACATATATATAATCTATTAATTAGAAATAAATCCTATGACTAGTCTTCACGTATGAACTTGATGCCTATCATAGATAGATCAACCATTTTGCGCTGATATTTTGAAACAAATTCCTTAGCAGATTCTAACTGTTGAAATTTAATTACAGCTGTTTTCTTCTCATTATCAAGCTCCACCTTCTGAAAAATATTAAAATAAACTCTGAAATATTTTTTTTATATCATCTCTACCTACCTTACAGGGCTGCTTTGCATTTTATATATCTTCAAAGTAACATAAAAATAATTAACAGTTCCTTAATTAATTTAAGGATACAATGAAAATTTAATTAAATATTATACCAACATGTCATGGTGATTCTCTAAAACATGATGGATCTTTTAAATATCTTAAGTTCATTGAAATTAATAATTCATTACTATTTTCAGAAAGAGAATGATTTTAAACTATAATTTCAACCAATGCTTGAATTAAGTATTAAAAACTAAATATTTAATGTTTAAAATTATCATCGGATTTTTTTTAAGTGAAACTTCCTTGACATGGGTAAGCTTTTTAAGTTCCAAGAAAATAAGTTGGTACAAAATGAAACATCATGAATAATAATTTTTTGAAAAATGGACCCATTTTAACAACTAACCACAATTTTCAGTTTATAGATCAATTTAAAATTTATTAAATTGAGGAAAAAATTGAAATTTAAAAGAAAAATAACATTTTAAAAATGCTTTGCAGAAGTAAAATGCAAATTATAAAATCATTGTCTGAAAGTTTTAGTATAGAATAAATATATTTAAATAGTAAAACAAATGCAAAAGAAAGACTTGACTACATTAATGAAATTTAAATTTAAATGTTTTATTACAATAATAATATATCTTTTGATAATTAATTCCATCTTTTTTAATCTCACAATTTTCTTTTATATTTCAATAGATAAAAAGGGGCCACTTTTAGTGCATATCACATCCTTATAATAGTAAATAGTAATATTTAAACTAATGGCAAAGAAGTTTCACTTAAAGCAGGCCAAGCGCTGCCCACGTATTTTCCACTCTTCATAAAATATATTTTAAAAAATCATTCTCTGTCTGAAGATACCTTCCAGGCTAACAAACAATGAAGCATCATTAAATACTTAACATTCCTTTTCCAGCGACTAGGGCTGAATAGTAATCATAAAATTAAAGACTTTAAAGTAATACAATACAAATAAAAATTATTTTTTTTAGCCTCAGTTTTTTATTGTATTAAGAGACTTTTTAACAAAAAATTAATTTAATTTTTTTATAATGATCCATTTTATGTTTCAGTTCAGACCATAATAATTAAAAAGAATCAAACATTAAAAAACTCCTTAAGAACATATAATCGTATAATATTAAATAATAATAAAAAAATAAGGGTTCTGTAGGTAATAGTAACAAATAAAGTGTCCTCTATATACAAGAAATCATATCATGTTTGGTTTTTAAAATTACAACAGTAAGCAGCTTAAATATTATATAAGACATATTATCTGAGCATAAGCGAACATTTATCACCTTCATTATTGTCCATGTAATATAACATTGATATAAAAATTTTATTTTCAATTTAAAATCATAAACATTTTCTTTTATTTTCTTCAATAATTAGAATTTTATCTGAATTATAAAACATCAGTTGACTCTGTCGAATTGGGACACCTCCAGCCAGACCACTTTGTCTGGATCCAATGTTTCGAAAAAAAACTTTTTAAAAAAAGTAGAAATGGCGTGCTTTTATTAAGATAATGGAATCATGGTAGTTAAAAGTGTGTAAATAAAACAAAAATAAATGAACAAGTATGTATATCACTACTGTTAGTGCAAAAGGTAATATGAAAAAATTGAGTTATTATATCATACGACCTTTTGCAGTAACAGTAGTGATATGTCTATTGTGACAAAAATAAGGTACTAACTGATTAGCTAAGCAGACACCTCCTGAAAAAGCCTTTGGTGTTGAAAGTTTTCTTTCTCCTACTTAATCCACGATTATTTTAAGCTTTTAGTAAGCCTGGATAGTTCTAATTAACCGATGTTTAGTATAGTAACAACACAGATCGAAAATTTTAAAATAATTAGCCTCTTTTATTTGTACCACAGAGTATTTTTCAAGGAAGAGATTCTTCTGATCATTAGCTGTCTCAATTCACCAGAGTCAACTGAATTTTTCAGCTTTTAAGATTAAGAGCATTATACAATATTGAAAAAAAGGAGAGTTCAAGTACAAAAAACAAGCTGGAGGTAACATGCTTCAACAAATTATGTATAAATGAAATTAACGAAAATAAATAATATTAGAGGTTATAACTTTGAAGAGTATAAGTAAAAAATCATTGATAAGATACAAAGCGTTTCTAATAAGTCGCTTCATGTTAAGTGTGTAAAGTGATAAATCTAACATGATTTCTAACAACTTATATGTTAATTAATGGACCAACCCTCTACATCTTTATTAGTAGCTTATAAGCTTTCCTCACAATAGAATGGACTATTTATGCTTCAGAATTATCCTCTTCAGAAAAGTTACAAGTGGTCCTCAGTGATTAAACTTGTGCTTAAATAATTTATAATCAAATAACTAACTCCACGGGGTGATTCTTAGATTACATGCCACTAATTGTGTTTAAAGAGAACATAATGCTATCTAAATGCTTCATTTAGCATTAATCTTTTTAAAGTTGGAAAAAAGTTTGTCAATATTTGTTTTTATGTAAGTTATTTAGAAGTTTGAAACAATTAAATTTCATTACCTAAACTGTCACATGTATATAACGCATTTCATTAAAAATCTTTGTTTTAAATAAATTAAATGAATAATAAAAGAGCCAAGTTGTAACTTATCCCAAAAAGCGGACTATTATTTAATAGTTTTTATCGTGTATTTGAGCCTTTGGTTTATATCTACTAAGCACTAAGTTAAAAAGACAGGTAGCTAGATTATTTGGTCAATCTTTAAAAAAATAATATAAAACAAAAAATGAAAACTGAGAAGGAACAAATTAAAATAAAAAACTTCAAGAAAAAACCAGTATTCAAGTAAAAATTGAGGACTCAGTGGACTAGAGTGAAGACTAAAAATTGAAAAAGAATGTTTAAATTTAAGTACAACGAGGAATGAAACATACAACAGCTGAAAACAAAGTGTCAATAAAGTTGTAGCATAAATAAATTGAAAATGAGAGGTCATAACATATCAAGAATATATAAATCTCTGATTCATAAAAATTAATTTAAAAAAAAAAAAAAAAACATTGCTTCATAACAAAACAGTGTTTATATAAAAAAATCATAATATATAATAAAATACAACTAATCAAATTAAATAGCAACAGAATTGAAAAAAAAAAATCTGTCGACTGAATTGTAAGAATTATCTGTAGATCATAATATATAATGTTATGACGATTCAAACATTAAATTTTAATGGCATGGAATATTAGTGTATTAAATGTGCTATATTGAAAAGTAATCACAGCAGATCTAAGAAGTTAAAAGAACATTATCTAACTAAGATAATCAATCGCCTTACCTCAATATTGCTTTTTATTCATTCTATTCTATAATTCAACCTACAGAACCCTATTGATAACTGATAATAATCATTACTAGTTGATCAATTAATGAATAAATACAGATATATAAAATTATTTAGTTATTGTAACTTGGCTAGAATATTTATGATCAGAAGGATAACAATGAGGATAAATAGCACATATTAAGTTTAAGAATGATTCATAACATACACACCAGAGATATATAAACATAAACTGTTAAGCTATCGTAGTAAAGTTAAACATTAAACTCCTCAACAATGCATAACAGATCACTAATTCACTTTTAAATATAGTATTTCTAAAAATGACATATTCTAAATTGAAGCAGTATAAAATAGATAAACTAAAATTCAGTATCTTTCCTATTTTTACAAATTACACAAGGCTAACTTTAAAAATTGTCAAAAAAACTTCTATTATGCATATGATGAAGATATTATTATTTTTTTTTTACTTGCAAATATGATTTAAAAATATCACATATCAATGGTTAAAGTGATACTAAACCATTAACGATGGGTAAACCTAGTATTAAACCATTAATGATAAAGTGATCTTTCTTAATCCCTATAAATGTTTGATTTCGTTAACATAGATAAAACCTCTGGTTTGTACAAAATAGTATAATATATTAAAAAGTAACAACTTTATATTAAGTTGCAAAGACAGTAGTACCTTAAATTTATTAAATTAATATAATTTAATTCAAACAGTAGTATTGTCATCTTCTAATGCATGGTACTATATACTGACAAATTTGTTATAGCCCATGGTATAAATAAATAATAGAGATAGATAATGTCTAAACTGACACAGCCAATTATTCTGATCAAACAGAAATTTAAAGAAAAATGTAACAGAAAAATTATGAAGTAGTATTGAAATATTACGCCATTTAATATAAATTAAACAACTTTCCTTTAGATGATACTTCAAACAAATGAAATGCACCATCAACAAATGAAACAATAAACTTCGAATTCTTAATATTTAAGCTCAAAATTTAAGAAACTTAAAATAGGTAGTCCTAATTACACAATTTGTTTCCTATAAGTCAGCTGGTAGTTGGTTGACTCAAAACAATTGATTTGATTTTCCAAGAAGCTTCTAATACGTATAAAGTGAGAAAGAAACCTGGAAACTTAGATCACCATAACTTTATTAAGTTATATAAAAGACAATCATTATAGAATATTTGTGAAACTCCTTTTTAACTTTTTTACACAATAAATTGCAATAATTACTCAAAAAACAATAACAAATCAAAACAGAATGGAGATGCATGTTAACTAAAAACTTTAAAATATAATGATTATAACATAAACAATGATGAATCTATTAAGTTTTACATTGTGAATGATGTAGCAAAATTTTAATCATAAATTACATCCAAGTTTAATTATCACTACTAAGAACTAATATGACATGGAAAAAAAAAACTTCTAAGCTAGTAGGAAAATCGTATGATTTGGTCTACTTGGCAAACTCTGTGATCATCCGTTTCACACTTTGTAGCTATCAAGGAGGCATATAAGTTAACTAACTATTTGGATTCAATCACAACCCTCCCTTCCCTAATAATGGATCACATAACCGACCACTGACTTTGCAGAGAGCAAAAATAACAAATGAAAAATTAAAATGGCATTGAAGATGAAATTCCTTAATAACAATGCAGGTTCCTTTTCAATAAACAACTATTATGTAGTACATATATGTTAATAAGTGCAAATAATCTCATATTTTGAAGATTAAAAAGTAAAACAGAGCAACAACATAACAAATGAAAAATTAAAATGGCATTGAAGATTACATTCCTTAATAAAAATGGAGGTTCCTTTTCAATAAACAAAACAACAATAAATCAACATAAAAATACTATCTTCAATAACTGACTTTTTAGAATATGGAGTTTTTATTTCCTGATTTTTCATTCTCCCTTCTTATTTATAACTTTTAACACCACATTCAGTTCCAATTTCAGCTTGTTGCTTACTTTCTTTAAAAGTAGTAACATTTATTATTATTTAAAATTTCGTGGTATATTATTTCGAATATTATAGGTCAAGAAACAACCACGTGAACTGGCCTTAAAAAGGAAACTAATGAAATAGCGATTAGGAAAAAATAGCCCAAAACCTATTTTGTTACCAGGAAAGAATCAGCCAAAAAATAAGGCGAGCATAAAACTTCCACTACAAAGTTTTATGTTTGAACAGTTTAGCGAAAACAATGATTCATCAATATAATTTAGATTAAAGAGAATATGAAAATAATTTGGTCAATAAAAATAAACAGTACAGTTGATGAAAAATTAAATATTTTTCATGATACGAAAGATTTGAACAAAGCAATGATTCAGAAAATTCAATTAATCCAAATTACTTCAATACAAAAGAAAAGTAATCTTTATAGTGATTGTAGAAGACATTCATCAAATCATGGATATAGAATGTTCTTAAAAATTCAAATATTATTTTATGCTTGCTTGTCACGATTGAATGGTTATAATAAAAAAAAAAAAAAAAAACCTTTTACATAAATAATTACCTCAACAGTTCCAACCTGCCCTGCCATTTCTTCCAATTGTTTTTGAGTGGTTGAGGCTGAAAGGTTTTCCACAGCAACAACTCTGCTCTGAATCTAAAAAAAAATAAAAAAATTAATAATAATAATACATATAATGTACGGTTAGATAACCAGTAGGCTATCTTTTAGCTTAGGAGAAGATTGTACATCAAGACAAAATGTGCAACATACTAAAGGCAAAACTGCACAGAGTGAAATAATCTCTAATGAAACTCATTAAAAATATTAGTTTTAACCTACTTAAAGAATAGATTAAAAGAAGTTCTAAAACTTCAACTTGCTTACATACTTATATGCTCACATAATAGTTATATAATATTAATATGTACTTCGATGTATCCAGTAGGTGCTTAAAAGGAAAACATAATGCAATCCATGAATTCCTCAAACTAATATCGGTTTTTGTCCAATCACAAGCTAATAGGGCAGGTAATTATAAACAATAAATCAGACATCAATGATCTTCATATTTTATAGTTCAAGCACTGTTATAGCAATGAACTTATTGACAGAACGGCAAAGAACAATTTAAAAAAATCATTTACAATATCTTTTACTTATCAAGACACAAAATTTTAGGTAACATAGGACTCACTCTATAATATTACAGTGTTTATCAAAACCTTTTTCCAGAATTTCCTGATGTTTACAGGTTTTTTAGGTCATCAAGATAGTTTTATAAAGGACATTATTTGCTATTTTACAATTAAATGTCTATTGGAATAATTTATTCTCTTTTATCATGAAGTGACGTAAAAGAAAAAAAGTTTGGCTTCTACATTTTTATTGACTAGTCTTCATTAATTATCATTTTACATTATTTGTATCATGTTTAAAGATCTTGTGAAAATGTTGGTATTTTTTAAGTCTCTCTTTGGCTAAGAAATAAAAATATAGTACCATCCTCCCCTTGAAATTTTACCTTTAACAGACACTTGAATATTTGATGGGTAAGCGATGCATAATTATCAACTACCAAACTAAGCAAATGCTAGATCAGAAAATAGTTTGGCCTGTCAAAGAAGACTACTTTTTCAAATCCCATAAATTTTGTAATGAATAAATTCAAGTTATTGCTTTCATTACAATTACTAACCTGAGGTAAGGGAGCTTTCACTGACACCCCAGAAGGGTTAATCTTATGTAGAGGGCTCACTTTTTTAGTAAATTTCTTCATTTTTCTCAACTCCCTTATCTCCGCAACAGTCATCTATAAAAATAATACTATGTAAGTAGAATTATTTTATGTAAATCATTTTTAATTATCATAAACAGTTATTTATAACACAAGAATAAATATTATTGTATACAATGAGTGCTAAATATTTTAAAACTCAAAAAGATGTTCTAGTTGAGAAAATTGTTTAAGATTTGTGTCTTAGATATAGTTGCTGGCATAATCGATTGTAACATGGTCTGGAATCTGTTAAAACTAGTGACAATTTCGTAAATGCACAGAGAAAGAGTTATTATGAGGTTCAAGTAGTTTGAAAAGCATTGGACAAAAATGTATTATCTATAAATATGGAAAACTGACACTTTAAAGAGATTATTTTGAAATTTCTTATAAATTTATGGTTGCCACATTTCGGGTAATGAATAGTGTCCAAATAAAAGGAAAATAAGCTCAAAATAGTTAATCATCAAATTCTTTAATATTTTATATTTAATAGCATTTTTTATTGAAAATTAAACATTTAATCCCCGTTAGAGAACATCATTGAGAGAGAATATTACCTACATTATATTAAAAATTGCTTGATTTTACAATGATATAACAAATTTATCATAATCTTTAGGGGGCTGTTTTTGAGAAAATTATAAAAATGTGTAAAATCTATGACATAAAGCGGAACTTCTGGCTAGCCGATTTTAACTAAAAAATTGCTGTAACGAACCTTAAATACACAACTTCGGTTTCATATGACTTTGTTTTTGAGCTACATTGTTCACATACATACAAACAAAACATTATGAATTATGAGACATGGTTATATGGACTCAGGGAGCTCAAAACATGTTTTTCAGTTAAAAATTTGGATACAAAATTTTTTACGATAACAATAAGTTTTCTCGCTATACATTTCATACATAGGTAAGTGAAAGTAATATGTTAATTATACTTATATATATATATATATATATATATATATATATATATATATATATATATATATATATGTGTGGGTATAGACATATACAAATGTTACTGTAAATTTATATTTAACTTTTAAAGATGTGATTTTTAGGTATTCTGTATATGTAGCAAACCAATATAATGGAGCAGCACTCTTTTATGAAAATAAAGTGTTCCTCTCTACATTTGAAATTGTTTAATACAATCAGCAGTACATTTTTCTTATTTAACACAAAAAACAAATCAATTAATATATTATATCCTAAAAATTCATGCTGAGCAAAGATAGAAAATTTTAATATAAAAAATATTAAAATTTTATAGACAATATTTTTTCTCAGCTCCTGAGACACATTGGCAAGAATCCTCTGACATGGATCTAATATTTTTAACCTAATATCACCAAACAAGTTTCGTAGAAATCAGTGGCACCATATCAGTAGCCTTCCCATGTATGTTATTGTCTATAAGCTATATATAGGACTTTTTTTCTTCTCAAAAATGCACCAATATGAGGATAAAATTTTAAAAATACTGAAAAATTTGACATGAAAAACTCGTTCCTGAAACTGCCAGTGCAATCAGAAGAGAAGCTTGGAGAATGACTTCCAAAATAAAGCAAATATATGCACCACTACACAACCACAGAGGGCGATAAGTCAAAAATTTAGGTTAGACCTGATATAAACTACTTTATTAATAATAAAAGGGTTAGCAAACTCGAAGGTTCTATGCAGACAACACCAATCGCTGTCTACACACCTCTCTCCACTGGTTCCTGTCCAAACCAAGTCCCTTCAAATCGGCCTTAACTCAATCTTCCCACGTTCGCTTCAGTCTTCCCCTCGGACGTTTACCAGTTGGCACAGCAAATATTAACCTTTTAGGAATTCTTTCGTTACTTAGTCTAACAATTTTTTAACCCCATGTAATTATATAAACCGGATACAATTTACACATTTCGGTATATTGTAACTCTGTCTGAACTTTCCGATTGACTTATCCTTCGTTGGTCCGAATATTTTATGCAATACTTCATTTTCAACAACCTTAAGAAGTAAGCGGCCACATTCCGCATCCATAAACAACCATAGGTAGGATAATGGCTTTATAGATTATAATTTTTATTTTTCGGGAGAGGTATGTAGGAGCGCTAGATATCAAGCTATGTAGTTTTGTCAAAGAAAAATAACAAGCATTTCTCGCCTTCAGCCTAACCTATAGTTAGTTCATTGTATTTATAGCTGCTATAGATATAAACTACTTTAAATTAACAAATAAATATTTGTTTGATGTTACCTTTTTGAATCTCGTTTTTCCATCTGAAGTTCTCAACCTTACAGTTTTATACTCCACCTTTTTAGCACTTTCATCACTGACCCCAGGGGGACCGTCGCTACTGGCGGAAGCAGGTGTACTAACAGGCACCGTTGTAGAGGTTCCTATAAAGTAATAAAACTATACTCATTCAATAAATAAAGCAAACTTTATATAATTAGGTATGTGCATCTTTCCTAAGTTGTTTTCCAGACCAAAAATAGTCTTGCTTAAAAAAACATTTAACTAAGAATATGATTAATACAATCATTAACATTTGCTGAAATGTTAATAAAAAAAAATTATATTGACAGTGAAGTAATCAATAATCTACTTCTAATAAACCCAATGCTTATGTATTTATTCATATTTAATACAAATCCACTGTAAAGATAATCTCTATAATAAGGATAACTAAGTGCTAATCCCATATTAAATTATTCAGAGCAGTTTAAACATGCATCGGATAATGAAAACATTAAATTAAGCATTTTATCATGCTTTGCAAATTACCTACAAGTGCATAATTATGGCCTAGCAAGAAGAGAGAAATGTTCATCCAAGTAAATGCCAAATACTTTTAACTTAAATTTCTTCTTCATTGTGCAAGGTTATGCTTTTTTTTTTCATGTCTGAAAAGAGTAGATGTGTGGGATGCAGGGAGATGTGTGCAATCATCAAAGCGTGCAAAAGGCATGGCTTACTTAAAGTTGACCAACAACAAAAGAGGTGACTTAAGAGTGATATTTTTTCACACAAAAATAAACCAAATAACTACATATTGCCTTATTAGAAACATTCAAATAGAAAAAAAGCTTTGCATTTAACATAAAACTAAAGATGATTAAAAAGAGTGAAGTAAATAAAATAATGAGAGATAACGCGGATTAATTTGTAGATGTGACAGCTAGTATTACAAACAATAATCATTCAATTTTGAAATACTTAGCTTACTATAATTTATAATGTAACAGTATCAAAACTAAAATTCAGTGTTCGCAGTACCTTTTTGTCCAATGCGAGCTGAAAAACAAAAAGGAAATGAATATTTCAATTCACCCAGCTAACAATAATAAATATAGTTCTAAGTATCACATATAAATATTTTTTTAAAAACATATTTTTTTAAAATTAAAGTATTTAACTGTGATTTTGGAAAGCTTAAAACCATTCAATCAAGATTTATTCCATTAGTAATGAATAATTGATAGTATTGTGCATATAAATTAAAAAAATTGAAATTTAGAAGACTATTACAGTTAGAACTAATGTTAAATACACAATAAAACAATTACTTTTTTTCTGTTTTACAATATTATCTGATGCCTCTATCATTCTTTCATTATGATTTGGTTCTGGAACTCAATGAATAGAATCCAGCTCGTAAAACAAACATTTGCAAATATTTAAAAAAATTAGTTTCAACCACACTAAGCAAGGTAATGCATTTCTGGCAGTGGGAAGTGAAGAAGTGTGTTGTCTGACAATCAGTAAAGAAAGTTTGCATGTGAACTATGTAATGATAAATCGATTGATAAACTTTGCGATCTTGAACGGCCACGTAATCAAAATGACTTCTTTCAAACATTAACAAACAAAAACAATTGGAGGATTGATTGCAATAATCATAAAATCAAGGAATCCTGCAGTATATAGTCATAACATATTTAATCCAAAATAATAAATCAAAACTTGTTCAAATTACAATTGGCTCTATCTTTGCTAGGATTGATAAAATAATATCCAATAATCAGTTAAGAATGGCCAAATCAAATCCAATGATTGAGCCATTATTTTGAAGATTGTCTTTTCCTTCAGGTATTAAAAATAAACACATCCTCTAAAAATCAGGAAATTAAGTTATAAATAAAAGGGAATTATATTTGTGCATAACAAGAAATATACAGTTCATGGTTGATTACACCAATAATACTTCAGATGGTTCCTAAATTTCCTAACTAACGTAAAAAAATATCTCAAATTAAACCATTCTTAGGAAAGGTAAAGCCAATTTTAATTTGTACACTTTTTTTGGTTTAATATTTTCAATTAAAATTAATTCCTCCTCCGCCCTTTCCTAATTTTTCTATTCTCGGCAATGATTTCCCTTCTACACAGATTCTGTGTGTTACAGTGGAATTTTTGACTTATTATCATACATTTGATTTTCTCTTCATTTACTTGTAGGCCGATCTGCTCTGCCTCTCTTATCAGAGTCTTGGCGAGTTTCTCAATGTCCTTTTGATTACTTTCCAGGACAGCTGTATCATCTGCGTATTCAAGGATTTTATAATGCATTCCTACATGTACCCCCCCCCCATTTTCCTGTGATGTTATTCTTATCACCTTCTCCAGGATCAAGTTGAACAACATCTGTGATAGTCCATTCCGTCCATTCCGGCATTAAACTCTGTTTGAACTTTGAAGGCTTCAGATACTTTTCCTTGTATTAGGACTATAAAAAAACATGATATACTAAAAAACAGTAGCAGATGAACAGAAACATTCTTACAATTATCAAATAAATTTCAAAAAAATCATTGAAGAAAAATTTCTTTTATGAAGTTGAAACCTTACATCAAGGTAATTTATATTTAAGCTATTAGGTGCCCAGAACTTTTTCACGGTTCGATCTTAATTTTTTTTCTATTTAGAAATCAACAAATTACGTTCCTACTCAAGTTTATAAGTGAAATTAGACATCAGATGAAAAACACACGAATCATTCTTCTATACTTGAGGAACCTCTTTAGTTGTTACACTTTACTGACAATAATTTGAATTCATGTGCAATTGTAAATGCTATGCAAGTTGTGGCTGGTTAATAAGAGGTTAATGAATTTACCTGATTCCTGTTGTTTCTGCTGAGCGGCAACCATCCTCTTTTCTTCTTTTTGTTTCAGGATTTGCTCTCTTAACTTCTTTTGCTCTTCAATTTTTTTTCTATAAGCCTTCATTTCTTCATCTTCCTTTTAAAACATATATTAGCTTGTTATTGTCTATTTAAATTGAATTAAATGTTATTAGAGGAACAAGTATGATTAGCGAGAATCTTAAATCATTCAAATCAAATTTATTTATTACTCTTTTTTTAACAAAAAAAAAGTTCTTACAAAAAATTAAAAGCCCTGTAAGCAAACACCCTATGACTATATTTCGCAGTTGTTAATTTTCTTTTTTTAAGGAAATTTTGTTTTCCTTGTGAAATGCTATTGCATTTAATATTTTTGTTTTTAAAAAATGAAAGTTTTTTAAAATCGCATCAAGACAAAAAATATTATTTATATATCATTCTTTCTATAACCAGAATGTAGATAAAGCACATCATAAAAACTTAGGTCTAAGATTTCTTATTTCAAAATGATAACATTGGTAGAATTTTTTTTTTTTTTAATTCATCTAATCAGTGATCAGTTACACCTTTCCTTAATGGTAGAACAATCACATTATCAGGCACTATCTATCCATTTCAGAGCAAATTTAAATATGATTGATTGAACAAGAGAAAGAAACATGCTTGAAGCAGCAGAGTTACAGGATATTACATTATTACAGACTTTCTATTATTACATTGACGACAAAATGCATTTATTTTTATAAAAATAATAGATAATAAATCATTCACTTGAAATCATTAAACAATTGGGCTAACTGGATCTTGTAAGGAAAGTGTAAACTAGAATAAAAAAGGGAGTAAAAGGAAAGAAAGATTATAATTTTCAATCCTACAAGGGATGTGAATTAAATTACATTAGAATAAAACTAAATTAGATAAAATCTGATTACCAAGATTTATCTCTTCAAGACCAAAGATAACCGAGTTTCACACCATCGATGTATGGAAAGGACAAAGAATTTAACAAAACGATCTTGATTTTTTAGGAATGACAAAAGCTGCTTTAAATTATCGTAAAATTAATTAAAATGAGTAAAATTAATGATAATAAGTGCCACTTCTGGTCAATTAATTTTTATGAAAAAGTTGCTGTAACATCCTGTAAGTCTTAATGAACCATGCTTAACGATATAATAAATAAGCCAGTTCTGTAATATGTAATGTAAATAAATACAATTTTCTTTCTTCCATTATTTTGCAATGAATGAACATAAACATGATTTGAAAAACTTACTTCAACTGCAAGAGCATCAGCTGGGAGACAATCGACCATTTTTATCTCTTGTAAGTTACTCCTAACCCGGTGAGCAGAACTGTTATCGAACTTCTGTTGTTTATTTTGAGACATTTTTCCCAAATGGTGGAATTGATCTCGTTTCTGATGACGGTTGTTGGACCAACCTAGTTGTTGCCCACCTTGATGATGATGCTTAGCTTGAAAAAGAAACAAATTTATAAATAATTTCAGTTTCAATAACAGCAGAAATATAACAAGAAATAAATGATTCACAAGTAATACATAACATAAATGACTGAAATCGATAAATCAAAACAAGCATGAGAAATGAATAATGATTTTTAAAAAAATTCTATTAAGAGGTTCACTGACCAAAGAAGGGTTCAAAAAAGGGAAGGAAAGTACATAATTTGGACAGGAAATCATTGTTTAGGCACTGAGCTGAATACTCAGTGAACAAATTAATGAATCATTGTCCGTTAAGTCTAATGGGCCTTAGAAGCTGAGAAAAAAAAATTGTGAAACTGCTTTATTTAGAGGAATTTATTTCTTTCAGTTAGGAAAATTATATTAATATGGTCCTGCTACCAAAAAATATTTTTTTAGTTTTAGAGTAGATCAAATTATTACCATGTCTATATAATTTTAAAACTCAAATATATAAAACAAAGCATTTTCAGAGTGTTTAATTTTTTTCCTAAGCTCTTAAGGCGCACTGGACAATTGCCAGAAACATTTTTATCACAACCAGCGATGGAAACACCATGTTAGTAAGAGAAAATAATTGTTATATTGTTTCAAGATACATACCAACAAAATGCTTATTCTGATTCTTGTTAAAGGCAGGCCGGGGCCCAGGATTGTAGGGTTGCCTCATTCTTGGTGGCATCATCTATAAAATGTTATATTAATTGTAAAATTCATATAACAATTCATGAGCTGTTTAAGTCATCATTAACCAGCAGACCAGGATTCAATTTATAATTAAATAAAAATTTCAAGATTGATCTGATTTAATGTTTTAAAATGAACTATTGTCTAACTACATTATGCCTTATTCTAGGCCACACAAAATTTGTAGTTCAATGTTCCCTGTACTAATAACATTAATTAATGTATCCCCAACATATTTAACAGTTATTATTTATTACCTGAGGTCCAGAGTGCTGAAATCCTCCGGGTGGTCCAAAATTTTGAGAGGGTCCGCCTTGATAATAATTCGGATCCCAATTTGCCTGCAAAGAAATAAATGTACTTTATATAACAATTGTTTTGGAATAATCGAGTCATTATCGTATGAGAGCGGAGAGTGAAACTTGTTTCTAAGCATTTTTAATTATTCACCTTGATGTTCAGAAAACTATTCAAAATCCAGAGGACTTTGTTTAATTTTTTAATCACGATTCCACACCACCAATTTTGGTAGAAGATCTAGTCACCTTAAATGGTATTCCTACAATTCAGCAAGAGGGCAAGGTCCTGTAGCAGCTATATCCTCCCTTCAGCCTGTTTTCTAAACATCTCTTCTTTGGTTACTTTCTTTTATACTTCTCTAAAGAGTGATGGTAAAAATGTTTTTATGTCAGAATCAAGGCCTTTCTGTTATTTATGTGTCCATACCAACTTAATCTCATAATTTATATAGTTTAGAGGATAGACTATTCTTTTAAGATGTATTGACTTATTTTCGGTTTGAGAACCATGTTTATAACGTGACGCTAAATCACAATCATTTGAGATTTGGCCTACTCTAGCACAGAACGCCAGTTTTCTCTGTTAATTTCTACTGCCTTCCAATTTCTGACACAGCAGTTAATTTAAATCAGCAATCAAACATTATCTTCCCACTCGTCTGCTTCCCTATAGAGGTTCATTCATAATTCTCTGTGTTATTCCATTGTTGTCCATTCACGCAAAATACCCTGCCCAGCATAATCTTGCAACTCTGACGAATTGGCCCACATCCACATTCACTCTTAAACAATACCTTAATTTTTATGTTGGTTCTTCACTAATTTTGTGGCTTTTCTTAAGCACCTCCGAATATGGGTGGTTAATCTTCCTTTCAAATCTGAGAAGGGATCTTTCTAGAGCTTTGGTTAGGGTTCAATTCTCAGTTATATGTGAGTACTGACATAATGAGTGTCTTATTTCAGCCTCCTTCTATAACAACAGACTACTACAAAGAATTCTTTGGGAGGGGAGAAATAGCACTGATTAGCCATTACTGGTACTGGTACTAGTGGGGGGACTTAGTCCAGCAAGTGGGCCTATTGGTCATTTTTGCCGACCCCAAAGACAATATCACCAATGGTTGTCTATTATACCTCCAACTCTGTCTCAAACAGAGGTGGGGTGGCCGAATGGGCTAACATGTATGCATAGCACCACGAGTTACACAGCAACCAGATAACCAAAATTTATGAGATTAAATAAGTACGAGTTCGCGTCCCGGTGCTGGAGGGGATTTTAAATTCTCTGCCCTCACTCTCAGGCCAGGGAAAATCCCGTATAGCCTAAAAGGGGAGATAGGAAAGAAAGACAAAAAAAAAAAAAACTCTTGTCTCAAACCTTTCTATTCTTCTAATGAAGTTCAAAAGGTTGAACCATTTTATGAAGGTAGCTTCTGATTAGCCATTGCTATTCTTTTGACGTCTAATTGATGCACCACGCCCTGTGCATCAAAGCTTTAAAATGAACCATTTTCAAAATAACCAAGATTTTTGCTAAAAGCCTCCTGTAAGAAAATGACAAACCAAAGACCCTGCGGTTTTGCACCAACCCAATGAGTGTGATATAAGATACTAGTATTATTTCACAATTAGCTGAACCATATTGCTTAAGTAACTGAAGAGAATTTTCTGTAAAGCTAGCTAATTAATTATTAATTAAAAAACTATTTTATTTTTATTATTTTAATGGAATTTACAACTGTATTACATAGAGAATACAATAAGTAAATGAGAAATTTGTAACATGGCATGTACAACATGAAGAGAAACTACCCATTGGTAGAACTCAATAATTAAAAAACATACTCATTATTAAGTATGGAGCTTCAATAATTTATGTGCGATAGAATTTTTTTATAATAACATCATTGGTTTATTGCAAAAAGTCACTAAGCATATTTTAAATGCTTTTGTGAATTTCAACTTTATCTATGAGAAAACACTGTAAGGTCACTAAAATGGCACAAACTCTTTTAAATATCAAATATAGTTTTTAAAAAAATTCATTTAAGTTTGTAGTGATATAAGGTTACGAAATTTCACTGAATTACTTTTTGCAATAAACCAACGTTATATTCTTTTGAAGAATAAATGTTTTCCTAATATCATTTATACTTCAAATATATTAAAATGAAGAAGAGATAATATTTAATGTGAGATTTTCCACACAGGCGTACTACTTTGATAAAATCTTACAAACAATCTCACCTGCGAAGGCTGAGGGGGTAGCGGTTGAGGTGGATAGCCACCAGGTGGTTGCGGTGGGTAGAACTGTTCTTCACCAGAATTATAATACTACAAAAAAAATTAAATCAGGACTTCTATACTGAAAACTAATTTAATTAGATAAAACTAGAGTTAAGAATAGCATAGTGAAACTTATAAATATTTCAAGCAATAAGAAATTAATATATATTATGTAAAAAAAATAATTATTGATCGTTCCCAGTAACATTAGAAAAATAAAAGGATGAATGAATGAAATATTTTTATTTAATTTTAATTTTTTTCATTTATAAATTTTATTATATATGTGAAATAGATAAACATCCCTATAAACTTTATCTACTTTTATACCATTGTTTTGCTTTTATCAGGTACAACTATGATCTCATATTATTTTCATCCACATGACAATTGATCTGAAACAGATCCTATATAGTTATAGAAAGAAAGTTGTAAAAATTTGTATTACTTATTTTCAATTATTATTAAATTCAATTACATTATTCATATCCATTGGGGGTTGATTGTACTGAGGGGGTCCTGAATTTGCATAATAGCCTTGATCATTCCACTGGTTGGATTGCTGTAACAATATAAAGTAGATTGACGACTTCTTAAAATCTTAAGAACAAAATAAAATACAATGCAGAAAAAGTATGCCAAGTAAAATAATAAATGAAATTAAAAAAAAAAAAAAAAAAAAAGCAAGATAAAAATCACAAAAGATTATGGATGATAGTAGATAAACCACTTCCAGGAAAATTATACAAAAAATTGAAACATTAGGTCATCTAAAGTGGAATTACATGGTAATATATATATATATATAAAAAAAAAAGGTTAAGAGTCACATTATATCTCCTTTCACATATCCACAGTACATTCATGTTTGGTAAATTGCTTTGTACGATTCATCTTCAGAATCAGATTTTTTTTTTTTTTTTATTAAACACCTCTGCCGTTGGCTATTAGTTCTGGCAGTTGTATTGGGCTGTCAGAAGCCGAATTGCCTAATAGCCAACGGCAGAGGCGTTTAATAAAAAAAAAAAATCTTCAGAATCCAAAGGGACACCTGTTTCCTGTTTCTATGAAGAGTTGAAGTGATTTTATCCTTCCTACTGTCATACGTATTTCCTGACTTTCTTCCAAGTCATTCAATCCCGCTGCACCTCATACATCTCTGAGCTCCTTCAATTCAAATCCTCTGCTGTTCACTAAGGAACAGTAACTGCTCCCGGGCTTTAGATTTATATACAATGAGCCACCAAACAGCTGCTTTTGACAGATCTTTAATTATTTAATCCCTATGGAACTCTATTCCTTACTATACCCGTCACTTCAATAATCACCCTATCTTCAAATCTCACATATTCAATCGCTTCCTGTCCATTCAATCTCCAGAACAACTTTATTTTTATTTCATACAATTTACAATTTAAATAGATATTTCTGTAAATATGTGTATAATTAATATTATTAATTTGTTTTCAATTATTTTTATTTCATGTTTTTTTTCTCATTAATCGATTAAAGTTAACAGGTAACTAATAGTTTTTTTTATTATTATTTTCATTTGTTTACTTTTCAATTGAAGTAGTATATCTCTGAACCGAAAAGTCCACATTTCTGTCTTTTTGTATTGTTCTAAAAGAACTCATCCCAGAATTAATAAAGTATTATTATTATTATTATTATTCAAAAAAGGTTAGGTTGAAATGATCATGGAAAAACAAAAATAATTTTGTTTTTCACTTCTGAGGTAAGTCAAAATTTCTAATACCATAAAATTATGTTTTGATATGAAGCCTTGTATCTCTTTTTCAGTTAATCTGATTTCAACATTCAGAGACTCGATAGAAAGAGGCTATAAAGTTTATTTTTTCTGTTCATGTAGATAGATTCCAACCGAAACTTAATTTTGCTTAAATATGTAATGGAAACTAAAACGCATTACATAAACATAGTAAATAGATTAAGAACCTTTCAATCCATTTATACACCATATAAAAATCATTTTCCTAACTCGAGCTATAAAATTTAGCATTTTCCACGCACTTGGAAAAATCCCCTAGTTACTGAAAGAGAAGCAGAGAAAGCTTATCTATTAAAATATTAGTTCATCTTAAACTGGCTAAGTTTGGAGGAATTTTAGTTAAAGTTTATCACTCAAGCACAGGTCTGAGAACTTCTTATGTGAACCTAGAATACCGTAGGTTGGCTTTTTCATTAACTTTACATTGACATCATCCCTCAGAGGCATGTTAAGAGTGAGTTTTTTTTTTTTATTTCTTACCTACAGAATGTTGAGCTTTTTCTCCTTCTAGATAATACCTAGTTCTGCCATAAATACTGTTACAAAAGTTGAACTTTGTTTACATTCTTGGGTATTATTTAGATAATCCTTACCTCTATCAGGTTATTTTCTATATAAACCAGGATAATAATCCCAATTAGTTTGTATTTTTCTTTCGCTCAGTTAATATGGAGTGGGATGATAAAGAAAACCAAATAGCTGTGATCGTCTTACATAAAGTTTGGAAATGTAGGTCAGAGATTTTCAATACTTCGAAACCTTTGGGTATCAGCCTATGTTTGTGTACTGCACTATAAATAGATATAAAGAGATATAGACCCTATCTCTAAGTGACAGACCTCGACCTGGCCGTCTCTGCATTGTGAGAACGGCAAATGCAGTGCCATGTGCAAGACTCGATGCGTTTTTAAGAGAATCTTATGGAAATACAATATGTAGGTAAGAAAGTAAAAAATTTTGGAATGCCTATCCTGGAAGTAGGGGAAGATTATTAGTACTGCTGGGTTAACTAACACAAAGGGCAATGTAGCCTGGAATTCAATGCAGGACAACTTGTTTGTAATAGGATAACGGATTATGAAGCCTTTAGGTTACCTCCATTCCAACGGTGATAGAAACCAAAATCAATCACAATCATGCATTTGTGAAATTTCAAAAAGAAATTTTGCATTTTAACGAAACATTTAAGATAAAAAAAGTTTTTGAGTGATAGGAAAAGGTGTTAAAGAAAAAACTGGTAATGTGGTGGTGATCTATGGATAGAGCACACCCGAATCAATAAAAAAAAAAAAAAAAAGGTTCACTTATCAATTAATTTCAATTATTTCAAGAAGAATTTTTGCAGATGGAAGGTAGAAGACCAAGATGGCGACCTAGGAAGACCTGGGAAAGAGGAATAAAGGAAGCCTTTGATCTTTGAGAATTCCAACCTTAGTTACATATTGATGAAAAACACAGTAAGAACATGAAAATGACACAAACCCTTTTAGATATCAAAAATAGTTACCAGTGTAAGTGCACAATGTTTTGATTTCATACAGGGACAATTCATAAAAGTGCTTAGTGATTTAATTTTATAATATCTGAAATAATGACTTCTTTCAATAAACCCACAATATATTTGTTTTCAAAAGTTTGTTGGTGGGAGGAAGGGACTCATAGAAAAATTCTACTTATATAAAAATAAAAAAAATGGCAAGATTGAAAAACACAGTCTACCTCCTCAGGAGAACACTACAATCAAAAACTGACCAATTTCTTCCCAATCTAATGAATCAAAAACAACTATTCTAGCCCTCAAAGCAAGGTTTCAGTGAGCAAACTCAAAACACTGACAACTGCGACTTTCAATTCCGTTAAAAGAAAATGAGCTAATTTTTAAACATTTTTAATAAAAATTGTCATTAAACAAAACAGTCTATAATTAAGGGTTAATAACCTGAATGTGTGAAGGCTGATAACCATAATTAGGATGAGATGGCTGAAAAGAAGGTGGCTGTGGTGGACCATGGTATCCACTGTTCCACATCTGAGGTCCACCTAAATGAGAAAAATTAAATAAATTCTTAAAGAAATTTTAACAAATCCAAGCTAAACTAAAAGCATTTCAATATTACATATATATTTCATTTGTTTACAAACATGTAATATAACAACTAAAACATAATATTCAGTGTTTGATACATTTAACTGCAAATAAGAAGTATAAAATGTTTTAATTGAAAAACAACTGATGGTATATAAAAACCATATGTTATCGCACATGGTACAATAAAAACACTTAAAATTATTTTATATTTAAAAATATACTGTTGATTTTATAAATATCAAACATAATATTTATATATATTTTTTTAATGATTTCCTTTTGGAATTAAAACTACTTATTCATAATCAATACTAAAAAAAATCGATAATATTATAAGCATTAATAAGCGATGATATTTTTATAAGCAGTGGTTACTTTACATATTAATACTATAAAAAATAAAATTAAGTAAAATATGGTTTTAACGTGGTGACTACCTATTTTAAGAATTGAAATGTTTTAATTTTGAAAAGAATTTACCGAAAATTTTTAATTACAGCTTGACAACAATTCTTTGGCAAACTGAGCGGAATCTCATTTTTTATTGGTCTTTCTCCTCTATGTTTAGTACTTCGGTTATCATATAGAGCATTTTTTCTCAAATCTTTCAATACTTCTTCCAAGCGTGTTGGTTAGTGTCTAGGTCTCGCAACTATATATATCAGAGCTTTATCATAGCATTGTGCACCCTTAATTTGAGATTTTTTGGAATTTCAATGGAAAAATATGTACTAGAAGGTACAGATTACTACAACAATTTTAAATATTCATAGAAATCAATTTCCATAACAATCTAACAAGGAGTTAAGTAGATATGAAAGTACATCTGCTTAGTATGGATAAAATTATTTCTGTTGTTGGGTTTGGTTTTGATTTAACTAATTTTTATTGGAGTGAAAACTTTTTTAGGCGTGTTTTGCACTTCTTTTTGTGAAGAACGAATTAGATTGAGCTGTTAGATCTCTGATACGTGTTAATTAAAATAATTTTCTTTTCCAAAGGTAACCATGTTGATAGACATGAGTAGGTAAATAAATTAAATAAGTCAAGAAATATGAATATGAATGAAATGAGTAACATAACAATATATATTTATCTTAACAAGATAACTTTGAATACAACCTAACATATGTGCTGATCTGTTACTAATTCTAATTAATATAATTAATTAAGTTGATTATAAAAGAACATTCAAACAGTGCCAACTCACAGCCTTCATTACTTACAATGATGATTACTTAAAAACGTAATCAGAGGAAACCTGGATAAAAATTGAAAAATGCCTGACAGTATAAGACATATACAGGATAATAAATAAAAATGCTATCTTACCTACTGGCATCCGGGGCCTGAAATGGGGATTCACATGAATGTTAGGTGACTGGAATCGCCCGTACTTCTTCCCACTCCCTCCCCTACCTTTTCCACCTCGGTTACCTCCTCTATTGACTTTAATCGGATTTCGTACAGCAACAGCATCTAGAAAAATTAACAGTAAAATCAGTACATGAGATAAAATTATAAAACTTTAAACTAAAATAGAATAAAACTATAAATAGTATAACAGAGACCTTCTCAGCTTTGTGCTATGTATCAATTTTATTGTTGAAATCCGTAAGATATCTATCAAGGAAATGAAACTTGGAAGACCTTTCTTATCCGTTTTGAATAGAATTATTAATCCAACAAGTGAATTAAAAAAAACTTCTAATAAATGGGATGAGATAACGTACATAGAACTGTTCTTAAAGACTTTAAACCCTTCTGAGAGCATAGTCCTGATCATCTCAAGTGCGGAAGACGATTCGTTTTAGTTAGCTTCTATAATTTTATGAAAAACTCAATTTTTTTTCTAAAATGACAAGTTTTGATAGGATTTTAAAACAAACAGAATTTCCTAAAAAATGAAGTACACTATCCAAAATCTATCTAATAGCAAATCGTTAATGATAGTAGAAGGAGCTACATACTCACAAATCAGTTTCATCTTTTGAAATAAACATTTTAAAATGAAAACTGAATAAATGCACAAAACGCTCAATACTGTCAATCAGATAATTACTGGTGAAATGAAGTACCTACACTGGAGGCAGGGAAAACCATTTGATTCTAGAAATTGAATTATTGATGCTGAATTAGAAATGTATCTTAACTTGATCACTTCTTTATCTTTCTCATGATGCCATTTCTAGCGCAGAAGAGCCTCTATCCAGTGCAGCCATTCTTCTCGGTCTCTGATTAACCGCTTCATTTGGTTGCAGGATTTGCCTCTTCTACCTGCAATCATCTTCATGAACTCCTGATATGAAACTCTGGGACGCCATCATGGTCTCTTCCTAGTGGGTCGAGCCTCTAATACTTTCATAGTACCTTTAGTATCCTTATACATGCATCCTCATACCTAATATCCTAATACATGCAGTAGACATGTCCAAACCACTTGAGTTGTTTGTTTTCCAAATTGGGTTTGAGTTCAGGTACTTCCAGCTGCTCTTTCATTTCTAATGCGATCCCTCCTAGTTTTCCCCAAGGATCTATGTAGGAACCTTATTTCCACTACTGTTATGTGACTGTAATGTCGGTCCGACAAAGTTCAGCTTTCTCAGCTGTAGGTGAGAATAGGCAGGTGCATCTTGGTCTTCTTATCCACTTTACGGTGGCCAAGTATAGTATTAGTGGTCTGGTAGCATGTCTGATTTGCCTTGGATATTCTGTTCGAAATCTCAACATTCATCTCACCAGAGTTACTAGTAACAGTCCCTGAGAAAGTGTAATCCTTTCCTACTTCAGGAACCTCCCCATTGCAGACCAATTGGACATCTTCATGTTTTTCTCTCGTCATAACCAGAACTTTACTTTTGGAGGCATTAATTTGCCTACTTTTACTCAGCAGTTCTTCCCATTCTACCAGTGCTTGTGGTAGTTTCATCTTTGAATTGGCTATGAGAACAATGTCATCCGTTTATAAAACTGTCCTGATATTCAAGTTACCAATTACAGTCCAGGCAGCCCTGCACTTGCAGATTTTATAAATCTCGTCCATAAAATTTATAAAGAGGAGGGGGCTTAAACTATCTCTCTGTCTTACTCCTCTCCCAATTGGGAAAAGTTCCAATTCTATGCCATATATCCTTACCACTCTAGGCACACCCTTGGCAACTAATGTACGAGTAACTTAAATGCTGACCTGAAATCAAGAAATGCCAGGTACAGGTTTCTGTCTCTGTCCTGATAAGACACATAAATAAAAATAATTTCATTATTCTTTCTGTTTATAAACTATTTTAAGGCTATAAATGACAAGAAGTGGACAGAACCAGAGAGATCCTCAGTAATAATATCTTCAATATAATTTGGAAGATCAGCCTTAATTTGATAAGCAGCAGGAAACTTATTAATGTTAAGCCTACAAGAGGCTTCTTCAAACTCATCCTCATCAACTATTACAATAAATAACAACATGTAATATAAACTTTTACAATAATTATATAGTTTAACAATCACCAAGAGTTTCAGGAATAGCTGAGCTGCTACGTGCAATAATTTGACGCTCCGATTTAAACCTAGTTCTTTCTCCACCAGAGTTATCATCACTGTCATCTGTAATTAATTAATATAAAAATTAAACAAACTTGTCACAGTAAAAGTAACATAATATGAAACAATTTAGTCAACTTTCAATGATCGGAATACAGGGTTACAATTTATTACCTCCATTCAACTAACTAGACAACTAGACAAGGGGGAGGGTACAGTCGTTAGATCACCATTTTCAAGCAAATTTTTTTTCGGTGAAACTAAATCGAAAAATATCGGCCATATGTCCTGACATTCATTCTAATCGACCCTAGGAGCCTTGAAAAATATATTTTATATAAACATTTTTAAGAAGAAACCAAGTTGATATTCATTTTTCACACCTCATAAAACCCTTTAGTACAAATTTTTATAACAATCGAAAAATTTAAATTTTCTGCACGACATTTTTGTCGAAAACCAGAAAAATTGTGATAACTTTAGATCTCCACCGATCCACACAAAAATTATTAGGACTTTAGGGCTCTAAATGCTACAAAACCAAACCTCTTTAAACAATCTAGAACCAAAGATATAAAATAAATATTATTCAGATTTCTTAATTTCTAATTAAAAGGAATGGAATCTAAAATTCATCAATGTGTGTTGGAAGAGTAGTAATTCAGCTTTCTAATGTTTGTACTAATGTTGAATTTGGAGAAAATCCGAGTAGTTATGAATGCTTTAGTTATTGGCCGGAAAAAATTTTTTCCAAGAAAATGAGGTATTAAATTTTGCAATTTTAGATTGCTACGAAAATTTGAATGCAAGACTTTCAAAGGACTCTAAAATCCAAAAATAGCTTAGCTTGCTTTTTCATAACAACATAACAAGGCCTATTTTACTGGAAGTTTTAGTTTTTGTAATTTATAAAACATTATAACTCATTTAATACAACTGTTAATATTTTTTTCTTATTCTGGACAAAAAAAGAAATCGATTTATACATAATAACCTAAAAATCCAGGCAAAACTAAATAACATAAAGTTTGTTTGAAAATAAATAATTTTTTTCCCCCTGTTCCTAGGGCCCATTGGAACGAATGCCGGGACATATGTCCAATATTTTTTTATGAAGTATCACCGAAAAAAATTTGGTTGGAATCAGTGACTCTTTGATTGTACCCTCTCCTTGTTAGTAAAAGAATGGTGTTTTTTATTTGTTAAATTAACTTGAATTGTTAAATTAGTATAACAGAGAATTCCAAAATAAATAGCATACATATCTACATTTTTATTAAGGTGATCACTCCACAACAATGTTATTCTTTAGAACAAGTAGTGATTTACATTTATGTAGACCATTTTTAAAACTATTCTAAATTCATAAATACTTATCTCTGGATATTACGAAAATTATATTAACAATCAGAAGACTAAATTAGAAATTTTGCTACCTCTAACACTTAAATAATATTTTGGTTAGACCTGTTGTCAATAATATAGAAAAATATTGATTAACATACATTTTATAATATTTAAAGTCTACAAGAATTTCAACATACAGATTAATGTAACTCTTTAGAATTGATTAGATTTAAACGATACTATTTTTTTAATAGTATTTGTAGAGATTCCACTGGATAATTATTGATTGAATATAATTATTCAGAAATATTAAGTAAAAATATATAAAAGCTAATAAAACATCTAATATATTATTTGGCCCAGGAAGATTTAATTGAAGTATTGATTGACTAAAAAGTGTAATTTCATTTTGATTGACCCATGTCACTGTACATTATGGGGCTTCTCCTGGGAAGACTTTCTTCTGAGAAACTCTTTCCATACGGAAGTTAATTTATGTAATTTTAAGCTAACTGATACACTTGAGTCTGATTGCTGAATAAGCTAAAAAAAAATAATCACTTGCTAGCAACAAACCAAGATGACAACGGAAGAAGAGGCTGTGGTGGCCAAGTGTTAAGGTGTAATCATAAAACTTTGACTTGAGTCAAGCAGCAACGGTTCAAATCTGGCCCAAGTATTTTTAAATTATTTTATTCCTACCAATGACATATTGTGTTTGAATAGTATCTATAGAAATGAAAGAAAAAAATTAGTGGACTTATAATTTATTAATTTCTCCACTATTTTTAATATTTTTGGGGGAAGGATGAGGAAGATTAAATTATTTCAAGTACATGCAGGAACACTGTTTTTACTCCTTTACTTTCTACACAATATGATGATTGAAATATTTGTAGACCATATATATTATTAAATGACTGTTTACCAACTTTTCCATTTCATTGAAAACAGGTGTGACAAAAATTATCAAATAAGTATTTACTTTAAATACCTCCTAACAAAATGCTCTAATTAATGAACTATAATGACAAAATAAAAACAAACCATTGTCATGAAAAGCTATAGGAATCCTTTTCTTGGCATTATTTCCATTCTCAATGACCTAAAAAAAATAATACATTAATGAACAAAAATGATATAAATAAAATGAACTTTTTTTTTCTTATGCCTCTTGACTTTCGCCTTCCGCCATGAGTCTTTTAGCAGCTTTGGGCTGTTATAAGAGACAGCTATGTTAATTATTATATTTATTTAAAGTTTTTTTAGGTAAGAGTATATGATATGTTATATATAATTGGTAATTGGTTGACTGTCATGGATAATGAAGAGAAGAATAGTTGCGGTGGTCAGTCAAAAAGGAAACCGGAAAAAAGGAAAGGAAGGAAGGTTTTATATTTATTTATTTTATTTTTTTTTATTATTATTATTTTTTTTTTACTATCGCTACTTATGTTTCTCATACCTTGTTATCTGGTTATTTTTTTAGCCCTGATGAAGGCCTGAACTTCAGGTCGAAACGTCGACATATGTAAAAAATAAATATTATCATTTATTTTTGCCTTCCTTTTTGACTGACCACCCCAACTATTCTTCTCTTCGATATGTTATATAATTTTCCTTACAAAACAATACTGCTTATCTGAGATCAAGTACAAATAAATCCAAATCAAGTTTTGCTAAATCAAAACCGATTCTGAGTAGTAAGTGTCAACCTCACGTTATGAAATAAGTGTCACTATTAAATATTAAGCTATTTTTCAAAAAGAAATATATTACCGTGAAATGCATCGCTTACTGCCGAGAATGAAAAATATACTAAAATGCACAAAAAGAAGATATTTCACACTAAGTGAAGTACACTAATCATTAACAAAGGACAAAGTAGGTTCGAGGACCTCAGGAGGTACATCACACAAGGTGGAGAACAAAACATCAAAATAAACTTGCTAACTTTAGATATCATCAAAATGGCTCTTTATGCTAAAAAAATGAAAATTATTTTCTTATTCTTAAATGCCATATTTGAAACTGTAAATAATAGAAAAAATATAAAATAAAACTGATAATCATATGTCCTAATTTTGAAATTTGAACAATAATGACAAAAAATAACCAATTCAAACTTAAATTATTAAAAATACAGAATAATGCATACTACTAATACATGTTCAAGTAATTAAAATAAAATAGTTTCTATCACATGAATGGGAGAAATGCATCGACAGGTGGTCTTATCCTTTTCACAGCTAGTGCTAAGAGACGGCTACCCGGTTACTGGCAGCGAGTACTATATACTTTTTACCTGCTTTTCACCCTTCATTAACAGCTCTTACTGCTACATTTTAACCTCATTTCATTGTTCCTATCCTTTTTGAATTGGGCTGTGGATCGACACTGGCGGAGTTTAAAAACTTTTTTAATTTTTTTTTTTTTTATTTTATATGTTTAAACATTTATTTAATAATTTAATTTTGAATGGTATTCTTCAAAACATTTGCCAATACAAAGAAAAATCTTATGATTGTGACATTCTACCTTCGTTAGTAAACCACTGTTTTTCCATTTTAAAGTAAATAACAAAGCAAAAGACTAAGTTTTAAATGAAATAATTTATTCTATACAGCCACATAACTAACTAAACTGTCAAGGTATTGTACAGAGGATTCAGTTACCAGAAGGCCTCGACAGAGCGTGTTCATTGGAGGTGTAATATTACTCAGTGGATGAAGTAAGATGAGTATTGGATGACCTTAAGTATCAGGAAGATCAGCACCCAAATCACTCTCGGTCTGTGGTATAAGGGATCAACCTTAACATTCCGCAGGGATAGTAACCACAAACGGAGGCATCAATCTCCATACTTTGTGGGAGGACTAAATACTAACAAAGGGATGAATCTCCAGACTTAGTATATAGTAATACAAGCAGACGAATCAACATCTAGACTTGTATGGAGTGAGAGTAGAGGATAACAGGTTTTTGGATATAGCGAAATAAAAAAGGCAGATTGATAAGAACGAAAAGCGCATATGAGACTTATACTGATCATCTGCCGATACCGATATACTGAGTCACACCCCGAAGGGCAGATACTCGAAGACCTTACAACTTCTTGAAAGGACTGCGGTAATCATTCCGCCATGACTAAATCGGCTATCAGGAACCGTTACAATTAGTTATTTTTAAGCTTTGATCAGTATATATTATCGCCATTAAACTTTATTAATAAAACGTATATACATATTTCAATATACAATTTGAGTATTTTATCATCCAATAATAAGAAATAAAAATACAACTTTTATGTATATTACACGAGCGAGCTTGTGTGCCGCAGGTGAACTAGTATTCCCTTGTAGCAAGTGGCTGGAACCACCAAAAACTAATCTTATTTGATCTAATTTCAAACTAAAATAACTAAATAACATTTTTATAAACTCAGAGCAGTTGAACTCGTGGTTGTTTCACACAGAACGTAAAAACAAGAATAAAAATGGTGGAGACAGTCAGAGAAAAGCCGTAGCATGTAGCCACCCATAACGGTGCATTAATTCCTTTAAAAAAAAAGCTCCAAAATAAATCCTCACACCATCTGTAGGCTCTAGTTAGAAGCTTTATTTCGGTAGGAAACCAGTAGATTGTAGCAAGGTCGCGGGGCTCTACTCCACATTAGCACACGGAAAGAAAAGCAGTACAACAGCTATAGCCAACATTAGCACTGAGAGTAGGAGTGGGGCACGCCATCATTAGCAACAGAGCACGGTCAGTTGCATTATCAGTTAAAGTCTATCGAGCATAATTTAGTATTCGGACTGAGTATTTTATCAGCCAAAAATGTATTTTCGTCATCTTAGAGACACAAAAAATCAATTAAAATAAATACTAATCAAATGTTCAATAGACTGTTTTTTTGTGAGGTTTATTAATTACTAAGTGAATTTGATTGATTATTTGCTTATTAAGAGTTTAAAGACTGACAAAAAATGTGTTTCCATCATAAGTGAAATCGAAACTAATTTTCAATACTATTCAAAATTGTAAGTTTTATATGTTTGATTTTATGAATCATTTTCCATAATTGTGTACTAGACCCTATCTTTGTAGTCCCATATCCTCCAATCATTTATCAAGCCTCTGCTGTTTGGCACAAAATTACATGACCTGGAATCAATTCTTCAAATGATCAAAAATTGAATTATTCTTATTTACCTATAATAAATAAATGATTTATGATACAGGAATGGAGACAGATTAATCGGACTATGTCAAAAAGCTGATTTAAAGATCTTGTCGACCTATTTCAAAGCGAAAGCCAGCAAGAAAAAGACATGGGTCTCCCCAAACAACCATCTTGGGGAATTTCAGTTGGATCACGTAGCCATTTCCAGTAAGTCCTATAGAGAAATCCAGAACGTTAAAGTAAGAAAGGCTATAAACGTTACGTCAGATCACTACCCGTCATAAATAAAAATTAAGATGTTTCTCACGAAGAAGCATAATTTCAGGAACGGTATCAAAAACATAAAAATAGACAGGGAAAATCTGGTCAAAAATAACGGGGAAGTGTTTAGGAAAAACTTAGGACTCCCACAGAACTGGGAGGAAACCACCAAGAACATGATGGACTTGGCCGAAAAGCTAGCTCCAGGAGGAAAATCCAAGAGACAGGAGTGGTGGAACATCGAGTGCCAGGAGGCAATCCAGAACAGGTTCGAGGCATGGAAAAAGTGGAACCAGAACAAAACGGAGGAAAGTTACAAGAAATACATAATAGAAAGAAAGATCGCTCACAAAATTCTGAGGGAAAGAAGGAGAAAGTTCTTCAATAATCAACTATCTGAAATAGAGAGGAACTTCAAGAGGAACAACTCCAGCCTCTTCTACAAAGGTTGTAAACAGAAAATCAAGGGTTTCACGGCATCTGGGCTGATATTGAGGAGGAAGGATGGAACCCTAGCACAGACGAGTGAGGAAAACTGTAACATTTTTGCGAAGTATTTTGAGGAACTGTTGAACTGTGAAGAACCTCAGGAGAAAATGACAACGGTCGATAACACACCTCCTGAAGCAGAAATATATCCACCAGATGATGAGGAACTGGATGAAATCATCGCATCTTTAAAGAACAATAAAGCGGCAGGAGAGGACAGTGTGCTTGCCGAGATGTGGAAACTGACTGGGGATGACTTCAGAAAGGTAATCATGGAGCTGATGATGGATATCTGGAGCGAGGAGAAGATTCCCCAAGAATGGAAAACAGCCTTACTACACCCACTACATAAAAAAGGAGATAAAACTGATGTGAATAGCTACAGGGGAATCTCCCTACTACCGGTCACCTACAAGATTTTCTCAAAGGCTTTACTGAACAGACTCTATTCACAACTAGATTCTAAAATTGGGGAGTACCAAGGTGGTTTTAGAAAAAATAGATCATGTCAAGAACAAATTTTGAGCCTTAAGCTATTAATCAAACACTACAGGACTAAAAGTAAAAAGAACCTTTTTATCTCTTTCGTCGATTTCAAAAAGGCGTATGATTCGGTAGATAGGAAAACACTACTTGAAGTACTAAAAGAATACGGAGTTGTCCAAAAAACTAGAAAATTGATAGGACTAACGATGACAGGGACTGAATCTAAAGTTAAATTCCAAGGAAATATCAGTTAATCATTTCAGATCAAAACGGGTCTCAGACAGGGAGACGGGTTGTCTCCAACACTGTTTAACGTAGTACTCGACAAGATCATAAAGGAACTATGGAAAATCAACAATTTAGGTGCAACCCTAGGTACTAAGAACAATAACGTCAAAATTGGATGTCTCGCATACGCAGACGACATTGCTCTTTTATCAGAAACTGAAGAAGAGGCGATTGCCCAAATAAACACCCTCTTGGTAATAGCGAGGAAAACAGGCTTACAGATATCTTTTGGGAAGACGGAATTGATGACCACGGACGCAAATTTTAAGAAGAAAACAATTAAAACCAAATACGGAACGATTAAAGTAACTCAGAGATTTAAATACCTTGGAGAAATCATATGCAGCAATGGGTCAGAGAGAGAAGGGTTTAAGGAAAGAATCGCCAAAATACATAAATTAAGCTTCGCCACCAGTGAGCTTTATAAAAAGAAGAACTTATCTCTAAAAGCCAGAATAAGACATTATAACATGGTCATCAAGCCAGTGGTACTCTATGCAACAGAAACTTCTTGTCTTCCCAACCTAGAGAGCCTTCTGAAAATAGAAAGAAGAATTCTCAGAAGAATCTACGGGCCTAGAAGAACACCTGAAGGATACAGGTTGAGGTCAAATGAGGAAATATATAAGGAAACAACTGATCTAGAAACTGATGCTAGAGTGGGAAGGGTGAGGTTCTATGGTCATATGATAAGGATGAATTCTGAAAGACTTAACCATAAAATCTTTCAGTGCATCCACAGTCATAAAAATGTAAGCGGGTATTTTAAACAGATTAAGGATGATATGGACCAAGTGGGGCTAAGATTGTTTAGACAGAGATGAGTACAGGAAGGCGCTCAAGAGAATAACGGTTCTTGCAGGCAAGAAGCGCTCCAAACGCAGAGCTCATGAGGGGCATATGGGAGAAGAGGAGGCAGATGAAGAGGAAGCATTAACTTCATAGTATTCGCGTGGTATTTAAGGCCTGTTCGTGGAAAAAAATAAATAAATAAATGAATAAAATAAATGATTTGCACAGCTGTATCAATGTTCATATTTATTTTTTTTAAAGTAAAGTTTATTAAATAAAAATCCCTGCACATATTAATTCATCAAGGCTTAAAATCAGTTTTGTACCAAATATAAGATCCTCTCATGCTCAAATCCCATGAATGCCTTCAAAAATAAATAAAGTCGATTCTTTCGAGCTGAAGCCCCCTCCTAAAATAGAAAAATAATTATTTATTTCATTGGCGCCTATTTGTTTATGTAAGCAATCTGAGCTAAATGATTAAACAATCGCAATATTTATTCTTTTAAAAATAAAATTTATAAACACATACAAGCGCGTGGTAATACAAAGTATATATTTTATTTTTTTTTTAATAAATGGACCACTTAAACATCATTTTATGTATTTTTCTTCCAGAGTAATTATCGTTAAAACAAAAAAATAGCCCCAAAAATTATATCATAAATTTGCTAATGAATAATGACCGCTAATGACCCGATCGGGTAGATGCGGAATGTAACAATAAATAAAAAATAAAGTTGCTAATGGACCAACCTTACTAATTTGTAATTTATTAATTGGTATTAATAACAAATAACTTTAATAATTCATTAATAAGAACGTGGAGATGCATGAGTTTTTTTAAAAATGCATAAAAAGGTAATATGCGGTTGAGACAAGAATTGATATCGCAAAATTCAAATATATCCGGGTATTCTGTAAACAAGTGACAGAAGTGAAAGTGAACCATGCCTAATCCAAGCAGAATTCTTGTGAAGCAGTCCCTAGCATTCAGTGATACAATAAATTTTTTATCTACTACTATTTTTCTTCCACAGCTGAATAAAATATGAATAAGCTCGATTAAGGGCACAACGTAAACATCAAATATAAGTAAACTGACATTGTATAACTGTGGATGGTTAAGGATATACAACTACTTTAATGGCTGAAAAGTTGTGACTAATTCAATTGATTGCCTCCATACTATTACGGATAAACCTGAGTACTTTTACCATTCTGTGAACCAGTGTGACTGAAGTGATTGTGAGACACCTAATCAATGTGGAACTCTTGTGAACCAGTATCCAATTACACTCCTTTAAGACGGATACACAAATCCCCAACAGGTACTTTTCAATTGAGGTCGAGGCCTTACCAGATGGACTAGTCATCTCCATTTACTTTGGGATAACTGGCCATTCATATTATTTGATTTTTAGTATGATCATAACATCTTGTGCCCACCCGTAAAGGTGGAGACATGCTTGTACAGTAGTAGCCAAATTTATTTGGTTATTAACACATGAAATTTTACTGAACTTAATCTGTCAAACACACTAGCTAGCTTGGACAGTTAAGGACCAATTTATACATTATGATCTTGCCACACCTATCAACCCGACTGGACACGTTAATAGTTTTACCAAAAAAATAAGCAATACTTTGTGAATGAACCTTAGGAATTATACAAGAAAAAGTAATTGTTACTTGGAGAAGTGCACTAAGGCTCAAAAGAACACTTTAGAAGCATGAATTAAATGTTATTCTAACCCATTTACCACTTGAAACACAAATGACAACGATTATTTGCAGTTACCTCTTCATCATTTAAAGTCAAATCTTCATCAACTCCTAGCTCAAGGTAGTCATCATCATCTTGGCTCATCTTTCTGTAAAATAATATCCCAGTAATATAATACAAACAATTAATTCTTTAGTGCAAAAACAGTTGTAATACTTACTCTCCTTCATTGCGACTGGATTTGATTGGCTTCTATATTTAAAAAGTAAAATACAGAATATCAGTAAAGTGAGCAGTTAACACACATTCAATATAACATTTTATGACAAATATACATACAAAATCATCACCATCATCCGCTAAAAGAGCATCTTCCTCAGCAAGATCCAATTCTTCAAAATTGGTTTCACTTAAATCACCATCCTCCAACAAATCATCACTAAATAAAAAGAAGAAAATAAAATTTTATCGTTTTGGAAAGTCATTTTATTACCACTAATCATCAAAGCAATGATAAATTAATTATAATATAAAAGAGAATTTGAGAAACTAACTTGGAATCAGCCATGTTGTAAACAATGCTAGTATCAAAGTAATAGTCTAGTGACCTCTTTGTATTAACTTCTAGCGTCGTAAAAGAAGTAACTATTTATAAACTTAAAGGTAAATTTCACTTCAGTCGATTTTCCTTATTAAAAAAACCATTATTACTATTTATGTTTATAAATGCAATAAATGATATAAAATCTAAATATTTTCATTAAATATGCATATACACTATCATTTCCATGCAGATATGACAAACAAATTTATCAGTAGAGCTGTTGAAATATATGTCTTGAACACACAATTTAAAAACCTCAAATCAAAATTCTTCCACCTTCCTGAAATTCTTTCCTTTGTATGCACACAACTACCAAGTCGTTGAAAATACCTTACTTTACAGAAAACTGTCAGAAAACATGTTAATGGTTTTGACACAAAGGATATTATGAATTATGCTGCAAATGTTGATATACGCACTGACTAAGGTACAGAATGATGTTTATTCTTAAGTAGAAACTTAAGTAGGCATTATTTTTACAATGTGGTACATGGTTTATTCTATTTAGTAGTAAATATAATATGGACAGAGGAGCTTATAATGCATCTGATTAAAATGGTGATAGCTCTTCGAGTAAGATATTTTCGGGCAAAATTCAACAGCCTTCAACGAATAGCTAACATCTTGTATATTGGTCAGTATATGCCTTAAAAAACCATTATACTGTGTATTCTCTGTTTATTGGTTTGAGTGGGTGTGTCAGAGAAAAGCCTAAGATGATAAAAATTGGTTTAGAGGGCAGGTAACCGAACCAAACAAGCTTTCCGACATCATTGCAACTAGAAGGAACAAAGCCAGCACACATTGCAAAGCTGAGGGAAAAGTAAGAATGTAACGTGCTACTTTATTTTTTTTTTTCTCCCTTCCTTGACTTATAGGCAATAAGGGTTGTAGCAGCAGTATGCGTATTCCACTGCTGGCAGTATAGGTCTATTAAAATTTGTTAACATTATTACTTATGAGGAGTAGACTTGTTTGTGAGCACAAGCCCACAAACCTCACTTTTTTTTCTTTTCTCCATTCTTCCACGTGAAGCCGGTCCTCGAAGCAGCTGCAGCAGCTTGTCTTAGCTTCCTTCTCTTCTTCCCAGATTAAAATGTGTATAGCCTACAGCATCTTTCCACCCGTATACGAACTCCCTATAATGTGGGTAATTCTCTCTGCTCATTAGCTGCAGGAACATGCTCTCTGTCAGTGTATATATCCCCGTCTCTCTCAGGAGCTTGGCTCATAGTGCCTCATAGGTAGTACATTAGACTACCATATGCTCGGCGGTCTCTGGAACGTTGTAGTTGGGGCATAGCGGATCAATATTCTTCCCGTGTTTAACGAGCTTCGCTCGGAAGCCCCCATGTCCCGTGAGGAGTTGAGACACCCAGTGATCCGGGAGGACCCATCTTGACCGTAGGGAAGTACTTTCTTAGAGTAGCTCCCTTCGGAGTTGCCATCCATCGCCGGTTCCATTGATCAATTGTGTCCTCCTTGATAATTCTTTTCCTTCTTCTTGGGTCTTCTACAATTCTCATCTTTAGATGTTCCGGTAGATCCGCCGAACCTTCTCTTTTCATTTTAAAGAGGTAATAGTCTTCTCGGATGAGGAGGAGATCGAGAGGTGTTCTCCCTGCCAGTACTTGCACTGCCTCATGAGATATCGTTCTATAGGCTCTAGTAACCCGAAGTAACGCCAATCTCTGAATCGATGCTACCCTACTCTTCTGTTGGTGGGAGAGGTTTAGGTTCTAGGCTGGGGACGCATATCTCAGAATACCCAAAACTACTCCTTTGTATATAGTCATTGTAGCTGGGTATCTGAGACCCCAGAAGGCGCCTCCGACACGACTGAGTCCATTTAGGACCACTGTGAGTCTAGTTCTCAAATAGTACAGGTGAGGAGTCACGTTGAACTTTCGACCAATTTTAAAGCCAAGGTAGGTGACAACCTCGCTTGGACGTATCCTTTCTTTATCTATGCTCAAAATAATATGATGTGCCCTGTCAGTCGTACACCTCAAGAGAATTGCATGGGTCTTTGTTGCAGCCATCTTTAAGTTCTTCCTCTCGCACCATCTTCCTACCAAACTGACGCATTGTTCAGCCTCTGCTTTCAGACCGGCTATGCTGTTTGAGACCACCACGGCGGCCAAATCGTCAACATAGGCCGTGACAGGGAACCGCTCCTCTTCGAGCTTCTCCAGCAACTCGTCAAAGATGAGCTTCCACAAGGCAGGACCCAAAACAGATCCCTGCGGGCAGTCCCTTTCGACGGTATCTTCTACTTCAAAGAATCTGTCTCTAATTATCAATGGTCCTGGAGGTAGCTTCTCACTAGTTCGTACAGGTTACTGGGAGTTTCATACTTCTGGAGTTACTGAAGAACGCTCGGCCACCACACGCTGTCAAATGCAGAGGATATGTCGAACATGAGAAGCATAACATACCTCTCCGCTCTTTCTTCTACGTCATGACGTACTCGCAATATGGCATCTGCAGTTCCCTTGCCTTTATTGGATCCATATTGTAACGTGCTACCCCAAAAATTACAACTTCAGTTAATCCTGAAATCACTTTGGACTTCTATTACATCGAAGTCACCATTGTATTGAGAATTAGAAGACCGAAGTCGCGAGGTCTTTTTATGATGATATATGGAGGCAAAGACGGGAGAAGCAGGTCTAGAATGATAGAATTAGGATTAGATGGGAGAAACCACATGCGCTGCCTCTTAAGAAATGTTGAGGGAGGGCAAATGCTATTATAACATTATTGAACAGTACTCAAGATTATTAAATATACCGATTATTGAATTTTTGTGTTATTGTTAAGTAAATTACTACAAAATATTGAAGAGACGGATAAATACACATACACTTTCATATTTATTATTTTACTGACGTTATTTTACATTTTGTAACTTTTAGTTCTGATGGTGATCCTCATGTTTGGTCGAAACGTTGGCTTACCCAATAAATATTATTAAGACTGAAATTACTGACAATTTTTTTTCATCCGAAAATATTGAAAATGTCTTCCCCGATCCTTCCAGCATTGCCGTAACCTGAAATGAACATTCCTTCTGGTGTTGCCAAGGATGAAGAATGTGGAAGCTAAAGGAATCTAGATCATGCTGAAACAAGCTGAGAGAAACCAGCCCTTAGACCTTGGGGAATCAAAAGATAGGGATTTGACGGGCTACCACAAACGTTGAGAGAATATGTTATAAATTTGAGTGCGGATAATATGGCAATCCATTGTGAAATAGTTAAGTTAAGAGCATCATTTTAATAAAACTTAAAGATTTTTATAAGTCCAACTCAGGGGTGGCCATCGCCCCCAAGATCGATGGAGCTTAAACACCCTCCCACTCCCTCTCAGAAATAGTATTAGTCTATTCTTCTTTAAAACAGTGCAAGCGAAAGTAGAATTAGAAAAAAAAAACCTATGGTTTGAAACTTTTCACTTCGTAAAATTCATAATTCCGTCGCAATGTGCCTCTCTGAAATGTTTAAAGTCCCGTCAAAATGTGCCCCTAAAAAATTTTGAAGGCACAACTTCAAACCCACTTTTGATTACGCCTGGTCCAACTAACGACATAATAGGGCTTTAATCTACAGATGATTATCCTTAATGGCATTGAATATGGGACTTTCCTTCATTTTAGAGATGGTTCAGAAATACTGAATCTGTTATTTTGAAATAGGTATGGTATAACAGAACATACCTCCGGATGTTCCGAATTTCAGAAATAACAGGTGCAACACATTTCCACTCGTACTGCGAACGGCCGCTAGGTAAGTATTTTATCCCAGCTTACTTGTTTATTCCAAAAATACTAGCTGATATCTAATACCTAGTATTTTGTCTAATCCTTGTGGTCTTCTCTATCTTATCCAGAAATACTGGCTAATACCTGAATCATGATTTCCACTAGTAGTGCGTACGGGCGCCACCAGGCCACTTTTTTTTCTCATCCAAATGGCTGTAATGGGTGAGAATCAGGATGTAGAGCTGTAGTTTTTTTAAACCAAGCTTGTTAAAGCTCGGGCAGTGCCGCAAGTAGTGAACAATTTAAATGGGGCGTCAAATTTGCAAAGCATTAAACTTAAAATCCAACTAAACCAATTATACAACCAATATTTAAAAAAAAAAACGATTCCTGTACCTGGTGCGCAGTGGTGAAAGAGCGGGAGAGAATCTGAACGGCGTAATGCTAGTAAAAGGGATATTATATATACACACTCTATATCTTCTTCTTCTATGACTCTACAATCCAGGAGGGGTCACGGCCGCCTGATACAAAGTCTGCGACTCATCTGAATTCTGTGCAGTGGCTCTCCTATCCTGAATCCCCAAAATGGTGGGTGCATCTTAGGTTAGCCCATCCACCCATCATAGCCTTGACCGCCAACGCTTTCTGGTGGTGATGATTTCTTCCAGAAACCTTTTTGGTGTTGGGTCAGCGTTCATTCTTGTCACATGCCAAACACACTACATTGTAATTCAGGAGTAGCTCCAACATCTCCACATTTGTCATGATCCACCAAGCTAGATCATTGACATTGAAAGTCGCTCCAAAAATTCTTCTTAGTATCTTTCTTTCAAATCGGAGTTGATTTTTCAGGGCCTTGGATAGAGTCCAGCTCTCTGATCCATATGTAAGCACTGGCCTAATCAGGGTTTTGTACAAACGCAATTTGGTTGTGCGAGACCATATTCATCAGTCGCACTAGCGCAAAACAACATTTGTTAGCTCTGATGATTCTTCATTGAATTTCCTTTTCTACATCATTATCATGGAACCAAGGTATATAATATAAATGTCTCTACTCCCGTAAATTTATATCCATTCAATTATACATGGGAAGAAAGCATCCCCTCTATTGTCTTCTGTATGAGTCACAAGCTTGGGTGCAACTTTATAGAGCTCGTCCCTTTTTACATTATCGTTTGTGGCCCCAGGTGATGGATTTGGATATGGCATTCTTGCGTTTGTTCTAGCATCAGCCTAAGGGAAAACATTTGGTCAGTGGTGCCCTTTCCTCAAATAAAATAAGCCTGGTTTGGATCACCTTCATTTTTACATGCCTATGATGAATTCCTGTGTCGGATGGGAAAGCTGTACTTTGTAATCAGAAGATGCGGTATTTACTTCTTCTTTAAATTTAGAAGAGATACATTGTTTCAGGAGGTTAGTTGGTCAAAAGTCTCTGGATTATTGGTCTGCCCCGAAAAAAAAATCTATAAGTACATACTTTTCAGTTTATATCTCTGATTCTTAAGAAGGTTGAAAAATTGTTGTCTCATAAAAATATATCTAATGCGTAAAAACATTTAAAAAATATTACATAAATTACATCAAATTAGAGAAAAAATTTGTGTTGTATTTTTTTTTTAAATATTTGTTATTGAAAATGACATTTTAATATTATTATTTCAATATCATGTTTTTTTCCAGCAGTTTGAGAGCGAGGTGGTACCAAATATTTGTAGCCAATAATAAGAGGCCTAGATTTACCCAATAAGTTTAATAAAAATGTAGGAGACATATCTGCAGTTAGTTAATTGTCTCTAAAGGTAATTCATATATGGAATAAAAACACAAATCAGTAAACAAATACAAATTTATTCAAGGAATTGAACAAGTTTTCAATAATAATGATGATAAAATAAAAATAATATATTCTATAATACTTCAGTATATACATATACTAACTAATTATACAATACATACTCTTGATACATATATTGATACAACATAAATTGATAAAACTTGTTTAAAAAACAAATTTCATTATACAAGAATAAATAAATTAGTCAGTACATCCATTTTAATAAATTTAATTTTTAAAGAAAATTGAATCACAATTTACAATGTATTTCATTCAGTTCATAATACATTGATACATTTTATCCAGAAAATATTTTTAAAATTTCCTAAATTATTTACTTTCCATTATATAATAGATAACAATTTAAAAAAAAAAAAAAAAGAAAGAAAACTATATATAGAGTTAACAATCAATTGAATTGAAATATGCAATAAAGAAAACTAAATTGTTTGTGAAATTGTGTTTTGTAACTATTAATTTTTATTTTGTAACTAAAGCCCAAGATTTGATCTATATCAAGAAGTGATAAAGAAGAATGCCATGCCTTAGGTTTTTATCAAAAATGAAAATTCTTGAAAATATTACTGATGTATCCTATAAAATACAAATTCACAAACATGATGCTAGTATTTTATTGCATGTTTGAAGTCAATTAGCAGTCTTTTAAAAAATATTCACAATATATCTTTAATAAAAATTCAAATACAAAAATTATTCCCGACATTTTACAAGCCAAATTGAAGTCCTTCGCAAACCTACAGTTGGCCTTGATATTGTGGAAAAATATTCTTTGTTTACCCTTAGAAGATTATAATTTGTTTCTAAATCACGAGCCTCTTGATTACCAATTTGACGAAAAGCATTCAAGCTCCTTAGACTGCTAAACTTTTCCATAGTATTCCTATAAAAACAAAACAAAATTAATTTAGTGGATAACAATTAAAAACTAAATAAAATAATCAAACAGCCTACTGGAAGTTATATTCAATAAGTTGCTCTGTTTACTAAGCCAGAATAGATTGTTAACCTATTCCTTATAGCAAGGCAAGATCACTGGTGGTGGGTGGGGCCCTCCTGACTCTAACTCACCAAGAGTGAGTTTTTACTCTCCTCAGTAGTCATTCAGAGAAAACTTCCTTGATTTGAGAACCAAGAACTGATGGGTGTTTTATATAATAGCTTTCAAATTTGAGAAGTTATAAATTCATTAAGTTTAGGTAAGCGAACCACATTTTCCATTGTAATAACTAATTAATATACATAATTCAATATTAATACATAATTCTTTGAAATATAAGTAAGTTTTTAAGTAATTATTCATAATAATAAAATAAAATAGGAGATTTGTTGGTCCATGGCTCTTATTGTGATTTTATATGAATCGTGGAACGAATATAAATGAATTCATGGAAAATATAAATGGATCCATTAATTTAATTTGGTTTTATGTTTTCGTACTTCTATTGTTAACTAAAAAGGAAGGTTTATGTTAGAAGCAATTACAGTTAGATAAAAGTGCTTCGTTTATTACATAGTGTGCTACCGACGAACAAAGCAGTGTCTTTTGTCCAAAATGTAAAGGCACAGTTTTATAGCAGATGCTTTAATCATACCGATAAGGATGTTCAAGCCTAAAAATTGTATTAAAAAATCATGGATAGTTACGAAATATGATCAGGCTAAAAAGAATAGAGAAAATGAAAAAAGGTAACAACATTTAACCATCAAGCCACCACATTCTGGAATATTGGTGGCAATAAATTACCTCAACATTCATGTCAATGAGGATATCAAAAATATAAAATCAGTGCTGGGTTTAGAATTGAATGAAAGATTATCAAAAACAGAAAAGCACCTAGAGGGCCAATCAAAACATTTGGAAGAGATTATGATAGAAAATTAAGCACTCAAATATAGAGTGGGTGATAGCTAATAATTACAATTAAGTATAAATAGCCACAATTTATTTAGATATCCCATAGGTCGTGAATATAAGAAAGATATTGAAGTTATCACTAAATACACACACCCACATACGTACATTCAACTTAATTTTCAAATTGTTGCTTAAATAATTAAATATTAGTTAATTCTAGCACTAGATTAATAAATATCGCACAAAAACCGTTTGGAGGCCACATAAGGCCTCCGAGGCTGTGATTTTCCCATCTATGCCCAATACTATACTATTTCATATGTGTTGAATAAAAGTTATCTGATTTTATATTAAATTTCAACCCGTCATGAATTATTTAATCACAAATATATGAACTTTTATTCAAAGATCTTTACATCAATTATATTACACATAATTATAACCTTATACATTAAAAAATGAAAAATATAATAAATGTTACTTACAACAAAACTTTTGGATCTATTTTATAACATCGGCTAATAGAAAGTGACTTAATATTCGGGAGATGATCAGCAATCATTGAAAGACTAGATGAAGTAATTTCAAGGCAGTCGGAAATATCCAATTCCTTAATGTTTGGGCATCTTTTCGTTAAAGTAGCCAGTTCTAAGAAAAAAGAAAAGTTTATTACACACATATATATATATATATATATATATATATAAAATTGCTTATATAACAAATATGCACTCTAATAATTTTAGACATGTATAATAGAGCAAATAAAAAATGTCCACGTATAGAAAGCCAATAAAAATAACTTTATGTGTACCTTGAAAATATTAACATTATTATAATATATATAGGGTGTAATTTAAATGCTGTCCAAAACCTAAGAAGATGATAGTATATCTTATGGATCCAATAACTTCAACACTGGTCTGTACATCAGATAAGGTATATTTGATTTTTTGCTTAGTTGTTTTTAATGTTAACCCAATGAATAATCCAATTTTTCCCCTTCCAGGACTGAACGCAACATTTAAAAAAAAACTTTCTTGAAATTTTTTTTTTCTTATTTTCATATTCGATAGGCGATTTCATATGTGGTTTTTGCAGCAGAGGTCATGAGGGTGTCCAATTTCCAGAAATATATTAGCTGCAAAGTCTAGGTTTTTCTTTAACAATTTTTCAAAGAATGACAAAGCAGGTATGGAATACATTTTTTATTTCACTAAAAATTGCCTTAACACTCATTTTATTTTTTATTATAGACAAATCATAGATTACTTCCTTGGAGTGGGCGAATGGAAACAAAGTCGACTACCGAAGCGTGGTACATTTAAGGAATTTGTGAGATCAGTTCTTTTTGTTACATTATTAAAGCCTCATTATAACATTTCATATCCATAAAGTCATTCCTATTATGGGTTTTATAAAAGAAAATGAGACGCATGAAAGAGAATATTAATACCATATTGCATAAGCACATTGTTCTTCCATAAAAATTGTGTTTTTAAAACGGGGAGCTTCTTAAATTTGAAGGGGTCTAAAATTTAATTTGTACAAATTAATAATAATCATTTTTAAAATAATAATAAATCAATTCCCACAGTACAATTTAAATCTAAACTTTAATAAAACATGTTTTTAACAGCGAAACTGTTACATACATAAGTAACTATCACTTCCTGAAATAAATTTAAAATATATATTTACTACCTAATTCATGGTCTCTAAATGACATCACTTCAAGATGTTTCATTACCTCATGTATAATTAAAATGGGCAACAGATTAAATATACTGTAATGATGTTTATTATTTTTCAAGTCTTCACATTAAAAAAATACGTTGAAGTTAAAAATATTGTGGAGGAGAGGATGTATTGTCTATCGGTTTCGGAACGCTCTAGAGAGAACATGTTCACAGTCGTCATGATAGTATAGACCATAGAAGAAGACCATCTTCAAGTGAAAGAACATAAGGAGTATCAAGATTACAAAGCATTATAAATGAAATCAAAGCTATCAGAGTACAGTACCAAGAAACAATATTAATATTAATTTATTTTTTATTTTAATTCACTGATAAAATTTATTCTCAGATTAAATAAAATATTTAGTGTATCAGTGTCATTTATTAGATCCTTAAGAATTTGCAGCCAATGAACCATTTCAGTCCTCAGTGTCCATAAAATTTATAATAACATATTATAGAAGTCATTATTTTTTATTTTATTTAACTTTTCATATCACAATATATATAAAATTCCTAATACATACACAAAAATAGCTGAAGCTTTTTTTTTTTTTCTTTTGATACTTTAAGTTTTATTTTTTCTTTGAGCCCTTTTGACCATGCAATGTCTTGTCAGTCCAATATACTTCAACCCTCAGTCTTTGATTTGGTTTTAATGTCCCAAAATCCAGAGCAGGTGGAGTGGACCAGGGCAGCATAGAATCTGGTCGACACAATGGGCATGTTGCTCATATGACAACTCTTAAACAATGGAGATGTGTCTGGAGATAGTCATGTCTAATTTTCATTCTAAACTATGGGACTGACTGTCTCACATTTTTTGGGAGATCTAGTGCTATTGTCCTTTTTTGCCAAGTATGAAGTCCAACGTTAATCCTTTAACCTCTATCAACTATTTCTGTTCTACATTACCCATGAATGAATGATGATGCTTTGATCAACTTCTTTTTCATCAAAAAAGGTATTGGTTGGTCTTTTTTTTTTTTTGTAGATTGATGAAATGATATGAAAATAATTTTATTATTCTGGGATTAATGTTCCTTTAGAACAAATTATAAATGTAGAATATAAAACAACATGTCAGTGTGTCCATAACTTAAATTAAATATTTACAAAATGATAGGTAATATAAGGTAAAAATACAGTTAATAAAAAGATAAAAAAAGAACAAAAAAACAAAAAAAAAAAAGAAAAAAAAAAAAAAAACAATAACATACATATAAAATAAACTGAGAAAGATCAAATAAAATAAATAAGCAAAATAGTATCTAGGGGTACATAAAGACTCTTACATGCATCTCATGATAAATCAGATTGGGAATAGAATAGATGCTTAAAGAGGAGAGATTTGAAAGAGAGAACTGAATTTGCATGTCTAATATCGATTGGAATAGAATTTCAGGAAGATGGCTTGGATTCGTCAGCTGTTCAGTAAGAAGGATAAAGGTCGGATAGATGGGATCTGGTGGGACGGGATTGAATAGAGGATTTCCATTGTAGGCTATGTAGAATATAGATACAATAGCCTGGTATAGAAAGATAGCAAGGAAGTGCTGACAGCAGTAGGATGGATAGAGCCTTGATCACTCTCTTCAAGCCTAATGACCTACAGTTTGAAGGGACGCACTGTAAAATGACAAATTTTTAATAAAAAACGATAATTGTTCTTAGGGGATGATCTATTTAATTCTTCCATTGAACCTCAGAACAAATGCAGTTAATAAAAATTTCTCTAAGATGAATAAACCTTATATATATATTTCATGACCTACCTATTTTATCAACTGACACTATTACACAAGAAAAAAAAAAAATGGTTCACAACAATTTTTGTAACAACAAAAAGAAATTAAGAAAGATGATTTTAACACTTGTAGTTGAATCAATCTAGAGGTGCATTAAAAAAATAAAAATATAATATAAAAGAATAACAATAATTCAATATTGAAATTGTGGCGATTATTTAGTCTTTTACACATAGAAACTATCAGTCCAATACTAACATCAACACTGGTAATGAGATTAATAACAAATTCTTTAGATCATTCTCTGAATTTAAACTATTCAATGCTAAAATAGAACTGAATATATTTAAAAATATAAAGAACTGAAAAAATGTTGATGGTACTTACGATCATCATTTAAGGAGTATTGAAGTCCACTTAAATTCAAACTTGAAATTTCACTTGTGATAGAATCAACAAACATATTCACTGCTTCTTTACTCAATTTAGTCCATGCTACATTGATTGATTCCAGCCTTGAACAATAAGTAATAAAAATAAATACAAGAAAAAACATTAGGAAGCAGTATTGGTTATCTAGACTAGCTGCAAAATTTATGAAATACAATATTTACATACTGATACTTTTGACATTTCAAAAGTAACAGATTAAATTTATATCTCAATCAAGCCAGGAGGGGAGGGGGGAGTGTTTAAAATTCTGGTTGAGTTAGGAATACTTGCATATCTGTGGGTTCATTAAATGTAAAAAAAAACAGCTGAGGTTAAAGAATGGAAAAGGTGTGGTAGGGAATAAATAAAATAAAATATAAAAAATGATGATACAATGTTACTTATTAAGGTAGCAAAGTTAGGGAAAAGCAATATTTATCTCAGCACATCAATAGAAGTGGGCGGGGTGGCCGAATGGGCTAAAGCGTGTGCACTGCACCGCCGTTGCCTGGCAACCTGACTTATGAATCAAAGATATAAAAATAGTCACGAGTTCGCGTCCCGGTGCCGGGGGAGTCTTTTAAATCCCCGCCCACACCCCCTGGCCCGTGAAAATCCCGTATAGCCTTTACGGCGAGGAAGGGAAGGACCCAAATAAAAATAAAAAAAAAAAGCACATCAATAGAAAAAACTGACTAATAAGATTGGAACATAAGGCGAATTAGAACTTTCATAGTAGAATACTAAGATACATACACACCTTGATTTTAAGGTATTTTAATTGTCATGAGAACAAAAGTATGAGTAATATGGTACATGTGAACAACAATAAAAAATCCTATTATTTTACACGGGATAGTAATCATATTGGATAAATAGTTATAGAAAATGCAACATTTTGTATAAATGAACCAGGTTGAGTCCAAAACATCTATTTAAATAAATAAAAGGTATGAAGTTTGAAGTGTGGTCTTTCTTCCTGAAATTTCACAATTCAATATTCTTCATCTTGTAATGCATTTAAGTTGATTACATTATAATATGAATGTATCAGACAATAATAAGGAGCTTAAATTTGAAACAGCCAACAAAACATTGCTGAGAATATTAGATTTTGTGCTGGAGCATTCCAAACTTCCTCTGTTAATAGCATCTATGGCGTCTGAATGTGGAGAACCATTCCTCAACAGTTTGAGAGAATATTCATTTCTTTAATATATTTGTACCATAACATAATAAGGGGTTTACTGTATTGCCAGAAGCCCTTTTCTTGAATGATAAAGTAGTTCTTTTAAATATTTTGTGAGGAGATAATAAATTTCATTTTTTCTTGTCAATAATTATTTTAATTAAACGGACAACACTTAAGGACATGAAATAAAAAAAAGAGGATAGTATCTTGCTTAATTCATATAGAATTCACTAGAGATGGAAATAACATTCTTTTAAATAAATCGATTCTCAATGATTCATTGAGATGAATCGATTCTTCGATTGATCCTTTTCATCTTCTTTTTCTTTAAATTAAAAAAGAACTTTTTATTGAAATAAAACCAAAACAGTAACAAACATTCTCAAACTTTATTATGCTATTTCTTTCCAGTTATTTGTACACAACTCTATTGAAGCTTTGTTCAACTTGTCAATTCTTGATTCCAACTGTATCAGAAAGTGATAGATTATGAATCAGGAATCGACTGATTCCAACTGAATCGGCCAATTCCGGCTGAATATGTCGATTCACTGGGTTAGTTCCAGGAAATTTTCCAGTCTTATTGCATAGTTCACCGAGTTGTTTTGTTTATTTTCGGAATCTACTGTTCCACGAGCATTTCGTACTTAAGAAATTTATAACCTATGCTTATTTACATTGCTATTTTGTTTGTTTTCCATCTGTTTGTGTTATTTATATAGCTATTCAGTTTTTGTCCTGTCTTGTGCTTTTTTATAATTACCAGTTATTATGTGAATATTTAATTTAACATTTCACATATTCATAACTCCTCCTTTTTCATATAACTGTTTTGTTTATTTATTTACTTATGTTTCTCTCTCTTTATATGAATACAGAGTTGTTTCTTCTCTCTTGTACTTTTATTTTTAATAATATCTGTTGAATCGATCGATTCCAAGTGAATCGTGATTCTTCCGTGTGAATTACTTCAGAGTACTTTCAAAGAAATCGACTCTTATTTAAATGAAATGAAAAAATAATTTTATTCTGGGACTACTGTCCCCTAAGAATAATAACAGAGTTACAAATTTATGTATCTTAGTCTGACATAGTAAAAATACCAACTAATTTATTGTTAATTGTTATTTCAATTGTGCAATGGATTGAAATTAAGCATTGTATAGATGCAAGTAATTTTACATGTTAGGGGAAGTTTGAATGTGGAGTAGGTGTTGGAACAGGAGTTGTTTGAAGGAATTTGTGGACGAGGATTGACGCATGGAGGTAGGAAGTGAGTTCCATAAGGAAGCAGCACGAATGACGAAGGATTTGCTGAAGGAGGAAGTTTTATGGGAGGGAATATATAAGTCTATAGGTTGAGACCTAGTATTGAGAGAGTGGATAGAGGAGCGCAGAGAAAGGAGTTCCTTACTCCTTGTATTTACTTGCTCGTTTCTAGTATTCACTGCCTTATTAAAGGATTTAACTTTTGTTGATCAATAAAGTCACTAGCACCATTAAAATATGTATAACCTGAAAGAAGTTTAACCCTTTACATAGTAAATGCTTTCTAACATTTATAATAAACCAAATATCTCATCAATAATGGATGATTTGACAAAATACCAACAGACAGCCTTCACTAATAATATACTAAGAATAAGCCAAAGAAAATTATTTGATACTATAAAAAAAAAAAAAACAATATGAAAACATATATATTTAAATAATTACCTTTTACAGCTGGCACAAATAAGCTCAAGACCTTTTAGATCTAATCCCTCAACCATTGCAAGGTTTAAAGTATTAAGATCACGGTTTTTCGCTATTTCAGAACAAACCTCCACTGATAACTCGCAGCTTTCTAAACTAAGTTTTTTCAAATTTTCACATTTTGACAAAAAAATTGTCAAATCTGAAAATCATTAGATAATAATTTAGAAATATTGGTTATGTAGACATACATAGCAGAAAAACTGATATTATTAAATTATACTATATTGTTATGAAAATATTAAGATAATAATTATAAATCACTATTTTTTTTTCCAAAATTAAATAAATTAAAAATTTAAAGTAGCTATGGTATCAGAGAAATTAACTAATAAGAGGCTTAGTGAACGCAAAGGTTTGATGACAATACCATAAATCACTGGCACACTTCCCTTCACCGGCCACTGTTCTAACACAGTTCCTGAAAATCACTTTAATGCAATCTTCCCACCTTCCCTTCGGTCTACTTCTCGGATATTTATCAGATAACAGAGCACATATTTACTTTCAAGGATTCTTTTATTACTGAGCTCAACAATTTTATTTGCTGTAATGTAATAACATCAATTAAATTAACTGGATACAGTTCACACAAATCGGCATTGTGTAACCATCTAAGGTCTCAGGTTGATTCATTCTTTTTTAGCCCGAATATTTTACATAATAATTTATTACTGTGCATTAACCGAGCCATCTTTCATACAGAGTAATGAGAAGGCTGCTATCTCATAAATACTATTGGCCAGCCATGAACAAGGATGTAACTGAATGGTCAAGATGTTACATTGAATATTAAAAATCTGAAGTAGGTAGGCATACCATTACACAACCTGAGAAATTTTATTATTCTGGCCAATTTAATCAAGTCCATTTAAATATAATTGGAATTTGATGCTGTCTCAGTTTGAGATAAAAGAGATACAGTGTAAACCTCATTAAGAGACTAACTTTATGGCCGAAAGCCATTCCAATGGAGAAGATAACAGCAGAAACAACTACAACTTATTTTTACAAGAGATGGATAGCAAGATTTTGTGTGGCTTCTCTACTAATAATAGATCAAGAGAGACAATTTGAAAAAATATCTCATTCATTCTCTTACTAAATTCCTAGGAATCAGGGGAGTTGACATTTCACTATCTGCAAGGTAAGGCAACAATGTAGCAAAAGCTGTATAAAACTTGCCAGGTGTGTTTCTGTCTCTCACACCTGGTGTCTATAGTTATATGGAGACAGTACAGGAGCTGGAATAATTCATGGATGACCTGTGTCCTAGTGTTCAAGTTTAGTAATAAAAATATTTTGGTACTAGTTCACAAGAGTTCCGCACGGATTACGCATGGTTCACAATCACTTCGATCACACTTGTTCCTGGAATCCCGAATGCGTTCATGTTTCTCCGAAAGAGAACGAAGGCGACCGATCTCTTGGGCCAATTACTATTAACTTTCCCGCCATTTAAGTACTTTAACCTTAACCACGTTCAGTTATATAGCAGGAGCAGATTTACATTCGAAATTTAGGCTACACATCATGAAACCTGAATTGAGCTTGTACATATATTATAGATCTGTAAAAAAGAAATAGTAATACATAAAAATCTTTAATTATTACATCTTTGGCTGCTATTTCACGATATTATTTATCTTATAGATGATTTCCAATATTCATTATCTTGGAATTATTACATATTCTTCGTCAGTTGTCTCCCAAATACGTTAATTCCTTTTTTGAAAAATAAATACTTTTTTTTTGTAGCATAGCCTACAATAATCCCTTTTTTTGGATTACCAAGAAAAATAACTGTGAATAACAATAATTACACATCATAATTACAAATCAGACAGTATATGCATACAAAGCGCCCCCCTCCACTTGAAAATAGCCCCTCGTATTATTAGAAATACATAAACTAGATAGACGATTGCGCAATTCTAAAAAAGGCTTGCTAAAATAAATTATAAATTCAATTATTCCAACTTCTATTAAAAAACCTCGAATAACAAAAAAAAAGATAATAGATAACTTAAAATTATTTATTATCCAAATGATAAAAAAATCTTTTATACACAGCTATAAAAGATAATATACAGTATATGCGTATTTACAGTCACTACATGTAAGCACGTGTCAATAAAAATGTTATTACTAAAAGCCTTTTTTTTTTAATATGGCTTGAAGAAAATACTCAAACATTATTTTATCTTTCTTTTTCTTTCAAAGTAATAACTGTTATAATAAAAATTAATAATTAACTAATTAGTAAATACACAATTTTTTAATAAGGAAGTTCCATAAAGGGAATACGTTGTATTTTTTTCAAAAATGCATGAAAAGGGATTGTATTATGGGGCAATAGCTGACGTCATAAAAGACGACAACATTCGGCTGTTTTCGGGATTCCATGAACAAGTGTGATCGAAGTGATTGTGAACCACGCGTAATCCGTGCAGAACTCTTGTGAACTAGTACCGATATTTTTGTTCATATGCCCTTGGACAGATACATATGTTTGTAAGGTACAGTCGTATAAAACAAAACTTATAGATTGTAAAGTGGTGCCACTCTACCATCTCCAGTGGCCCAAGATTGCTTATTGGAGGTATAAATGGGAGCCCGGGAATAGCGGAGAATTGAAGTGTCCACAGTATAGTCACTCTTTAATTAGATTGCAATTTAAAATTTTGGCAAACTACTGATCCTATTCAGTTAAAATCAGGGCATGATTACATCACTGCTCTTTGAACATAAGGACCCCAATCGTTGTTTTTCATTAGAGGTAAAGGCCTTACCAGACAGTTCAGTTACTGCTGTCTATTTTCGAACCCACTCAGTCATTCTTGGTTTTCCATTTATGGAGTGATCATGAGATCTTTTGCCACCAATGAAAGTGCAGTGACATTTGTACAGTATTCAAAGTATCTACTAATTAAATATTTATTACCTATCTGACATAACATAATAATATAAATGGATAAAAAATTCATAAATATAATTTAAAGTTACCTTCAGTAGATATTAGGCAATAACTCATATCTAAATATTCAATTTTAGAAGAAAAATCTGACATTCTGAGACCTAATTGTTTAGACCAGACAGGAGAATGTACCTAAAATGGAAACGAAACCCTATATAATTAAGGTAATAAACAATAAATCACTAGTGACATACAAAGTTATAATTTTATCACCTTCGCCTCTTTTAATCTGAGGATTTTGACACCTCTTTTCATAATGTAGGCTAGAGAATTGCTACTAAGAGATTTTGAAGCAAGATCTATTCGAGGCCACAGACTTTCATCGTAAGCTAATCTTCTGAATCTCCGACTAACTTGTGCAGTAACTTTGAGATCTTCATGTGAAAAGTAATTAAAAACCCCTAACACCATTTCATCAGATAAAGTAGAAAAGACATCTAAATAAGAAAAAGTAGTATAAGTTAATGTATAGAAAACACTTCCCTTAATACATATTTCACAACATATAATGTAAACCTTTAGAAATATTGAGGGCCTTGAGTTTCTGTCTATATATAAACTGCTCAGATTTAATTAATTTACATTTTTGAGATTCTTCATACTCCCTTGCTTCACATGCAGCTAAATCATTGTAAATAAAATCCTGTAAAATAATATAGAATATTAGGTCAACAACTTTAACATATCTGAGAAGGAAATTTTCATTTGTAATCTTTAGATACCTCATTTTTTCCACTTCTCTCTCTTTTTTTACGTTCAGGTAACAGTCCTATCTTTTCTGGCAAAACATCCACTCCTAAATCTTTCATTTCATCAAAACTTAGGGCATGATCTACACTCCAACTGTTATTGTTGTCAGATTTTTTTAATTCATCCCTAAAAATGAAAACACAATACTATTTGTTAAAGAAGGAAATAATAGCAGAATTATTCCACAAATATTCAAACAAAAAGTTTGATAGACACATGTAAAATTCTCTATTATTGTTCATTTTAGATTGTTGAAAAATCAACTATTTAAATAAATACAATAACAAATAAGCACCACTACAATAAATAAAATTTTAATTCTTACATTTTATCTTTATCTACTTCATAATAAACTTCTTGCAGAAACTTCTCCATCAAAAAACTAAATTTAAAGACATAATCTTCTTTCCCGGCTTTGATTATATTCTCATTGCGCGGTAATCCAAATCATCAACACAACAGCCTTTACGATTAGGGATATTTTGTAATCCTTGTAATCTTTTAAATTGTTTTTAATATTTCTATAGTCGAATGAATTTCTGAACTCAATATTTTTAATCCAATTAGTAATTATGGTATATTTTCAAAATTTTATCATATACATGGTTTTATTAGATTTTCAAAAAATATGAAAAAAATATTTGAGATAAATGTGAACTTATAAGATATTAACATTGTTTAATTATTTTATTTGGGAATTGTTTAAATCAAGGAAGATTCAAAAATAAACTTTTATATAAAATCTCAATGGCTTATGTACAGGCTGATAATGACAGAAATCATATTGGAACTCTTGGTTAAGCTTGCTTTGTTGTGGAGGTAACTGAAGAAGTGATCCTGGGCAGTCGTTATGGCCTTTTTAAATTCAAACATTTGCTTAATAATTTAGTGCCTCAGCATTTATCCAGTAGGTTAGGTTTAATATAAGTTTTTGTAAAAATGTCCGTATTCAGTACACCTAGTCATCTCAAAAAGAACTAATTGCCAAATTTATAATTTTCTTTTGTTCAATTCCTTATTTGTTTGAGATTACTTTAGCTGTTATTGGTGTTCCTTTAATTATTACATAGCTCTCTTGTTGGTAAATGTAAAGTTAGATTTACCTTCCTAGATTAAAAGAACTTTATTTATTTAGATTCTGTGGAAAATGATTGGTCTGTGTTATTTTTGCTAATATAGTGATTCCTTATGAGCTACCAAAGATTTGTATTTAAAAATGATAGGAAGTTATGAAGCTAGTTACCAACAGTTTGGAGATGACTCTGAAGATACTCCTCCCCAGGAGAGTGGAGTCTTAATTCATGTTGTTCCTGAGTTAGGCAAAGGTAATTGAGAAATTAAATAATTACAAGTCTGACACTGTTTCACTTTAAGGTATATAGTTTGCATAATTTTTATTCAACTCAATTGTATGTATCAATATATTATAAGTTTGATTAAAATATTTTAAACTGGTATTTTGATCATTTTATCACCTTAAAACTGTAATATCTTAGTGATTAGTTTTTACAAATTAGTATTATTACTATATTTTTTCAGTTGAATATAGAGAGTTATTAGCATAGTTATTGTTTCATACTTTAATTCTTGATTAGTGTTACATTTTTCTACATCATTAAAATAAGTTAAAAAATTATCTTTGTTTGCTGGTTCACATTTTGGAATCATTATATCTGATTTGGTTTAAATTAATTGAAGCTGCTTTGGGTAGATATATAAAATATATCTTAAATAATATTAAATATGATTTAATAGTTTTAAATGCTATTTAATACTGTATTAATAATATTTACCTTTATTTTTCTTAGTTTTGCATTTACCATTTAATTATTTCCTTAAATTGATTGTATATTGCTGTTATTGTTCAGTTTATTTTCTCAAAATATTCTTAGTGGAACGTGTGTATCTTGTTGTCTAAGGGCAAGTTCCTAAACTCAGTGCTGAGATCATAAATGAACATCGGAAATCAATCAATGGATTAGTGCTAGTTAAGGAACTGGTCAAAATATAACATATAAATAAAATAGAAAGTAAATACAATAGTTCATGGAAAACTGTTAAATTACTTGAGAAGTAATTCATTAATGATATCAAAACCAAAATTAAACTAAAGGTTATGACTTATAAAGAATTAAATAAAAATATAATAACTGGTTAAATTATTTAACTAAACGATATTTTGAATTCAGAATGTCAATCATTTTGTGATTTGCCTTTATCGTTGGCCAGATGTTTTTCTTATGTTCCTATAATATATATCTATATATATATATATATATATATATATATATATATATATATATATATATATATATATCTTTTTTTTAATTTGTTATATATTTTTAGCAGAGAAATGGGCTCATATGGTAGATTTAGATGCCTTTTTTACACGGGTGTACCAATATCATCAACGACATGGTTTCCATTGCATGGCTACACAGGAAGTTCTAGAAGTTTTTCAATTTGTGTTTGTTGTTGTTTTCTCTATTGGCCTTATAAAATGTGTTGATTATTCTATCCTCTTCAGGTAAACTTTTTAATTAAATTTAGACAATATTTACTTTTTCAAATATTTATTCTACATATTTATCATTTTTTATTACTTTAAATGTGATATATCTTATTAATAAATATAATAGTCTTATTTTGAATATCTGTTATTAAACACTTTTTCAATGTTTCAATTCAAGAACCGACAATCCTTTATTCCTTATTCACTATTAAAATTGTAAATCAAAGATATTGAGGCAATATTAAAGTAAAAAAAATTACTGTGATTGAGTACTTCCCAAAAATATCATGACCAATCCCATAACTTTCTGACCACTGCAAATGATTCAAATAATTTTCTAAACTTTATGAGTTAGGCTTACAAAGAACTGTTATGATAATGTAATTGGGCACTTTCTTGAATTTTCAATTTTTATTCAGAGGTGGGGATAAGCTTATAAAAAAAAATTGTAAATTGAATTTTCCTGATGCATTTTTGCTAAGGTATTAAGTGTTGAATAAAAGTGGTCGGGACAGACCTCCATTATGAGAGTGGTGTTTCGGCTGCATCATGCATGCCAACACCTAGCTCATACCGTTATGTGTCTTATATCTATTAGCTTAAAATAATGTTACTAGTTTTACAACTTACAAGAAATGTCTTACCGTTTTTTCTTTAATAAGAAATATTTAGTTTGAATATATTTTATTAACTTTTATAAAGGTGTCTTAGTGATATAATTTGATAGCATCTTGTTTGGCAGACACACCACATTTATTTCAAGCCATGCCCTTATCCCTACCATACCCCCAAGACACATGATTATTTAAAGTTTTACCTAAATCTGAACCCTTTTTTGTTATTTAAAAAATGTGATTTCAATATTATACACATTCTTCATCATTTGAATTCTGTTGCAGTATAAATTTATGTGATTTTTTCCATGCAAGAACCCAAATGATTAATTTAGTCAATATTAGTTTATTATATCTGAAATATATTCAAAGAAAGGTTTACTGTACAAGATACGGTTTTATACTTGAACAAGAGGTTTATTAATTAATTTTCTTTACAGAAGTTTTTAAAATGTTACAGTTACCCCATGACATTGTTGAGGCCTACAATCGTTTTTTTGTGATGTCTATATTTATATATTTAAGCTCTAGAATTAATAAAAATTCAATAATTTCAGTAATGGAAATTTAAAAATTAATAAAATTAAGTTGAATTTATGTATATGGATGTTTTTTTTTTTAAATGCCGTATGGTCAAGTCAAAGATGTGTTAATTTTATTTTTTATTTTCACCTCTCAGATTGCTTGAGTAACATTTACATCCTGTAAAAAAAAAAAATCAAGAAATGTAAAGGATTTTACTTATTTAAAAATTTTCTAATAGTCTTGCAAGTAACAAGTAGAAATAAATTTCTTTTTTTAAGTTCCCCTAAAGCAGGAAGTAAAGGGGATGACCAGCTAAGAGACTGGCGACAGAGCTAGTCATCTAAGAAAACTAATCAAAGAGAACAAAATGAGTTGTCACAGCAGACCTAGTTACTTAGGAATATGCAGGGTGGTTATAAATTCCTGGAAAAGTCAGGAAATATGAAAAACAAACTGAAAGTCAAGGAATTAGCGCTTTTAATTGAGATTTATTATTGTTCAAAATAAGTAATATCATAGTGAAATATATAAAAGTATACCTACGTATGATCCTTATTATATGTATTATAATATGTTTATAAATTTTTCATGTCAATACTTTCATTTTTTTTCCATAGTTATTTTTTTATTCTAATTATATTTTAAAACTATATTTTAAGGAACCTTTTATGTGCCAATAAAGGAAATTTTTATTTTTATCATACAAAAAAAGGTTGTTTTGGATTTGGTAAATAAGTTTAAAAATCAGTCACACCATTATATATTTCAGGCAGTTATAATTATATAAAAAAGTTTTTAGCGACTGTATAATATTTTATTTTATATATAAAAAAAAGCGGAATGTAAGGAAGACACCATACTTTTTATTTCTGCCTTATGGTTATAAATTGACAATAAGGTGCATGTATAATATAGATTTTTAAATATATTAAAAAAATTTCTCTGAACTGTGGTTTTGTTTTGTTTATTTTATGTTGATAAAAAATAATGCAATCTGAACTACAGAATGCATGTAAATTATAGTTATACAATTTGACCAACGAGTAGTACAATTAAATTAACAGTTGTATAATTTGTAAAATGGGAGTTGGTCTGCCGTTAAATGGACAGTGGGCACTAAAAACTAAATTTAACAATTTATTGATTATTTTTTTCAGTGAGCCAAAGTCAGTTGTTCCAAAATATAATTAGTTCTTGAAAATATGATATAAGTATTTTTCATGAAGAATTGACAAAATTGGAATCACTAATCAGTATATTAACTAAGTACACTATTAACTCTCTTATCGACCACCAACTTACGACTAACTAACTGATCTGAACTTATGAACCGTAGACAAATGTCTCACTCATTCAACTCTCTAACTATTGATCGTCAGTCTGGCGACATTTTGTATAGTGTGTCGAAGGCTTAAGGGAAGCCTTGCCCATTCACTTAAATCTTATTGGTCGAAACCTTTCCTTTTCTATTAAATAATGTGGTGGTTCATTTAAATCTAGATCTGTAAACCCTTTGCTAATTATATGATACACAAGAAAATTCTTGAAAACCTGAAAAAGTTTTGAAAATTTGTAAAAACAATTTGGTGAAGATCCTGAACATGTAACTAGGTAGTGGTTTGCGCTCTCTCTTTGATTTGTTTTTTGAGATGATTCATCTTGTCGCCAGTCTCTTCCAATGACCATCCTTATATTGTAATCCCACTGTAGGTTGCAGTACAATGGTAACCTCAAAAGAGTGCGCAGTGCTATATGCTACCAATTAAGCATATATTTTATATTAGTATTACATAGCTTGCATATATTCCATTGCTGACTTACAAAATATTATTAGCTTGAATAATAGCTAATGCTCTAAGTGATAAAAATGCATTTGCAACTTTTTGTGGTAAAAAGAAATGTTTTATATAATGTTGAAATCAGAATTCATATCATTTCACGACACAAAATCTGGCATTTGCATCCTCAATTTTGTTTATGTGCCCCTTTTTCACTAGTTTTTAAATAAATAATTTAAGTAAAGACTAATAAGTAATTATGAAGTTTGTTCAGAATATTTTTTGATAATTTTATAAAATAGATATTTTTTTTTTATTGTATATTTTGTTTTTTAATTAATATTATCTGTAATAGGGAAAAAACTGTGAATGGTACAAGAGTTAAAGTGTCAATTTCCGATGCCATCCTGCCAGCTGATGAATGTATTGCAAATTTAGAAGTGATTGAATGGACTATACTTACAGTAGGATTGCTTGTTTGGCTTCTGCGGGTCATAAAAGTTACATATAATTTATACAAATATCATGATGTACGAAATTTTTATAACACTGCTCTGAACATAAAAGATGTGAGTATTATATTAAGCACAATATAGTTTTAGTTGATTATTTAAAAATAATAAATTATCATTTATAAATTTACTTCTTTATTTTTTTTTTTATATTTGTTGGCCTCAAATATTCAAATTTCTCTTTGCATTCTCTGTTAAGTAAATATGTGTCTCTTACCACCGAATTCATCATAGTTTCTTACCATTAACCATTTACAACAACAAGGTTTCCAGTAACTGGTTATTCCTTAAAAATCAGGAATCCTGCTGAAAAATTTGTACCTATTTGTATTTATTTTGTACTGAAAAAACCTAAGATTTTTCTGATAGTTCCTCTAAAAAATGTGTATACGCTCAGCAAATATATGTATATTTTTTGGATATAATTTGATGAGATCATGAGCTTATATAAATTCCAAAGTTTAAGACAAGAACTATGATTGATGTGTTGTTGAATGTATATACGAATAATTGATTCTCATTTTAATCTTAAAATAGTAGATTATCAAAGAGGGAAAAAAAGTACAATAGTTTTAAAAAATAATTGTTTTAATGGTCTTTTACAGAATAGATTTTTCATTGATACAGAACGATTTTTCATACAGAATAGAACACCAAAAACTCGATCCCATTTGAAAGATCGTTTGTTATTGATGAGTCATATATAAATCATAAAAGATGAGTTATCTGTTCAAAATGAACTAATCCTCTGTGGTTTTAATCATTTATTTCAACTAACTAATAGTTACTTTTGAGCCACTACTTTTCTGGAGGATAGAGGTTTGAAGCCCTCTATTAGGCTATATACTTGTATCTTCTTGCAGTAATTGATAACTTAGCTGGTTTCATTTTCTCTATCCCCTTTTTCCCTTCTTCACAAAATCGATCAATGTAAATCTTGTTGTATTTGAAGCTCGTTGACTTAAGTTCAACCTCTTTTGCATTTGTGTATCATTGTTTTCAACAAAACATCTGCATTAACTTTTTCTTGAGACTATTGTCCACTAAGGATATATAAAATATGAACATACACCATATTTCTTAATCAAAAATCTTTTTATTTATGTTTTCAACATGAAGCAACTAAATAAATAAAAATTAGAAAATACATGTCATCTGTAAAATGAGAATTCAATTCTTTGGACCTATAACACATTGACAAAAAATATTCCTTAGTACTGAACTGAAAAAGCAATTTCTTGTGCAGTTTTATTGCTTAATTCTCTGAAGTTAAGGATTATTAATAGAACATTAAAACACTTTTCTGATAACAAAAATTATTCTATTATTAATACTTGCTCTAGTGTACGAATACTTTTTGTGTACAAATTATTGAAATATTAATGTTATAAAAGTTGTATGGCATTTTAAATTTTGGCACTACATAAAATTAACACAAAATGAAGTTCGTAATTGATATCTGCCATTATTTCAAGTTAAAAAATATATAGTGAACCATTTTGCCCTTAAACGGGGTGTATGGGTACTTTTTTTGCCCTCTGTATACTATACTAGATGGACAATAACATTCTACATGAAATAAAAGTTGAATTGGAATATTTAAAACTCATCTGTCATCTTTATTTTCTTAAGGAAAAGTTTATATCTTTAAAAATATAACATATACGTCTATATAAAAATAATTATGATATTGTTTAATTTAGTGTGATCTTGAAAATGTGACATGGCATGAGGTTCAAAAACGTCTTCTTGAGGTACAGAAGGAACAGCTGATATGCATACACAAAACAGAGCTGACAGAATTGGATATATACCATCGAATTTTAAGGTAGTAATCCGATAATCCACAATACTTATTATTTTTTGTAATTATAGATTGAATAAATTCTAATATAATTTCTAGTTTACTACTATTGTAGCCCTTTTTTTTTTTTCTTTTCTTATTACCAAGTTAACTCTTCATGAAGAGTAATGATATGATATAAATCTAAAAATTAAAGAAAAAAAATAACCCTTTCACTGCTGATGGTAGTGTGAGGAGGGTGGCATATACATTACAGGCATAACTTGGAGAGATCGGACTTACATGCTAGGTCCTGACTTAAGATATATCTGTTTGTCTTGACCTCTTGAAAAGCTCTAGTATGGCAACAATTTGAATCAGATGAAAGTATGAAGGGATTCCTGCGCAACTGGTTCCTGACTCGACCAGTTTTATGTTATTATGCTGGAATAAAAACCCTCTCTGGGAACAATGTATTTATAAATCTGGAAACTATGTGGAAAAATAAATTATGATTAGCAGTTGTTTTTGATTAAATTATTTTTTTTTAAAATCTCGTTCATATTTTATTCATCTTCGTATTAAAATAACTCAAGAACTTGGTATTGCTAGCTCTAGTTGAATGTTTTATTTTCTTTCTATGATATTTAAAAAACAATCCTTATAGTAGAAGTTTTATAAGGAATGATACTAGTGCACACAGTTTAATATGAGGCTTGACCAACTCTTGCATGAAGAATATCCAAACTTGATTGAATGAACTTGTAACAGAGTTTGGAGTGAAATGGTGGATACCTTGTTTCTCTCTTTTCTCCTCTGTTCTGTTCTAGTGTGAAAGGCAAGGAAGGGTGAAGAGAGAGGCACAAAAATGTTGTATTAAATATACTATATTTAGTAGTTTTAAATGATCACTTATTTATGATTGTAATTTATTTAAATCATTTGTATATTTTGTGATGTATTCGTAGTTTTCAAATATTGGTATTTATTTATTTTTAAATTTATTATGAGTGTATTATCTTTTTTAGGTTTAAAAATTATATGGTTGCCATGGTAAATAAATCTTTAATACCACCTAAATTTCAACTTCCGCTCATAGGAGAAGTCATTTACTTTAGTCATGGTCTGAAATATAATCTAGAAATGATTCTGTATTGTAAGTTCAATCTTTTTTTACTTTTACTAACTTTATTGTCTATGAAATACAAGCATATTATTTTGAATTTGTTGGCCCTATTGTAATGTTTTTGTTTTATTTGTTCTTGAAATCTCAACTTTCTATCATTCCTTACCCAATTTAATACCAGTGTTGAATTTAAATTTTCAAAAATATATGTTACAAAAAACTAACTGGACATCAAAATAAACAAATTAATAAAAACTGTGACTAGATATCTCTTAAAGGCTCATTAATTCAGTTGCTGTCTTTTAGTTCGTTGCATTAATGTATTGTTTATTCTCAGTACATATGTAACTCCTCAAAATCTTAATTTTGTTTTTTTTATTAGAATTTCAATTCTTTATTAAAATTACTACTCAGCTACATGATTACCCTATTTAGCTACCTAAGCTTGGCTGCTGTGGAACCATCAAAGCAGTTAAAGAGATTTTATATTTCTTGGTTATAGCATCTTCTGCATACGTATTCTCATTGGATGGGTCAGATCCGAAGATCTGTAGGAATGTCTCCTCTCAAATGCCAGAAACCTTTACTTTACATATGCATTCTGGTCGAATGAGTGTTTTACAGTTTTTTCTCCTTTGAGTGGAACCAGTTGTTAAACGGCTCCGTTATGCTGTAGTATCTGTGAGAATCATTGATTTTTTTTTTTTATAATCTTCTGTGACATGTCTTTCTTATGTTAATCTTTGTTGTTGAGTACTTCTCTAGAATTAGCGTTAGTGAGTATATTTGTTTACTCTACTACCACAACCCTTTCTGAATCCAGTCTGCCAATTTACAAGTTCTCTTTTTTTTACTGGGTGAGCTATGTATTACAGAAGTAAAAATTCGTCCCTAAGTAGTTCTTGCATTCAGCCTAGTCTTTTTTATGTGTTTCATAAATTACTGCCATAATCCATTCTAAAGATCTTTATTCCACAATCAAGGATAAGATCTGTGTAGTTCTTTCTTGAATCCATCTCCACCATATCTGTGAAGCTTAAACCAATTATTTTCCATTTTGGATATTTCGTTATTTTAAAGCTTCTTAATGGCAGCTTCAAGCTCGTACTCATCTGTGCATTTTATACCTCTGCTGGCTTCAACCCTATATTTTCAATCTTTACTGAAGTACCTAAGCCCTCTCTTAAGAACCTCATCTCTTTGGATAAGGTGGTTTCCATCTTCATTTTTGCAATATGTTACCTTGGAATTTAAAACAGATTTTCGTTCATTTACTCTTTAGAATTTATACAAATGGACCAGTCAGCTGAGGTTCCCTTTGTATTCCATCTAGTTATTCCCCATGTCCTTTTTTCCCTTTGATTTACCTTTATTTCTGTTATTCTAGCCTCCTTATAGAATTCCAATTCCATAGAAGTATGGAATTCCATTTTCCATACTTCACTGTATTTATTGACTGCATAAAACATATAAATTCTTGTACATTAAAATTTTATTTGACTCAGAATTTGCAAACATTGGTTAAGGAAATTTCATTTTAATATTTCTTTAATATGTTATTGTGATAAAACCATCAGATTTTTAATTTTTAAGTTCTTAATTGAATAAGCAAAAATAAGCATACTACTATAAATTATTCATCAGTAAATATGTTTTAGGGGGACCATCTTCACCTTTTCAAGAAAGCTTTCGTTTAAAGGATGATTACAAAAGGATCGCTAAGCGAAAAGAATTAGCTCATCAATTGGCACGCCATATATTATACGTTGCTATTGCCAATTTCCTGCTGTGCCCTCTAATATTACTATGGCAGATATTGTATGCATTCTTCAATTATGCTGAGGTATAATAATACAATATTAGCTTGGTTCATTTGTGCCTATTTATTAGTTTAATTTTCTTTTTTTAGAACTAAAATTTTTTATGTTGTATCTATACTACAAAATCTCTTCATCTTTGGAAACCAATTCAATCCTTTCCTTTTGTAGTCTTGGAATCTCCTAGCTCTAATGTTTTAGTTCAATTCCAGAAATTTACTAATAATGATTATATTAATTAGTTTAATTATTTGCAGATTATTCACTGGAATTTTGGATTGAATTATCCTTTATGCTTTATTTAGGGTCGAGATAAAAACTTAATTAGGTCAATGAATTTGAAAAAAAAAAAATTAATTGATATCAGTTTATCAGAAGACTGAATTCTTAGTATTTATAGGCTTGTAACTGAATTGTATGTACCGTAATTATCGAAAACCTTGAAAATGGTGAATTTATATATTTGTGTTGCCAGATACTGATGATATAAGCCCCTCTTAATTTATTGATAAGCTCAAGAAAAATTCTGCATTTATTAAAAAAAATTCGCATGTCCTGATACTTGTTATTTTTTAGGAGCATTTTATTTTTTTGTACAAGCATAAAATTAGCTATTCTATCCAGCATATTAAGGTTTAAATTTACTATGTGGCTGCACCATTAAAGAAATGGCTTTCCTTACAGAACAAATTCTGTACTAATAGTACTATCTGATTTTAAGAATTATGATTTGTTGCCTCAACACACTTCGGCTATGTTGATTACTAATATGCACAATAACCTAGTCGTGTACCATATTTTGAACTCATTTTGCCCCAAAGTTTTACAAAATGTAAAAGCTTTTCTCTTAAAAGTGGGCCTTATATTGGAATGATATTGGTTCCAGCTCGATAGATCAATTTGAAGGAATTTTGCCGATCGCAAGATCTCTCCTGATTCAAACTTTTTTTTTAGTGTGGTCATTTTGATGCTTATATATTTTTGTTTATTTTTTTTTAATGTGTCAGCAATTCAGATTGTCCCGACTTATTGTAATTCATATCACTTACATTTAATCATTCTTGTACACTCATTATTATTAAAATATCATTAATATTTTAAAATAAATAAATTTTCAGTTCTGAATAAAATATTAGTTGAGTTAAATTAATCTTCCTTAAAAACAACAAAATTCACAGACCAACGTAAATAAATAAATCACTTGCGCTGCTCCCAGAATCAATTAGAATTTTATGTTTGTTGTCCATTTATGAGAAGTTGATCAATTTCCACACCCGGTTATGAGAGAATTCAATTTTATTAAGTTTCAAATGTATTAAAATAATTAGAATCTTGACAGAAGATTCTAAGTTTCACTGTATCATCATACAACTTGTACTGTATTTATAATTTTACTAATATGATTGATAACTATTTTTTTCTAAGATTGTAATCCCATAAGCAAAACTATGTTAAATTAAGCACAACATATTGAAACAAAATTTATGAAAAATAAATAACCTGAATACATTATCAATTTATTAGGTTTCAAGTAATAAGAAATTCAAATTTGAAACTAAAGAACTTTAATTTAGTTAGTAGTAGTAGTAGTAGATGGTTGGTGATGTGGTCAGATATAAAGTAACACACAAATAATAAGACTTATTTTATTGTATTGGGTACTCTAAGTTTTAGGCCTTCTTCATAGCTAAAGTAACAAGATAACACATAGTAGTTAAGATTGAGGGTAACAATGTATTAAAATTAATCGTATGATAGTTGACATGTCGTATGATAGTAGAGATGGTTGACTGTTGATATAATATGAGAAGGAGTTAATCAGGGGGTGCGGTCAAATGAATACTAAATAAAAATATATTAATTATTTTAATTTTTGCTGACGTTTCGACCCACTTTGCAGGTCGTCTTCAGGGCTACAAAAGGTACAAAACATGTTGAAAATAAAAAATAAATATAAGTAGATATAAAATAAGATGAAGTTATCAGATACAGAAATAAAAGATGATATCAGAGATATAGTGGGTAGACAATGTACTTACGTGCTATATTCTCCTTTATTTTTATTTTTATTCATACTTATTTTCCATTTCTTTGTATCTTCTACATATATAACACTTAATATTTAACTACATTGTCACCCACTATATCTCTGATATCATCTTTTATTTCTGTATCTGACAACTTCATCTTATTTTATATCTACTTATATTTATTTTTTATTTTCAACATGTTTTGTATCTTTTGTAGCCCTGAAGACGACCTGCAAATTGGGTCGAAATGTCGGCAAAAATTAAAATAATTAATATATTTTAATTTAGTATTTATTTGACCGCACCCTCCGATTAACTCCTTAAATAATAATAAAGGCTTAGCGAATACTAGCCATTACAATCAATTGTTGATGACATACTTCTATCTACTGACAGTCATCCAAACCAAATCCTGCAAGATAAACCTGAACCCCATAAGCCTGAAATTAACTTTTTAGCTATTCATTTGTTACTAAGTTGCCTAACTGGCACGTCACAATATAATTGAAATTATAAATAGCATCACAGCGATTTTAATGGACATATGTTTAGGTAATACAGAACATTTTAACAAAGATGGTAATCTTTTAAAGATAGTGATGTTTCAATTGGTAAGTAAACTGTGTATAAGAGAAAGCCTGGGATATGGATAGAGTTTTGATAGAGAGAAATGGATTTTGTTGAAGAAAACTTAGTTCAGATCAGGTTTAGTTGGGTCAGGTATTTAGTAAGTGATAAGGTTTATTATTGTCAGGCGTTATTATAAAATTACTTCTTAATTTTCTATGTTATTTCTCCTGTATTATTTTATTATGAATACTTTTTGGCTGTGATTCTTTACCTTTTAAACTGTATCTAAAGAAAGATTAAAAAAAAAAAAAAAAATCAAGGAAAATTTATCTAAATAAATCACTTATTTATTACGACAAAAGGTCACTTATTGTTTAGACATCTTGTTTTATGATGAATTACTTCATTTCTTGCATATAGTTCATATGGTCATTAATAGGAAGTTTAAATCAAACGTCAAACAATGCCCCTCTTTTTCTTTTCTTTTCTTCATTTCTTCTTTAATTCTCATGCAACGTAGAACTACCACATTTTTTGACATTCAAGTTTAAGAGTTAATTCTAACGACACTGCATTTTACATTCTGTTGTGGTTAGGCAACATATAAGGAGAAGAATCCCTCCTATTACAGCCCAAAGGCACCAAGTCATTTTATATTTGCACTAGTTAATTTAAGAAGTCAATTGTATATTTTATAATTTTGTGACTACTTATAAAGTTTAATTACTTTTCTGTTGCTTAATCACATGGTCCAACCTGTACTTTTTGTCTTTTGTTTAATTGATTATGAGATTTAAAATACTTTAATATTACATATGTACATATCTTTGAATTAATTTGAATATCAACATTAATTTAATAATTAAAAAGTATTTTAAAAATTAGAAATAATCTTTAATGTAAGTTCACAATTGCTATAAAGATTATTAAAATTAAAAGATTAAAGGCAAATTCTTTATTTCCAGATATTAGCAAAGTCATATTATTTCTGTATTTTTTTTCAACATTTATTGAATTTTGAATTTAGGTATTCATTGAACTAGCTTATGCATATATAAATTTATGTGATTTTTTTTTTTGTTTCTAACTTTGCATGTTTATTTTATAGTATATTTTTATCACTGACAAAAAAACAAAAAAAAAACAGCATTACTTTACTCCAAAAAAAAAAAATTGTATTACTAATTATAGTTATAACCTCTCTGGAGAATTCGAAATTATTCAACACAAATTCCACTACTTATTTATACTCCCTTTTACACTATCTTGTTATCTATCTTAAAAAATTAGGTCTATATTTTTTAAAAGCTTTATTATGTCTATTTATTTTGGTTTAATTATTTTTAAAAAAAGTATTGACTTTAAAACCTTGGTCACTAATGGTCAATCGACCACATTAGTGTGTATTTAATGGTTTGAAGATTAAAAATAGTTTTTAGGTATGAACTGTATACTTACAAAACCTTTTAAATAGCATTTTATGAAAATAAAACTGTTACATCTTTTTAACAAAATAAAAGGTTTTGGATCATTTTGCTCTAGTGTTATCCACTATCCCTATTAGTTTGGAATACTTTAAAGGGATATAAGTTTCTTTTTAACTTTCCAAAAATCATGTCAGAAACACCGCACTCAAGAAATTTTGTGTTGGTATGTTTAATTTAAGAAAGTATAAACCTGTATCACAACGTATGAAGGATCTTGGGTTCAGTATTTAGTAAGGAAGTTCTGTTTCAAGACCAACGGTTGGTCAGGGAGACAATTGGGCCGGGATCATGCTCAACCTTATGCTTTTCTCCCTTAATTTATTATTTAATTTATAGTACCCACTTTATAGAGGCTGCATGTGCAACAAAAGAGTCTCCAAACCCCAGGGAGGATCAACAGGCTATTGAATCAGAATAAATTATTACTTACTATCCAGAGAATCCTAGACCTTGAGCTTTGGAAGTCAGTGCCTTAGCCACTGAGCTACCCCCCTCTCTAAGAAATTATTAATCCTCCTTTAAAATTGTTGGGTTTAGCGGTGAACAAATCCTTAAAAAATTAAGCTTCATGCCAACTGGTAAGTGTTCAAGGGGTAGACTGAAGCAGAGGTGAAAGGATTGTGTTATGGCTGATCTTGCAGAGTTAGGTTCAGACGGCGATCCCCGGACGGAAATATGTTGATGGTGATTGGTGTCCACATAAATATATAAACTTAAAAATATTTTTGCTGTTCTTTAAGTTAGTTCATTAAAATTCAGATTTGATTTTTTACTATTGTTATGAACACTTCTTTACAATAAAGCAATAAATAAAGAATGACCTTTCATTGTCCAAATTGTTCAGTGAGATCTGGAGTGTTTTAAAACAATGTGAGCTTAAAATGCTGACAAATTATTGTATTAGATGTCTTTAGTCTAATTTTATCTTTCTATTACCTGTATTTTGAATTTATATTACCTATTATTTAGTAAATATTTAATTTGAGTTGTGGTTGCGCTGTCATGTTTAATTTATATTCTGCATTTATAATCACCTGTCTTGTGGACTAATGAATGGCACCGCTCCCCCCTCCCCGCACTACGAGCTAGGGTTCTATGAATGGAGATCGAGCGTCTTTTTTCTCTAGCCATCCAGAAGCTTAGATAGTTGAGTGAGCGCCTTCTTTTAATATAGCTTGAAAGGGACACTAGGTCCTTAAAGAAAAAATATTTTCATTCGTTCATCAACATACAGAAAGCTCCTTCAGTATCAATCCACCAAGGTGTTTTAGTAGATATATAAGTATATTATGTTCCTTGGTGATGGATGATAGATTCATTTTTGTTATCTTTTAAATTGGATTTATTTTTTAATGCATTAGTGTTTTCAGACAGTCTTGTTCTAACAATAATGTTAGTGTTTATTTTGTATGACTAATTTAGCCTAATGTAATGTGTTCATCAGATTAATTACTTTTTAAAATAGAAAATTTATTGTTTCACCTATCAGTTTTATTTTATTTTTTAATATATATATATATATATATTTTTTTTTTTTTTAAATATGTATGATGTACATATATTATCAACAAAAAATTTGGCTCTTTTTTAAAAAAAAATTTCATATGTTTTATCAGGTGGTGAAGCGTGAGCCAAGTACCCTAGGTGCACGGTGCTGGTCCCTTTATGCAAAGTACTACTTTAGGCACTTTAATGAACTAGACCATGAACTGAATGCTCGCCTGAATCGAGCTTATCGACCTGCATCAAAATACATGAGCATATTTACTAGCCCTTTGATGACAGTAATATCAAAGTAAGATTTTATTTATGGTTTTTGTTCTTAGTTAAGTTCTTATAATATTAATAAGTATGTTCAACATCTTAAAAATGCATTTAATTTCTTAATTGTTTAGGCAATTACCAGTTGATAACTATTGATACAATATTTATCGATATTACCATTTGTTCAGGTTGTCAATTTTATTTTTAATTTTTTTATTGTACACAAAATTATAAATAGTAAATTATAATTAATAAGTATTTTCGTTTTGTTTTAATTTACACAAAAACATATATGTATATGAATCGAGAGAACTTTATATAGATTAATTTGAATGTAAAAAAGAATCACCTATCTTATGGACTAATGAATGGCACCTCCCCTCCCCCCCCCCTTCACTATGAGCTAGGGCTCTATGAATGGAGATCGAGCTTCTTTTTTTCTCTAGCCATCCAGAAGCTTAGATAGTTGAGTGAGCGTCTCCTTTTAATATAGTCAAGTCCGTGGTTACTTTGTTGTATATCTTCGTCGGTATATCTACGTTCTTTAGCTGCCAGCTGGGATAAGAAGAGCTTCACCTCCAACAGTAAAACCGGTAAAATCAGGCCTGATTATTTTTAATTTAATATGGAATCAAACCTTATATAATAGAACACCGCCATACTTTAGACGCTTCACCAAAAATTTACCAGCGAGAATCACCTCTTAATTTTTTTTTTAATACAGATAATTGCTTAATTATAATTTTATTTTCACCCAGCTTCAATAACATATTTCTTCTCCCCCTCCTCACCTATTTGTTGAATTTAAGTTAAATAAGTTTAATTATATTTAAAATTTACCTACATAGTGCCAGTATCATTGAACACCTCCAATGCTCGAAACATGCGCTGATGATGACCCACATGCTTGGGTTGAAACTTCTTGATAACCTCAAAAATGACTGTGTCCTGACTATTTATGACACCTCTAATTATATTTATTTATTTTTCAGGAATATTGTTTTTGTCGCTGGTGCTCTTCTTGCTGTTCTTTTATCTCTTTCTATTTATGATGAAGATGTTTTAACCGTTGAACATGTTCTTACCATGATAACAATATTAGGTGCTCTTGTTGCAACATTTAGGTAATTAATTTATTTATATTATCAATAGTTAAAATGAACATATCTGACATATATTAAGCATACTCATGTAGTTGCAGCAAAAGGTATCTAATAATTCATTGTTGAATAGTTAGTCTGTCATAGCTGTAATGTGGGTAAAGTAGTATTTAAAAGGTGCAATTATATAGTTTAGATTAAATTTGTAACGGATTTATAAGTAAAGTTGTTCAAAATTGATTTTTATCAAGGTTATGTTTTAAAGTATAAAATTTATAGGAGCAATCTTGTTCTTTTAATTTAGTCAGGAAACAGAACTGTAATGATTTCGTCTGTGTACCTAGTAAGTAAATTGAAACAAAAAAAGAAACTAAGAATAAATTTTCATTACAGTAAAAGTTTAAAGTATTGTTTCAAAAGACATATTTATTGAAATATACCTACACTTTAATAGTATAGTATTTTCTTTTTAAAAGATAATTTGAATAGCTAAGTAATAGTTATGTAAAACAGGATGAAGATAAATCTGAAAGAAAACAAAATGATAAATACAAATTTGATTAATTTTGAAAGAATAATTGGGACATATCAAATAAAGGGAAAAATTACATATTTGAATAAATAAACACAATTAATATTTTTACCTGATTTTGGTTTATTGGCAAGAAGGGTTATGTCATGTATCTGGGTTGACCACTTGTATGTATGTAACTATTGTTTGAGCGTAAGACTGGACTGATTTTTAAGTATGACGGCTCAATTATTCAGTGAGATTTTTTAAAGGTTTTTCATGCTGACCAATTGTATAAAATTTTGTTGTTTTTTATGGTATAATGCACCGACCACATCCTAGTCAGGATTATTGTACATTAAAATGTGCTTAATCTCTCCTTTAAAAGGTATAAACATCTTAGTGAGTAGAACATCTTAACCAAATCAATTTAAATTTACAAAATATCTTTTAAATATTATTATTGTTGTTGTATATTTTGTTTTTTAGGGTTTTTATTCCTGATGAAAACTTAGTGTGGTGGCCTGAGCACTTGATGAATTCCGTGTTGGCACATGTTCATTACCTTCCCAGCCATTGGCGTGGAAATGCCCATACACAGACTGTTCGGAATGAATTCACACATCTCTTCCAATATAAAGCTGTATGTTTTACCTCATTATTATTAATTTTTTTTAGTAACATTAGAATACTCAATAGAATCACACTACTTATGATAAATGCTTAACTATTTATGGTACTAAACAATTTGCATGAATCTTGAGTGAATGGCCACTGAATGCTGACCTCTTAAAGTGCTACTAGCTAATTGAAACCTTCGCCCACGATAACTTAAGTTTGACTTGTTGATTTTAATGGTTAATAGCTTATTTTTCTTTCATTTGATTAGTAGTTATTATCTGAAGTGATACATAGAGATTTACTTGCATTATAGCAACAACTAAAAATTATAAATCATGTTTATTTATGAGGATATGATGTACTACTAAAAATACCCCTTTAAGAAATAACATATAAAGATTAAAATGTATGGAATAAAGAAATTATCAGCAACAATTTAATGGTTTTGGTAGGTGATTAATGGCCTTCTTCCTAAGGCTATAAAATATAGAAAGCCTCTTTGTTATAGATTATATAACTCTAGGCAGCCTTCCTTGTCAGTTTATCAACAGCTGTTAATAATTTCATCAATAACAGCATCCTAAGGCTTAACACTCATGTCAACCCTACACTAGATTTTAAGCAATTTACTATTAATTTGGTTTATCTTATTTATCTTCAAAAACACATTCTCTCTACTACTACCTTTAGTATTTGAAATTTTTTAGATAAACCATTTGGTTTTCTTAATACTTTGAGGGTTAATTTCTAACAAAATGGACCCTATATGAAACCAGTTGTAAGGATAATAATAAGAAGGATCTTTTGTTATTATGAGATTACACTTAAAGAAAGTTTTTCTTGACTTTTTACTTAATTTTGTAGAAAACTGTAGCTATCCTTTATTCTGTTTATCATTGGAACTTACTATAACATTTGGATTAAATTAGGTGATAAATGAAGTTTTATAGCAAGAGTCTACTGTAGTTAAAAGAAATCCTTGATATTATTACTTCAACATTCTGTTATTTGTTTATTTTGTTCTTGTCTTTACAGCATTATTAAGCCACTTTTCCTATATTAATCCTAGACTTTCATATCTCGGTTTAGCATGAATGAATTGATTAACGTTTTAGTTGCCTATTTGTTTAAGTACACTTGTTTTAAGGCAAACATTTTCCACAGATTTTAGAAAAATCATTAACTGCAGTTAAGTATAAATAGAAAAATCTTATAAAATATTAAATATCATTTATATAATTGTCAAAATGATTGACAATACTACCTAGCCAACAAAGGTTTTCTTTAAAGTTAAACAAATTATTATTTTTTTTTTTTAACCAAATCCTAATTTGGCAATTTTTGATGTAATGATTATTTAATTTTCATTATGATGTGTAGAATATTTATCGCAATAAAATATTTTCCCTAGTTTACATTTTAGATAGATAATAATACATACGAGAAATGATTTTTTACTTTATAATTTCAATAAAAAGCTATAAATTTTGTTAATGCTTTTGATTATTGGTTCCAATAGACATTTCTCATGATGGAGCTGTTATCCCCTATTATGACTCCCGTTCTCCTTTTGACCCATGTGAGGCCAAGGGCTCTTGAATTTGTCGACTTCTTCCGCAGCTTCACGGTGGAAGTTGGAGCAGTAGGAGATGTCTGCAGTTTTGCTCAAATGGATATTCGTAATCATGGTAATCCAGATTGGAACCCAGGACCTAACAGACCGACAACTGATCAGTATACACAGGTAATGCAAAAGATATAACAAAACACTCATTTGAATTTTCCATTTGTAATTTTTCTATTGTGAATTAATATATATTTGTATCATATACAAACATTTTTTCAGTAGTTATTTAAGATATCAAAAAAAAGGAGCAAGCGCTATTTAAAAGCTGATTTTTAAAAAGTCTACAAAAATAAATAAATTTTTATTAAAAATTTCGCATGATGGAAAATTATTTACTAAAAACAATATTGCTTCAATGATATTCATTACAATCACCAGATTCTTATATGGCTACAGATATTGATGCTGTTTCGGTTGTAATGTTTTCCTTGCTCTGAAGTCTGAAGTGCTCTGAGCTTATTTTCATAGTTTTTCTTTTTAAAGGTAGTTAATGCCTGCTATAGTGGTTGGCAGCTGTTACTGGTCGTGCATTTCACTGAAAATGCTCACATTAGCAACTTGCTTATTTGTTTTCATTATAGCTTTTGTATCACACCTTCGCGAATTTCCAAAACAGATATTACTCTGGTTTGTTAATTAGAAGAGGAACAGGAAACTATATTCTTAAGAAGATATTCAAACTGTATTTTCCAGACCCGGTTGAGTGAATGATTTTATGCTGCATTAATCGGAGGAAAGACGAGAGTTTTAAAAATTATTTTAGACTGAACATAAGTTCTATTTAGTTTTGAGCAGCATGTCAAAAGTGATATATTTAGAGCAGGAATTTATGCAGTGTAGGCTTCAATTGAAGCTTTACTATAATGCCAGTCATTTTATGATATGGGTTTATTTGCTTTTAAATAGGTGATACATTATTAATTCTGTACTTATGTAATTTATTTAATTGTTTCCCCAAAAATTATTTGAACTTAATAAACTGAAATTATTGTTTAGCTGCTTTGGTGACGTGACTTGTTTGATGTATTTAAAATAGTACCACCATTTTGCTGAAACTAAGTTTTTTAATTAAAATCACATAAATATAATGGAGAAGTTTGAACAATTTTGTTTCTGGGATAGTCCAACCCATTGAATATTTTCATTGAGTTTGACTGTGAACAGACTATCAGCATTTTGAATTTTGATTGCTGAGTCAAACATTTTTGTCAATTTATGAATAATATTTGCATGGAGGGCACTTAAGTTTTTAAAACGAGCATAATACAAACTTAGAGCTATAATGATAGAGTTATTGTTTTGAGTTAGGTTAAGTATCTTATGCACATACGACTGCTAGGGTCTTAAGTGTCCTTATACAATATGTTATTTAGAATTTCCCTTTAATTATTTTATTATATTTTTTGAAACCAATTATCTTTCTTAAAGAATTCAATTATTATTTCTATGTTGATATTATTATCGCTAAGTATTCTTTGAAGTTTCTTTTCAATGTTTAAATTTTGAAATTAGTTGTCATATATTGGACAATCTTCTAAAATGTGAGTGACCTATCCTCAGGTGCACTTGCATGTATCACATTTGGGTGCTCTTGTCTTTTCTGTGACGAGTGTGTCCCGTTCTTAATCTCGCAACTGTATCTTCTTCTCTTCTACTGTTTTGGTTTCAACTTTTCCACAGTTTAGTTTCTGTTTTAACACTTTTTAACTTATTTGATTCCTCGGTTGTTCCCCAAAACTAATCTCAGCTCTTTCTAGCTTGAAGTTTAAGAAAGCTGTGTTTATCTGACATGGTGTGAATTCCAATATGTTCTATTGACCATAACGCTGCCTCCTTGGCTGCTTAATCATCGGCCTCATTTCCTTTAATGCCCAAGTGTGATGGTGTCCAGATGATACCTATGTTCTTGTTCATTTATTTAATCATCATAGAGCAAGCCTCAGCTTTCTTTGCTACCAAATGTTTAGAATATATGTCAGTAAATGATAATATAGCAGAAGGAGAATCTACATATTACAAAGCTTACATATTTTTGTCATTGTTTTGATAATACACAAATCACAAATGAAAAACACACCATTTGCAATTCTATTGCCACTAAAATTCCACAGACTGAACTATATCTATTATCCCCTTTTAGTAATTTGAAGATAGACACTCTGTATTTCCTCCTTATACTGTATGAGTATTAACATAATAGATCACACCAATAAAATCGTGTAGTTTCGTCTTGTTTACAGTTTTAACTTAACGTATATGTTGACGATTATTTTTTCTATGAATTGGAAAAGTATATATGTTATTTTTTCATCTTTATTACAAAAGAAGGAACATTGATTTATTTCTGACAATATATTGTTGTGGTTTTACTTATATTTGCTGATAATTATTAATTTGTATTATTGAATTTTAAGAATTATAATTTTATATCATTAAATTTAATAATAAAATCATTTTAATTTCAAATTTCGTAAAGAAAAAATATAAATATATATTAAAAAAAAAAACAATTTAGACGGCACTGAAGAGAGTTTATTCTTGAGCAATCTAGAAAAATTTATGGATTGTCTACAATCTATGTAATATAAATAAAGATAGTATATTGAATAATGTGATGCTGATGAATAATAAATAAAGTTATTATATTATTTTTCAGGCTGAAGAAGGTAAAACAGAATTATCTTTGATCCATTTCACTTTTACAAATCCTGAGTGGTCTCCTCCTGGCCCCTCTGGTGGTTTTGTTTCAAATGTAAGAGAAGAAGCTAAAAAAGTACTTCTGCAAGATCCGATGTTATTATCATCGTCTACAGCTACCACTACTGGGGCAAGTATTTATTATATTTTAAGTTATAATTAATCATTTTCTATAAGTAATAAGTTTTATAACCATTAACTACATTGTTTTTTTTTAACCAATAAGTAGTTTCATATTTAGTATTACCTCATTTATTTATTTTAAGAACCTGTTTCAGAACCACTAATGTTGAAATAGTCAGCCTGATTTAGAACAAACTAGCTATTGAATTTAAAAGTGATTTTGCTTTTAAAGTTATTTTTAATTTAATTTTTCAGATGAGCACATTTGTACCACAAATGGGCCCTGTTGAATCAATATTGCAAAGCCAAATTATTAACCGAAGCGTCCATACTAATATCAGCCGAACTGAAGGTCCAGTTTATGATAGGCACTATCTTACTCATGGGTAAGGATAATATGTTTTAATAATTTTCTTGCTGATATACCTAAAGTTTTTCTAAATATTAAATATTCTTAGACAGGGCCTGGTGTTGGCCAGGTTGCCGCAAATAGACTTTCACGTTATTTTGAGGCCTGTTGCTAAATTTTATATTTGTATTTAAACTTTTATTTTTTGTTGTATGTTTACAAAAAAATTCAATAATAATTAAAAATTTGCATGTAAAAAATGCATATATAATGCTGCTCCAGTTCTTATTTGATAAGGCTCGGAAGCAGGCTAGATTATTTTCATTAGGATTATTTAGAGCTTTAAATTTAGCAATTTTTCTTTTTTAGTCTATGTTTAGGTAATTTTCATGGTTTGTTCTTTTAATATTTTCCTTTTTATCAAGATACAGATTACCGCCCTCTTTATTATTATCTCTGATCCCCACCTACATCTTCTTGTTCCTTGTCAGAAGGTTTCAAAAAGCTTCTATCTTCCAGCTTGGATTGATTTCTGATAATAATTTTTGAAACACAAAACACAAACCGGCTTTTTTTTTTATATCATTTGTACAATATTTTAGAAGTTCTAGGAGAGAAAAAAATGTAGTAAAAGATAGGATAAGTAAATATCTCATTGATTGAGGGTAATGAGTTTATTATATTGATTCATAGGATAACAATAATGGTTTATTCATATTGCAATTTTAAAGCTATTATTACTTAAAGTATAACAACACCTAAGTGGTCCAGAAAACCACTTGGATTGGTTAGGCTTGTTCTAAGATACTGTACTTTCCTGCAACACTAAAATATTTATATAATTGTCTAAATTTCAAGGTCTGTGATTTGGCATCTAAGAATAAACTCTATGATAGCTCTTTTTGAAGTTCAGTATATTGTCTAGGAAAAATGATTGCTTAGGCAAAGGATGTGGACTTGGTCAAGAAAATACATTTGTGTGTGTTACTGAAGTTAATGGATAGAATATTATGAAATTGATATAGGGCCATAGAAAATCAGATTAATGGTAGCAGGTGCTATACCTGTTACATGGATATGACTACAGATAGACTGTTACGAAATTCTCTAATACCTGAAATGTAAAACACAAATGGATTTTGATGACAAAATTTTTTTTTTACCTCTTGCACTAAAAAATTCTTCTTTACTTTCAGGAAGCAAAAAAAAAAAACAACAAGAAATCTTTTCATGCATTATATCCTAACTTGAATCAATATCAATAGAACAGTAATCTATGTTATAAAGAGAGTAATTATAACCTCTAGAATAAAATTTTGTTATACTTTATTTTATTTTATAGTGAGGGCTTAACACCATCGCTTGGAGCTTCTGTTTTTGGCACGGAGCTAACTCCCGCTGATCCTATAGAGACAACTGCTATGGACATGAGTATAAATGCTCTTTATCTCCACCATGCTCATCAAAGGTAATGGCATACAGGTTTTTTTTCACCTGCAATTTAATCTTAATGTGTGATCTTAACATTATATATTAGATGGAGGGAAATATTAAAATTTCCCTAAAATATCTTTTTATTTTTCATTAGATTTTAAACTCTGATTAATAATATTAAAAGAATTCTTTTGATAATTAAGATTCACAAGAGGAAGAAATTTGAATGATGTAAGCATGCGCCATATGCTCCGATCTCATTATTGCTACAGTTCACCTCATTAAACATGTTTTCTGTCTAGCATACTGCAGTGTTTGCTTTTGTTGAAATGATTTTTCATTTTATATATTTTCAGTGATTTTTAAATCAGTTTGGGCTGTGAAAAAGTTCCTTTGTACAGTAATGGTAAGATTGCTGTTTAGGTAATAATTATTAAATTTTGTTTTCATATTAATAGAGCGATATAAATATTTTATTTTTTTTAAGGATTAAAAATAATCAGGTTATGTAGTCAATAATCGTGTTCATTATGTTTGCCGACGTTTCGACCTAAGCTTGTGGGTCATCATCAGGGCAACAGATTGTTGGCAAGACAAGAACTGAGCGAGTGGTGAATTGTTTTTTCAGCTAACCATTACCGTGATGATGACGCACATTCTTGGGTTGAAACGTCGTCAAACTTAATGAACACGATTCTTGATTGCATATCTCGACTATTTTTTATCCTTACAATTTTAACAGTCAATTGTATCTCCAATTTTTTTTTTTCATTTCAAGTGCATTTAATAATTTCTTCAAGATTCTGCAAATTAGAATCCACTTCTAATAATTTTAAATGTTATACGCAAAAGTTTAAATGTTAACTTTTAATGGTTCCGTACCATTTCATAGTGAAACACACTGGTAGTAATAGGAAAATGACCTAACACCTCCAATATTAACATGTTGATATTATTAAAATCATAATTTTTTTTTCAGCACTGCCTATCTAAGAAAGGGTAAAATTTATGAAAAAAGTTTAATTGCACCTTAAAAAAATATGTGAATTAGGATCCCACCGATTTAGACTCCAATTGGCCTGACAGCTAATTAATCTGTATAAGATTATAAAAATGATAATAAAATTTAGTAAACTTATAATTTTATTTAGCAAGAAATAATTTAATGAGAAGGATTAACGTGATTCAGGTTTACGTATGCATGTTATTAGGTAACAACACATTTTTATACCAAAACAGGGGTGTAATACAAAAAAGGGATGTAATTGAAATAGATGGTCAAAAAATGACAATTTTTTTTAGCACATTTACCAAGATGACCAATGTCTACCATTTACCATTGCCCTATTAGAAGTACCTTTGGGACCATTAACTTGTCAAAATTGGTAAAAATTTGATCGTAGGTCTTGACTGTGATTCTGAAACTAATTTGTAATATTACCTACTTTTCTGATTCATAATTTAATGCTCTTTAATTCTTTTTTTTATTTTAATGAAATTTACAACTGTATTACATGGAAAATACAATAAGTAAATATGACATTGGTAACAGAAACTACCCATTGATAGGACTCAAATTAAAGTTCTATATTAGAAAGTCCTGAGGCCATCTTCTTTTCAGACGCCTCGGAGGGTTATCAGGGATCGAGGAGGAAGCAAGGTTTGAAACAAGAGGATTCGGATGGTTCTTCAGTTTGTTTCTTTAATTCTTAAAATAAAAAAGTATTTACTTGGAAACATCATTATGGAGTTATAAATTAATAACTGAAAAAGTTCAAAAATTTTGTGTTTTTTTTATTTTTTATATATGCTCTAACTTAACCTCTATTTGAGAGACAGTGGAATACTAATATACTCTGTTTTAACTTGAACTAAAGTGATCAAAATAACCTTCTGCTTTTGAAGGTTTACTTCCTTCAAAAATTGTAGTCTTACAACATATGTATATATTTCGTAAAGAGTAAGAAAGAAAAAAAAAAGTTAGTTTTTAACTTAATGTCGCTTAAGTTCCTTTTTAGATATATATAGATCTTATTTTACAGTAATGAAATCTCATGCAGTATTTTCTAATGAAATACCAGAGTGAAAGATGGAGAGAGGGAGGAAAGGGTATAACTCTCATTATTCTTCTTTTCTTCAACACAGTTCTTTTATGATGTAAAAATTTTCTAGTATAGTGGTACTTTAAAGTAAAATGTCCAAACTCATTTTAAAATAACCGAGAATAAGTTTTATTCATCAGACAAAATAAAAAATCATCAAAAAGTGCTTTCATTGTTCTAATTTCTTTTCGGCATTTCCAAGGAAATATTTTACGTATTGATTGGAAATCTTTTATCTCTATTTTCTGTGAATTACAAAAAAAAAAAATCACTTTTATTGGCCATTGTAGTAATATTATTTTTTGAAATAATTAATTACTTTTAATTGTAGAGGGCTTGAGCGAAGAGGTGGAGTACGCCAGGCTAGTGGTTCAACTAATGTTGCTGGAAGTGAAAGGCTGCCATTGCTTCGTTCACCTTCTAGATTCTCTTGACACGGGTAAGCTTATTTTATTTTATACTATAATTTTACTTTGTTTTAATTTAATTATAGTTTTATCGCTATTTTGTTTTGTTTTTTCTGTTGGCATTACAGACCTTTTCAATATTTTGCAGCCTTAATAAGCCAACTTCACTTCTGCCTATCTTAGGCTATTTCTTTCCACTTATTGCATCTTTGTTGATTTGATCTGCTTGTCCTAATGTCCTACGGACTGACATTTTAAACATTGGGTATTTTGATTTATTATTTTTATCTAAGGCCATCCATGTCTTAAGCATACCTTTATATACATAATAGCCTTGGAGCCAGAGCCCAATAATTGGCCTTATCGCAGGCGAAGATTTGAATTTAAATTACGAAATTGTATGTTATTATAAATAAAATAAATCTTGCCTTTACTGGTGTTGGATGAGGTAATTACCTATTAGTGGTATCACTAAAGTAACACCATTTTCTGTACATGTTTTTTATATATTGCATATTCCTTTCCATGGTGTCAATATGCCATGTATTCTATCATAACAAGCTGCCGTTAAAATATAATGAATATTTTTAGTACTAGGTCCTTTATAATTTTAATTTATTTTTGCTTACAGGTCTTTATTTACTTTATGAAATTACCAGAAAGTAAGCGTATCGGTCATCAGTCGACCATTCAACTCAGGCATGTATAAATGATGAAGAGGTATATTAGTTTTGCTGTTTATTGAGTAATTTCTTTATTTAGTCATTTTAATTTAGGAAAGCTAGTTTTAATTTTGTGTGCATAATGGTGTATATATTTAAGTATTTCTTGTTGTTTTTTTTCCTTCAAAGTAATGTCTTTCGTTGTTCTAATTCGCTCAAATTAGTTAATATTTTGACTTGTGTTCATGTAAATAATAAATGTAATGCGACTATAAATGAAGTTTATATATTTGTATGTCATTAACGTATAATCAAGCTTTTCGTGATGAAAGTTAATTGTAAATATTCTATAAATACTTCCAAATAAAGATTTTCCTTACGATCTCATTTTTTAAAAAGTGTTATTTTTATTTCCCTTATTGGCTGTTATGTATTCAGTTATTGATGAGTTTTTATTTTAAGGCAAGATCCAACGATACAGACCAAAGGTTTTTGTAAATTTACTTTGCATGATAAAATTAAGTTTTGTTTTTTTATTAGAAAAAGATGTTAAGTATATCAAATTAATCATTAACCTTTTTATAACGTATCGGTATAATGTAATATTGATGGATCTTTTTTGTGGTCATAGCTAAATAAGTAGTTAGAAAAAATATTTCTCTGTATCTGGATACTTATTTAGCTAAGGCTACAAATTAAGATCCTTCAATCGTATATTGTATTGGTATGTTATGCAAAGGTTGATGATTAATTTATTAAACTATTTAAACCCACCTACCACTTATGTAATTAAATGGATATGCAAATGCATCCCGCCCATAGCTAGGATTTCTTTATAGTATGTATTATTATCAATTTTAACATTAATGTTTCAACACAGAAAAATTATCTGTTCACATATAATTAAATACAATTTGAATATTATATGACAGAAGAAATAGATAACTAAATAGATTTATAAAAAAAATGTTAAGAGGTGCAAAAAAGAAAACAATAGTAGTAAAATATAAACATACATTATATTTAATTACTGTACAAAACATATTTAAATATATGACAAAATTATAACAAGTTCAGTCAAATGCTCTCATCACTGTTTACAACGCTGTCTCATCTGTTTGATAACAGCAACGTATGATGGTGGGTAATGGTCTGAAGGAGGTGTTGCCTTGACGAGAAACTCTCCTAAAAACACTGGTTGTACAACGTGAACCTTTTTCGATGCCAATTCTTTTAAGGGAACAGGAATTTCTATTTTGCCTTCTTCCCAGATAACAAAATTACATTTCAGGATATCACTGAAAAGAAATTTATAAATTGTAAACTTTCTGAATATTGTTAATTGTTATTATATTATTCTTATGAATAGAATATACATCTAATAGGTTCATAAAACTACAATTTTAGCTTGAATTAGTTGTATGAATTGCTACAGCTCTACGTGTTTTAAAACATAATGATACATACAGTCTAAATAAAGTTCCCTAAAAAATCCATGAAACTTTCACTAATGTAAATATATTAGAAAGCAATAGTAAAAAATATTTCTGTAAGTCCCTCAGTTTGTGATGGTGGACTGGTGGCTTTGTTAATATTTTTATATTTTAAGTTTAATTTCAAAGAATGATTCCTCTGTATAATAAAAGTAAAGGAAACTGTGCAAACACGTATAAAAGAATTAGAAAAAAGTTATAAAAAATATATAAGGGGAAAGGAAAAACAATTTAAAGCAGTATTTTACTAAATAATGGTTAATAATTAAAATATAATCATAGCCCTGGAGCCAGGGCCCAAAAATCGACCTGATCGCAGGCGAAGGTTTGATTGTAAATTACGAAAGTGTATGTTATTCTGAGTAAAAAAAACCTTGTCTGCCGTTCCAGAGCCGATGCTTTCAAAAATGGCGGCTGATTTAAAGAATATTAGGCCAGTAATTTGACGATCGAAACGGGAAATCCATTGCGAAAAATGTGAGAAATTTTTTTAACTTGTATATATGGGTTTAGACATGTAAAAAACAAAATTGCTAACGCGGGCCACCGAGGGAAAACTTTTTACAGCCAAAAAAGTCAGATTTTTAAAATATTTTTTGGGTTTTTCACCTACAACTCCTAAACAATACATCAAAGCGAAAAATGTATTCTTTAATAAATTAAAGGACTTTAAATTTTGCGTCAAACGAGTACATAAACTTTATTTGGTTAAGCGGTAAGGTATAAAACCACAGTCAACCAACGCTGAACTTTACCAAATTTGTCAAAAACTGAGACAAATTACTATAAATGGCCGTGTAACTTGGAAATGAGTTCCCTAAGAGGAAAAACCCATAGAATCAAAGTTGTAGAGCATCAAATTTTGCGTCCATTGAGTACTGACATTTTTATTGTAGGCCAATTATATATCTTGAATCGGGATTCGTTAGTCCTTTATAAAATTCGGTATCTTTCGGCACATCGTTTACCAAAATCTTTTGCTGTTGAGAGGTGGAAAAGAGGCTTATACTGCATGTAACAGACTTTAAACAAAACTAACTCAGCAGAAAAGACACCCATACTGTTGAAATATTGAAAACCTTGGTTTACCTTCATTACCAATTTCTAACCATCGATAGATTACCGATTTTTTTTGCAGCCAGTGACCTACATTAAATTAGTTGGTACTCAGTTGACGCAAAATTTGATGCTCTACAACTTTGATTCTATGGGTTTTTCCTCTTAGGGAACTCATTTCCAAGTTTCATTTTATTTCCAAGAACTCATTTCATTGACCTGCGATCAGGTCGATTTTTGGGCCCTGGCTCCAGGGCTATCATGTTTTAAATAGTGAAAATTGTGATGTGGAAGGAGTATTTTCTCTTTTGAAACATACTTGAAGATAAGAGGTATAAATTGACAGAAAGAATAACAAATTAAATAAAGGAGAATAATAAAACAAAATACATAATAAAAATTGTACAAACTTTTCCAATTTTTTAAACCTTAATTAAAAGAGAAAAAATAAATGAATCACTCCATGGTACCAAACTAAAAAATCTGATGAGTTACAACCTCCTCATCTTTTGTACTAAAGATCTTCATTTGGACAACGGAAGAAGCAACCTATTTACAATGAAAACTACATGGACTTATTGAGTTTTAGAAAGATCAAAGCATTTCAATCCCAAATACTTAAAAAAAAAATTTAAAGAAATGTACAATGACAAAAATATGCATATTAATTGTTGTCACATGTTATGTGACAAATATGACATCCTATATCTGACAATTCAGTACATTTCGTTCTTCCGCCACCCTATCCATTAATGCGATGTTGGTGGACCATAATCATTGGCTAAAAAGTTAACAGCCAAGGAAACTGATGATTCAATATCATACAATAGAAAAAAAATCAAATGATTATAATTAAAATAATAAAAGGTTTAGGGAACCCTAAGGTTTGATGCTGATACCGGATACTTCCATCCACCTTTGCTTTATTCTATCTCTCGGACAGCATATATCAATATAGCAGTATATAGCAGTCGGCACAGCATATATCAAATTTATATTGGTTCTCTTGTTACTCATTATTATTTATTTAGTTGGGCACTACAACTCAGTGACAAGTCTGGCCTCCTCAACCAGCTTTCTTTAAACATCTCTGTCTCTGACAGCTACCATTCAGTCCCTGATGCCGAGTATAGTTCGAGCGTCATTTGCTACACCATAAGCCCATCAAAGCTTTGGCCTTCCTCTGTCTCTCATAGAGGCCATATGGCCTACCTAACTGTTCCTGTTAGTAGGACTTGAGTAACATCGGACTCTTGATATTTATAGAAAAGCTGTTGGTGGCTCCTTCTCCTCCATTCATTGCCTACTTTCTATACTCCTAATATCCTACAAAGAACTTTTCTTACAAAGATTTGAAATTTTTATTACTAAGTCCAATAATCTTACATGAACATTTCGTTCACTGGAATGAATCACTTAAATTATACAATCTGGTTACACTTGACGCATTTGGAAATTGTATACACCAAAAACATCCTGAGAAACTGACAGAAAATTTTTTTCTACAAACTTCCGGACTGCTTAAGTCAACAATATTTCAATAATCAAAAGAAAATAACTGCATTTATCTAACTCGGGGTTGGCAGGGCAGTCTAAGGCACTTAGAATAAGTAATCAAAGTTAAGCAACTTTGATCATGATATGTATTTGTTGGATGGATGACTTCCCACCATTGAAAGCCATGTAACCTTAGACTACTTTCCCCTAGGTGCTGCAGGCAATTCAAATCAACCGGGCGTAAGAGGTAAGAGTGTTGACTCTACCTTGTGTACTTTAATTGAGAATGGCAGAGGTTTGTTCCATGGAACTAAACCAATTTGTTACCGCCCTTTGAACCCGAGTGAGTCAGTGGGAGTGAAACTCCCAAATTGGCCCTAAATTAAAGCAATGTGAGGTTGCATGACCCCCTCAAAGCTATCTGGGATCCTGTTAACAACATACAACTGTATGAAGACCACATCAGATGGCCAAAGATCTACACTGTCTATTTCTCTAAAAAAAAAAAAGTCTTACCATTGTTGGAAAATTTGAGCTCCTCCAGCTTCCAAAAGTCGTGTGAATTGAGGTTTCTTGTTTTCGACTGTGACTAGACATACTTTCATATCCCTGAAAGGAGAAGTTGAACCCATATCTTGTTTTCTTTTCCTCCACCTATTTAAAATAAAAAAAATTAAGTAAGTCCATGATGACGGAATGCTGCATTTGAAAGTTAATGCAATTATACAATGTATAATTAATAGATGTCACTCTGAAGAAGTCTCCCGGAACTTGTGAAAAAAAACAAGATCAGAATAACTGATAAATATAATGAATCTTGAAGTACCTGTTATTGTTATAATTTAGTAACTAATTATTATAATTTGATGTCAATAAGATTATTTGTAATTTATTTTGTCTTAATATTTAAAATTAAATTTGAACAGTATTTAATTTTTTCTTAGTCAGGGAAAACCTTATCTTGAGGAGGTACAAAGATAATATATAATCAAATAACAATTAACACCAGATATGTCATTAATGAAAGCTATTTACAACTTTACAATAACACAAGTCCTATTACAAAAAAAATTGGTGCGGTATGCGAATCACAACTTTTAATTACCACCCTTTTCTTATCAGAAATAAGTATTTTCAGACAAAGGGGAAGTGAAAGTAAAAATTATAAACGCTATATTGATTTATATTTCATTGTGGATATTTTTATTTGTTAAATTACCCTTATATATACAAATTTCAATATTTATATTGCTGTGATCTATACAATTAAATTTAAATAACACCAACGAAAACAACATTTAGGAAAAGCACATATGTATATGTACATAATATTGTTGGAGTCCGTATTTTATTATGCTCATGTTATGTATGGAAACCTGTTCATAACAACTATTCTCTGTTATGATCTCATAATTCCTCCTTTAGTGAATTATCCAAATTCTTTCATATTTTATATTAGAGATCAATGTGAAATGATTATTGTTTCAAATAAAAAAATCAAAGATACTTTAGAGGAAGCTAATACTGAAAATTAGCCATTTAAGCTCTGTTAGAGAAAGTCAATGAGAATAAAACCTACATAAAATTAAAAATTAATTAATTTTACACTGATATAATGAATTTGATCAAAATAGTTGGAGCCGTTTTTAAGAAAATAGTAAAAATGTGTTTCATCGATGATGTAAAGTGCCACTTTCGGTAAGCCAATTTTGACAAAAAAGTTGCTGCAACATCTCAGGAATATGGAAACCTTAAATATGCAATTTCACTTTCATATGACTTTTCTTTTTTGAGCTAGACCTGTCACACACACACCATTTTGCAGGGCATGGTGATTCGGACTCAGAAGACCTCAAAACATGTATTTCCATTGAAAACTCAGATTCAAATATTTTCATGATCACAATATTGTACCTAACTCAGTACCTAACTATATATCTCATATATAGGTAAATGAAAGTTATAGTCACACTATGTGCATGTTTTGTTTTTACAGGAGTAAATTTCATCAAATTACATAGTGATTTAATTTTATAAAATATATAGGTATGACTGTGTTTTTATGTTTTTAATTTACTTATCCTTAGGTTATTTTATTTTTTATTGTACATAGCTTTGGATTATTATTTAGTTATTATTTCACTTTTGTTAATTTTATGTTTTTTCTGTATATATGGTGTGAATGTGTTCATATATCACTATAATTATTGTCCACATGACAGATTATTTATTTCTAAATAAATAAATAAATATCATACTTATAACTAGCTGCAACTAGCCCAGCCTCTGTTGAACCTTCTTTCACTTTTGGCAATCTCATAACTGACCTCTGATTGCCCCATTCGTATTCTTCCTCCTGAAATGAAGGTAATGTACTTCATTGTCATGCATAATTTGATTAGTTAATAAAAACAAGCAATTTTAATTTATTTGGTCATAGAATAATATTCTTAATATTAATCACTGTTCTATGTATTTTTATTAATAAAATTTAAAACCAACGTCCCTGAAATACGCTACCAAAATTCTATTGTTAAAGAATAGTAGGTCCCTCAAAACAAATATGGAGCTATTCTTGCTTAGAAACAATGATGAATGAATGAGAAAGCCAGGATCTAAACAATGATTCCCGCTTCTTCCATACCAACTAGTGCACTCTCCTTTGCTTCAGAGCCACAATATCCAAATTGTAACCATTAACCTTGTTCGTGATATATTTTAATCCACATGTTGAATTCAAACTCTTTATGTTTCACATACCAATACTCTATTTTTCAACTTGTTCCATGAATCTCCTAAAGCAGTCCCCAACTGGAGACCCGGACAGGGGACTACTTTACCTCCCTATAATTATCGTTTTACCTTAGGAAGATCCATTAGACTATTTGTGGTGAATGGTGAACTAAAGATATGTGAGTAGAGCATTCAATCCTACATCACACTCTCAGCAAATCGGTGGGGCTGCTCTCATTATTGGTTGGCGAGTCCATAACATAAGACTTGGCTGGGAGGAACTTCCAAGGAATTTCCACTGAACATCCCCATAACCATCACCCACGGGACCCTCCTTAGAGATGAATATTTTTATTAGGAGATACAATAGAAAATCAATTAAAATAGAAGAATAATCAATTCCAAAATAATTTTAAGAAGTCTTGATTGTGTAAGATTTTTATTAAATAAATTAACTCAATAAAAACAAAAAGTTGGGAAATGTAAAGTTAATATCAAAATTGTTTTGCAGACCCTCTGGTAATGGCAATCCGGAATATAGTTAATATAAAAACCTACACTAATCAATCCTTTTCTGTTTTTCCTTGGTCATACATCATTATTTGCTTAGTCTTTTATTTTATATTATTTATTTCAATATCGTTATTATTTTTATTGTATAAGCTTATATTACATCATTCTACAGTTTGCCGTTGGAATGCGGTTAATTTTTAAATTTAATACTTTATAAATTATATCCTCTACCTTATTTCTTAATATTACTCTTTGTTTTCTTTAAACGTTTACCTTAATTTTTATTATTTTCTATACTAATTAGATATATAAAATATCTTTATCCGTGTGATTTTATTTTTAATATTCAATTCTATATCAATAGGATGGAAGCCCTTAATTGCTTCCATATTGATCTTTAGTTTTTCTTTTCTTTTCTTTATGTATGATTTAACTTCAAATACAAATAAATCTGAAGTGTATTCTTTTAAAGTCCCATAAACTTGAAGAAGTTAAATTTATAAAAGTAATAATTTATACAAATACAACAAAAGTATCTGGTTCCAAGAAATGTAACTTAGTAAATTTGATCTCTAAGGTAAAAAGCAGTCACTCATTATTAATAATAAACATTGATAATTTTAATATGGATAATGAATATTTTACAAAAAAAATTCTTTCGAGCCCATGGTGGCCTAGTGTGTTAAAATGTTGTCTACTTTAGCATTGGTAAGTCAAGAGTGGTGCCAGTTGCAATTTGGCTAATTTTTGGTGGACCTGTAGAATAAATTTTGACCTTCTGACTCTGACTAGCATAAATTCGTTACCTGGATAATAACATGCCCTCCCTATCCTTGTTGGAGTATATTAGGACACTATGGCCAAATAAACAAACAAACAAAAGATTTTAATTTTTGTTGACTGTTAACATCCTACACTTTAACCAGCCTATTGCAATCTATTAATTCCTGTATCCACCAAGTTCTGATCCAGTTATCCCAAGGAATTATTTTTTTGAAAATCTCTTAATCATATTTTTTTTTTACAAATGAAATTGTTAATGGTTACAATTAGGACATATTTTATAGTGGAAATGCATACATTCTTCTTAAAGTCTTGAGTTTTTTTTTTTTAAACATTATTTCATCAATTTTATATGAAGAAGCGAGTTCTATTTCCATTAGTTTCACAAAGGATGTATATTTTTTAAAACTTACCGTGGAGTAATTATTTAAAAAAAAGTTAATTAAAAAACAAAATGAAATCAATTCTTACCGGAAGAAATTGCCTTGTCTCATAACAACTATCCAAATACGACGTGTGAAGTACCCATTTACCAGAAGCAATGCAACAGAGAAGTTTTTCACTCCTGATTGGCTTCTCTATGATTATGTGAGTTGTTGCAGGATCGTACGTGGGGCACTGCGTGACTCCACCTCCAAGGTGGCGTATTATACCTTCATATTTCTGCTTTGCTTCTGCCTGAAAAAAAGTGAACATTTAACTTTTTAAATATATATACAATACACTACTAGTTATGAAGCAGCATGAAAATATTACTATATCTATATTAATAAAAATGTAAATTTTTCGTTTGTTCAAAACCGTTAATCTCCGAAACTTCTTCATCGATTGCTTTGAAATATTGACATAATGTTTCTATCCCATTCAGGAGTGTTTTTATATACATTTAATCACCGTCCGGTTTTTCGTTTTGAAAAGGAGGCCCAAAAACCTGTGACTGTAGCGCCTAAACGGCTGTAACGATTTTAATTAAATTTGGCTAAAGTTTTCTGCTTGAAGCCCTTCTAATTTATGTATATAACATCTTTCCCCGAAAAGAGTATGAACAAAAAGTTACGATGGGTTAAAAACTATATTTGCGAATAACTCAATAAGTACAAAATTTTTGTTAGATTATACCTATCATTATTTGAAAGCTTCCTTTATTCTCTGCAAAATGATAAAAAAAAAAATCATAGAAATCAAAAAGATTTTATTCCAAAATGAACAATTTGTACCGGTCAAAGGAGCAGAGTGGGTTCAAATATTTTTTTTAATGAGGAACAGAATTGAGATTCTTATTTCGCATCTCGACAAACCCTGAAATAAGAAATTTCATTGTGATCGAAAAATAAAAATTTTTACCTCAAATTTTTGTCAAGGCCCTTCATTAACCCTTTAACTTTTTATTAAAAATCACAAAAGTTGTCATAGCTTCAACATGGCTCTACTCACCCACACGAAAATTGACATGCATTTAGGGTCCTATAATATAGATGAAATGGCACAAACCAAAGGTCCATAAATAAATTAGGCCTTGAAGATAAAAAATGAAAACCTGTTTGGAGTTCTTCTTTATTTATTCCTCATGAGAGTGTTAAATATAAAAGTTTTTTATATAGGCTTAAAGAGCAACAACTCAGCTTTCCAATGGTCATAGAAACATTGAATTAGGAGAAAATCATGAGGAGTTATCAGTTATTTAGTGGGAAGCAGGTCAATTGGTTTCCATGGCGACCCATCACTTATTTATTCCTTCATCTATATTAATAAAAATGTAAATGTTTGTAATTTATCATATGTCTAATTATGAGAAAATGGCACCAAACCCGAAGGATGTGACTAGAAAAGTAAATGTTTGTTTGTTCAGAACCGGTAATCTCCGATTCCATCTGATTTCTTTTCTACTTCTTTTTTTATTTTACCAGAATGAGCCATAGCAACGTGTAGTCGGGTTCAGCCAGTTCATTAATAAAGAAGAATAGTACACTGAGAAATATTAATTTAGATATCTATCCTTTCCAATGGATTAGAAGTATTAATTAACCATACTATAAAAACATTTTAATTCATTAAAAAGAATATATTATCATAAAAAAATTCTATTTATCACACGTAAATTGATGAAGCTCCATGCTTAATAATGACTATGCAGTTTAAGTAATTGGCTTGCTATAAAGAAAAATATCCCTTCAGTTAAGCAATATGATTTACCTATTCATAAATTAATAATAATCTAGTATTGTACTCATTGAGACCAATTGGGTTGCAATGAAACAACAGGATCCTCCGTTAGTAGTTTTCTGAATTATTAGGAATGGAGTAAAGAAGCAAACCTGGATAAGAATTTTATTACCGCAATAGTAATAAACAATCAAGAAAATTAAAACGTCAAAAAAAGTGCTTATTTTTATTAAAAATATCAAAGAGTTTTTTTCTATACTATCTGAGATGCCAGCTATTCTCCTTCATTTACCTTTTCAATAGATTTTTATTTTGACAAATATTGTAATAAATAGTAACATTTTAATTTTTAAAAATCTCAACAACATGCTATAAATATCCCATGGCAACCGTGGAATCTAGATAGCTTTTGGCAAGAATAATGATTTATCTCCAAAACAGTACATTTTACGGCTGTAAAACAGATCGAGGCCTTTAAATTAGATTTGATGTCCATGTCAAAATCTTTAAAATACATTTAGTTCCATCTTGATCTGTTGACTTGCCTATGTCTGAGTTTTGAAACCTCCTATTTAAAATATCTTTTGTTCAAGATGTGGTACAAAATTATAGATCGAACTTGGAATCCCTAAATTTTACATGAACTTCTCTCTCTCTCTCTCTCTTTTTTTTTTTTTTTTTTTGACAAAATCTTTCACTTCTATGAATCATAAAAGGAATCTATACTACTGTATTATATTAATAGTAGATATTTTTGAGTAACTTGAAGAACAAAACAAAAGAAATATATAAAATTAAATACAAACTTATGTAATAAACAGAAGAGGTATAAGAAACCTACAGAATAAACAGACCATCCATCCTGCTGTCCAAAACTTTACACAATTGCTCAGTAGACATTATTATTAATAGGGCTTATCCAGCCCACTTTAAGTGGGATATTGAGTCATTAACCCTAACTTGCACCATTCCCCACTGGATGAAACAATAGAATATAGATTGTTCTGTTGCCAAAGCTTTAATGATAACCTATGAAAAGTTAGAATGCAGTAGAGGACCACATGCTTCATTATCAGCAGAATGCTACGACCTTAGGAGCCAAAGGAGGTCTAAACAATGAACTATGTAATGAAGAAGTAGGCGCATTGTCTGCCCACTACTTCCTGAATGCCTCATAGAACATCCTGTTATGGACTTTGGTCCACCTTACCTCATCCAATATTTTTCTCCTATCATTAAATTTAAAAAAAATATATATAAAATTTTAAAAAATCAAATAAATTTTAAAATCTAATAATCAGATAAATTTAAAATAATAACATTTATTCCTGCCCTAGATGGACAATGAGGCATTAAACCCATTATTCTTTTTATTTTTAACATAGAATTAAAGCTAAAATTTTTGACAAAACAGAAAGGATTTTTAATTAAAATTCTTTTTATTACTTACCGAAAGTCCTGAAAGAAGGAAAACCTTGGTTGATTCATCAACAACAACAGTATTTTCAAGTCTCTGAGTCTAAAAATAAATGTAATATAGCATGCTTTATTATAAATAAAGTTTGGATTATAAAAGTAATTATTAATTGTAATAAATTATAATTTTACATCAAAACATTACTTTTTGCAGCACATAGCAGTTTGAAAGATGACTATGAAGTATAAACCACACTTATGTGGAGGTATTCAAAGTTGATTATAGTTTAGTATTATGGTCTGATATATCATTGGTTCAAACGCTAACTATGGAATATGAACAATTTTCAATCTTCCTCTCTAGTTATTGTAATTGATTTATTATTAAAAAAATCAAACAAAACTACTTTTGAAAATTATCAAAACATAAGATAAAAATAGAGTAATAAAAGAATGGCTATAAAATAAAGATTAATATAAATAGACATAACAATTTAATGGAATATGATCTTAATCTAATCTAACCTTTATGATTGGAGATTTCTTGTTAACAACACGATCAGTTGTAGCATTTTTATTAGCCGTTTCTGTAACCTGCAAAAGAAAAAATGAAAAATTTCAAGAAAGAAAATATAAAAACTAGAGTGTACATCAGATTTTCAATTTTATGTGTTCTAGGCTCTATTAGTTATTTATATTACCAATGAAATGGAAAGTGGCTACTGAATTGGATTGTTTAGGTTAATATTCCCAATCCATTTTCAAAAATTTTACATGGAAGAACATTTGACACATAAACATTACTGGAAACAGCAAAAACATCAATTCTGTACATTATTTGACTAAAGTAATCCACAGGGGTTTGGACCCATTATTATGCTAGATTGAAATGTATTAGGCCAATACAACTTTACTAAGTGATGTAGTGAATATTATGTAACTTGTGAAAATAAAATAAGAGTGTATAGAGAAATAAAAGATTTTGGAATTCGAGGACAATTTTGAAACTAATAATCCCAACTGAAGGATGAGTATTTAACTGGGCAAGTGCCTCCTTCCTGCTATTAGAAAATTTGTTGTTGCTCTCTGTCTATTTTTTTCTGTTTCTTAAATGAAAGTCACCAACCTCATTTTTTTTGGGTGTTTTAATCTTTTTTTCATACTTTTTTTTTTGAGCTTGGATTTAATGGATGAGTATCCAGCCCACACTTTTTAAAAAATAGAAATTATCATTTATTTTATACATTAGATCATGTCATAATGATAAATTACGTGTGCCAAAGTTTGTATTAATGAGATTGCACTGTATTATATAGTAATTTCTATTATTGAAAGAAGTTAGTCGACTGGTCTACATATCATGGGTGATAAATATTCAGGACGCACGGTAGTACCTGAAAATCATAATTTAATTTTAAGCTTCTTCAATTTCTTCATAAATCATATCTCATTATTTTTTCTCAAATAAAAGGTTGTCAATATTTTTCAATAAAAATCAACATAACACCAGTATACCCCAAAACAAATATACTAACTAACCACTTTAACAATATAACACTGAAGAATGAGTAATAAATATTATATGTGTTTATTATATTAATTACCAATGACTTAGAAGCAGAAGAGGGTTGTGGAGTAGTTACACTTTTACCACTGGTAGCTAAACTGCTATTGGGCTCATCAGCTTCCTACAAATATGATTATGTAAGATTATATATATTTATAATCAATATATCAGTTGTTTATTAAGTTAAAAGCACTGTGGTATTCACATACATAGGCAAGGGAACACTATTTTATCCAAAACTTAGTTAACAAAGTAAGCACAAAGCGAAACGGGTGTTTTGAAATGGTAGTAACCCTTGGTATATATAATGGACATCATTTCGAATCATGATCATGATAATAGCTCTTATACTATATAGGGTTGTCCACAAGACTGGAGGTGAGACTGAAGAGACTCATCAATTGCTTCATAAGATTCATCTTTGGGATTCCCATGTTCCCTGCTTATACATCGAGTTAAAGTGACTCTATTCTATTTCCCGACAACAATTCCTTTTAAGTGTTTTTCTTTTCCGAGTCCTCAGAACAAAAAATCCTCCCTACATCCTAGAACTCATTAATCTATGTCCCTCTATCCACTCTTTTAATACCAGATCTCAACCTGTAGATCTATAAATCCCCTCCTCTAAAACCACTTCATTTAGCAAATCCTTTGTCATTCGTGTTACCTCCTTTTGGAACTCCTTACCTATCTCTATACGTCAAACCACATCCACAAATTCCTTTGAACAACTCCTATTCCACCACATACTACACATTCAAACTTCTGCAAGCTTGTAAGAATTTTTTGTTTATGAAATTACAATTGCTCACCAACAGTCAAATGGTAAGAGCCATTTTATTTTTATTAATTTCTTTTTTTCTTAGTATTTTTTGTATATATTTGTATTATATCTACATGACAGACTGAAGTATATAGTTTTTGAGCTCTGCTATTATTCTAAGGGGACTTTAGTCCCAGAATAAAATTATTTTTCTTTTCATTTTACAGCAAGTCCCCTTAGGATAACTATATTTGCGTAGACTACATCAATGGTAAATCTCACAGAAGTAAGCGCAATTTTATAGTTTCAAATAAAAAAAATCTGGTGCGCGCAACACACAACTTTCACTTACCTATCTACTTTGAATAAATATTATTTTCTGGCAATGTTGAACAATTTTTGAAGTGCACTTTTAATAGAGCTACAGCCTAAAGCTTATAGTTAACAAATCATTAAAATAACAAAAACCCTATTAATTATATTAACGGTAGGCAATAAAAAGCTCATTACTCCATCTGTTTTATAAACCACACAACTCAGGTCTCTGAGCTATGTATATATGCTTAGAGATATTTGAAAGTATATCTATATATTCAACCTATAAATGATTATCGACTGTACGACTAATAGTTACTTTCCACTGCAAAGTTCACTAAAATGGAATTAAGAGATTTTCATGGCCTGCCATAAACAGGTCATAAGTTGTCACACTAATTTTAATTGTATAATGTTGTGAGCCATTTTCGAGAAAATCGTAAAAATGTGTAATATCAACTATATAAAGTGCCACTTCCGGGTAGTCGATTTTGACGAAAAAGTTGCTGTAACATCTGAGATATATACAAACATTAAATATGCAATTTCACTTTCATACGACTTTGTTTTTGAGCTAGGCTGATAAAATACATACACACACAGACCATTTTGCGGGACTTGGTTATTTGGACTCAGGAGACCCCAAAACATGTATTTCAATTGATAACTGAGATTCGACAATTTTCACGATTGAAATACTTTCCTTTAATATATATTTCATATAGAGGTAAGTACAAATACATCCGGTTTAGTAAGATATTGGTCATTATATTGTAGGAAACTGGACGAGTCCTACGCCTTTGTAAACGGAGCCCTTCTTTAGGATAAGGCAGATAAGACCTGTATTCCAAGCCTCTGGTACCTTTTCTTCTTCCCCATCTTTAAACAGTTCTGATGTAAGGTTATCCATCCCTGGGACTAGACAATGTAGGTTGTCTATTCTTGTTTTACGCCTTTCATTCAATAGCTAGTTTTATTTACTTGCAATGTGCTGGTAAAAACAGATTCAGCTTCAGATAAAGCAGTACAGAAAATTATCTTTCTTTCAGTGCAGAGGCGTTTATGAAAAACATTTATAAAAAAGAAGAGGAAAAATACTCAAATTTCTCATGAAATCACTGCTGCAATTTTATAAACTACTTCACAATTAAAGATAATATATATTTTAAAAAAATTGATTCCTTCATTTTCAGTATAAGTCAAATTGTTTTTTTAAATTAATTAAATCAATCATTAACTATATGGTGAAATATACCGTAACTGCAGTAGGTTTCTCGGCCCATGAATTCTTTCCATTAGATGAAAAATCCCACATAACTACATTATTTTCATTAAAATGGCCACCTTGATTATCATTACCCCATTCTCCTAAAAAAACAAAACAATAAATATAAAAACAGTAGAAAAACATTACATTATGTACTTTATAAATGATAATTAATTTGGACTAAAATATTACTAATAATAACAAATATTATGTAAGTACAAAAATTAAGACAAACGCTACACGGTGGGCCAGACCCCACTGCTGTGCACTCTTCCCCCTTCCCCCTCCACATCCCTATATAAATTGTATATTGTTGTATTCCTTGCAATTATCCATTAAAAAAAAAACCAATGTTCCCACAGAAAAAAAGTGAACCACTGTCCCAAAATGATTTCCGAACATGGTGGATTGACGACTTTGATTAGAGTTAGTTCTTTGGTCACAGAGATTCAGCATTTGACTTAATTTCTTCATAATTGATCTTTTATTAAAGATGGATAAACAGAGAATAATAAAACATGAAAAAGTATACTATAATCGGTTTAGGCAATAAAAAAACACCAGTAAAGTAACTTTTTTCAAAAACAAATTTTTAAAGTTGAAAATCAAGCATTATTTTTTATTAAATGGTTAACAATAATGAAAAATGTCCTGTAATAAAACATCTAGACAATACATTTCTCTTTCTAATTCAGAGATTAATTTTTAAAAGGTTCCTTAGAAAATGCACTTAATCGGCAGAAAAGCTGTACTGCAGTAAGTGCCTAGTGTCTTCTGGTACATCATTCAGTACTGATAAATGGTATAGTTATAATGATATAATAACGTTTTTAGTATATTATTTTGGCTGTATTAAATAGAAATATTAATGCAATAAGTTAATTACCCAAAACAATTATAATTTTTTTTTTACTACTTTCTATATTCTGTAGTGACTATGTTTAAGATAGCCTCTATTCTAAAAAAATATATAATTATAATAATAAAACTTAATTCAGTAATACTTAGCAATTTAAGATTTTTTTTTCATATTAAATGATCCCTAGAGGTCCATTATATTTTAGATACTTTCCAAAAATGAATCATATTATCTATATATATAAAAATGAATGTATGTCTGTCTGTCCTCAGTGCATTACTAAACCATTCAACCGACCGCCATGAAACTTTGGGAGGTTGTTCCGTACACTCCTGGGAAGGTTTCTGGCATAGTACTTCTGTCTTACGATAATTTTATATATGTAAAAAAAATAAAAATGTAAATGTTTTTCTGTTTAAAGCCGCAAAGAAATGTGTCGCTATAAACTGTAGTGCCGAAACGGCTTTACTGATTTTAACAAAACTTGGCTAAAATATTCCCCTTGAAACCCTTTAAATTTATGTGTATAACATACTTTCCCGAAAACAAGCTGAAAAATGTTACGATGAATTCAATATTTTATTTGACGATAACTAAAAAAGTACACAATTTTTGACTGTTCGTTGCAGAGTTATTGAGTTTTAAACATTTACTGCTTTCTCTTCAGAAAAGGGCGTTTCCTTTTGCTTCCTCACTACCGAACGTCGGCAAGTATTTTTTTTTTTTATTGATTAATCGAAAATTTTATAATTACTACAGTAATTGAAATTATCATTTGAAGAATTTATATGATTCTCCTTATGTAGGTCAATACTATTATACGTTTTTTAATTAATTTTTTAATTTAGTTTTATAAGTTCAACTCAGACTGTTTCTGATGATTATGAATGTTCAATTTGAATCATGAGAAAAAAAAATTTAAAATTAGTTTTAATTGAAGCCATTTTACAGACAAATGTGTTTCCCAACTTTTTAAAAATGATAGATGTCCTTTGCTACTAATCTACTCATATGTGCTTTCTATTTTCATTCTTTTCATTTTGCCAGGCTAAGCCACAGCAGCGCGTGGCCGGGTAAAGCTAGTCTGTTTTATAAACTAAAATATATTCTTAATCTGGATGACATATAATGAATTGTTACCAGACTGTTTAGCAAAAATCATAAATCGGGACGATGAGTCGTCAAAAACGGGGAAAAAAATATATGAATTTGAAGTCAATCTGTACAATTTCCTTGGCTTTATACAAGTGTACAATAGTAACATAGATTTTTTTTGTCTCCCCTTCTTTGCCTTTTAGGCTATACAGGGTTTTTCCTGGGTCAGGAGGGAGAAAGGGGAAATTATGAAAAGTTAAGCAACCTGGATCAAAGATAATTAAAAAATAATTACAAGACCCGGTGCCCAGAGAGGGGGGGGGGAGGAGAGAAGGAAGGGCTTTTAACTCTGACATTAATCCCCTGCACTCACCCTCTGGTCCGGGAAAACCCCGTATAAAAGTGACACCCTGTGGTATTTATTCGCACTACAGAAGGCACTAAAGTTTAGTAGCTCAAGTAACAGAGCATATTTTTAAGCTTAGATCCAGAAACACAAGACAGTATAGAACCAGTAGTGATGTCTGGCTGTGAAACCTGAGTACTCACCAAGGATATCGAAAGGTTATTGAATAAATGGGAACGAAAAGTACCAAAGAGGAAATATAGACATATCTGTGAAGTTGGACAGTGGAAGCTGAGGTAGAACAAAGAACTTTGATGCATGTTCCACCAACAAGAACTAGTACATTTACTAAAACGTATCAATTAAGTAGGGTGGAACACTGTTAAAAGAATACCTTGATATTTTGAATGGATTTCCTCACAGCTATTCAGTTTACCATGGGGGTGGGGTAGCTCAGTGGTAGGGCGCTTAGCTTCCAATGATAATTCCAGGTTCGAATCCCAGCCCATGCCAGAAAATTATTTATTCTGTTTCATTTGCCGTGGGACGACTCTGGGATCAGGTGGCAACAGGAAAACAGATTTTGAGCTATTGTGCACAGGGCAATTAATATGCACATATATATGTGCATTACAGATTGGGCATCGAGTCTGAAATCCTTATAAAACAAGGAATCTAGTGAGTGCAGAGTGCGTACACAACTTTATATTTAATATAATCTAAATATAAAAGAGAAAAGGAGATAGATTGGAGATTTTTTTATGTTTATTATTAATTAATAAAACTAATAACTCACTTGTGGGAGATTGATGCTGACGAATTGGAGGTTGAGAAATTCTGTTACTCAATCTTTGTTTTAAGTGCGGACTCAATTCTTCAAGTGATTCAGCTTTCTTTAATTCATCTATCACATTCTGAGAAACTAACCTGTATTACAAAAATATAGTGCTTAGAAACTACAGATTAACAGTAATAGTAGAGCATAAAAATTAATTTATAATAAAAAACAAAATAATTCTAGGATACTTATTTTGTCACTTTAAGAGAATTGATAATACAAAATAACATGACAAATAATGCAAACATCTCTTGAAAAATAATATTTTTTTTTGAAAAATTATTAATAATTAAATACAATAGCTTATTCTTTTAGGTAACTTAAAAGTAGATAATTCAATACATAATTATTAAATATAGAATAGTATATAACTAATAACCATAGATAAGAGTAGTACATATTGCAATTGAATCAGAATAGATTAATTAAGAAAATGAAAACACATTATTATGAAAAATTCCAATTAAAAAAAAAAAATGTTTTCTTTTTATTAATATCAGTTTTTTTTTTTCCTCTTTGCATTAGAGACTTTGTAGATCTTTATCTACCTAAACCAGGCTTTTTCACCTCTCTCCATTTTGGACTATTTCTTTCCAGTTATCTACATGCAGCTCTGTTGCATCTTTGTTCATTCAATTTGCCCCTGCATTTTTGCCTTTCACAAGGCCTTTTGTTTACTATTGAGGCATTCATTGTATAGAGGCTCTCAGATAGATTGTTCACAGCTACATGATCTGCCCATCTTAACATCCTTGCTTTCATATCATGAGATATTGATTGACCTGTTTCTGTAAGCAGTTCTTTATTGGTCTTTCTCTTCCATGCATTAGTAATCTGATTCAAGATCGCTCAGGTTATTGTGCAAAAGATATTTATCTCAAATATTTCAATAATTCTTTTTAGAGTGATGATTAAGTGTCCAGGTCTCACAGCCATATATCTGAACTGGCTTTATCATAGCATTATACACGCTTAATTTGAGATTTCTTCAGATTTATCAGGATTTCAATATATTTGAAAGAGAGAAGAAAGCTCTGTTTGCGCTAGTCTATTTCCGACTGTTGGTCTTTCATTATGATTATTGTAGATTCTAGGTATTTGAATTTGTCTATTCTCAGGAACGCTTTCCCATCTATGTAGATCCTGTTAAAATGGAGTGGAATTTTTGGCTCATTATCATATATTTTGTTTTATCTTCATTTACTTGTTCTGCTTCTCTTATCAGAGTCTTAGTGAGTTCCTCAATCTCCTCTTGGTTATTTCTAAGGTCAGATATATCTGCATATCCACGGATTTTATGATTTATTCTGACATGGACATTTACATTTTCATGAGAGTTACTTAGCATTCTCTATTGCTCAGTTGAACAACATTAGTGCGTCCATCTCTCTTCTACTGTAAACCAGTTTGAACTTTGAAGTCTTCAAATACTTATCTCTCCTTGCATTATCACTCAAAATTAAGGTTCATTTGTACACACCTTTGTCAATCTAACCAAATCTGGGAACTCTCAGTTCAGTCATCACTCTCTAAAGACAGCTCCTGTTCACACAATCATAGTCTACATACTATCATTTTTGACTACTAGTTTTAGGATGAAGATCTGGTCTAGCATGCTCCTCCTCTTCTGAATCGAGCTTGTTGGTAGAATAATATATTTTTGTAATAAAAATATATTGGTCATTACATTTTAGGAAACTGGATGAGTCCTAAGCCTCTGTAAATGGAGCCTTTCTTTAGGATAGAGCAGATAAGGCCTGTATTCCAAGCCTCTGGTACCTTATCTTCTCCCCCCATCTTTAAAAAGTTCTGATGTAAAGCGGACCCTACATGGTAAGGTAATTCATGAATGAACGTCACAAGAAGTTCCAAGATTGCCCGCTATCGCTTTGATCATGAAGATCCTTACACGTTCAATCATTGCTGATCATTACTTATCGTTGCTGACCAATTTAGCGCAGTTGTAAACAAAGAAACAGCATAGATATGCTTATTTGGACATTGTCATTTATAATATTGGGCATCAAGAGAAAAACGGAGATATAATTACTTCCTAGTGCCTGAAAATCGTTTAGACCAAAGTTAGTCCAAAATATAAGTCAACTACATACAAAAATCTATGAAAAGTATTGCGAAAATAATCAATTTGTTAAGAAAAATGGAAAAATTAATGGCAAATAAACAAAACAGTTAAAGATTTTTTTTCTATAAGTAAATTGTGAAGTTTCCACTTTTTTTTCTCTCCAATTTATTGCCTACTTGACTATTTAAAGAAAAAATAGTTGAAAATGGTTAATAATAATATAGACTAGGGATATAAACAACTATTTACTTTTATGAAAGTATTTACTTAATAACGAGACCTAGGTAAACTAACCTATCTAGTAGTTAGGTTAGTCTCAGAAAATCGTTTTGACAAAAGTTAGTAAAATATAAGTCTAATACTTACAAAAATTGAGGAAAGGTATTGCGAAAATAATAAATTTGTTGAGGAAAATGGGAAAAGAACTGATAAATGTACACAATGTTAAAGTTTTTTTTCCCTTTCAAGTAAATTGTGAAGTTTTCTCATTTTTTTTTTTTTAATTTGTTGCCCACTTGACTATTCAAAAGAAATAGTTGAAGATGGTTTAAAATTATAAACAAGGGACATGAAAAATCATTTAACTATTTACATATAATGAAAATCAGAAATTTATAATGGTTGTGAGGCCTAGGTAACCTAACCTATCCAGCAGTATGGTTGGTCTCCCCAGCCCATATGTTTAGTCGGTCTCCCCTCCACTTCTCGTGAATGAACCTTTGATTTCTGGATGTTCGGAAATCCACAGCGCACCACCATCAGTACTTCATTCACTACCTTACACGACAATTTGGAACATCATTAGTGCAATTCCGATTGACCGTGTAGGGTCCCCTTAAGGTTATCCATCCCTGGGGCTAGACAAGGTAGGTTGTCTATTCATGTTTTAATTTAAGCCTTTCAATAGCTATTTCTACATTCAATATCCTAGGTTTTTCAACCTCTTCTGGGGACCAATAAATACCTGCTTATAGAAACTGGCCAATCCATACTTCATGATATAAAATGCAATTCAATTTCACAGAAAGTAATAAAAGGGAGAGGGCATGAAGGAAATCCATCAGGAAACATCTACAGAACAATAAAAGCCTCAATAGTAGGCAAGAGACCATGTGAAAGGAAAGAAACAACAGATAGATAAACTAAAACAACACATATGCTGCAGAGCTGTATGCAGAAAACTGGAATACAAAAGCCCAAGATAGACAGAGATGGAGAAGGTTGGTAAGGTGGCAAAAGATCTACTAGGTCTGTAAAGACAAGAGAAAAAAAAAAAAAACACATTGGAAATGGCACAGAAAAATAACAGCTAAGTTCTAATTTAACAGAAAAGAAAAAGCTCCCTAGCAATAGCCTGAATATCTTCACAATTACAATATTATTACATTCATGAGAGAATTTTCATTAATATACAGAACAACAAAAAGCTGATATAGTAAAAATGATGATGGCAAGTACCGGTCTCATTCCCATATCAGACATTGAATATGATATATCAGAAAACTATAGTAGTTCATAAATTATAGGAAATATATTACAAAAATATTAAAACTAAAAATACCTTAAAAAAAAAAAAATTAAATTTTATAAAATGAGATTGGTTAGCGACTGTTTTATCACATATAAATAGACCTACAGTACTTCCAAATAGTATAATATCTGTTATAGCCTTAAAACTAAAGTATTAAAACATATAGTTATAATTAGATAAATAATATCTTACTGAGATTCCGATATTTTTGCCTGAAGTGCTGAGAATATAGAATCTGGATCATTTAAATTATTTAGGTTTTCTTTCTATGGAGGCAAAGAAATGTATTATTAATTTAAATTTAATCTCTGAGTATGAAAAAATATGAAGACTGATAAATTTTATTTACTTACTTCACTTACAATAGAATTATTCTTAGAACCACTTTCTGATTCACTGTCTTTTGCCCATTCAGAATATGGTCCCTGAAAATAAAAAAATAATTTATATACATATTTACAGTGGTATCTATTTACAATTTTATGGGGACTAGATGGATAAGAAATGATTGAACAGGCGGGATTTAAAGGTAGGAAGGGTATTGGATTGACGGACGTGAGAAGGGATGGAATTCCATAGGGATGAGGATCGGATAATGAACGATCTGTCGAAAGCAGCGGTTCAGTGGGCCCTTATGTATAAATCAGAATTTATATCATTTAATATTTTATATTTGAGAATGTCATCACCTCATTATAACTATTAGTTTATATAAATCAATGTTGAAGATGGAAAAATAAGGTAATAATTTATATTACAAAACAAAATATAATTACTTGTTAGTCTTAGACATTATATTAAATTGTTACATTATGTAATATTACTTTTTTTTTAGATTAATTAGTTGTAAAATAAGATTAATAGTGATAAAGAATTCTTATCAAGTGGTTTGTCTGTGGACAGAGGTTGGTACTTTCTCGGGCTAAAGGCTACATTGTTTGTAAATAACATTAAATAATCTTGTCAACAAGTGTCTTGGGGAAATTGTGATTCTCTTTACGTACATCGGGAAGTTGTTTTTTGTGAGCAATTTGAATGAAGAAATGGGTCCGTCGTAATATATAATAAAAACAAATTTATAAATTGATGTTGTTATTTACTGAAAACAATTAAAATAATATTATTAATTTTAGGACATGAAGACAATTATTAAGTATATCTTGACTGTATTAATAGATAATATACTAACTATATCTATTAGTATGATTCATATTCATTCCTATACTTGTTATAATATTCAAACTGATTTCCTGATTACCAATAAAACAACTGATTTCTATGAATTATTTTCTAGCTTAACAACTTTACATGCCATCACCACAGTTACTGACTTAGCATCCAGAATAATTTTGCTAAAGCTAAGAAAAGAACCGGTAAAAAAAAAAATAATAATTAGACTTACTTGTTTTAAAAGTTTTCCAGTATGTTGTTCTATACCATCTATTTTAACGCCTCCACATTTGGACCACAGTTGCTTTTTAATTACTTCTAAAGGCTATTAAAAATATTAAATTTTTATTCAAATATAAAGATATTATTAAAAAGATACTATATGAAAAATTAACTACCGTTGAGGGTCGTCTATTTCTAGGAGCATTAGATCCAGGACTTCCTTCATACAAATCAGGAAGGCCATCTATCCATTGTTTCCATCTTTTCCTTGTGGTAGGAGAGGGAGTATTTTCTGAGAATATCTTTCCATAAGGTGTATCCGGAGTTTCCACATGAAATGGTGAAAACCCTGCACTTCCAGGAACTGACATCTACAAAAATAATTTTATGTATTTAAAATTATTTTAATAACATGAAGAAGACTCATTATTCCAAATAATTTACTTGATGATTCAATAACAAATGTCATAGAAATGCTTTAAATGCCAAAAATATTAAATTTGCTCAAAAATATATTAATGAAAAATGAAAATTAAATTTTTAAAAAGAAATGGTTGCACAAAGTGCCTGAGACACTCTGATAAGACACATTATCTGAAATTTTGATATTTGAGAGAGAGAGAAAAGAGGTAATGTACTATTTTTTTTTCTATTCGAGTCCATGTAAGATAATTATAAATTTTGACTTTTAATTATCTTGATATATAGATTTAACCGCCTTTGTTACTGTGAAGGCAGCGGGTGTTCAAAATTGAACCACCAAATCTGCTCTTTCAAATCTATAGGCACTGGTTATTGATTTATTAATTAATTTAATTTTAAACCTTTACAAATTATTAAAAGGAAATCCATTGAGGATAAATGTATAAAAAACGGAATAGTAGAAAATATATGTGTATATTGAAAATAATAAATGAAATAATCATGATAACAAATCAATAAATGAAAGAATAAATTAACACTATTTCTCTTGATATAAAACAACAATGAATAAGAAAAACCCAGATGTTAATTTAATCGTTCCAAAATTACAATATTAATATACAACAAAAGAGAATGACGAAAAACCGGGCACTGAACCCGATAACCAAGCATTGCAAAACAAGACACCATCCATTACACCACCAAGTGCTCTGAAGGAGCATTGTACGAAGCAGCACACACGACAGAGCTCAGCCTCACTGCAAAAGTGCTCAACCAATAAAACAATATCTCTATTCCACTAACCGCTTCTAGAGGGGCGCCAAATTGAACCCTACATACTACGACATGGCAAAAACAAACAATAAAACTGCACATGTTGGCGTCAACAGTTACGTTTCTCGAAAAGTTCTTCGCTCTGAGAGCTTCCCATATTTCATCTTGTGGAACGGAGTCAAAGGCAGATTTGAGGTCAAGGAAAGCCAGGTACATATTTTTATCCAGGTTCCAGAATTTCTGTAAGATATTTCTTAATGAAAAAATGTGGTCATGGATTTGGTGCCCGGTTCTCATCATAACACCAAACTGATTGATGTAATGATGTCTCCAGACCTCCAAGATAGCTCTGTCTTTCGTGCCCACTTTTCCTTCTTCACTCCTCTTCATGGTTCTCACTGCTTTTCTTTTATGTCCTCTTAGAGCTTTATTTTTTTCCCGGAAAATCCTGATGTTTTCCCGATGATCCTGATTCAACTTCCTTCCGAATTCTTCCAACGATTTCTGTTTCGCCACTCTTACTACTCTTGTCTTGTTTTGGGCCAGCACGTATGCTTGCCATTTCTCTGGAATTTTGTCCCGACAGTATCTCTTCCAAGCTGTTTTCATTTGCAAGACTTGCACTCTCAGTTCTTCGCTCCACCATGATGTATGTTAACCTTTTATGCAAATCTTTAGTACAGTAGCTGCTTGCAGAATGCTATCCTTTATTTGAATCCATAGATTGTCAAGGCTTGCCTTTGCATCTAATTTCTGGACACGATTCCTTAACTCTGCTTTATATTCATCTCTCTTTTGAGAGTCCTGCAACTTCTCTACTTCAATTCTTGATTAGGCTTTTATCTTCTGCTTTCTATCATTCTATAAGCAATTTAGTCGTTTCATTCTTTAACGTTTGGAAGCATTCGAGATTGTCTTCGCTAGAATTATTAAGAGAATTTATATTATTAAACATGTTTAAACAATCTTCATCGAACCACAGTTTGGTTTTTTATTTTCCTTTTTCTCAAGACACGAGTTACCGACCGCTATAATATTATTCCTGATTCCTACCCATAACTTCTCTCTATCAGATTCGAACCTATTTTTAACATCTAGCTCGCATTGAGTTCTAATTGATGGATTTTTAAGTTTTCAAAATTAAAATTCTCAATATCGAAACGGTTTTCCTTTCTTTTTTTTATATGAGTGGGAATAGAAAGTAGAACAAACAAAATGTTCGGAATCATATGGGGTGGGTAGAGGAATATTTGCTGAAAGAAAAATTAGGTCATCACAAATAAGATGGGCTGACTCTGGTGATAAAGATATTAGAGGACAGAAGAGTGACACAGTTTGCCAAAAGCCTGATAAATAGATCATAAATATAAATGTATAACTAAAAATAAAATCTTGATACAAGATTTGAATAACCAGCATTACCGAAGAGTGGCTGTACTCTGAACAGAGTGAGATGAATGGAGAAAATAAAATGAAGATTGATGACTAAATACTACATTTATCTTTAGATTAGAGTAATTATAAAAACTAGTATTCGCCCTTTAGCGTTAGCTTTATTAAAATTGTTTCAGCTGTTTTGGTGCTACAGTCTACAGCGAATCACGTGTTTTGGCCGCCATTTCGAAAGGTATACAAAAACACTCCTAAATCTTATTGTGACGTTGTGTCAAAATTTCAAAGAAATCGATGAAGAACTTTTGGAGATTAGCTTTTTTGAAAAATTATCATTTATATTTTTATTTACACTATTTCATATTTTTATTTATTGATAACACTAAAGCTCATCAATGGCTATCAAACAAAAAAAGAAGGAAGAAAATTTGTTGAATAATAGAGGAGAAAAAGGAGCTGAACCGGTTTGTGTTGGCATATTTAAAAAAGTGATAAATAAAATGTGTGCCCCGGAGGTAAAGGAAACCACATGTCCATTTTTTTTTATATTAATTAATTTAGTAACTAGGGATAAAATTTTAATAGCTCAAAGTTATGGATAATTGGCTCCCTCAACAAATACAAAAATGTGATAGGGTGTACTTTACCTCCGAAGTACAGATTTAGTAACTAAGAGACAAATTATAATAGCTCAAGATTTCAACATTATTTTTAATGTTGTAGTTAAAAGAGAACAATAATCACCCTTTTTAATGCTGCATTCAAAGGTGTTACGTCATTGGGACCACAAGATGAAGATTCCAATTCCATTGGTTCAGCTACCGATTCATCATGTCTTGAGGGATTGTTTGCAGACATGTCATTATTTGCTACTGTACAGAAAATATACATATATTTTTATAAAACCTGTACCACTAACAACCCATGAAGGGTCTTGCACCTTATAAATCGTAATATATAAATCAATAATCATACCAGCATTTATTGAACAACTTAGGGACCTATCATGAGATGTATTGTCTTCAGTTTTATTCTGAATTTGACTTATGAGCCATTCAGGAGTCTCAACAGGTATTCCCCATTTCAAAGCTGCTTCGTATTTCTTTCCTGTGGCTTCTTTGCAAAGAAGATGAGTAGATCTTTTTACACCCTTATCTGGATGATCACTCCTTGAAAACATGTCCTGAACTCTGCAAAGATCAAGAACAATTATTACCACCACAATTATATTTTATTGAATGAACTTATTTTAAATAACTAAACACTTAAGAATAGAATGGTTGGGGGTGATCAGTAAAAAAAAATGATAGTAAAAATAAATAATTTCATTTATTTTTATTATTTATTATATTATAATATTATTTATTTTTTATTTTCCGCCGACAATTCGGCCCAAAGTTCAGGCCTTCATCAAGGCTAAGAAAAAAGCAGATAACTATAGGTATGAGAAACTATAAGAAAAAAAAACCTGCACCACTACAACCCATGAAGGGTCTTGGGTTCAGTACTACTTAGGGAAAGTACCCCGTTCCCTGAAAAACTATAAACATTGAATAATAAAGAATTAAAATTAAAAAGGTGAAAGATATAGCCAAATAAAATTTAGTTAGAATAATAACAGTAACAGAGAAATAAGAAAGAAATAATAACAGTAACAAAGTAGGAACTAATGAAATAAAAATAAGGTAACATAAGAAATGAAAAATGAATCAACAACGAAAAGTAGTGGAATGTATAAGATAATAAACTTAAGTGTAGGCAAAAAACAAAATAAAACATAAATGGGGTGAGACATAGTTGCTACAAGATGATGTAATAGTGTGCTAAAAGGAAGTGAGATAATCATAGAATAAAATGTAAAAGGTAATAATAGATCTAAATAGAAAATTGAGATATTGTAAAATTTATCAAAAAATAATGACTATGTATAAGAGAATAAAAAGTTAACATAATGTAAAAAAGATAAAAGAGCTAATGTATCAATATACACAAAATAGAGAAGGAGATATGGAAAAGAGTGTCTTCTTTTCATTTTTCCCGTCACTCTCTTTTCATAGATTTTACAGTATCTCAATTGTCTATTTATACCTATTATTTCCTTATATTCCCTTCCTTATATTATAACTATGTCACCCCGTTTAAGTTTTATTCATTTATTTTTTTTTTTGTCTACACTTACGTTTATTATCTTATTCATTCCACTACTTTTCGTTGTTAATTCATTTTCCATTTCTTACGTTACCTTATTTTGATTACGTTTATTTCATTAGTCTCTACTTTGTTGCTATTATTGTTGCTGTAACTGTTATTATTCTACCTACTTTATTTTACTTTAATGTTCATGGTATATGGCCACCCTAATCGGGCGGTCACCCATCCAAGTGCTAACCACGCTCGGTACTGCTTAACTTGGTTACCTATTGCAAGCACCTTAGCCCACACGGCTACCCTTTTATACATATTTATTACACCATAAGTACTGAATTACTTGGACACCATTCAAGTTTATAAATAAACTTTCAATGTTTAACTCATAACTACATACATACATATAGAATGTTATATGACACAATATCTATATGAAATAAATAGATAAAGGATTTAATCACTTACACTGCTCCTAAATTGCTTGCAACATATACTAACAACCTTCTTTCAGCACGACCAAATCCTGATAATGCAAAAATTGCTCCTTCAAGTTTTTTTTCAGCATTGAGGAGACCAGGTAGAGGACGATGATAATATTCTAATTCTTTTATAAGACAATCATGGTCATAACAGTCTTCCTAAAAACAATATTAAATTATACCAATAAATTAATACAAATACCATATAATAAATAATAATAATAAAATATATAGAATGAATTCTATTGATATCGAGATTTAAATATTTAAAAAGGAATGAGGAAATAATTTTTTTTTATCATCATCATCATGTGTGGCACGACATCCCGTTACCGAGACTGGGCCTCCTCCAAGAGCCCCCGCCAGTTGGCTCTGTCTTCTGCTGCAGCTCTCCAGTTCCGTACACCAAGCAGGGTTCTCGCATCATAGGCCACGTTGTCCAACCACCTCGTCCTCGGGGCCTTTCTACCCGTCTTGCGAGGTGCAGCTTCTCCATCATTATTTTCTTGGGTATCTCAACGGTGCTCATTCTGGCCACATGCCCTGCCCACCTTAGTCTGGCCAGTTTAATATAGGTGACTACGTCGATGTCTGCATAGAGAGAACTGAGCTCCCTATTTTTTCTTTTCCTCCAGACATCACCCTCCTTTACTGGACCATAAATCCTTCTGAGGAATCCTCGCTCAAACACACTCAGCTTCATCTCATCGTTTTTGGTCATCGTCCAAGCCTCTGAGCCATATGTCAAAACAGGCCGAACAAGAGTCTTGTATATGATCAGCTTGGTCTTCTTTGAGAGGTACCTACTTCTTAAGTGTCGGCCAAGTCCAAAGACACATCTATTGGCAGCCGTGATCCTTCTTTGTATTTCTTGAGCCATGTCATTTTTGCTATTAATTTCAGACCCAAGGTATATAAAACTTTTCACTCTCTCAAACTTAAAAGAACCTACCTCAAATGGAGAGTTCAGATCCACCTCACCACCAACTCTCATATACTTAGTTTTCCTCTCGTTGACTTCTAGACCAAGTGGTCTTGCAGCTGCTTCAAGGCCTATAAACGCTTCTCTGAGAGCCTGTTCAGACCTACCTATTATGTCAATATCATCAGCAAAACCAAGAAGCTGTGTCAGGCGATTGAAGATTATATCGTTGGTCTGAATACCGGAGTCTCTTACAGCTTTCTCCTCTGCCAAGTTGAACAATAGACAGGCGAGGGCATCCCCTTGCCTAACCCCACTGCTCACTTTAAACTCTTCGGAGTCGTTAGAACCGACGCGTATTCTACATCTTGAGCTGTCCATGGTCATCTTGATTAGGCGTACGAGCTTCTGAGGGATGCTTAGCTCCTCCAAGGCACAGTATAGTTGCGTTCTATCAACGCTGTCGTATGCTGCTTTAAAGTCTAGGAATAAATGGTGGGTGACTACCTTATGCTCCATGGTCTTTTCTAGGATCATCCTCAGAGAGAACAGTTGATCAGTGGTTGAGCGTCCTCTTCGAAATCCAGCCTGATATTTCCCCAGTTCCTTTTCAGAATACGGGAGAATCCTCTCAAAAAGAATGTTAGAGAGCAGCTTATAAGCACACGAAAGGAGTGAGATTCCTCGATAGTTAGCGCATTCTGTTTGATCTCCTTTCTTATGTATTGGGCAGATAATGGTTGTTGCCCATTCCGTAGGCATAGCTTCCCTCTCCCAGATGGTCAGCATTAAATCATGCAGAGCTTTCTTAAGTTCTTCACCTCCACATTTCAGCAGCTCTGACTGGATTCCGTCCGGGCCTGGCGCCTTTCCATTTTTCAATTTCATCAGGGCATTTTCCATTTCCTCTTCATCCGGGGGTTCAATAGAATTCAGGGAGTCTTCCTTCATTACTCCTACTTCTCCAGGCACCGTTCCTCTATTTAATGCGTCTTTAAAATGTTGTACCCATCTCCTTAGTACGTCATCTTTGTGGCTTAAAAGAGATCCATTCGTGTCTTTGCATGCCGTCACTCTGGGCCTGAAAGCTGCCCTACCCTCGTTTATTCTCTGAAAAAACAGCCGACTATCATTTTGGCCGCGCAATGCCTCTATATCCTCCATGTTCTTGTTTTCCCAAGCTCTTCTCTTTCCGCGGAATAATCTCTTCTCTTCGCGTCTTTTTCTTCGATATGTTTCTTGGGAGAGCCTTGTGGGACGCTGAACCTTCTTTCTGTAGGCTTCATTTTTCACTTTTACTGCTTGAAGGCACTCAGCATCAAACCATGGAGGTCTTCTAGATTTAGTCTCGTAGCCAAGAGATTCTTCTGCTGCCTGTTTCATTGCGTTGCTGCATCTCTTCCACTGTTCATCGACCATAGAGCTGTCATTAATTACATCTTCATTAAGTTTCGTCTCCACAGCTTGTTGATACGAATATTGGTGGTCTGAGTCCTTAAGTTTAGCTACATCAATCTTCTTCTTTGGTCGTTGGTGGTGGTTTTTAATCAGCGAAATTCGTGATCTGACCTCGGCAATGCTCAAATAGTGATCCGTGTCCATATTTGCACCTCTATAAGATCTTGCATTTATCATGTTGGACTTGTGACGGGCACTAATGAGTACATGGTCTATCTGTGATGTTGCTTGCCCATTTGGAGAGATCCATGTTGCTTTGTGGATATTCTTTCGAGGAAAAAGAGTTGTTCCAACAACCAGTCCGTGCAATGTAGCAAAGTTCACCATCCGTAGCCCATTATCATTACTGGTCTTATGCAAGCTGTGGGTTCCTATGGCTGGCATGAGTGCCACCTCCTTACCAACTTGGGCGTTAAAGTCACCAAGAATGATTTTAACATCATTTTTGGGGCAGCTTTCTGTCACACGTCCAAGTTCTTCATAAAATGTTTCCTTATCCTCCTTAGGTGACACCTCTGTTGGGGCATGGCAGTTAATTAGAGAGAAATTAAAAAATTTTCCTCTAAGCCGAATGTAGCATAACCTTTGGTTAATGGGAGTAAATCGCATCACTAGCTGTCGAGCTCTGCCTCTCACAACAAATCCGGTACCGAAGACGTGATGCTTTTCATGGCAGCTATAGTAGAGTGTATGGTACTTCTCCATAATTCCCTGTCCTATCCATCGGACCTCTTGGATAGCTGCTATGTCGATTCTATATGTGTCCACTTCTGCAAGGAGCGCACGATTTTTTTTTATAGGATATTTTGTCATCGTTTTGGTCTAAGTTTCATGCCTTCATCAGGGCTGCGAATGTTGGGGGCAGGGTGGGCGAATGGGCTAACGTGTGTGAACAGCACTGCTGTTGCCTGGCAACCTGATAGTCACGAGTTTGTGTCCCGGTGCTGGGGGTCTTTTAAATCCCCGCTCACACCCCCGGCTTCGGAAAACTCAGTATAGCCTTAAAGGCGAGGACTCCCCCCCCCCCAAAAAAGGGGCTGAAAATGGCCAGAAGGACTTTTAACTCAGTATAATTTCTCCGGCCTGGGAAAACCTCTGTATAGCCTAAAAAGTGAGGAAGAGAAGACAAAAAGAAACCGAAACAATTGCCTCTATAGCAATGCTTAGGGCTGAGGAAATATAACCAAAAAACTGTTAAATAGCTGTTGTAACAAGATATGAGAACAAAATATATTTATCTGCTAATAAATAAATTCTAAGAAGAAAATAAAAGATCAAAATATGTAAGTATTTAATGTAACGGTAAGGTATGAAAATATAAGTAAAATATAATGATAATTATATATTATCATTATTATATTCTAAAATACTACATTTTAGAATATAAAAGGATAATGGATTGTGATATGGTATATATATGTGACAATTTTTATGTCATTAAATAAGAAATATGATTTTATCTTACATACAAAGAGAAAGAAGTATTTTGTCCCGCTGTATATTTTATTAGCTGTCTGGCAAACTTTTCATTTAAAAGATATCCATTTTTGGATACTATAATATTATAACTAAAAATTAATAAAAAAGGTAACTTACAACAAATATAATAGAAACAACATTCTTAGACGTTGGCTTAAGATCAGCCCCTTCAACAGGAACTATGGTGAAATCTGGGATTTCATTCAAATGACCTTTTGAAATAACCTTACCACCAGCTTTTTCTATAGATTCTTTTATTTGCTCAATTTCATCATAACCAAGAATCTCAAAAGTAAGGCCTACAAAGGAGGAAAGGAACAATTAAAAGGATTTAGAGATAAAAAGTATATAGATAACTGAAATAATAATAAATGGTTTAATTTCAATTAATTGTTCAGAGAAAAGAACAATAAATACATTATAAGCGGTATTTAAAGAAGGGTTAAATCAATCATTAGTATAGCATATTTGTGTTATATATATAAAATTGTGTTCCCTTAATATTCCCACTCCCTATAATCTCCTATTTGATGTATAGTTTATCATAATTTTTTACTTTCACTTACCTATAAATTAAAGATACAATAAGGGAAAGAATTGCGACAATTTAAAATTCTGAATCCAAGTTTCAAAAAAATGGTCAATGTATGTAAAATATAGCTTAAAAAAGAAAATACAATTATAAAATTATTTCAAGCAGTCTATACAAATTGGAAAAACACACAGCAATAACCTTTAATGGTCTTAGAGCCAATAATGTATTTAAATACATTCGTAAGTAAAAGTTTTGTGAATTTGAAATGTTTCGCAGTTTAATTTTGTGACTCATATCATATAATAATTTTGTTTCCTCAGATTTTGAAAGCAATCATTATGCAGCATCTTGCCTGTGGCAAGCACTCTTTGTTGCCATGCCTACGCAACAACCAACATCAATAGCTTTATCTTTCTTGATTACACCAAGAGAAAGTTTTAAAAAAATAATTTATAATTACAAAAAAAAAATTAATAAAATGTAGGTTGATGTTAATCAGACGTAGAGATAACTGTTTTAATTTCATACCTTAATATGATGATAAACTATAAACTACTTTAAATATCAAATATCAATCCTAACAAACAACAAGAATTATGCAAGATGGTATTTATCTTTCTTCAGCACGAAACATAAATATTTATAGTTACTTTTAATTAATTTTTTTACTCAAGAAAAATTGACAAGGCATTTTATACAAGGAATGAAAGAAACTTAATAGTAACCTGTTAGAAGATTCAAAGGAGAAATGGCTTAAATTAAATCTATTTTAATGTAGTGTCAGAGACATATAATGCAAGACACAAATACATATTAATTTACTTGATACAATAATCAACAACTCAACAATAACTCATTAACAATGTGTTTTGTTTGTTGCAATATTCAAAATTACATCACATGTGGCATTTATTAAGACAAATTAAAAATAAACATTTCAATGATTTGTGAACTACTGAATACTGACTATTGAATATCAATTATAAGAAACATGAGTTGAAGACTGTGGTAATTTAGTATTGCTATCTAAATCACTGTCTAAATACTTAGTGAGTACCACATATACCACATTGAAAGTAAAAAAAACAAACAAATGAAATGAAAAACTAGCCAACCTTGAAAAAATTGTTCCCAGGTACTCTGCTCAGAGATGTTACTTTGATCTTGCATAGAAACTCTAGCTCCTTCACTAGTTGTTGGAATTTCAGCAGCATTTGAATTCTTTTCAACGAGTTCTCTATGACTTTTCACTGCATTTTCTTTTTCTCTAAGCAATTCTTCTTGTGCTCTTCTTTCAAGAGCACTAAAATCAACTTGATTTTGCTCAGTTGAAGATTTTTCAGGAGTTTTCACAGCTGTAACTAATTATTGATTAAATACTACAACATAAGTTTATTAAAGATATAAAATACAGAAAAAAATAACACCATGATCTATTTATAACAATTACCCAATAACTTTTGATTAAATGAAGACTTATCTTAAAGCTAATGTGCATAACTATATCTCAACCAATTTCCTTTTCAATGAAAATATATATATTCAGAGCTGGCAGATATAATGACATTGCATATTTAGCTGGCTATTTTCTTTTAAAAAAAAGTGTTTTCTTTTCTTCAAAAACCTGTCCAATTATTACCTTACTAAGCGAACCGAAATGAGGGTTATTTGTGTTTGGGTCGTCCACTAAAACCTATGTAAAGCGTTTTTGGGCAAACAGCTGGATTAATTTTTAAGTTTGATGGTTCAAATTATTTAGTGAGGTCCCCTGATTGTTTTGAAACAATTCGAGCTAAAAACACTGACCCTTTATGAAATAAAATCTGTTTAATTAATATTAAAAAAGCTTTGTAGCACTGTTTTGAGCGAACGGCAGGATAGAATATACATGGAGGAAGGCATTTTACTATTGATATAGTTTAAGAAAATTTTTTAGGTCAACTTCATTCCTTCCTAAAATAAGGCATATTTCCCCAGCTATAGAAATTTTGAAAAAGGATAGTGCATGTTAACACCATTTCATAGATTCAAAAATCTTTAATTGAAAGGCAGAAAATGGTTTCCAAACATGTATCATCTAGCCTCAGGATCTGTGATATATCTAAACCCAGTACTGATATTATTACATTTTCAACTTTTGAACCTTAAATTAACATGCTGTAAGTTTTACTTTTACTCATTGTTGTAGAGATTATCCACACTTTAATGGCATTTTTCTAATGGTCTATGAGAATTAGATGCTGTTTAGAAATCAATGTGTTACTGGTTAGTGATGCTTTATTAATAAATTTTAAATTTGTTTAATTTCGGAAATGCAATTACACTTACCTTTTTGTGCTTTTACAAAAAGTTTTCTGGAAACTGAAGCTCTTAAATCAGTTTGATTAGCTGCTCCTACACCTACCTCTTCTATTCCACTTTGAGATTTTAGTAATTTCAATCCCTAAAAGTAAAAAAAAAAAAAAAAGTTTAATTCAGCCACTTTTAAACACTGAAATAATTATTTTGTATTTATTATTGCAATATGAAATTCTTTTATTAAACATTTATTCCAATCACAAATGCACATTGACTCCTTTCAGTAATGCCTCACTTATTAATTTTCTTTTTGGATGTATTTTATGTTTACTTAAAAGATTAGTGCAGACCTAGAGTTGACATCTTTTATTATTAATTAAAATGCAAAAGTCTACATACACTGTACAAATTGATTGAATCCATATTCTTTTTTTTTAATTAAAAAAAAAAATAGTTGAGAGCAGGGATTATATTACATATAAAAATACTTTTGACATGTTTATTTTACAGCTGGGAAACAAATAAACACAACTTATTCTAGGACAAAAGTCAACATATACTTGTAAAGATATTATTAAATTAGGATTAGTATAACGGTGAAGATATTGTTGATTATTCTACTATTGCTAGATGAAATTGGTTAGGATTGCAGTCAAAAGTAAATTTAGACAAAAAACTTTATTTTATTTAAGTTTTAAGCGTTCATCAGGGCTAAGAAAAGAGAAGATAACAACAACCAATAAGAAAGATAAAGAAAACATACTATCAAAAAATTAATGAATTATGATAATTAAATCAGTAAGATAATACTGATTGATGGAAGCATTGATAATTTAGATTAACATACATAGTAAATGAAGAATTAAAATTAAACATTAAATAATAAATAAAAAATATATTATATGTAAATCACCAATCCAAGGATAAAGATGAATTGGTTTCCAATCAGTTTTTGGCATAACTATCAGCTCATTGTTATCAGACAGATTAAGTAGATATACAAGTGTAAGTTCTTTTTTTTTTTTAAATCTTTTTCTCCAATGTAAATATAAATAGAAAAATTTGTTTCAAAAGTATTAAAACCAACCTTGTGACTCAAAGGAGATGCAGGAGGGACTGGCGCAGACTGCAAACATAGGAAGTTCTCCACACCAACTAAATGACGTTCTTTGAGACATTGGATTAGCCATTGCAGTTTCACTACATGAGGCCTGTTAAGTATAAGATAAAATGTATCAAACCAAACATTGATTATTGGTAAAAGAAAAATAAACAAATAAAAATGAAGCTGCTAGTGGCCCAACTGGATAGATGTGGAATATTTAGAATTTTATTTAAACAATAATAACAATTTGGTCTGAATATATGGAAACATTTTTCAGTTGATGCCATTAATTATAAATAAATAAGATTCATAAAAATACATTCTTTCTTTTTAACATTTTCAAATATTCGTTGTTTTGGATACAATTAGATAAGACTAATAAGAAACCAATGAGAATAAGATATATATAATAAAAAAAATATTATAAGAATAATAATGTGAGATTGAGATATGAAGTTGCCAAGGAAAATACACGTTTTCTGGTTTCCTGAGATAAAAAAAAAAAAGTTTTGTAATATGGTTTGGGTGTGTGTCTGTAATCAAAGTTATGTATTTAAGGTTTATATGATTGGAGACAATAGTGGGGTAGCTTAGCGGTAAAGCGCTAAGCTTCCAAGGTACCAGGTTCGAATTCCGGCGGATGACAGATAAATTAATTATTCTGTTTCATCGGCCGTGGAGTGACCCTAGTGTCGGAAAACCCTCCTGAGGCACAACCAGGCTCCATAAATCTTCTTAATTAAATAATTAAGTGGAAAAAATCTTAAAATAATTTCAAGTGGGAAAATCTCAGAAAGGATCTCGGTCAAATCACATCCTTGCACAACCATTGACCAAGAAACAGTATCTTCCTTATATAGTACTGAACTCGACTCTCAATGGGTTGCAGTGATACAAGTTTTTTTTTTTTAATTGACTGGCATGTTACAGGAACTTTTTTGCCTAAATCGACAAGACCTCGTTAGGTTCCTTCAGAAATTACTTGGCCCTGCATTTTTAAGCCCAAAAATGTACTATTTTTTTAATAAACCATAATTAAATCTGAAAGCCTCGTAGGTGATGCGGTTGCATCATGTTTTGTTTATAAAAACTAAAGAATTGCTAAAGATGGATATATAGTTGACTGTTGAAATTGTTTTTTAAAAGTTATTTTGAAGTTGATGTTATTTTTTTAATTTTTAGCCTTGATAATGACCCACATGTTTGGGTTGAAACGTTCAGAAACTCGATAAACTTAATTTTTTTATTCCATATTCTGGCCATTTTTCTTTCTTAAAATATTGGTATTTAAGAATTTTATATATTTAAGATCATCATCTTCACCTATGAAAATTATCTCATCTCTCAAAAAAATCAAGAAAAAAATTATGAAGAAGAGAAAACTTCTTTATTTGCGCATAACTCAAGAAGTATATAATTGATGGCGATGTTATAACCACAATATATTAGAAAGGTTTCCTAATTTCCTACAAAATAAAAAAAATCAACAAAATTGGACCGTTTTTATCAAATATTTCCTATCATGAATGACTGTTGCAATCTGGTACCAGTTCTGTATAAATGATAACCTGTAGCACTACAATCCATGAAGGGTCTTGGGTTCAGTACTACTTAGAGGAAGTACTGTTTCTTAGTCAACGATTGTGTAAGGAGGTGATTTGACTGAGATCACGCTCAACTGCCAGGTTTTTCCCCTTAATTAATTATTTAATTAACGGTACCTACTTTATAGAGGCTGGGTGTGCCCCAAGAGGGTCTCCTGACCCCCGAGAGAGAAAATACCAAACGTTTGAAAAGAACAGTTCTTCCAAATAGATAACAGTTATTTTTCTTTAGTTCACCCGTTTGCCACGAGTCTAGTTGCTGTTTGTTCTGTTTTTTGTTTTGTTTTTCCAAACGAAACAAAAGCTCTTTCTGCTTTTCAACGAACCTATCAATACATCATGAAAATAACCCAACAGTTTTTTTTATAAGGCATGTTTCAACTGTTAAGTTTAGGGATGTAATAATTTTTAGCTCCCATTATTAATGAAGGCTAGAAATAAATAAAAACTTACAGTACAGTTACAACATTACTAAATTAATTTAAGCTTATTTGTAGTCAAAATTAGTATATGTTTTTAGATGTATCTACCATCAATATTAGTGTCCTGCAGACCGAAAATAATTCTATGATTGAACATATTCACATAAATCAATTTAATTGCATAAATAAAATTAAACACTATTGTAAAGGAAGGAGATGGTCTGGGGTGGCGGTCATAAATAGACTAAATAGTGGCAAAACTATTTTATTAAAAGCTAGCGTTTCGACCCGACTTTGCAGGTCTTCTTCAGGGAAGTGTGTTCAGCTAGGAGTTTCACTCAGTTCTAAGTGAACCTCTTAGCTGAACACACCTCCCAGAAGAAGACCTGCAAAGTCAGGTTGAAACGTTGGCTTTTAATAAAATAGATTTGCCACTATTTAGCCTATTTATGACCGCCACCCCGGACTATCTCCTTCCTTTATAATGCAACGGTCAACTATTAAATATTCAATAAACACTATTATGTTCTATAGAAATTGAAAAAGACAAACAATCAAAAATTGTTTGAACTACAATTAAAAGACTCATGATAACCAAGCAGCATAATTTCAAACTTCGAACATACAAGAAAGTCAAAATATTAAAATAAAAAATGTTCTATGTGTAAAAAATAATTTTTAGTTTTAATTAGTCAAAAAGTAATTTTTAAGATTAAACATTCATGTAATATTAAAAATATTCAAATGTTATCAATTTCAAGCTCTAAAAATGCCAAACTTCATACATAAAATGATTCATTCATTCCCAGACTTGTTATTAAATGAATAAGTATTATTCCATGAATCGTTGCGTTGTTCTATGATCTATTTTTTTTTCAATAGTTCTTAAGAACTGTTGTTTTTGATCAACGATTAGTTCATTTACATTTTTCAAAAGTAGCAGAAATGCCCACCTCTATTCCTGACCTCAGGGTCGCCCCACGGTTGATGAAACAGAATAAATAATTTTTGAGCCATGAGCCAGGATTTGAACCTGGGACCTTGAGCATTAGAATATCAGTGCCCTGCCACTGAGCTACCTCACTATGCATAAGTGGTAAGATCAGCTAATTATGGGAAGACCTTAGGCTAGCAAGATTATTTTTGAACTTTGTCAAATATGTCTAAATTGTTTTTAACATTTTGATTTGTTATTTTTTATTCCAATTGTGTGCACTAATTCATAAGTTGATTGTTATTTCAATAAAAAAATATATGCGAATTAAAAGAAGAGCCTCCCCTTAAGTTATTTACCAAAAATAATATTATTAAACGCTATATTTTATCCTCATCAATAACCTGCACAACTCAGGTAAGTTATGGTTGCAAGAAGAAACACAGTTCATAGAAAAAACAAAACTAATCTACAGTAAGTAACTACACTTTTTAAATTATTAAGATAACTAAAATATAATAAAAAGAATAGGTTTGAAAAGAATCCATTAATACCTTGCAATAAGGTTAGCCAATTCCTTAGCATCTGCAGCAGAAAAATCTCCGACAACGACATGAGAAAGATTGTCAGATAAAGAAGTAAATAGTGTAGCACCCCCTGAATTTATTAAACGTTTCAACTTCTCACATTCTTGAGATGAAAATCCACTAAGGTAAATCTGAAAATCAAGCAGGAGGAAAATTTACAAACAGCAGTAAAAGAAATATATTTTTTTATTAATCATTGCTTTTTCAATGAATTTTTTTTATTTCAATTTTCCAACTATATTTTTTAACTGAGGTAATACCTGGAATAGGACTGTTAAACACATTAAAAAACACACAAACAGAAAACAGTACTTTTACAACTTTAAATAGGATAATTTTGAATCACCAAGGTTTATAAGTATAATATTTATAATATATAATTTATAAGTATTTGAAAAAACAAAAACAAATTAATATTGATGTGCAGCCTCTAAGATATATTTATATATCTGAGTTAAACTAATATTATTAAAATTTTAAAGTTTAAGGAAGGAAATTAGAAGTTTCGGATCACAACACATTGTGGATAATGCTAAATCTTTATATTTTGGGTACTAAATATTCTGTTCTGCTTTTACTTTACCTAAAATGCTTCCATTAGCAAAATATAGCCACAGTAACAATAATAAAGTTAAAATCAGCAAAATTCAACTGAACAATAATATACCACTGACAAACAAATATGTAAAACTAATTGTAAGCAAAAGTTTCCATTATGGACCTTCATAATGTGATGTATACAGGAATCACAATAAGCCAAATTATATTTATTTATCAATGAAAAGAATCTAGGGTTATGTTAGCCAATGATAAATTTATTTTAGTATCATAGATCGCTACCATAACAAAATGGTTCCCTCTACGCCATGATTTTAACTACAAACAATCATGTTAACATTACAAGTTTATAAAATAGAACTTATTCAAGAAAGGTACAAGTGAAAAAGTACTGTTCAAAAAGTATGGCTATGAATATTAATATATTTAAACATTTGAGGTAATTAAGACACATTACCTTGCAACCATCCAGAAATGGTCCAGCAGCCTTAACATCAAACATATTTATTTCTTCAAGAAGTTTTTTGTATTCTCCATCTATAAAAAAATAAAGAAATAGTACATGAATGAAGGATCTCAATAGCGGTAAATACTTATTCTTCAAAAATCTTGGAATTTTAGTTTAACACTGGGTTCCTGAACAAAAAAATTAAGTGATAATCTCATGGCAACCTCTCTTAAACACCATTATATTACCAAGTGTGCACTGCCATCAGAAACCTGACAAGAGAAAAATTTAACTTGTTCATTCAATCCTAATCAAAAAAGCATTAGAAATAATGTTTAAAAGATACTTCTGCAACAGTTGCCAAAACATGAAGAGTTCAATAATTTGAAAAAATCGTATTGAGTTAGAATTTTTCTTTTAAATCTTTGGTTCTTTTTTATTATTAGAATAAAAACTAATAATTTCTCATAATTGCTGATTTTTCAAGTATAATTAATCATAAGAAAAATTCAAGCTGAAATCCCTATCTTCAGGCAATTCAAGGCTGTCAGAAATTCGGCGCAAGGTCATTTCATACTAAATAGTCTAGATTATCATTTTAAAATAAAAACTTAATAATTTATAAATATGTAGGTGAACATTTATTAATTAAATAGGATCATTATTCACAAATCATATTTAAAGAAATAAAATTACCAGGTAGAGGCCTCAAAGGAGTTCTTTTTTCTTCTGCTTTAAATAATTTAAGTGAAGATGTGCTAGCAATACTAGTATTTGTCTCGTCAATGCGACTTTTTTCTGCAGCCATTGGTACAACAGAAATGTCAGAGCAGCTCATGAAACCTATAATTAGTTCATTAATTTGAATGTAGAAGACTGAGTATACATAAAAATAACTACACCTAAAAATGAAACATCAACAAAATACTATTCTATTCAACATTACCGACATATACTAAAGACAATAGAATATAAAAATATATTTTATGATATTTGAAGTACTGAAGAATCAGTAATACATATACTTAGTAACTATTTAATTTGGTCATGCCTATTTCATTAAAGAAGAGAAATTTTAATTTTTGCTACAAATATTGAATGGGAAAGAATAATCATTATTTGAATTATTTGGTAGTTGTAAAAACCAAGGTATATGGAGTTTTAAGGTAGATGTATGCCCATTACCATATATTTATTATATTTCAACAACTTATTCCGCCAAATCAACTAACCAGCAGTAGCAGTTTTTATCATGGAATTTACACATTCACAAACTAATTTATTACCATTCAGGTATTCTCATTGAAACAGTCTTGAAAAGCCTTAAATGCTGAATTTTCAAAATTTCTTCCTCTGAAGTACATTTAATTTTATTTATTTAAAATAATTAACAGTTTCGCATTGACTAAAAATGCTTAGATATTGTAGATTTATCAAAAATGTCATTAAATGACACATCATAAAAATTAAATCAACAAGTAAATTGATGAATTTTTCCTCTTTGAACCAAAACATTGTGCACTTTGCTTGACTATATTTGATATATAAAACAGTCGGTGTCATTTTAGTTTCACCTACTCTGTTTTTGTATCCATTAATAAGATCAAAATTCACAATAATGTACTTAAAAGTTTATCTCCATAAAAAATATACTTTGTGACTTTATGCAATAAATCAATGATGTAAAAAATTAAAATATTTGGTAATTAACTGAAGAAAAAATAGGCATTAGTCAGATGACATCGAGAACCTAGGAATAAAGAAATAATTGTCAGTTTGTTATATTTCACTTATAAATAACAAAACAAAATATTGAGGGCCTAGTAATATATAATTTATATTAGTTAGTTTATAATATATATAATATTTACTCTATCTCTTTTATATTTGCTTCTTCACTGTCGAGGCCGGGAAGTTAAGTGTTGATGTGGTAGATGTTTTACTAAAGATCAGATTTAAAATAATATTATGAATTATATCCTTACTATTGTGTTCTCCGGCATTGGTAGGGGTTGAACATTTTGGACGCCCTACAACTAGGTGATTTTTGGAAGGAACTGCTACTCCTCTTTCAACTGATTCATAAATCCAGGAAGGAGATACACATGGTATTTCCCATTGTTGAGCATGCTGCCATTTTTTACCTTCAGGCTCACCTATCACTAGAACTACTGTTTTATTAAGCTCGAGTGTCCGTAAGTAAACTCCTCCTATAAAAAAAAAATTATAACATGAATGCTTAAAACATAGATATGTTAGATAAACCTGAATTATGAAAAATAAAAAAAAGGCAATTATTACAGAAATATCACTAACCATTCGCTTCTATAAGCATGTGAAGCTTCTTCTTTGCAACTTGTGATAAATTACTACAAGTTATATGCATTCCTTGAAATGGAGGTAAACGGAAGCCAATGGGATCAGGTGCCTTTTGCCCCATTCTGGAAAGCTCCCAGCATTTCAAAATCCACTCTGGTCTAACAATGGGAATGTTGTTATCAACAGCCTTCTAAAAAAACAAAACAATAATAAATTTAAGAATCTGATGGAAGCAACACATAATTTTCACTTACCGATCAATTTTGAATAGAAATTATTTTCTGGCCATGTTGGGCTATTATGAAACTTTTGAAGTGCATTTTTAACCAAGCTAAAGCTAAAAGCTTACAGCTAACAAATCATAAATACCATTAAAGTAATAAAAGTCCTATTTATTATATCACCAGTTGATTATGAGTTGTACGATCCATTGGTTATGGATTGTTGGACTATTAAACTGTTATTTCCCACTGCAAAGTTTGCAAAAATGGAATTAAGAGATTTACATTGTCTGTCATAGACAGGCCAAAAGTTGTCACAGGAAATGGATACTGTTGGAATATCACAAAGGGAAAATTCATCGAATTTTTCACTAATTTAATTTTCTAAAAGAATACATGATGATTTTTTGGAATAAACGGACGATAGGTACCTAATTATTTAAATATAATATCAGATCTAGTGTTATTCGAGAACAATAACAAAATACAGTAAGTATATTTAAGGTTATAAACAAATGCTTTATACATTCATGAAATGATTTGATATTTCACTTCTTCTTTCACACAAATATGATGAAATAGTTTTTTAAACAATGGCCTTGATTAGGTGAATTTTAAATACTTTTTCAAACTTAAAAATATTTTAAAAGTTTACATTTAGTAAGTAAATTTCATTTAATTACCTTGAAAACATGTGATTAAAGTGAAACAATATTAGTTTTCAAAAATTATTATACATAATTTTTTTGCCACTCTTTGCTACCTTCTACAACTTTCTATATTAGATATTGTTGTTTCCAAAATTCTCCACTTTCCAACGGTATATTATACGTATACATTCTGACTAGTATTTCCGCAGGTTAATTTTCGACCTGGATAAGCATTTTTATTTTTTCTCCTTTATTCAATTATCAAATTCTTTCAAAAGTTATATTTAGCATTTTTTCATAACTCTAAATAATATGAGATGATTAATTATTTAAAATAAACCATATTAAAGGTACTTTAGAGGAAGACGCATGAACATTGGGCATGGCATGTAAGCCCTGTAAAGTGACATCAATGAAGATAAGACTTAATTGATATTAAATACCACTGCATTATACAATGATAGTTTAATCAAAATCGTTAGAGGCATTTTTGAGAAAATTGTAAAAATGTGTTTTTCAATGTTGATATAAAGTGACACTTCCGGTTATCCGCTTTTAAGGAAAAAGTTGCGTTCACATCTAAGGTCACATGTATATATCTATCTTAGATACGTAATATCAGTTTCGTACGACTTTTTGTTTCTGAACTAGACTGCTAACATACACACACAGACATACAGACCATTTTACAGGATTTGGTTATTTGGATTTAGGGTACCTCAACAACAACAACCTGTACCACTACAACCCATGAATGGTCTTGGGTTCAGTAATATTTAGGGAAAGTAGTGTTTCTTGGTCCACAGTTGTGCAAGGAGGTGATTTGACTGAGATCACATTTAACCACCAGGTTTTTCCATTATTTTAATTAAGGGTACCCACTTTAAAGAGGCTGGTTGTGCCCCAAGACGGTCTTCCTACCCAGGGTCGCCCCACGGCCAATGAAACAGAATAAATAATTTTTTTGCCATGAGCCGGGATTCGAACCTGGGACCTTTAGCATTGGAAGACCCTACCACTGAGCAACCCCACTCTCCCTCAGGGTACCTCAAAACGACTATTTCCGTTGAAAACTCAGATTCAGAACTTTTCATGATCACAATACTTTCCCTTACTATATTGCATATAAAGGTAAGTGAATGTAAAAAGTATTGAATTTCTTATGAAATATCAGTATAATACCTAAAATTTATTAAGTTGGACCACTACAAATATTTTGTTACTCAACACCATTCCCAAGATCAGTGGTCTCCAAACTAAGGCCAGTGGGACGGATCCGGCTTGCAAAAATCTTCATTCCGGCCCACAAAAGTTTCTTTGATTACATAATAAAATTTTAAGAGTTATTAAAAATATGAAATTCAGCAAATTACACGCATAAGTGGTTACTACAACATTTATGCATGTATTTTTTTCTCTTACAAAGCTCATTTCACAGTTGAAAAATCAGTTATTAAACAAGATTTTTATTTCACTAGCCATGATCCATGAAGGTATTGAAATCCCGAAAAATATAAAGTAATCTCAAATTCAGAGTTTACAATATGATGATGTTATGATAAAGCCAGTTCTAATATATGGCTGTGGGACCTGGAACTAACCAAAAAGTGTTCAAAGATTTGAGAGGAAATTCCTCTGCACGATAACCGGAGCGATCTGGGATCAGAGTACTAACACATGAAGAAGAAAGACCAATAAAGAACTGCTTACAGAAACTGGTTAATCAATATCCCATGATATGAAGGCACGGAGGTTAAGATGGCAGGGCATATAGCTCATAGCAATCCATCTGGAAGCCTCTACATAACAATGAATACCTCAATAGAAGGCAAAAGACCACGTGAAAGGCCAAAGAGCAGATGGATAGATAGAATCAACAAAGATGTAATAGAGCAGGCTTGTTAAGGCGGAAAAAGATCTACATGGTCTGTAATGCCAACAGAAAAACAAACAAACTAGCCATGATCCGCAGGACTATCAGGACTAGGAGAAGATCTGGCTCAATACGGCCCGCAGAACTTAGTCGAGGTCTCAATGTGGCACGTGGGCCAGTAACTTTGGAGACCCCTCCCCTTGGTGAATGATAACGGATTTCATTAGCAGAGAGTGATTCAGTATAAGTTTTTTTTAGTAAAAAAAATATTTGTGCAACATGTCTAGAAGAGTCTGTAAGTTGAATACCCTGACTTTCCCCTATCTTGCTTTTTATTAGTACAGGAGGTTAACACCTTCGGTGCTGACAGGATATCTACCTTCCCACCTCGGCTGCCGCCACTTGTAGAGTAAACCCGCTTCCGCCGTTCGCCCTGTGCCTTCATCAATGCCTTTATAAGCCCTCCGGAGCTCACTTAGTTTGGTCGTTCTGGTTTCTGACCATTTGGGAAGACACATGTTCCGTAATTAAAATTAAATAAAAAGGTTTTAAGTGCATTTTTGAAAGCTAATATCTTTTAGGTTGACTCAAAATATTATTTTAAATAAATCTAAGAGGGAAAAAAAAATCAGTTATTCTGAACGTCTAATTGGATTTCGGGAGCCGCCATCAGAAACACAGGATTAAGAAGGGGTCTCAGGGTAAAAAATTTCGTATACATATCATTTACATATGAATATGTTTATATATTACTTAGTTTAAACTAATTTTTTATCACAGATTATAATAAATGTCTTATTTGTGGTTGTTTCTTATGAAGTTCAACCAGCTATTTTTCTGATAAAATTAGTTTAATTATGACTGATGGATATCAAATCCTTGACTGTTGAGGGCTTATTTGAAAAATTTGATTCTCTAAAAAAAATTATAGACCTTGAAATATAAATAATTATGTAACCAATGAAAATGGTGAGGAAGATATCCTGACCTTACTTGGCAGACTTTTTTTATAAATCGTCAAATCATTAGTACTTTAACAGTGTTCCTACTCTAAAATGGGATGGTACAAGATCTCATGATCACACTATAATTGGAATTTTGAGAAAGGCTGAGTATTGGTGTGTTCTTGATTTTAATACTTCCTGTTATTTAGATTACGATTTAAGACTACTGAAAACTCCCAACTTTTCTTTTTCAGATGAGATCGATGCCTTAGCAAATGTTTCAGAGACCATGGGCCACCCACAGAATTCCAGTCATAGTTAAATCATGTGTTCAAATGGCTGCCCATTAAAATGGAGTAACACTTGTTTACTAAGTGTCGCAATAGTACCAGCTACAAAATTACAAAAAAAAAAAAATACAACAAATAAATACTTAAATAAATAAAAAATATTGTTGAGACAATGTATTTACAATTAACATATAACCACCTATGTATTAAAATGGAGCAATACTTGTAAAATAGCATAAAAAAAACAAAAATAAATAAATATGGAAAAGAAAAAAGTTTTGACTGAATAGACGGTGTATTTATAATAAACATATAACAATTTTTTGTTTAAATAGCACTCATAATATCGTAATGATGAATTTTTATCAGTTCATTATCAGTTATCTTCCATAATTTATTTCTAAACAAGGCATTAGGGTCCATCGCCTCAATCTACTTTAGGAGACACTCGGCTATTTTTGATTGAGGTAACCTTGTGCTTAGCCACCTTATTATCTACCTCTATAATTCATAAACAGATAAAATAAAAATAAGATCAGATAGTACAGACCTGATATTTTCCTGTGCAAATAGATGTAATTTTGTCAGCCAAAAGATGTGTAACTGCCAGAGTCAATTGATCTGAATATATGCCACCCATAAATCCAACTAATTTCTTGATTTCCTTCTAAAATATTATCGTCAAGTACAGAAAATTTTTTATAAATGAAAGATAATTATCAGATAAATATAAACCAGATTTTTTTACCTTATATTCAGGACTTAGATTAGTAGTGCATATCACAAATCCTCTCATTGCTATGTTGAACACTGCACTATTATTGTTAGGAATAGGAATCGCATTAGTAAAACAAGCATGAAGACAACTAGGGCCAACAACTCTGAACAGGAGAGCAATTAAAAAGAATTAGTGGATACGGTAATAATGAAATAGAAACCTAATGAAAATAAAATAATACTCACAAACATTCCTTTGAAGCCAAGAAATCAAAAGTATCACCACAAAAGTTTTCCATAACAAATACAATATTTCTTCCTAATTTGATTTCTGGAATCATGTCTTCAGAGATAATTTTAGGTTTAAATTTTGCATCTTGACAAACCTATAAAAAATATTTCTCAATCTAATAAGAATGATACTTAAGAAGACAGTATTATGATAATATTTTAACTACAGCAGTAATTAATGTCTATTGGATTCTATTTCGAAGATAAGAAAAATTTTATCAAGCCAGATAATAAACAAGTTGAAAGCAAGAAAGTCAAGTTTAAAGCAGACAATATTAAAAACTACCACTGTTACATGTTGTCTATAAAAACAGTATGAAGTGAGTACTACAAATTCACAATAATCCATTTGAGTTTCAGTTAAATTAAGTTGATCAATAGCATAATGTAGGATACTTTTAAATATCTAAAGAAACCGTAAGATTTTAAGTCAATAGTAGCAAATCAAAATGTCCATTTAGGAAGAATAAATATATTACTGTAGATTAAATAATTTGTTTATAATGGGGCTATTTATTTACAAATCAAGATGCACATTTGTATAATTACACTAAAAGCTTGTAGCATTTCCTTTGAGCTAGAAACCCCATCTTGAATGAAGTAAATGACAACTTCTTTCGAATTTTGTTGGTCATCATAAAAATCCATGAAAGCCATGTCATCTGAGTACATCAGGATACCTTTTCATGTCAAACTGCTCCAGTTGAGTCGATCTTTTGTAACCATAAGTTCAGTTCCCGCGCCAAAAAGTACCTTTTTTTTTTTTAGTATCAGTAATGAAGTTTCTGTCGAATCCAAATCAAAAAGGCTAACATAGCTTTTTAAATAAAGTGAGAAAAATTAATAAGAAAATTTCGTTATCATCATGTTTCCTTTAAATATGAAACTTATTAACAATTTGTTTATGAATTAACTTATATCTATGTTAATACATAAGGCGTTGCCGGTAGGCCGCCATCCTTGTTGCACGCTGTCATTTTATCGTTCCTCGTCTTTGTGTTTTATTTTGATGAAGACAGGTTGTGATTCTAAATTTTTTGTATAGAAGTTGGGTTATCATTATATATAGTGTAAAAAAGTTTTAGATTATTTATTGTGATCAGGGTTAATATCATTCGTAATTTGCCTTAGTTAGTGTGTGTACATTGGGTTTTAAGTATTACAAATTTAAATTATTTGATTAAAATATGAAGAATAGTCAAACTGGACTGAAAATGTTCAAGAATTTCTACAGTTTGTTTGTTTTCACTGTCGTGTTGATATGCTTGCATTGATCTTGACATAGAAATTGATTGTATACAAAATGTCAGTGTTAAATAAAGTAAATGTTATCAGTTCAATAGGATATGACTGTAAGATTTTTCAAAAGCTCTCAAATGAGAGGCAAGAGAGCATTGCTGGAGTTTTTTCAAGTAAGTAAATTCATTTTGTTTAGTTCCCAATTAATTTGTGGGTCATTACTCAGTTAACAAGAATTTTAACCTTTCAGTTGAATTATGTTTATTCAGAATTAAGTATCTGATTTACCTTTTTCCTGGTCATTTACTCATCTATCATCAATATCATGTTTAACTATAATGATAATAATTTAATTGGTGTTGTTTTAGTTTATAACTTCAGTTTGTTGTTATCACCCTATTTCTTTGTTTCTTTTCTATAAGATAAGATGATCAATGATTCTTATAATCTAGTGAAACTGTTAGTTTTACAGTTTCTTTATCAGAATTTGATTTTCATTTCACTATATATTTTTTGTTTTGGGGTTAAATTTTGAGAATGAAGTTTTATTTTTGTTGTTTATTGGAGGTAAACTCCAACAATCCTGCATTGTTTTTCTCCTGTTATGTTAGTTGTCTTTTTTTTAAATATTTGCTTATGTTCCATTTGTCACATTCAAATTTCGATGTACATATATCTATTTCTAATATTAACATTGTATATTTTTTTTTGATAGTTATTTTATTTTTTCAGTTCAGTTATTTTGAAAAATATACTCCTTATTATGTTTTTTACTTACTATTTAAATAATTTGCCATAGCAAATCAATAACAAGATATTAATTTATGCGGATAGAAGAAATGTTTATTGTGATGTGATGTATTAGTATTTGGATGTTATGATGTTTTATCGGTAACACTGAACAAAAGTCATTTCATTTTGCCAAGTGGACCATGATCTCTTGGTCATGTTGCTAATGGGATTTTGACAACAGTCGAGGATTGACAGGTTTATTGTATGACCTCCCTTTATTAAGATTCCAATTTTTGGTAAACTCACCACTGTTCCTTTCCAGTTGGAATTGGGGCATTAATGAGCTTTAATTACATCACCCCTTTTGACTCGCTATGCTCATTGTAAAGAGGTAAACAAATCCCAACAAAAAACAGACGTTACGATCACTTTCAGACACACTACCATTCTCCTAATTCCATATATAGTGTAATAATGAAATCTTTTACCACCCATGAAAGTGGAGTGATGTTTGTATAGGAGTACTGTTTACCAATTTATCCCAAACATGTCCATATTGTTGCGTTTGTAAGATGTTATTTAATAAGCGTCACATCTGGTCAATGGTGGCCCAAGATTATATTAGTGATCATGCTGTGTATAGTATCTCAATAGTTATTGTGTGTGCAGACAGGACTAATTTCTGATTAAGGACTTGTTTGCTCCTTTGGTAAGATAACTAATATTTGTGATTTTCATCATCTGCCTACTTCAGTAATTCGATTCACCTGTCAACTAATGTGACTGTTGAAAACTAGCACTGCATGTGATCATGTATAGATGAAATCTTGAGAAATGCAGAAAGCAGCCTTGTCTTGACAATGATGGTTACTTTCGATGAAAGATGAGTTATCAGTTGTACATAATATTTAGGTTAAGTTACATTACCTGCCTTTCAAAGAGTTGTTTAAATTATAACTGCTGTGATTAAATTAGGAATTTAAGACTTCTACTTACTGTGCTGCTGATAAAAAAAAAAAAACCTCATCTAGTTCTTTTTAATTGTGGTTGAAGTCTTACCAAGTAGGATTCTTATTTGGTGCAGATGGTAACTGTAAGTTATAATAAACTGAAAAGCATCCATATTCTTTGACGAAGACTTTTGGTTATGTTATGATCTTGTTTGGAAAGGATTCGTTGGGTGCAGCACTTAGTTTTATGTTGAAGTTTGTGGAGCAATTTTTTTTGTTCAATACGTTAGTCACTAAAAAAAATTTCTGTTTCGTTTCAGCATATGCACATTCATGGGTAACAAGTGGTCCAGATCTTTTCGTAGTGAACAATAGTGATGGTGTTCTTCAGTCTTATTGGACCTTTGGAGAAAACCTACAAGATGATTTAGAGGTGAATTAAAGTTTTTATATTTTATAGGATAATTGTATTGTCTCTAGCTGATATATATCTATACATGCTTAACAAACAAAATAAACTTTTAGATTTAATTTCTGTGTAGTGTACATTTTAATAAATCAATTAAAAAGGTAGACTTCAAGTTATTAATTTATCCTTTTTTCCTGCATATACAATGTTATATAGTAAAATATTTTTAAATTTTTCTAACAATAAACAAATTATTATTATTAATTGTTTTGTTATTAAATATTTTTCTCATTTAAATTATTTTTATTTTTAGAGTGTGTTAAAATTATTAATTTTTGTTGTAGATCACTTGTGCAGTTGAGTTACCATTAGAAGGTTGTGCCATTCCTCTTCTCATCTTGGGTATAAGTTCAGAAAATGTGAACCTGATATGTTTCTTCAATCCTAATACAAGAAAGATTTTACGGACTATTGATATTATCTATCCCGTATGTTTGTTTTATTTGTATTTACTTTTTTTAAATTATACTTATTATGTCTTGTATTCGTATGGTTTTAACATATGTGTTCAATATTGTAAAATTAATCAATTAGTGTCTATGATATGTTGTGAATTTACTGGACTCAAGACGATTAAGGGATAAGATAACAAAAAAAAAAAAAAAAAAAAAAAAATGTTGTAAGAAACATCACAAGAATGTTAAAAATTTTAAACTTATCAATGATTTAAAGAGAGTTACTTGTTTTTTTCTTGATGAATAATTCAATGAGTTTTGCTACCATATACCATACTAGTTTGTATTGTTAATTCTTTGATGGCCAAATCTACTCTGTGAGATTAAGAAGAAAAATTTGGTATAATGGTATTTATACATGGTGTCCATTAGACAGCTTCATACCAATATACTGGACTAAAGGCAGTCAACAACAAATTGACCAGCTACAAAATCATGACAGCGCATGCTTATGATGTCTTAATATCTACCAATCAAAGTTGTAATACATAATATATTTACAAACTACAAATGCCTGTCCATAAATTAACATATATAACTGGATTACAAAATATTACTAATAACTTATTTTTACTTTCACTTACCTATATATGATGTAAATAGTGAGGGACAGTATTGCGATAGTGAAAATGTTTGAATCTGAGTTTTCAACGGAAATACATGTTATGAGGTCTCCTGAGTCCAAATAACTAAGTCCCGCAAAATGGTCTCTGTGTGTGCGCCTATTTGTATGTGACAAGTCTAGCTAATAATCAAAAAGTCTTATAAAAGTGAAATTGCCTATGCCTGCGGTGTTACAGCAACTTTTTTACCAAAATCAGTTTACAGGAAGTGGCAGTTTATATCATCAATGAAACACATTTTTACTATTTTCTCGAAAACAGCTCCAATGTTGATTAAATTCATTTTATCAGTGTAAAATTAAGCAGTTTTTAATATTATGTAAGTTTTATTCTTATTGATGTTCTCTAACATGGCTTAAATCACTAATTTTCAATATTATCTTCCTCTAAAGTACTTTTAATTTTTCTTAGTTGAAACAATTAACCATTTCACATTGATCACTAATATAAAAAAATATTTAAATATAAAATATGAAACAATTTGATAATTAACTAAAGGAGAAATATGAGATCGTAACAGATAACAGTTGTAATAAAGGAACCAAAGGGATACGAGTGCGACCGAGTTGTCCCGAAGATTAGAGCAGGCTTCCATATGTAATAAGAACGTAATAAAATACGGACTCCGACAATATTATGTACATATACACATGCTGTTTTCCTAAATGTTTTCATTGATATTATTTAATATTTAATTGTATAGATTACACCAATATAAATATTAAAATTTCTACATATAAGGGTACTTAAACAAATAAAAATATCCACAATGAAATATAAATAAATATAGTGTTTATAATTTTTACTTTCACATCTTCTTTGTCTGAAAATACTTATTTCTGATAAGAAGAGTAAGTGAAAGTTGTTGTGTAGTTATTTTAACATAAGTATTGATGTTTTCATTCTTCTAAAAAAACAGTAAGTAGTATAATGGTGTCATAAATTTGTACTACCACCTTTGTGGGCAATATATACTAATGTTTGTGATAACATTAAGAAACATTGAAAAAGTGAAATGACAGGAATTTCTCTCTTTTTAACATTATTTTATTTAATTTTTAATTATCAAATGTTGTTTATAGACAGTAGATAGTTAGTTATCTGATTTATTTAATATGTTAAACTAATAGGATTTTTCTTTAAACTTATATAATTTTTTTCTATAGGTTAGAACTCTATGTGTTATAGAAGATGGTACCAATGAGGTTTATCCCCTGAATGATACTCTTACACCCACTGAAGGTCTTATCGCTGTAGGATGTGCAGAAGGGACAGTTTTATTAATTGATCTTTGTCGGAGCATTCTTTGCAAAGGTATGTGTCTGACATTAATTTTAATTGCGTTTGTTAATAAAACAGAAGTAATAGTTTCTTAAATTAGCCCCTTAGTGCTAGATATATAATGCAATGCAACTATGCGAAATGTTATACAGCTAAGTTCTTTAAGCATCATACAAAAGTAATTTAGCTTTAAACAAATTGATTAAATCAATTTTGTTTTTATTAAGTGTTGTTAATTGTATAATGATTAATTTTATATGTTCTCAATTTCATTTTAATGCATTCATTCATATAAGCTTTCCTATGATCATAAATAGTGGTTTGTAATTATTCCTTAATTATTTAATAAAAATATTTTTTATAGTTTTTTTTGTTCGCCTAATAAGATTTATTTTGTATTATTAGCCAATGTCTATAAAACTATCATAAATGCGTGTGGGGGGGGGAGAGGACTTAAATCGTGGTGTTAGGACTAGACCGCCAAACTACCTATTGCTCATTCAAGCCTATCAATAAAGATTTATTTCAATATTATTGTTTTGTTTTTTTGTGCTTTTTTCATTTAATTTATTAAAGAGAATACTTTTCTGTTTTTGACGTTTGATTGAATATAATTTCAAATAGATAGATTAATAAATATGATTAGCAATCTAGAATAATATGCTGTGAAAATTACAGGCTAGACCTGAAACGAAAAGAACATAATTGATATTAAGATTATTTTTAAATTCTTTATTTCAAAGTCATTTATTTTTAATAGTATGCAAATATATTACATAAATGGAAACAAATTGAAGGTCTATACTTATTAAGAGAAACAAAACAACATTCTAGCACAATTTTTGTTGTTAGAAATCACGAGTATTTTTTTTAACAATATAATAATATTATAAGGATGAAAAAAATTGATAGGATTTTCAATCAAAATTTCTTAAAATATAAAACTAAAAATGTTTTTTTTTTTTATTTTACTCCAATTTCTGATAATGTTTTTCATCCCTGTAATTTTAACAGTCAACTATATACCCATCTCTATAATAATATTATAACGAATATTTCTTTTGTTTTTTTTGCCTTCAATTATATTTCTTCAATAATATTGACCGTGTAAAGGAAGGGTCCTTAAGATCAAAGACAAAAAACTTGAAGAAAAGAACCACTACGTAGGATTACTTATGACAAAAATCTTATATTTATAAACATTTGTAGAAATAAAACGCTTCTTTAATTTTGAATTAAATACATTTTTTTAAAAAATAGTTCTATCATTTCAAATTATGTTTTATATGCCAAATATTAAAAAAAAAAAAAAATATTGTGGTATATTACACTTCTGAAAAAACAAAACAAAAAAAAACACAACTTCTTAAATTAGATTTTATTTGTTTTAGAATAAACAAAGTAGCAAATGAACCTTCCTTTCACATTTTTAATTTATTAATATTAATAAATGAATAGTCTATTATATTAAAGTATTGATTTCATGTAGAAAGGTAAGTAATAATCTTAAAACATCCAGAAACACGGGCCTTACGGAGGGGTGATATCGGTCTAGTGGTTACCTTAAGAGCTCGATTCCTCCCTTGTTATTAGCTTCCTTCTCTAGGAAATTTCTTACTCCTTAGCAACTCAATGAGTACGTTAATTAATATAGAACATTTAATTTTAAGAAATTAAATAAAGGTAGCCGAGGGTGAATGCAACAACATAACTTCCTATTTTCAAAGCACAATAAAACCAGTTTTTTTATTTATTTTTTGTATAATGTAGGTACACATTTCAAGTTATGTTTCTCACAGTTTAGAAAATCTTAATTATTAGTTGACGCTCCCTCCTTGTCCATAAACTGAATCAGGTGTTCATCATGATCCTTACCAGCATAGCAGCACTATGTTCGTAATTTCTGCCGTATGTTAGCCTTCAGGTCTTGTAGGATCCTTAGAAGATTGACATACACACAGAATTCCAAAAAAAAAGCCACACAAAAAATTGTAAGTAGCCAGATAGGGAGAGCGGGCTGGCTACTCCAAATCACTCCTTATTGAGATGAAGTGTCTCGGGAAGTGTTCCCTCAAAACTGCCATCAACGTCCTTGAAGTTTGAGCTGTGGCGCTGTCCTGTTGGAACCAAATATCCCCTAAGTCCAGTTCATTAATTCATGGAAAAATAATTTCTCCAACATATTCACATACCAGTCTGAATTCACAGTCACTTTGATTTCATTTCTTTTAAAAAATAACCCAATAACCCCAGCTGAGAAAATTGCACACTACATTGTGACTTTAGGTAAGTGCAATGGTCTTTGATGCAATTCTCAAGGGTTAGTGCCAGCCCAGTAGCGCCTGTTTTGTCTGTTAACGCATCCACTCAAATGAATATGGGCTTCGTGACTAAAAAACACAATTGTGTCCTCAGGAACGTTTTCAAGAAATGCCTCGCATGCGTTTCTCTGAGCATTACACTCACATTCAGAGTCATCATTGCCTCACTGAATAGTTTGAAAGTCACGGCGCAGATGCATGTTTGCACAGAAACTTCACAGAGATATCTAAATTAAAGCGCCTCACTCTCACTTTCGATGTTTTCAGGTGTCCTGATGGGCCGAGGGACTTCCACTAGTTAGTTTTGGAACTTTCCCAATTATCCGAAAGTAGTTGCCTTTATAAAAATTGATTTCTGGTCTGGAATAGTTGCAAAACAGAACACGCGTTGAAAAAGTAGTCCTCCAAAGCCAATGCACGTCCCTCTCTGTTCCAATGCATGATGATGACTGAGTAGGGTGGAGACAAAACCTAAGGGCCACATCTCTCAACTAATACCACTCTCATCATGCTACGGCCTCTACAGCCTAAATTGTACACATTTCAAATAAGGAAGTTATGTTGTCTTACCCTGTAGATCTTTACAACTATTTCAAGTTATTAAAATCAATTTCATGTAAATTTTATATTGTTTCCAGCTGTCAATGGTGACTTCCGTTTTTATAGCACTGAAGAAAATCCTTGTGAAGTTGTTTATGTTGGGATTAATTCAGTCACATCAGGAGGGCTTTCGCAGAAAATTGTTGAAAGCCGTAAAAAGAAGAACTGTGTGTCTGTTATTTTGACAGGTATACCAATACTAATGTTATACTAATAATTTTAAATTGTATTGTAAATATGTTGTAATTTATTCCGAGGGCTATTGTGATTTTTTCACATTCATATATCATATATTTTTGAGAACTCTTAGATTTTAGGCCCATGTTTGAATCTGATCTATATGTGATCCATAGAATTTGATTTATAACCCAGATAATTTTTGTAAATCCTGTACCTGTTCAGGGATTAATTAACCCCTGTATAATGAGTAAAGTTGAAATAACTCGTCAACCAGGGCATTGATGTGATGACTTCCATTTCGGAATAGGTTGAGAATCTGCACAATTTATTTTCTCAGAGGTAAGTCAAACTAAAGGCATCCTTAAGACAGGTTTTTTCTACTTTTTATTTTTTTGAAGAATTACTATTCATTTTAGTAGCTCTAAATACTGATTTCAACCTGGGAATTAAAATAAATTCAAGAGAAGTTGGTTGGAGTGTTCAGTCAAAAGTAAAAATAAATCAATGATTTTTATTTTTATTGATTTTATTATATTTATTTTATATTTTTGATATTTATTAATTTTGATGTATATTATAAAAATAAATATCATTTATTTATTTTTACTTTTGACTGAACACCCAACCAACTTCTCTTCAATTTTCAATACAATCAACATCAATCCACTATTAAAATAAATTCAGCGGCCAGATAGAGTAATAGGGAGAGCTTCATGAAGGCCTACTCATTTTAATTATGTTCAAAATCTCATCCACCAATCTTTCATTGGCTTTTGCTCTCTCCTTCACCATGTTGAATAATCATTTATTCAAATCCCATAAATAAACCTTGTATCTTTCTCCATCTAATCCTCTGGCTGCTGAATTTCTTCTACTTCCTCATGATGGTTGTAGATATAATAAAATTCATTAAGAAAGAGCAGTCTTTACAAGGATACCTTTGGTTTCACTTACACCTGTGGAAATATACTGTGCACATTTTAAACCTGTTCCAAAATGGTGGTGAAGGCCTGGTTAATGAGTTAATTGGTTTTTATTTATGATTCAGGAGTCAATTCCTAAACACCACTGTTTGAATACTGTAATATAAATGTTTTAAAATTATATTTTCAGTCATCTGCAGGGAGGTTTTGCCTATAAAGATGCTATTAACAAATTGTTTTTCCACTTACGAAGTTTCTATTCAGTTTTTTGTTTCTGTTTTTTCAGATCCTTCTGATGATGGAGTAACTGCTCTCTTGTATTCTATTGAATCTGCTGTTTTATTTGTTGGAACCAGTTCAGGGTCATTTCATTTGTGGAATATGAGCAGTTTGTCTTGTTTGTAAGTTGAACTCTTATTTTTTAAATTAACTTGTTTTACATTGTGGGCGTCGCTATCATTGCTATGTTTCTTATTAATAATTAAATATGATATCTAGCCTCATTCTATATATATTTTTTTCATCTTTATATTATTATATTTTTAACCATTAATGATAAAAATGTTCTGAAACAAAAACAGGTTTTAGACAGGAAATTCTATCCTTTGTTGTTCAACCTAGCTCTTATTAATGAAGTGCTAGATTGAACATACTGTTTTTACTTTGTTACCTATTAATGTAATATATATCAAGGGAAAGTATTGCAATCTTGAAAATTTTTGAATCTGAGTTTTCAATAGAAATGCATGGATGTCAAGCTTAGTAACGTAAAGTTACACAAAACTAATACTATGTATTTAAGATGGATATATGTCAGAGACGTTACAGCAAGTTTTTCCTGTAAATTGGCTAACCGGAAGTGCCATTTTATAAAGTAATAAAAGTAATCGGTTTGTGATGAAAAAAGCATAAATATAATATACTAGATGGTTGTGGAAAACATGGTAATTAATTCTTTTAAATTATGTTTTGAACCGTACGTAACTTTTGCTTTCACTTCTCTTTTTCTGAAAATATCTGTTTCTGCTTTAAAGAAATGTTGTAAGTGAAAATTTTGTGATGCGCAACTCACCAGATTTTTATCAATGGATCAGATATTTGTTCTCAAATGTAATATAAGCTCATTTAGTAGAAAATTATGTTGATTTCATCATTCCTACATGGAGAAATCTATAAGGAGCATACTCCAATGTTTTTACATATTGATAACTATTTGTGTCATGGTTCTTCAAAGGATAAAAACGCAATTGGTATAACTTCATAGCACACTAATAATCTGTGTCATAGTTTACATCCCTGCACTTATTACTTTTTAAATAATTTATTTATTTAGTTTGATGACCAATTCTGTCTGTTTTTAGATTTAAATCTCCTGGAACAAATCGAGCCATCATTTCACTTTCCTTGCTGGAACCCTGTGATGATCCACGCCATAGTTTATATCTTTGGATTTGTTTTGAGGAATATGCCCAAGTTGCTATGTATTGTATTTCATTTTCATCTAAATTTTTTGTTCACGGATATGGTGTATATTACCAGGTTAAATTTAAATTTCATTACCAAATTAATATGTATATTCAATTATTCAGTTCTAATATAACAATTGAAATTTCTTTTTTCTTCAGAATTTTGAATCAGCTGGGCTTGTATACCGATTTACTCTAGGTATGGAAGTAGATGTGATAGCGAAAAGACCTATTTGCTCACAAGCTGTTGCAAAACTTGTTCCTAAAAATCTTGTAAGGTGCATCAGTCTGCCTGGTATTATATCATTTATTTTTTCAAATTATTATTAAATTTTTATTATGTTTTAAGCTTTCACGAATATAATTTTTTTTTTTACTCTGATTACTCATGTTGCTTACCACATTTGTTCCTTTGCTTTAAATGAATTTGGAATGTATACAATAAGATCATCTTTTAATTCATTCTAATGATATAGAAAGATATTTATGATGATACACATAGGTAAACCCAGAACAAAAAATTTTGTATGTTATTCCTTAAAGTTTTTTATGAGATCTATTGTAAAATTCAATATTCCTATTGTTTAGCAGCTCCAGTAATTATGCATATTCACAGTTCATATATTTTACATTCAAAAACACAGTTCTTGACTGCATCATCTTGCTGTAAGTTACCGAAAGTAATTCAGGCTAACAAAATTACATCTACATTTATTTTTTTTGTCCATATGAGCCCTACATGTCATGTAGATGTTGGGTCTCACAAGATGTTCACTTCATCAACATTTAAATCTTTAAGAATGAAAATAACTGGAAGAGATTCTTCCAGACTTCCTCATTTTGGAAATTATTTCCAGTGCCATTCCTACCAACAAATATTTGGTAATTTGGCCTTGATTGTTTTTTCTGTTGTTTTTTTTCCTGTTCTTCCATACCTCGTCTTTTAGGTTATACGAGATTTTCCCGGGCCGGAGGGGGTGAGGACGAGGAATTTAAAATCTCTCATATCTGTTATCTGGTTGCCGGGCAACTCGTGGTGCAGTGCACACGCGTTAGCCCATTTGGCCACCCCCCGCCCCAATTGGCCTTGATCTATGGATTATGGTGGTGGTTCATATCTGACCTGTTTGGATTGAAATTTATTTCGTGGCAGATTTAGAGAAAGAATCTTGATCTTCCCACTCTGGTTTTAATAGGTTTGTTTGTAGCAATATAATAACCCTCAAGAGTGTAAAACAGAAAAGTAAACTAATCTGATTGAAGACAGGTATTTTAAAAGTAGAGTCAAGATAAAGCTATATAGATTTCTATATAATTTACTGGTAATAGTCCTCTGCTTTCATTTGCATAAAATTGTATTAACTTGAATATTTATCGAAGTTTTTTTCCTAGTCATTCATTTTAGTTTATTTTGAAGTTTATTTAATAATGACAAAAGAAGTATTTAAAAAAAAATAGTTAATACATTTTTACAGAAGTGGTGTTAATTAATTTTATTATTTTCGCTTTGCCTTAGAGCTCCATTCCTATTTAATCATATCAAATTAAATTGATTAATTCTATGATTTGAATTTTGCATTGAACTTCTGAATTTTATCGATAGTATTTTTTATTGATTTATTTTCTTAATGAGATAATGTGTACTTAGTTTTTTTCTGATAATTAGCCATATTTTGTTTTATTTTTTAGAAGCTGAAGGTACCCATTTGAGATTATTTATAACAGCATATGAAATCGTTGATAAAGGCCAGATTTCAATTAGAGCTGTAATTTTTGATTTAAATCAGTGGTATCGAGATCAAATGCCAGAAGAAGGAGTTTCAGCTTGTCTGGATTCAATCGATCTTGATAGCAAAAGTTTATGGCATTTGCAGCTTGATCCTAGTTCATTAACACTCTACCAATGTGTTAGGCCTCAAGAACAGCATTTTCACCCGACAGCGTTTGATTTTCGTGAGTATTTTTAAATATGTGAAATAAATTCACCGACACTTATTGACATTAGTAATATAATATGACAATGAAAATAGCCTGGATTCACTAACTCTGAGCCATTGATTAATTGGAACTAAACTTGATTCGCTAACTTCATCTTTATACGGAATTCTTAAGTGCACTGCTGATCGCCAGTTGGACCATCTTAAATAGTTTGCCTAATATTCAAGGCAAGCCTTGACCATTCCCTTGAATATCATTGGCTTAAACAGTTCGTAACTGTGGCTATTTTAGATTTTTATAATATGTCAATATATTTTCAGTAATTTAGAAATATACAGTAAAAAATTCCTTAGTATAAATTTAAAAAAAAAATAATATTGAAGTAAAATACCAATAATTTAGTTTATTTCAAATAATTAGCTATCCTACTTTGTTAGTAATAATAAGAAATGGCTAAATATATACCATGAAAACATTGGATTATTGACTAAAGGAGAAAAGAAGGAAAAAATAATCCAAAATTATACATGGTTTACTAAAACAAACTTCTAATAAATTGGTATCCAAGACATATTCAAAAGTTATTTTTAAGAAACATGCATAAAAAATATTCAAACATCAAAAACAAATACACGATGAATTAGGTAAATCAATTTTTAATAAACTTGTGCACAAAAATAAACCTAAAACATTCTGATTCTGTCCGATAACTCAATAAGTACAAAACTGGATTAGTTTATTTTTACTGGTAGTTGAGTCTTATTTCGTAACTAAAGAAATATTTTCCTGGAAGCAAACTTATTGTTATTTAGTAAATTGTTGCTCTGACAATACAAATTTATTATAAAAGAATTTCTTGACATTATTATATTTTTTCTCAAATTTATTAAGGAAAAGAAAGATAGGTATCTAATACGATAGTTCTCACACCGGTGTGCCAGTTAATTTAAATTGTAAACAGTTTATTATGGTTATTTAGAATATGGTTTTTACTTTATTTCATCATCATCCTCAGCTCTTCAGGCCATTAATGAATCTCGTTGCCTCATTTCCACTTTATTTTAGTTGTTATAAATTATATAACTATCGTTCATGTCAACTTACATGTCTATAAATATAAAACAATAATTCCAATCTATCTTGAGTAATTATTGTTCATGTAAGACATATTTATTTTGCATTCAGAATGGAAGAGACACCATTAAAAAATGTTTTGTAATAATAATAAGGCTTATCTAACCTGAATTTTCCCAATTTTCTCACGTTCACTTCGGTCTACCCCTTGGGCTCTTGCTAGTCGCCACAGGGCATATTACCTTTTTAGGACTTCTTTTCTTACTAATCTCAGTGATTTTATTTGCCCAATTTATTCATCTCGACTTCATCATTTCAATTATATTAACCAGTACAGTTCGCGTAATTTAGCGTTGTGTATGTAGCTACCTAAATTCTCCTTTGGTCCGATTATTCACCGCAAAACTTTATTTATATCAATATCTCATAAACTAAATTAGTGATATTACTGAGTATATTTTCTAGAAATATAATTTATAGAGGTTTGGTGTATCGAGGAGGAGGGCATCAGGTGTTTAGAAAAACTTGGTCTTCAAACCCAATGGTTGAGGAATATGAGCAGGATGGGATCGAAAGCACTTATTGAGCCTTCTCATATTTTTCTTGGTGCTCTAGCTGCTGGTCTTCTCCCATCATTTATTGATCCTCCAGATCCAGAAGCTAATAATGAAGTAAGTTTTTAGTTAGTAAGTCCATGCCAGTTAAGTATATATTAATTTTGGTTTTGGGGATTTAAGATCCAAGATATTAAACTTTTAAAAAATTACATCATCTAATTGATTTCTTCTAAGAAAAGAATGGTATAAGTTTTTGGGGATATCCAACTTTTGTCATCACAAATAGTGCTCATGAAAAGTGATGAAGATTAACTGGAAGAGAGAGACCTTCATTTTCATATAAATGTGCTCAGTATATATTATATGGTAAAATTCATAAGAAAACTTTTGAAAGGTAATTAAATTACCAACACAAAAAAAAAAAACATCGGAATCGAACCAGTATTAGCGATGATACAGCTTATTCTATTTTCTACATATGTTTTAATTTATTGCTTTCCTTCCTATACTAGACAAAGTATTGCGATAGTGTCAAATTTCCAATATGCGGTTTTCGACGGATCTATAAGTTTCAGAGCCCTTTGAGTCTGAAAACACTGTTTAGCATATTTTTTTTTTTAAATGTAATGAAATTTCCTGCAAAACTTTACAAAAATCGTTCATTTTGAACAACTATTAAAGAAGTTACAGCTATTCAATTTCCAACGTAAGCTTACGGGTTCATATCCTGGTGTCAGAAAGGGGTGAATGAGAGAAAAAATATGACTAAGTGAAAGTAAGAAAATCTGTTGCCCGCATCACACAACCTTTACTATTTTCTCTAATTTTAACAGAAATTATTGTTTGACAAAATTAAGCTATGGCAAAAAGCTTTTGATCAGCAATATTAGAGGGTATTGGAATTTTTACTCTGATCTACCTTAAGCTGGTTTACTTTGCTTTAGTTTATCAAATAAATCGTACTCAAATCTTTTCTTTGATAAATTTTCAGGAAAATAAATCTAATTCAATTTTTTTTTGTTTCTTGATGGACATATGTAAAGATATAAAAACTATTTTGAAATAAGTAGAAAAGTCGTGTGAATGGACACACCAGATTATTTAGTTTATATCCAAAAATTTTTTTAAAATTCTTTATCGCACAGGTCGCAGTAAAAATGGTCGATGGCTAGATTGAAGACTGAAAACGACAAGGGGCCCCCTTGGGGTCAGCGTAGCACTTTGATTTGGCTAGTTGCATGAACACTATTACTTTTAATTATTTAATGTTTATGGTGTTCGTGTAAAGGAGAGCCGATATAAACAGTTTTGAGGTTCGGCAACACACCTCTTGCTTCTAAGAAGCTAACGATATGTTTGTGGTCCCCATTGACAAAAGCACTGACATCATTAAAAACAACCGCACAATCATTTTTAATTCTTTGTGCATCTTTTAATATTTTACTGATATACGTTCCCAGGAGACCTTTTATAAATCCTCTTTGATTCCTATGGAAGGTGACCTGCTCTCTTAATTCATGGTCCAGAATCTTCTCTATGATTCAGCGCACAATAGAATCGATGGTGATAGGTCTCCAGATGGAGATATTGTCTATACCACCTTTGCCCTTATATATCAATATTGTGCAAATTTAACTATTTATCCATATCTACTACATCATAAAAAAAAAAAAAATATTTTGTTGAATGCAGTGTGTTAAATTTCAGGTAGAAGAGAGGTCTTACGTCTTGACTATTTGTCTAGAAAATAGAATTATAATGGTCATAGAAGATTGTGTTAAAGATTGGAATAGCGGAGGCTATTCTGTTAAAGGGTGTACTATTCAATTTCTCCTCGATTGGCTCTGGAATTTGCATAAAACATACAAAGCTAATGGAAATAAAATATGTAAGTATTCCATAATTATGAATTGTTAGAAGGATATATTAAGGATAATTTATATTCCAATATAATTAATACGTAAGAATAAAATTATAACCATCTATGGAAATGGATAAAATAAATATATTTTTATGTGTTATTAAAGTACCTCTATAATATTAGTTAATTCTAGTCCCTGTAGTATTTCAAACATTAACTTAAAATATAAGATTAAAGATTTGCCCTCGATCTCAATCAGGTTCATTGTAAGCATTTTCGAATAAGAAAAAAAAAAACTATTGCCAGGATAGTCCAGATATGGCTTTAAACTCATTCAGAATATTTCACAGATTAACTATAAGAAACGTATTTCACAGTATTAATTATTAGATAATAAACATATTCTTCATTTCATTAATTTTTATATTTCAACTTGTTGCCAACCAATAATTATTTAGATAGTAAAACCTGATATCCACAACAAAAAAGTTAATAATTACTCTGTCATCATCTCTGTTTATTTCTTAAATTAATTTTGTTCTGCAATTAAAATGTTTATCTAACCTTACAGGTATTCCTCTGTTTGATCAATCTGGAATGAAATTTGATGTCAGTGAAAAACGTTCATTACAACATTGCAAATCACTTTTGAACACTGTCCAGTCTGTGTATACAAATATCGTTAACAGATATAAGAATAATATTATAATTAGTGGTAAGTCACTGAAATATTAACCTATTATATAGATATTTTTTATTACAATATGATATTTGTTTGAATATAGGTTGACCCAGAATTAGAGATGGTCAAATGCTACTCCGAGTACTGAGTACCCAAGTATTATACTCAAACACAGACCTTTTTTGAGAACCTAAGAATTTAATTGCTACTTCACTTGATATCAAACGATTACTGAAGTAGTGATTGAATTCTCAATAGTGATTCAATTTGAGTAAAATACTTGGTACTCATTACTCAGGATAGCATTTGCTCGTCTCTGTCCAGTATATTATCAGTCTCCCATTTTGGAAATAATTTTTGATTTATAAGTGTTTAGAGCTCCCTCAGTTCGCTCTTCCTTCTGGTAGTTGCCACTCTCCAGTAGCAGGCTCCCAAGGTGGTTTTTTCCTTCTTTGCTATATCAAACTATCCATGCCAAAGCCTTTCATCAAGGATTCTCCTGGTATGTGATCTGGGGTAATTCTAACTATGCGGCTGCCCATTGAAGATCTATTATTACCAACCTTACAATTGGATTACTAGAATTAAATTATTTTAATATTAGTACCTATCCTTCAAGTTCTATTGGCATGAACCAGACCGTAAATTTTTCTTAATATTTACCTTTTGAATCTTGAAAGAAAATTTTCTTTTATACAATGGATGTTATTTACAATAACATCAGTTATAAGGACGAATCGGCTTAATGATAATGCCTGATGATGATAACATAGTAACCGCCCATATACCGACTAATTGGATTTTTGGATAAAATGACTCAATTTCTTAGAATTTCTAGAAAACATTATCGATGTCAGCTCTCCGAACTCCTTTTGTGTTTACGTCTCACTTTTCTAGGAAATCGATCATTTCATTCCTCCTATATATAGATAACTCTTGTATTGGATTGATTTCATCTCTCTCCCCTTCTAAGAATATCGAATAGAAAAAGTTTTTACATGGAAGAAAAATTTCACTTATGCCGCCAATTGGAAAAGAAAGAATCGAATAGTAGCCTGGCTCAAGAATTAAATGTTAGCAATACAGCATGTTTTCAGACTAAGAGTCCAGATCTAAATCTTGTTTCGTGAATAGCTCTAACGTCTCTTCTTAAATGAGATAATTACTTCTTCAATTGAATAAAGGCACATGGTATGTAAAAGTGGGTGCTCACTTAAGTTCAAATATTGAAATGCCATAGTGAGAGTAGTTTCATGTATTTTCATAAACAGTTTGATTTCTGAAGTTTTGTTGTTGAGCGTTAATGACTTGATATACTTTTTTACAAAAGGCAGGTAGTCAACATTCCTCTTAACCCTACTTCTTTGTTCAGATTCAGTACTGGCAGTAATCTTGTAAAACTGACTACACTGGAGAAATTCTCTTTGAACCTGTTTTTCATAGCAATATTTCTCTACTGGTTTATTTTACCTAAGGAATATTTAAGACATAATACTTAATAATTAATAAGACATAATACTACTTAACAATATTTCAATTATATTTCAGGTGTAGAAGAAAAATTGACTGCTATGTCTCTAGTCAGGTTGTACTTTGATTGCTGCCTAAAGCTTATTTCTGTTAACCTATTGCCTGAGCCAAATGACTTAGGAAGACCAAGTGATTCAGTTGTTTATCATTTTGATGACATCAACATTTATGCTATCAACAGGTAAAATTAACTTTTCCTTAATGCATTCAGCAGTATCGTTAAAGGTTAAAATTTTGATTTGATGTGTAATTGTATCAGTATTATTTTTTGCAATTCTCGTTATTGTTGTAGGATTACTAATAGACTTAAAACAAAATCCCAATTTTTACTTTCACTTACCTATATATGGAATATATAGAAAGGGAAAGCATTGCGATCGTGGAAATTTTCGATTCTCAGTTTTCAATAGAAGTACATTTTTTGAGGTGTCCTGAGTCGAAATAATCAAGTCCCGCAAAATGGTCTGTGTGCGTGTGTGTGAACAGACTAGCTTTAAAACAAAAGTCATATGAAACTTAAATTGCTTATTTAAGGTTTGTTTATAGTTCCGATGTGACAGCATTTTTTTCGTTAAAATCGGAAGTGCCACTTTATATCAATGGTGATACACATTTTTTACAATTTTCTCAAAAACGGCTCTAACAATTTTGATTAAATTTGGCGTATCATTGTATAATTAAGTGGTCTTTAATATCAATTAGGTCTTATCCCCATTGATGTCACTTTACAGGGCTTAAATACCCAATGTTCATATGTGACTTCCTCTGAAGTACCTTAAATATGCTTTATTTTAAATAATTAATCATTTCACATTATGAACTTTTGACACTATATAACTTTTGAAAGAATTTGATAATTGAATTAAGGAGAAAAAAAGGAAAATGCTTATACAGGTCAAAAATGAATCTCCGGAAATAATAGTCAGAAGGTATACATAAAATATATTGTTGGAAAGCGAAAAGTTTTAGAAAAAATAATATATATCTAATAAATAAAGTTGTAGAAGATAACTGAAAGTGACGAAAAAAATATAAATAATAATTTCTGAAAACTAACATTATTTAACGTAAATCACATGTTTTCGATGAAATTAAATGGAATTCTCTTACTTAATGTAAACTTTTAAATTTTTTTTAAGTTTGAAAAAGTATTTAAAATCCACCAAGTCAAGGCAATGACTTATTTTAAAATACTATTTCATAGATATGTAATCTTAAATACCTTTACTGTAGTTTAATAACTCTAGATCTGATATTATATTTAGATAACTAGGTCCGTTCTAATAATTATCATCCGTTTATTCCGAAAAATCGTCATGTAAACTTTTAGAAAGTTGAATTTGTGTGACAACTTTTAACCTATCTATGACAGGCAATCTCTTAATTCCATTTTAGTAAACTATGCATTTGGAAAAAAAAAAGTTTAATAATTAATAGTCATACAATCCATAATCAACGGATCGTGCAATCTATAATCAATTGTTAATATAATAAATAGGATTTTTGTTATTATAATGGTATTAATGATTTGTTAACTGTAAGCTGTAAGCTTTAAGCTTTAGCTCAGTTTAAAATGCACTTCAAAATTTTATAATAGCCCAACATTGCCAGAAAATAATTTATATTCAAGTAGAGCTGTAAGTGAAGGATGTGTTTTGTGCGCACTAGATTTTTTATTATTTTAATTAATGCTTAAGCTGAACTTTCTGTTGTAAATTTTTTGTTGTCCATCTTATTAGTTTTTGTTTATAGTAGGTTGTCAATTATCCTGAAGTCAATCAACTGGACTCAATTATTCTGACTTATCTCGCCTAACAATATAAAAATTAAAACATTTTTCCCAACTAAAAATAAAAAACTTATGTATATTTCGTATATGATTTTTCCAAAATGAATATGTTGCAGTTTCTCGACTATTTAACACTAATTTTAATTGTTCATTCATATATTAATTACAAATTGTCAATACTTAAAAATGTTAAAATAATTTAATTTTAAAAAAATCGACTACACAATTAATCCTATCCATCTTAGGTAAATGTGCTTGCATTTTAAAAGTTTTTTTTCTTTTTTCACAAAGTAAAAAATAGAAATTGTGTCTCAATATAAATACTTAGGTGTCACTCTCGTATCCTCATTTTTTCTAAAGAGCCACATGAGCAAGAAGATATCAAATGCAAAATGAGTATTGAACAATATATCGTGTCGATTCATAAGGAAAAAAGAAATACCTCTAGATAAAAAAGTGTCCATTTATAATGCTTCTATCAATTCAATTGTAAGCTTTGCATGTGTGGAGGAGGTAAATAAATTCAATAGGTACATTCGAAAATTATTTTATTTACCGATTGGTATTCCTAATTATATGCTCTACATTGAGACAAGTTTTAAATTAATGCATTTATATACCCTCTCATTACGTCTCAGTCATATAAATTCAGTGTTGAACATTCATGGCCTGGAGAGATATACCAACTTAGCAGCAAAAATAACAGAAAAAAAATATACTGGTATAAAGAGTTATAAACTTAAAACGAGTTTTTGGGATTAATTTGATTATAAATACTCCTACGCTGGATAGGCAGACAGGCCATTCAAGAGCTGTGTAATAAAATAAATGAAAAATATAATAAGGATGACTTCTTAATTGATTGCTAGGGTCATTAACGTTTATTAAGTATTTAGGCATTTTATTGATTTTAATGTAACATTTACTATTATTATTTATTTTAATGTGACATTTCCTATTATTACAGAAGAAAACAGGGCCCATTCCTCGGCGATAGTTTGCTGGGCAGGACTGATGCTGAAAGGCAATGGGTAGAGGAAGGTGGAACAGGTCTTTATCCTCCGCCATCTATTCAGTCTGTTTTAAGATTCTGTCTTCACCCTTCACCTTCGATTGTTAACAAAATGTCGTTAATGCTGTATTTGTTTATGGATATCGTCAATTCCTATACACCAGTCAGGTAAAAATGTTTAATTGTTTTTCTGGTATGTTTAGATTTCATTAAGTTTTCATTATAATGTAATTTAACCACTAATATCTCTTTAAGTCTCTATCAATACTAGTATTTGTGTGTGTGGCACTTTCCAAGCTCTCTTTGATTTGTTTTTAAACATTGACATTAGATGGATCAGTCATAAAGAGACACCAACACTATCCTCAAGAAACAGCTCTTTTACGTAGTCATGTTTCTTTTAGTTTGGGAAAAATGTAAATATGGCTTAACATATCCCCGTTTTGTAAATAATAATTTCTTCATTTGGTTAAAACCAAATTTTAGGAAGCCGTTGATCCTTGACACTCAAGGAGGCTCTTTACAGCCAGCCACATATTCACTTCAATTTCTTTTTAAGATCATTATGAAATTTTTTTAAATTATGACTATTACTCCCGGAGGTGTTACTCATAATAAAATTGGGTCTTTTTTTTTTTTTTTTTTTTTTTTTTTTTTGTGGCAAGACTAGATTCGCTCAGAAGCTGAATTATTTTCTATTGATGGATCCTAGGTGTAAAATGATTTTTTTTTTTTTTTCCTTAAATCATGAGTGATTTTGTTATATTTGTCATATTAATTTGAGATCACACAAACAAATATCTTTTAGAATAGATCCTCATTTAATAGATAGAATCTTGGTATCGTTAAAAAATATTTATCTGTATTTACAGTTTTATATAATTATGAACTATTTATTTAAACTAGTGTTCGTCCAGTAATCGAAATTCAATCGTAATCATTAAGAATTTGAGGAAAAACATATAATTAAATAAAAAATAAATTCAATAAATAAAGAGTAAATCACGATTCAAAATTCTTCATTTATTAATAAAAACAAAACAGACTCATTCAAAAATATTTAATTCCCATTTTAATTTGTTTATTATGGTCACAATAAATTAATGTTATGCTTAAGTAAGTAAAAAATAAATTTAAATTAGCAATTTCAATTCAGTTTAAATCAATTTTTGTATAGAACTTCTCTGTAAAGAATTTCCTTTTTGAATGTTCTATTATTGTTTCTTACAATAGCCTTGCCCATTTCCATTTGGAATATAAATTTCAAAATTTTCAATGAACGTGCTTTAACTGTTGCCACATATAATTGTCCATGCGAAATTACTGGACGTCACAATAATACACAAATTTTTCCAAAACTTTGACCCTGCGATTTGATGATGGTCATAGCAAATGCAGCTATTAATAAGAATGTTGTTCTTTGAAATTCGAATGGAAGTATTGTTTCAGAAAATGTTAAATTAATTCTTGGAATTAAAATTCTTTTATTTAAAGTAGCTCCTGTTAGTACTTCGCTCTATTAACTAATGCTTGTGCAGTATTTAAATTAAGAAAGAGCACAACTATATAATTTACTTTTAAATTTAATTTATGAGGTAACAGTATTATCAGTAAAAAAATGTATACTTTTTGAGTTATTAGCAAATAAAATACTGAATTCATCACAAAAAATTATGCAGCTTGTTTATGTTATATACATAAATTATAAATGTTTCGAGGGGAAGACCTGATGATAATGAAACGTATATAGAAACACTCCTAAATCTTATTGTGACGTTGTGTCAAAATTTCAAAGAAATCGGTGAAGAACTTTCGGAGATAAGCTGTTTTGAACAAACTACCATTTATATTTTTATTTAAATACACTATTTCATATATATATATTTTTTTATTGATAACTCTAAAGCTTCTAAATATCTATTAAACAAAAAAATAAGGAAGAAAATCGGTTGAATAATAGAGGAGGAGAAGGGGCTGGACTGTTTTGTGTTTGCCTATTCTTATAATGATAATCATGTACCCTTATATTTAAATTAATATATAATATATTAAGATCTTTGATTTTACCTTACTAACACTTTTTTATTTTTCCTCCTAATCCAATGCAGGAGCCAGCCAGTATTAGATAGAATAAAAAATTTTCAGCATTTGATGAGAATACCCGAAGTTCAATACAAGATTGTTGCTGGATGTTGGTACTTCGATCATTCCATGTTTGATGTAGGTATTTTTATTTGATGAATATTCTGTTTAAACTTTAATAAAAATTATTCTGTTGTTTTTTTATAATCATTATTATTTTTCCTTTATTAGGAAGGAGTGGACCTCCTATTTGACCCACGAGTTTTATGTGTTGACCTGAGCGAAGATCAACATAGAGGTATACTTCATTTGCTTGCATCGGAGAGGCAAGAAAAGCTTGCTCTTCAATATTTAAGATTGAAATCCCCTACCTTAAATTTGGTCCACGATTTGAGGTATTATTTTATTTTCTTAATTAGAAGTTCTAAACTAAAGGCTTTTATAGTAAGCAGATATCTTTTAATATGCCATTGTAGGTTTTATCTATGATTAGTTTTGGTTTTTGAATTGGGGCAGATATTCTTATAATTTTATTGTTTAAATTATCAATGGTAAATTATTTCAACATGCTGATCTCATTAAATTCTAAGGTAATTAAATTTTAAAAATTCCTCTTCAAACTTAATTATATTGATTGCAGAATAGAACTGAATCTCCTTCTAAGTAATGGCCTCGTTAATGAAGCTTTTTTGTTTCAACGCAAGCATCCTGAAATGAGAGAAGCTCTTCTCATTGAATTTTTTGAAGGTAAGGGTTACAGTTTTAATTAAAACATACTATTTGAATATAAATGTTATTTTCAAAAAGTTGTCACATTTTATTTATTTTTGATGTAAATATGACATTACTGATCCTGCTCTTCCAGTCGCCATTCACAAGTTGGGCCATACCATGGTACTATGGTAAAAGAACAAAACTGAAAAATATGATTTTTCACTTAAGTTACTTTTAACATGGTGCCGAAAATATGATGAATCAACAGTAATTTATATTAGTAAATATAATAGATAAGTACGAATTAAGTGAATGGCAAGACTTTATTTTTTATTGCAAATGTTTGCACGTTTTGGCCTTTCTGTTACTTACTTGTATTCTATTTTTTTTACTGTATAAAATCTGGGCTCTAACGATATGAAGATAATAGAAACATATCATTCATAAATTCTTTCATAATAACAAGAGATTTTTATAGGATGCATTGAAAGGAAGCAATTAGGCCAAGTGTTTGGACTTAACCTGGACTTTAAAGAAGAATCAACTTTAATGAAATATTTGAAAAGCTCCGGTTTAAAGGAAAAAGGGGATCTTCAAGTATTATTACTATTGTCTAAAGCTAAGTAAGTATTCATGTTATATTATGACTTAATTATAATAATTTGTACTATCTACGTCATTATCAATAAGTAAGACATAACTTTATATGAGGAATATTTAACATTCTCAGTGCGGTGGATTATATTTGATTACTTTATTTTGTGTTGATTATATTTCTTATAATTAATATTTTCAGGTACACTGAAGCCATGTTTTTAAATGACAAATTAAACAGTTCTATTAACGGACCCAAGTCGAGGATAGAAACAGATACCAGAGATATGATTGTGAGGGGAATAACAGGAAGCTTAAATTCAATATCTCGTCACATGGCTAATGAAATGAAAACTTATAGACCCCCACCAGCTGGTAACTTATATATATTTTTTTTAGCTCATATGTTGCTACTGTTAGTGCAAAAGGTCTTATGTAATAATTCTCTATGTTAATTCTATTTGTGGAAAAAGTGACGTTTTGTAGTCTGCTACTAAGGAAAGTAGTATAGAGAAATAAAATGTGAAATTATACTTATAAATCATAAACACATAATCAGTTTTTATTCACTTTTGTAAAAAAACTCAATTTTGACAAATGACCTTTTCTACTAACATTAGCGATATATATATATATATATATATATATATATATATATATATATATATATATAAAATGGAATTTGTTAGTTTAATGAAGCTCACTTCTGAATATCCAAAACCGCTAATTATAGTCATTCATATCTTTGTTTTGTTATGATTAGCAGTTGGCATCTAGTACATGCTTAACTTGCCTGTAACAAATTGCAGTTTTTTGTTGTTTCGTATGTTTGAATTCCAAATTGTTCACTTGCTCAGGTATGGTCTTCGGTAGATCCAGTAAGCATAGAAAAGAAGGATGTTATAGGGCAGGATGTCAGTTTTGGGATTCTTTTAATCCTCCAATGTTGATACTAATCTTTAAGATTTTTGTGATATCTGATGTTAGAATGCTGTAAGATTGAGTAAATTAGTCTTTGTTTACTGATATCATTATTATTGACCATATTGAGGGTAGGGATAAGATGAAACCTTGAGGAGCATTATCTTACTGAGAAACAGCTAATAACTTGTCAAAATTATTTATCTTTTTATCTTGAATTTTCTGTCTATGAAATAGGTACCTATAATGAAGTATGTAACAGGAAGTTGGAATACTCGTTTGATTGATTCTATAGTAGCAGGATGTGTATTAAAATTCACCAAGTTTATCTAAATTTGAATGGAATATAATGGAGATCATTTAGTTGTAGATACAGTGGACTCTTGCTAATATGAACTAATCAAAACCAAGGCAGGTTCAAATTAGCAAACAATTCGGATTACTGAAGGAGAAAAAAAAATAGGTTATTCCATAAATAACAAATCAATTTAAAACAGAAATTATAAATGCACTAATCGTTGTTCAGAAATTTGTTTTTAAACTATTTTCTTTTGAAATAATCTGAAACATTTTTTTGTTTGGAACTTAAAATTATCTTTTTTAAGGGCCTCTGACCGCATCTTCTAATAAGAAGAATTGCGTAAACTACCATAATATTTAACAATACAATTTCGCACAGAAGATTAGTTTGATGGAGAGATTAATTATAACCATCAATGAAGAAATTAAGGAAATTAATACGCTTCCAAACTTTAATATGTACATAGCTTAGAATTTATTTTAGTCAAAAGAATTTGGTATTTTTAACTAGATTATTTAAGCCTTGGCACATAAGGTATTGATAATGCGGTTTTATATATGTACTACATATATAAAATCAAATTATCGATTATTTTTTTAGAGGGGTGGTTCAGATTATGGAATAGTCCAGATTAGCGAGCGTCCACTGTAATTATACTTTTTCCAGCGGTTATTCATCATTATTTGTCCTTGAGATTTTGTTAATTTAATTTAATGAGTTTTTTCTGCTTGATATCTAGCTCCTATGTACCTTCACTCATGTTTTGTATTTTTCTGTAGATAGGATATAATTATGCTGAGTTAGTTAAGTCTGATGTTGATAGTTCTCCAGTGTCATTGTCAGTCACTTGTTTTAAGTTCTATTTACTTTCCAGATTATAATGAAATTATCTCTGTTTACTCCTCCTCTAGTCAATGTAGGAAGGAAAGAGTTAGAGAATGGTATTAGAATGCAAGGAAAGCAGAGCTGTATTATGATCGAAGCTGTATTATGAATTCGAATATTTGATTGTGGCTTCAAAAAGAAGGATATTTGGGAAGTGATAAATTTATTTTGAACGTTAGGGGCATTAAATATTAAAATGAAATAATTGAGAAAATATTTTATTTATCAAGTAGAATGTGCCAACTTAATTTTTTTTTTTTTTGTTTATTTTAAATCTTCGAAAACTACTTCTTTTGCTATTGTATTAATTTGCGAAATATATTAAGGAAAGCAACAGGAGATACAAGAAAATAACTAATTCACAGATGAGAAAGTTAATATTTAGTTTTATGATTATAATTTAGTTTACAGGCCTAATTATAATTCATTGATATTTGTCTTATTAGGTTGCCATCCACGACCTCTTTCTTCCTTAATTAAAGTGCGCAATGGACCTGATGGGCCACTTTGCCAAACAGACAGTAAAGTTTTGTTGTCAGCGGTGGCTAAAAGCACTAGACACCTTTCTGATTTTGTCAACTCATTTGATTCTGGTCACAGGTAAGACTTGTATTTTTTTATCATGAAAATATATATTTTTTATTTAATTTTGATATTTCCATCTTGATAAAACATTTTCAATATTTGTGTGTTATCCATTTATTAAGTCAACTTGTATTTTTTTATCATGAAAATATATATTTTTATTTCATTTTGATATTTCCATCTTGATAAAACATTTTCAATATTTGTGTGTTGTCCATTTATTGAGTCAACTTTTTAAAATCTTTTTATTATCAAGGATTTTTCAGGTATTTCTGTCATTAATTATTGTAGATGGAATACGATTACTCTTATATACTTGATATAATAATTGGATTTAATTCAGTGAAAAATATTTCTTTTGTTCATATTATTTATCATTGTAAAAATTAAAAATATTTTTAGAAGAAAAAGAGAAGAGAAAGATACAGATGTTGAATTTGAAAATGAACCAGCCCGAAAAAGACTAAAACTTTGGGACACGGCCCGTGATGTGAACAAAGTGCCATCACTTAGTGGTAAATGGCTGACTTCTCCTTGTAAACCATCGGCGTCGCAAAAGAGAGATGTGATGGAACTTGTTGGAACACCTCTTGTTAAAAAACGTGGTAAAAGGTTCAGCCCGCAGTCTCGACCTTCTTCAATTTTAAAGGTGATATTCATTGATATCCTCACTACCACTGAAATCATTGAAATATGACAAAAAATTGGCAACTGCTTCTCCTAACTAATCGCTTTTGTTCTGGTGTATTTCTATGATAAATTATTTATATAAATTAATGTTAATTCAAAATTTTTATTTATTACTTTATATATTGAATTTAATTTTTAATATCTTTATTGTTTGATATCTTGAGTATTTAAAATCAAAATTGTCGAAACTAATTTTCATATCCAAATATCTCATGATCTTGTCCGTGGGTAATTTATATTTGATAGTGACTGTCCAGCTGTTCTCTGTGAACTACCCTAATTCATAAAAATTTACTTGAGAAGTGATTGACGATAGACTGTGGTGGGAATCCATATGATAAAAATTAAATTAAATTTTGACATACTTTTTCTGCATTTCAAAGAAAAAATAAATGTATATTTCTCACTGTTAAAGTTAGTCATGTTTTTATTTTTTCTGATTCAACCGTATTCTATGTCAAACTTTTTTCTCTTTTTTTTTTTTATTATTTATACTTAAATTCACTTATAAGTAATTCTGATAATATGACAAATGATCTGTCAAATCCTGAAAAGTCTACTGACTTAATAAATCTATAATACCATGACTACTTATTTTGAATCATGTTAATGTAGTTTACTTTTGATAATAGGGTAAAACTCCAGAGAAAAACTTTATTGCAGAAGATTTTGGCGAAACTCCAAAGAAATCTATTAGATTTGCACTTCCTGAAAATGAGTAAGTTTCTATAATGTTAAGACTTTCACTAAAACGTCTGTTAAATTTTGAGCATTTGGTAATTATGTTTTGGATTTTAGAATTCAAATAAGTGCTAGAAAACCTTTACGAGAAAATGAAGCAACATCACCCAACAAGAACACAAAGGTTACAGTTCACTGTGAAGAAGAATCAGCCACCCTATCAACTGAAGAATCTTCTAAGTCTCGTGGCTTAGGGTAATATTGGAATCTTATTAATTGTAATAATAATTTTACTTAGGTGCTCTAGTGGTTTAATAATTGTCTTTACTTACATAAAGAGTAAACAATTTTGTTTACATAAAATTCATAAATAGTGTAGTTTTATTATTTTTTGTGAAAAAAATTTCTGTTAGCAAACCTCCAATTCATGTTCAATGAACCAAAAAACGGGTGCACCACAATTTATGACTACAACAAAACTTTCCCCTATTTGCCATTATCTGCCTTAGTTTGCCTGGACTATTTAATTTTTAATGTTTTAATAATAAAAAGTAATTTCATAATGCAATAATTTCTTCTTCTTCTTCTTCTTCTGGCACTACTACTCAGTGGTGAGTCAAGACCTACCGCCTTGAGAGCCCAAATAAATAAATTTGTTCACACATTCAAACGTGAAGTCACCCATTTTCGCGTGGGCATCCTGCCGATCTATTGCTTGCGGAATTGCTATCATATATTTAGTTTTTGACTCATTTATTGTTAGACCCATTCTTTATGCAGCTTCCTGTATAGCATTAAATGCCTCCTTCATATATGCCAAGCTTCTTCCCATTATGCCCAAGTCATCTTTGAAGCCAAGAATTTAAGCCGATTTGTTAGACAAGGTGCCTCCAATCTGTACACCTGAGCTTCTAACAGCACATTCCAGTGCCATATTAAATAATAGACAAGCAAGGCTGTCACCCTGCCTAAGGCCCCTGTACGTTAATTCTTAGAAAGTCCTCCATCTACTTCAACAGCACATTACACTTTCTTCATGGTCAACTTTATCAAACGGACCAACTTTGAGGGAGTTCCCAATTCTAGTAGATTTTGATATATCTCTTTTTTTCTAGGATTGCTCTTGAGAATATCTGATCCACAGTCCCTCGACCTCTCATGACCCTTCCTGGTAGAATCCAATTTCTCGCTCAGCTATTGGACAGAGTCTCTGATAAGCACCCATGAGAATACTTTGTGGCCGTTAGAGAGCAGAGATATTCCTCGATAGTTTCTAGAGAGCAGAGATATTCCTCGATAGTTCCTGCATCCCATTATGTGTTCTTTCTTATGTATGGGACATGATTTTCATATACCAATCATCTGGCATTTAATGCAATAATTTGTTTACCTTTAATAGTTTTTTTCTACAACATTTACATCTTAAGGTAAAAAAAAATTCAGAGTAAATGTTTATGGAAGCAGTTTCGTACTTAAGGGTTTTGCCTTTTATTTTATAATGGAGAATACCCAGTCCAGGGGCTGAAGGCTGGGGATTAATGATGGAATTGAAAGCCCCTCTGAAACTAGGATGTGAACTCAAAATTATTTTATCTTCTTTAACTTCAGTTATCAGGTTGCCAGGCAACTTGCAGGTAAGATTATATAGCATTAATCACAGGCGTTCGCTCTCGCTCGACCACCCGGTGGTTGGGGTGGTTAACCATCCCGGCCCTTATATAAAATAACCCTATTAACTTATAAAATATTGGCTCCATTGTCTTGGTTTTGCATTAATTCATTTCAGCATCAGAAAATATATACAAAACAATATCCCACCTTACCAGGTCTCCTATTTGAAGTTTCCTCTAACTCCTCCTCTAGTCCTTGTCTAAAAAGTGTGAAGTGTATAAGAATGATGATGATCAATCAAAATACAAAATAGCAAAAATAAATATTATCTTTTTTTCCAAATCAAAATTGAAAATGAGACAAAAATTTGATGCATACACTTACCTATTCAAACCCATATGGACATACGCCTCACAAATTTACGGTTCTGCAAAAATGACGCTCTTACAAAAACTACAGACATTTCAATCCAAAATTTTACGACTTATAACAGGAGCTCCTTGGTACGTAAACAACAAAACTTTACATAACGACCTACGGCAACCAACTATGGACCAACACATTCGTGATCTCTACTCAACATTTCATCTTAAACTACACGGACATCACAACGGACTTATTAATGACATGGCCATAGCAGACATCGGAGACGACTGATTAGGAGCTGGATGAGAAATCTCCTTTCCTGAATTAAGGAAATAAACCAAGACCAGGAAGAAGTGCTCGAATTGGGTATTTCTGAAATATGCTGTTTATGTTACCAAAAGAATGAAGTATTGCTTAAAATATTTAGCCTGAAACTGTTGAATGAAAAATTTAGTTGCCTACCCAATGCAGAACTGTATCCTGCTCATTAAATATAATTTTTTCTACAGTGTGGGTTGCTAAAATGGTCATTTATAGTGTTATGAACGACCTGATTAGGAACAAATCAATTTTAAGAATCTGGGATAAACCGTCTGGTAGATTGAAACATAGATGGAGTGGATAATTTTACCCCTAATTTTGAATATTTAGGTTCCAATGGTGTTAAGATAAATAATTATGGAGGTAACACCGAAGTGGAATTAACATCAATCATCAGGTTCTGTAAGTGTTATTATTATTTTATAGAATGATCGGAGCTGGGTCATTTAAGGCCCTTGACCTATTATATTATAATAAATATGATATATTTATTTAGTTTTTTAGTTTATGTATCTTCAGTACTCTGATATTTGTTTCAAACTTATTTTTTTGTTTCAGAAAACCAAGTGCACGAAAACCATTGCATGGTAGTGATGGTTTAAATAACTCTGTGGCAGGTCGTGATTCATCAGTCATTGAAACTATTAAGTGAGTATTAAATAAAAAATAGCAATATTTTAATAATTATAATACATATTATATATACCATCTAACTTGACAATCTAGTTAGAAATTCAATTAAATTAACTCTGACATTAATCCCCCGCCCTCATCTCCTTGCCAGGGAAAACCCCCGTATATACAGGGTGGGTTAAGTGGCCAAACTGAAAATATGAATTAAGGACCTCCAAACAAGATAAAAAATTCCTGTAAAGGTATGTCCGCAAACGCTTTGTTTAGGAGATATTCACACCTAATGATTTTCATTTTTATGAATTATTTACGTTATATTAAGTAAATACAACTTATTTATTTGTTCCAACTACTTCATTAATTAAATGTAAACTTTAAATTCATATTAAATGTTGTTCAAGGTGATTTCCTTGAGCATTAAGACCGGCTTGGCATCTTACTTCAACTGCAGGAGAATGGTACTGCATATGTGTTATTGTTTCACAAGATTCAATTATTCTTCGTACACTGCCAGATGGATTATCTTATCTTATATATTATTTATCAAATATATATATATCCCTTTTCCGTTTCTCAGGAATGATGGATGTTGACGAATGAGGTATCAATAGAAAGGGAATATCATGTAGAGTGTGCAAATCATAATTTTGATTCCTATGTTTATACCTAGACTTAAATAAAAGTGAATGTAAATGTGGGAGGTTTCAAACCATATGATGGTGCCGTCTCAACTAATCGAGACGTTACAAATGAATTCATAATTTAGGAATAACTCGAAAAGGACGCAATTTTTGGCTCATTATGCATGGAGAGATACTGGTCAGATACTGAAACTTTCAGTATCTGACTAGACTCTCCCTAGAGGAGACTAAAATAGGATTTCCAGCAATAGGATAATAATAAAACATTTTAATTAAGATGACAAGTCTTATGGAGAATAAGATGATGCGGCCTACTGTCTGAAGATGGGATATAAGTAGATCCCGAAACGTTATGATGTAATTGAGTGGAATACATGGGAGAATAAATCACTGAGAAAAAAATATTCTTACTTATATATCTAGAAAATAAGTATCTCCCTTAAGATAAATGAAGTAGTACTGCCATTGAATACAAGTCTGATTTCGTCGACTTGAGGCCTCTATGATCGAGAGAGGAGGAGTTTATAATATTTATTGATGGTGTTTTTGATCGGCAAGCCATATCAACGTTAATTCTTCACCAAATCTCAAGATTGAGTCACCAATTTCGAAGGCTTCCTTCTCCTTCAGGCAATCAAAATAGTCTAATCACCTTGAAAATTCAGGCAAACAAGTTATGAAAGAAAACAAACTTTATTTGCAAATAACTAAAAAATTACACACTTTTCCCTTGGTTATGCCCATGACTATATAAAAGATTACTAAATTCCCTACTAAAGGAAAAAAAAAATCATCGAAATCAGAAAATTTTCAGCAAAGATATAGCTTATTGAAATTTGTAAACATGTTGATTCCAAACATTAAGAAAGATTTAAATTAATTTTGGTTTCTTTTGTCGATTGTAAATATCGATTAAGTAACAATTGATTTCTTTATCTTTTGATACGTTGCATTATTTTATTCTCTTATTAATTTGGAATTTGATCACTTAACAATATACTGTGCAAATTTTTCTGGTCACACTTTCTTCATTTTGTTACGGGGCAAAAATACCATCAGCAGATGGTATTATAACAAATTTACCAGTTTCTCTAAGACGTTGAAACGTGTAGCTAAAGATAGACTTGTTTGGTAACTCTATTCGCAAATCGCCTGGCATATTCATGACGGGCAGCATTAGCATTGCAATTGCAAAAACTGTATATAAACACCATATCGGCACTATTAGTATAAATGTAAGACATAATGATGAGTACTCTGCGAAAGCCTCTTACAAACTGATAAATGTTGTTGAGAGTTCCCAATGCTAATTCCAAATAGTATTAGTCCTTATGTTGCCAATAGTTTTTATACAGTTAGGGATAAAAGGCCATATTAGTATTTTATCTAATCCATCTTCTAAACAAAGCATTTGCGGACATACCTTCAATTTGAACAACATTTAATATGAATGTTAATGTTTACATTTAATTATTAAAGTAGTTAGAACAAATAAATAGGTTTTATTTATTTATTCATAATGTAAATAATTCATAAAAATGAAAATCTTAAGATGTGAATATCTCCTAAACTAAGCGTTTGCGGACATACCTTCAGAGGAAATTTTCTTTTATTTTGAGGTCCTTAGTTCATTTTTGCAGTTTGGCCACTAACCTAAAAGGCCAGAAAGGGGAGAACAAAAAAAAAAAGAGCGTCAGTGCACTGTGGTGCCTACCTGGAGGGTCTGTGACTAAAAGGATATGCAGTATTTTTATACTTAAAATACAGTACTATGATAGAGCAATGGGGCTGTCACATCCATATGTCAAATTGCCGCTATTAACTTTTAAAAAATCAGTCATGCCATTCGCAAACTGAAGCTGAAGAAATGGAGTTCAAAATATTTTAAACAATTGATAAATTTATACAAATTCCCAATCTGATTTTTTTATTTAAATAACATTTTACTATTAATAGAATCATAGACATACTTAAAATCAACAAAAAGACTATTGATGTTTTTTTTTGTCTTTTTTCTAGTCTAATAATATTAATTAAAGAAATTGTATTGTCACAACCTCTCAGGAAACAGTTCTAAACATTTTAATAAGAGAGAGGCATTTAAATATTTATGATACTGTATTAATGCATGATTCACATATAAAATTAGTGAGATCATTAATATTTCCTTTTAAAAATGAAAAGCTATTGAGTGATGGAAACTGAAGTGAGTGGTTTAAAGTATAATTGAAAAAAGGATAACAAGGTTTCATGTAACAAGTCTGAATCATATTTATAAAATTTATTAATAATCTTTAGATAATTTATAAATAATAGCCAGTTTTATTAGTTTCACTTACCTATATATGTAATATATAGTAAGGAAAAGGATAGCGATTCTGGAAAAATTTGAATCATACATTTCTAGGGTCTCTCCTGTGTCCAAACAACCACAAAATGGTCCGTGTCTCCGTGTGTATTTGAGTTCTACTAGTTCAGTAATGAAAAATTGTATGAAACTAAAATTACGTATTTAAGGTTTGTATATGCCTCAGACGTTATAGCAACTTTTTCATCAAAATTTCAGATATCTTACTGTTGCCACTGCTTTTATTATTAAGATGAAGCAGAGTATTCGAACTTAAAAGTCTTGACTTTTAGTTAATCTACAAACTTTTGTTTGTATCTTTCCCTATAAAATTTGTCTTTTTACCAATAGTAATTTTGATCTTCTTTTACAAACACTCAAAGGAAAATCATTAAGCCTTTATTTTTTTTTTTTGTTCTCGAGGTTCTTAAAACAGCCTGTCTTTCTAGTGATAGAATGAGACCATTAAAGAGTGTCTCATGTCTTCTGGACAACTGAGTGGACAAACACCCAAAAAATCTTGATTAAGATCCACTTTTAAAAGTTTATGACAGAAATTGTACACAATTTTGACTAGTCGCTCTAAAGATTTGAGAGGAGAAAAATTGGAGGGAAATCATTAAGAGTTGATGGGTTGGAATTCTTCTTCATAGGGCGAACTAGTGCGGTTTTTCAGGATGTAGGAAAGGTAGCGTTTAGTAGTGAATAATTGTAGATATGATAGAGGATTGGAGGGATTGATGGTAGTGAGACCTTGATCAGTCTGACTGAGTTGTTATCGGGTCCATAATCATTGGTTTGCAACTTTTGAATGGAGTTGAGGAGGTCATCAGGTGTCATATGGGAAAGAAAGAAGTGATCAGGATTAAAATTAATAGGGAAACACATATGAGTCGGTATAGTCGCGGGAGATGAGGACAAGAAGGGACAGGAGATAAAGTGAGTGTTAAGATTATCAGCAGAAAAGGAAATGAGCTTGGTTTGAGGTGTGTTAAGGAATGATGGAAATAACGGGATTTGGCTCTGCATAGCAGACTTGAGTACTGTTTCGAAGTTGCTTGAAGGCGATATAGTCTTCCGGGAGTAGGATACTTTTAAACCACCGTCTAACCGCATTTCTTCTTCTCATGCACTGTCTCAGAGCGGGTGACAGCCAAGGAGCAGGGGGATGTCGGATGGTTTTAGTTAGGAGAGGAGCACAGCAGTCGAGGATGGTAAGAAGATGGTTGGTAAGGATTTCTACCATGGCGTCAATGGATTTTAAGGAATAAATGGGCTCCCACAGGATACCATCGAGATCCTGCGACAGGGCTTCATAGGGGAGTGAATTGAGGTTTCGGAAGGATATGGTTTGGCAAGAAAAAATTGGGACCAGGATGTAGGAAATCTGGATAAGATCATAGGAAGACAGAAACGGAACCGGGTGCTGAGATGCTGACAAGAGTTTATCCAGGGAATCCAAGATAAACAGATCAAGCCAGGACTCTGAGAACTGGGTATGATGGGTAGGTTGTAAGGTACTATATAAAGGCTGAGTGATTGGAGGAGGCCAGTCAGGTAGGAATGGTCAGAAGATGGTATCATTAAATTGGTATTGAAGTCTCCGGTGAGGATAATATTGGAGTAGGAAGGGATCAAGTTGTAAACGGAAGTCTCAAATGATTCATGAAACGGAATTCTGGGAGGGCGATAAATGACTGCAAAGAGAAGGGGAGGATGATGGGATGAGGATTTTAGTAAAAAGATATTCCAGGTGTGGAGAATCAGTATGGGAAGAGCAATGCAGGATTTTGAATTTAAGGCTGTGGACAAAGAGACCCATACCACCACCTGTACGATCCACTCTGTCCTTACAAAAGAGGGTATAATTGGGTAAAGTAATTTGGGAAGATGGAATTTAACCAGGTTTCAAACTGCAATTAAATGGTAGATGTTGTGGAGGAAAAAATCATAAAATTCATAAAAATGGGCTAGGAGTGACTGAGCGTTGACGTGACAGGTTAAAAGGATATTAGTCATGGGAGAAGGAGGGATGGCTCGGTTAACAGACTGAAAGGATTTGGGGTAGGAATATTTCTGTTGTGGTTGGAGCTAGTATGAGCCCAGAGTACATAATTGTTGATGACACCTCTATTATGAAAAATCATAAATGTAATATTAAATGATGCTAAACAAGAAATAAAGAATACTAATTTTCCAGATATTATTAATGTTAAAAAGTAGAAAATATACAATTTAGTAAACGAAAGGTCTACCTCTACATTGGAAAAAACAATATTTACGTATATTAAAATGTCTAAAAGAATAAAACTTAGACTTTTCTTATAAACAAAAATAAAATATATTTAATAAAAAAAAAACTAAGTTGTAATCTTGAAAAAAAAATGGAGAAAAACAGAAATGAAAACTAAAGTGTGCAGAGCAATGAAACATGTGAGTACTAGTCTTGCGAATATGTCCAGGTCCGATGGCGAGTTAATCATGACAACCTGCTGACCGTCATCTCGTTAGCATTTATTTCACTTTGCCCACATTGAACCAGATCTGATCTTCTCTGCAGACCTCCTCTGTCGTGCTAACCAGTATAGGGGTCGGTTGGTTACGGACATTACCTTGCTTTCATATATTTTGTGAGCGTCATTTTTCTGCTGTCCCAGGTCACTAGTTGAGAAGTCCCATATATCCTTCCTCATTTGGACCAACTCGTCCCTGAGCATCTGTCTGACGGTTCTCACCAAAAGCAGCGTGTATCATCCTGCCTCGATCTCATCCGCTCCACGCAGTCCATATCTTCTGGCTTCAAGTTTAGGCCCAGGCCAGCCCCTTCAGCCCATATTCAGGTTAAAACAATACTTTTTGTGTTCCTTCTTCAGATGGAGATGAGGATTAGGGACAATCGTGTAATAATTTATGTTGTTATCGATGTATATCCCAAAAGCTAAAGGAATAAAAATGTACTTCTTGGATTTTCAAATATCTGTTCCTACAGCAAATTTTCCCTATTATATGATTTTAGAAATTTTTTTCACTCTGTCATATACCATCGCAGAGTAAAGAAGGATCTATATTTTAAAACATTATGACAGCAATGCAACAGTTACTGCAGTTATGTAAATAATCATAAGTATGAGAACACTTAGATTTCATAGGAACGGAGTGGTAACAATACTCATATAAAATTTTGGCACTTTTTGGATAGTTCAAAAACAGTAAAATAAAACATTTAAATTATTTTTTGATATTCTTAATTCTTATATATACTATTACATTACACATTTTTTTTTAAAATATATATATATTGATTTCTGCTATCTTTGTTTTCAGAGATCGATTAAGATCATCTGCTAAGAAAAAGGTATTGGAGGATGGTGTTAATTGGCATGAAGTTGCAGAGGCCTCTAAACCTCGCGTTCTTTTCACCCAAGGTGTAAGCAAAATAAATTCAGTAACTAAATTGGATAAAACTCCATCATCAACTCCTATGAGCCAAGCATTACTTGACATTACAGTAACTTCAGCCGAGAAGAAATATCTTGATTCTCCTTCGAGAGGAGAAGAGACTTCTCCAGTTACGGAAGCTCTGTTCAATACAACTTTATTACCTAAAGTGTTATTCTCATCTGTTAATAACGAAAAAGAAATTAAAGAAAGATCACCAGAAGCAGAAGAAGCTTCAGTGCATGCAGCATTCTTGGAAAGATACAAGAAATTACGAAATAAAAATGTTAAATTCAATAATGTTGTGATGACTGTAAGTAATTAAAAATTAGTTCCCAGAAGTTAATAAAACATATAAAATTACTACTGAACATTTCTTATCATAATCTAATTTTGTTTTCAGCCAGAAGAGGAAAAATATAGAGATGGTGCAAGGTTTGAAGAAGAAGAGACATTTAATCTCATCTGTACTAAAAAAACTGTAGTGCAGTTCAAAAGTTCTAATACAAGTTCGAGTACCAACATTGTCGTAGATAAAGACATACCTCCCTTAAAAGAATCCGTATTTAACGAAAATGTATTGAAAGAAGACAATGATAAACTAGATGACCCATTAATCGAGCCCACAAAAAAATTGGAATTAATCACAGATAAAGAGGAGCTCAATACTGAATCATTGCTAGAAGAAGAAGAACTTCAGCCCAATATTATACAAACGGAATCTTTGTTAGCAGAAAGTGAAAATATCTTAGTAAATGATGATTTATATCAAGATATAGAAAATTCATTACATGGAAATGATCCATTACTGAAAGATGATGTTTCTTCATATAAAGATGAAGATGAAATTGTTCAAGAAAATCAAGAAAAAGAAACTGAATGGTCTAGTTTAAAACTGATTGGAGTTGAAGGAAATTGCTCTACTGAGGAACCTATTGTTAATTGTCATGATGTATTTGATGATGAAAACATGAAAGAAACACAAATGTCTTGTGATATTATTAGTAACAATAAAACTAATTTAAATGAGAGCAAACCTATTGAAGTACTTTCATCAAGTGAATCAAGCTCTGAAAATGAAAAACAGAAAAATGATGATGATGAAACATTGGAAAAAGAAGCGGAAGTACCTTGTGATGAGCCATGTAATGTCACAAAGGCTTCTTCTGTAAAAGAGAAATCCAAAGAAGAGAGTTCTATTAGTACTAAAGATTGTGAAGAAATTATAGATATTGCCTCTGATGATGATGATGAAGATAAGCAATCTTATGATGAAAGTTTGACAGAAGAAGAAACTGAAGGAATTTCTGGAGAGTCTAGTGAAGAAATAGAGGAGGAAGAAATAGAGGGAGAAGAGGAGGAAATAAGTGAAAAAGAGGAAAATGGATCAGATCATGAAGGATCGTTACCAGAAGGTTCATCGATATCATCAAGAGGAGGTATTATATATAAACAACTGATCAATTATTATAGAGTATATATTATATTGCCATGTTAATATGCATGTTTTTGGTTAATTGTTTTATATATATTATTCATTTAGAGGGAAAGGTGCTAGCGGGCTAATGCGTGTGCTAAACACGCATTCCTCCAGCAACCAACCACATGATAAACTGAAGTTTATAAGTTGTAAAATAACTACGAGCTCGTGTGTCAGTGTCAGGAGGCTTTAAACTCTGCCATTAATCCCCCACCCTCTCCCCTGCTATAAGAAAAGCCCTGTATAGCCTAAAAGATGAGGAACTGGTAGAAAAAAAAATACATTTATTTCTAGTACTGTCTTAGCATCAATTGATTGTTCATCTAATCTAATCTTGATAACCTGCTTAAAATATTTGCTTCAAAGTCCATTGAGGGTAGGCGAACTTTTCTAAATATCATTTATAGGTCTCTATCACCTTTTATTATTACAGTTTATAAATTATATTATATGGGTCAATTAAGTAAAATTAATTTATTGAAGAAAAAAAACTCATTAAATTTTAGCCAGTCATGGTATTTTTTACGATTTATTAGTAAAAAAAAAATTAGATTATTCATGCTTTATTATAGTAAATTTTGGTAAATATTCTAATGACGTGCTACGAAAAACGCAAACTACATGTTATCTTATAGTTGGCAGTAATCATTTTAACTTATTCTTTCTTTGAAAATAACTAAAATCTGAAGACCATGAGTTTGGATATTTCAAAGCATTATATTCAAAAGAATACTTTTTGTTTCCATGTTAGTAATTTTCCATAAAACATGAATTTTGGCTTATTGAAATTAGATTTATTTCTTATAATTTTTAATTATTCAATTTTATTTATGTGGATATATATATATATATATATATATATATATATATATATATATTCTAGAAGAAGAAAGTAAGCTGTAATGTTAAACCAGAAACAGAAATACAGTATATATATATATATATATATATATATATATATATATATATATATATATATATATATATATACTGTATTTCTGTTTCTGGTTTAACATTACAGCTTACTTTCTTCTTCTAGCTATAAATTATTCTGATCTGATAAAAACATTCCTTCAGCATAAATTTTCATAATATATATATATATATATAAATATATATATATATATATATATATATATATATATATATATATATATATATATATATAATATAATTAACAAAATTGTGAATGATAACAACTTTCATTTTTAAATTAAAATTATTATGCCTTTATGAAAACTTTTATGACTGCATACATTTTAATATTTATGAACCAAAACAAAACTGGTGATATATATTAGTGAAATTAATTGTTCAACTTCTTTTGATCTGGTGATATGATAGGTAAATTGAGTTATGATTGTAACACTAAGTTTGGAAAACCTGTGATGATAAAGTGATGGTTCAAATTATCAAGGTTGAGAATGGAAAAAAAATCATGTTGTGGAGAAGAGAATTTTATTGTGATGGTAAATAAAGCATATCAAGTGTCTGCCCCACTCTTGATCAATTTGACATTGTTCTTAGTAAGTATTATTGTCTTGCTAAAAATTAACCCTGTTGATGTTTTAATTTTATTTTCTTAATTTTCCCATTAAAAGTTTCTTTTATTCAATTTTATGTGCGATGCTCTTGCCATCAGCGACCATGTCACCCCAGATCATCTAGTTCTAAGTCCCCAAACTTGGTTTCTTTGCTGATGGGTTTTACTCTGATTTTGAGAAGATAAACAAAATTATGATAAGGCTTAATTAATCACTGATTTGTTTAATTCCTCTGTCGTAATCCAAGTCTTGGTATCCAAAATCCTTCCATCACCATCTTGGTTTAGCTTGTGGATGTTTACCATCAGGCAAGTCACATGATTAGTTTAGGATTCATTCTTTATTTATTCCTGAAACTTCTTATAAGACCATTTCAACTGTCCTAACTAGTTGCCTTATTAGACCATTTATATTTACTGGGTGTATGCCTTGTTTATCTGTCTAAATTCCTCTATAGACTCAGCCTTTCTTGTTTGAAATAAGAGGTTCAACCTTCGAGTCTTAAATTTGGTTCATAAATATTATAATTTCTATAATCTATTTCAATAAATGTGTATTTGTTATTAATCCTTGCAAACAACAAACTTCTCAATTTATGTATTTATTATTTCAGATGATGTGGAAAATTCAAATGAAAATATTCCAGTCAATTGCCGTCGTAGTAAATCTCCTGAAAAGAAAATCGAAAAGAATGAAAATGTTGACAGTAAAAAGGAACCAACTGGGGAAACGCCAATAGTTCTTGTACTATCTGATGATTCTGGTGATGAAAATTCCAAAAAGAAAAAGAAAGGTTCTAATAAGAAAGATATTGTTGAAAATGAAGAATTAAAAACAAAACCAAGTTCACAGGGTGAAAAACACTATGAAGATGTATCTGATTTAGAAGTGTTTGGTTTGAAAAATGACAAAAGTAATAATGAGGAGGGAGATAATTCTGAAGATGACATGTGGGTTGGCCTGGATGACAAGGAAAGTACTGTAAAAAAGAATAAGAAAAAATCAAAACATAATGATAAAGATAAGAATTTTGACCTCCAAAACCCTGAGAATTCTCAGAGGTCGATGCTTCAGTGTAGTTTCGATAGTCATCAAAAAGGGGGGAAAGGATTCAAAAGTGACAATTCAAAGCCATTGCATTCCTCCAGAATTTCTCGAAGAAAATCATCAAATCGTTCTGATATCAATAAGGATAATGTTGAACATAATGCATTAAGTAACTCAAAGCTTGATACAGCCAAAGAACAGCTTAAGTCTGAAAGACCAGTCCTTGAAGAAGATGCAAGTTGTGATATGCCAAGTTTAGTTTCAAATCCACTTTCTGATATGTTAAGTTTAGAAGAAGAAATAGAAGGTTCTTCATCAGTGAACATACCTGTAGAAAAATTGGTCTCTGAAAATCAACCAGTAGCTGACAGTTTTCTTGTTGAAGATCCTCAAGGTGTTTCTTCTTCTGTTGAAAGGTCTATGGCAGGAGCTATTTCTGAAGAAGAAATGGTGGACAAAGAAAGTGAACCAGTGTCTTCTTTGCCTTTAATTGTAGAGTCTTCATCCCTTGAGAATGAAGATTCATCTAATGATAAAATTGTAGATAATGTTGAAGAGAATTTGGATCTTAGAGAAGATTTTCAATCTATTGAACAAAATTGGACTCAACAAATTGAAGAAGAAATGAAACAGGATAACCTTATCCTTAAAATTGAATCTGATAATAATGATTCAGATAATATTGGTAGTACACAGTTGTTCAATGTTGACGGCATTGAAATTATTTCTGAAGAGCTAACTGATTCAAAATCTATTGATAAATCTGAATATGAAGAGTCTAAAAGTTCTGAAATTGTTTCTTCAGTCCAATCATTGGAGGTTGAGCATACCCAGAATAATATTTTGATGCCGGAGGAATTGAATAATCTGTCCAAAAGTACAAAGATGGATGGGAAAGATATCTCAATCAAAGATACCACCAATCATTATTTAGGAGGTAATGATAATGATGCTCTAGAAAAGGATGACATCAGCCACTTAGTTAATTCAGAAAGTGTTTTATCTGAAATGGAAAAGAAATGTGAAGATGATAATTTAGTCATTGCTGCTGGAACCCATACAGAAAATGTTTCTAATAACAAAGAATTCAAATCAACAAAAGATGTAACTAATAAAACTAGTTTAGAAGTACTTGAAGTGTCTACTGAAACATTTAAAAATGAGTCTATCATTATTTTAAAAGAAAGTGACAAAGATGAACAAAGCAAAATAATGTCATTCCATGACACCAAAAAATTAAGTGATCATGGTGATTCCAATGTTTCTCATTTAAATGCAAATGTAGATGACCAGCAAACATCAAAAGAAGATCATCAGATAAGTATTTCTGGAGACAATAAACTATCTGCAACACTGCTACTTTCATCGCAAGAAAATCTTACCAAATATTCTGATGATATCTTTAAAACAGATAAGGAAAAACAAATTTGTGTGGAAGCACCTTCAACAAATATGTCTAGTGAAAACATTGTGAAAGATATTTCATCCAAGGTACATCATTCTTTATGTAAACTCGAGGAAAGCACCTCTAATAAGAATGAAAATTTATCTCCAGAAAAAAATACATCACTTTTTATAAATGAAAAATCTAAATTACCAGGTAATAACCTTTCAGAAACAAATTTAATTTCAGTGGAAGCAAAACCAAATAAATTATCAGAAAACATCGGTGAATCATCTACAAAAGATCGATCTAACTCCACTTTAAAGGTGAATAAAAACGATAGTGTTATAAATGTTAGTATGACACCAGCTTCAAAATCAAAAATTTTGATTGAAATGGAGATAAGTGAGCATGAAGAAGCTCAACGGAATTGCACCCTTACTGTTAGAACTGAAGAAAATGATTCAGAACAAGTCACAGATGTTAAGAAAATGTTTGAAAAAGATTATTCAAAGGTAGATAATGATGATAAAGACAATATGGTTGTTGTTGGAGACAAAATTACATCTTCTCAGGATAAAATTATCAAATCTGGCGGTCAAGTACATGAAGTTACTTCAGAATTTGAAGTTGAATCCACAAAACATTCTCACACACTAGAACATGGAGAAGAAACCACAAAAGTCAATGCTTTAGATAGAGTTAATGAACAACTAGATGACAAAGATGGTGGCAACAGATCAGCGGTTGGTGATATGGAGGTTATGGATAACATTGATAAGGTTTCTGATAGAGTTGAAAGTAACAATTTTGATACTTCTTCCCATCCCAGCTGTGAAGTGATTGATGTAGGGGTTCCTAGTAGTTCTCGAGAAAACGTAGAAAGGAGTAAAATTGAGTATCTTATGCCGTCTGAAGAAGATAACCATGTTAGAAATACGATAGATGATAAAGATTTGGCTGATTCAAAAGTTATCAAAGACAATGTAATTAATCAATTTTCTCATTCGTTGTCAAGTTGCAGTGATAATTTATGTCAGCTTAATGTGGTTAAAGAAGATAATTTTGAACCTCATGTTGAAATAAATAATTCGGCTAATGTAATTCCAGGTTCTGATGGGGTCTCAAAAAATATTGAAAATGTCTCAAAAATACAACACGTCTGTGAAAGAAATATATCTGAAGATCAGAAGGTTATTAAAGAAAACGTTTCACTTTGTGTTGACAAAGATGAAGATCCTGACGTAGAACCTTTGGATTGTCAGTTAAATAATGCAAAAATTGATGTTTATAATGATGCCTCTACAAGTGATGCTTTGGATCCTCTTAAGAAAGAAACAAATTATGAAGTACAAAATATCAAGAGTGCAGAAAACAACTCCAAAATATTTTCTGACAAAACCTCTATAGAGAAATCGTTTTTCTTTGGAAAAGAAGATATTGAAACTTATATCAGGTCAACTAAGGCCACATTTCAGATCGGAGGCCGTTTGAGTCTTCCAGAGGAAGATGAACCAGTTGATCCCATGGAAGTAGCTATGATTGAGGATGAAGAAAAAATGCTCATGCAGTCATCTCCTACTGACCCAGATATTGATTTGTCCTTGCGTTTGTCACCTGAGCCTTTCAAAAAGCCTATAAAAGTTGATCAGGGAATAGTAACTGATAACAGTTACTTGCAACGAAGGGCAAGAAAATTGAAGAAGTCAGGTAAGCAGCTTTTAGCAGATCAAAGTTGTGATAAGAAATTAGAAAACAAAGCAATTGTCAATTCAGATCATATAGGAAACATATTGAATGTTGAGAAGGAATCGAAATGCATATCCACCCAAACATCAGATGTTGTTTTGGACGAGATTGATTTATCAGAATCAGAAGAAGAGTTGATTGATTATATTAAGTTACCTGGTCCTTCCCAAAAGTCAGCAGAACTGAAAATGAAAGTTTGTCGGAAAAAACGACAGTCTTCAGAACCACCTCTAGCACATAAAGAGGATTTAAAAAGAAAAACCTCAATATGTCCTCAGGATGTTAAAGGAATTTTAAAGAATAAAGATTTAACTGAAAAATTTCCTGAAGAGTTTAAAACACAGTCAAAAGCTGATCATTTGTCTGTTCGAAGATCAAGAAGATTATCAGAATGTATTACAGAAAGGAATGAAGTTCTGAAGAATCAATGTGAGAAGGATCATATCAAGACTCGAAGAAGATCTAGAGGTTATTCAGAAGAGCCGGATTTTTATAGAATTAGTTCTTATAAAGACAAAGAAAGTGCTAGTGGTTACATTAGTTCAGAAAATGAAAAGGAAGCTACTGAAAAAGGTAACATTCCAAGGCAAAGGATGTCTAGAAGGCATTCAGAAGAACCTGAAATGCGATCTGTAATTAACAAAAATTTAGAAAAAGGGAGAGTACCAGGTGCTTCCGCTAATATAGATGATGAATATTCATCGAAAAGACGTTCTAAAAGATTTTCTGAAGAACCAGACAATGCTAACAAATATTCTGATGATAAAAGGAGAAATTCAAAAAATCCTGATTACTCTGATGATGATTTTAAACACTCTGAAGAACCTGAAATACGAGGCATTCTTAAGAAAAGTAGTAAAGGAAGTCGTAAAGCTTCACTTTCTTGTGAAATGATAAATGAATTGAAACATAAAGAGAGTGACTCACGCCGAGATACTAGAAAATTAAGAAGCCAATCTGAAGACCCAGAACTTCCCGAAATTCCCAAGAAGAAATATAGACAAAGCAGAAGGAGTTCATGCACTCATGAAACACCAGTTGATGCCCATTTTCAGGTTGATGACATTCCAGACGATCATAGAAAAAATCATAGGTATTCAGAAGATAATGAAATCCAAGGCATCCTTAAGAAAAGGTCCTTTAACAAATCCAGGAGCTCACTATTACCTGATGTTAATAATGAAATCAAAAAGTCTCATAAGATTGACCAATCTGAAGAGAGTAGAGAATTAAGGAAGCATTCGGAAGGTGAAATTCAAGGAATCCTTAAAAAAAAAGAATGTAGAAGTTCTGATTATGAAACTGCTAAATTAAAACTTTTGGCTGATGATTTCCCAGAGAAAAATAGGAGATCTAGAAGACACTCAGAGGAACCTGAAATGTTAAAACCCCTAAAAAAAAGAGAAAGGAGAGGTTCTCAAAGCTCTGATATTGATAATGAATTAAATCTTAAAGAAGGTCTTCGTCGAATAAGAAGGCATTCTGAAGAACCTGAAGTTCGAGGAATCTTAAAAAGACGAAGTAGTATCAGTCGAAAGAGTTTGAAGACCACAGATATTGATAGTGACATAAATCTCAAATTTGAAGATGAGAGTAGAAAATCTAAAGGTCAGTCAGATGAATCCGAAGTGAAAGGAATTTTAAAGAAAAGTAAAAATAGTAGAAGGAGAAATTCAAGTGCTGGTGAAACTGATAAAAGTTTGCAACGCCTTGAAAGGGACTCTTCTCATCATAAAAGTAGACACTTACTCGATGATGGTTTGCTTAAAGATGGAAAAAAAAGAAGTAATATTTCAAGGTCGACTGATTCAATAAACTGTGCGAAAATCCAAGATGATGAGTTTGATGAAGAGAGATTATCAAATAAAAATACATTAAAAAATCAAACATGTTTATATGTTTTTAGTACAAGTGACAAAAATGATGGTAATAGCAATTCAGATGACATCGTGAAGATGGTAACTGATGATGATGAACCTAAAAAAGAATCGAAACATAAAATACATTCCAGGCTTCAGATGGAGGATAATGATGACTCAGAAGATACACAGGTTAGAGTTGACAATAAAGAGGTTGATTCCTTCAATTCTGAAAATAAACGATCCAGGAGATCTATATTATTAGGTGAAGAACGACAATCGGTAAAGGAGGAAAGTCCTGCCAAAGTAAGGAGGCGTTCTAGTTCTAGTTCTGCCATTGCTAAAGAAGAGCCTGTAGATACAATTGCACAACCGGAAGGAGAAATAAGAAACACTCGTATGTTCCTAAGAAGAACCCCTGATAGAAAAGAGGTTAATACTAAGATAATGGAGGAAAGAAAAAAAAAAGTTGAACCAGAAAATTTGAAATTCGTACCCAAAAGACTAGACTATTCTGATGATGAATCCCCTGAGAAAAAGAAATCTCGTTCATTAATCGACTTTCCTATTAAAAGAAACAGTCGTCTCCCTCGGCCAGCCCTAGAGGATATTAGAGAAGAAGATGAGGATCTGTTAAAAAAGAATAAAAAATCATTGGATGATTTTCACTTAGAAGAAATGAAAAAGAAGGCATCTAAAAAATCATCCGTGTCCAAACTTGTCATAGGTGACTCAGACGTTGATTCTGATGTTTCTACTCCAGTGAGTACTAGTAATTTTTATTACTTTAGTTTATTTATAGTATTGCTTTTTTAATTACTATTATCAATGTTGATTATAATACATTATAACAATTCTTGTTACATATATGCTCCTGGTCTATAATTTAAAATATTACTTTCTAATAATTTTAATTTTTTTCATTTTGTTAATGTTTTAATGTTCTTGAGATAATCATAAAATATGTAGTTCTTTTTATTAAAAAATAATATACTTGAATTACGTTTGTTGGAACTTAAAATTTCTGAAACATTATGTGCTAAAAATTCAATTTAGCGTGTACCCATCATTGTTCACTTATTAAGTTGTTTGTTGGGTGGGGTAGAAAAATCAAGATTAGAAGTTAAGTAATTTAGAGAATAGGCTGTGACATATAAATTGTGGCATCCCATGTTCAGTGGCCACAATGGTGGATGCTTGAAAATGGTTATTTATATACGAATGTTCTGTTTGAAATATCAAGTTAATGTTTAAATTTAGTTTTGGTCTCATTTTAACATTCATTAAAATCATTTTATTCTATTACATGAAGCAATTTACTTTGCTTAATTCTTACAAAACATGCCTTAGTAATAAATCAAACACGAAGCCGTTCTACTTTTGAACACTCACTTCAAGAATTAGAACTTCCAATCAATGATCCTGCATTTAGACAATTTTTCAACTGGGAATTAATTTTCATCCTTTAGGGTTGGTGATGGTGCAAAAATTAAAACTCATAGACTACATTTCATATAGCAATTACTTGTGCTTAATTTAGACAATCACATGACGGTTTTAATGTGTGATAAAGTCAATTATATTTATTTTTTTTCTGTTGGCCCCATGTAGATCTTTTGCTGCCATAACAAGCCTACTCTATCTCTGCCTGTCTTGGGCTATTTCTTTCTATTTACCTGCACGCAGCTCTGTTGCATCTTTGTTGATTCTATCTATCCATCCGCTTTTGGGCCTTCTGCCTTCTATTGAAGCATTCATTGTTATGTAAAGGCTTCCAGATGGATTGCTTAACCTCTCTGCCTTTATATCATGGGATATTGATTGACCAGTTTCTGTAAGCAGTTCTTTATTGGTCTTTTGTATCCATATGTTAGTCCACTGATTCCAGATCGCTCTGGTTATCGTGCAGAAGTTTTTTCTCTCAAATCTTTCAACAATTTTTTTCTAAAGTGCTGGTTAGTGTCGAGGTCTCAGAGACATATATTAGAACTGGCTTTATCACAGCCTTAATTTGAGATTTTTCGGGATTTTTATGCCTTTGAAAGGGAGAAGAAAGCTCTGTTTGCTCTAGTTATACACTAGTCTATTTCTGCCCATTGGTAATTGATTGAGGTTATTGTGGAGCCAAGAAATATTGTGGAACCTTCTCCAGAGCCAAGTTGAACAACATCGGTAATAGTCCATCTCCCTGCCGTAAGCCCGTTTGAAGTTTGAAGGCTTTAGGTACTTCTCCTTGGTCATTTGTACACACCTTTGTCAATCTTACCAACTTGACAGGAATTCTCAGTTCAGTCATGATTTTCGAAAGACAGCTCCTGTCCTCAGAATCATAGGCTGCTTTGAAATCGACAAGTAGGATGTGGACGTCCTGAGCTTCTTTCCATCGTTTTTCAAGTACTTATTTAAGGATGAAGATTTGATCTAGCATGCTCCTCCCTTTTCTGAATCTAGCTTGGTGGTCGTCTATTATATTTTTGTAATACGGATATATCCAATTTAATAGGATATTGATCATTATCTTGTAGGCAACCGGAAGGAATGCTATGCCTCTGTATTTACTTATCTCATACATGGAGCCTTTCTTTAGGATAGGACAGATTAGGCCTGTATTTCATGCCTCTGGTATCCTTTCCTTTTCTCATATTTTCTGAATTAGTTGTAGTTATTTTGTGTCCCATTCTGCCATATTTTATAATTTATGAGAGAAATGTTGAGCAGTGAAATCAACAATTGCCAAAAGACAGACATTTTTTAATGTTGGTTTTTTATTTTATTATGTTTGATGTGTATATTTAGTCATGCCAAAAGTAATTATTAAAATTCCATCGTTTTATTTTATTTGGATACAGTATTTGTATTAATGTGATTTTTTGCATTTTAACCTGGTAATTTCTAAATTTAGTACCTACTATTTATGTATAAATACATAAATAATGTAAAACTTTAGTGCAGTAGAAGAATAATAAACAACTAAAATAGATTGTTTTTTTTGTTTGTTTTTTTAAATCTCAGAATTAACACATAAAATTATAATTGCTCCACCTTTTCAATGATTGAAGATAAAGCAATATATATTCTTGAGGAAAATTTAATTCTTAGCAACTTTCTGTTTTTTTTATTTATTCGGAATATTTAATGGTATACTCAAAATAAAAAATCCTATAAGCATCGGTGTTGTGTTTCATGAATTCATTATCATTAGTCTTAGAATATTGAAAAATATAATAAATTTTTTTTATTTTTTTAGGAACTTTGGAAGAAAGATTTAACTAAAGAAAAAAGGTTGACACGTACCCAACAAAAAGTGTTCTTAATGAATCAACAGCTTACTTCTGTTTCTGAGGTTGAAAGTCCTTCTACTTCTTCTTCCCCAAGGTGAGATTTTGCTTTGGTTTTTTTTTTTTTTTTTTTTTTTTCAATTGTAACACTACCTAAAGGCTGTTTATACCTTAGTACATGTTTTCCGTTCGCAACATACAGTTTCACCAGATTTGCAGGCGTGACATTAACTCCACACAAATTCTACAATTATTTTCTTTCCTCCACAAAGCGGATGCATGAAAAGAACACATGTTCTAACATTTCTTCGATCGCTATGCACACTGGAAATTTGGCTGTTATTCAATTTGAACTGGTATTGTTAGGCTCTAAAACATCTATATCCAGTCAACAGTTGGGTTACATAAAAGTCCACTTCACCATGTTGACGACTGTACCATGAGCTAATGTCGATACTAATCCGTAGGTCCATCTTGCAGTATTAGCCATATCCCAGTGCTGTTTTCAACAGTTGATGGTTATTTTCCATTCTTACCTTGTGATCCAAAACTTAGGATCACAAGGTAAGAACTATAGGGTCCTTTTCTCTCATCGACTAGCAGTTCAACAGGAGGCATCTAGCTATGACATCATAGAATATTGTCCGGAATGAACTAGCTATCCTTAATAAAGTTCTGCAATACCCTGAGACCATCTGTCTCCTATATGATTCTGTGAGCATTGCGTCTTTCCTAATTGGAGCTCTATATAAAAGAATCAAAGGTATAACAGTCGCAAGAAACCTTCTGTGGCTCTCTCTAGGCCCTCTTACCTTTACCTTCAGCATGAGGCATGATAACAAGGACATGTCTCTGCTGATATACCAAATGTGAGCATTAAACTTAAGACATGCACCAGTAAAGACTCCTAGGTATTTCAAAAATGGCTGAGAACAAATCTCGTGCCTACCTGCTGTGACTGTGATATTCTCCATTTTATTTCTGCTTGTGATCAGCAAGTTGCAGACCCACAGAAGACAGTCGTCCTCGGATAGTAACAACAGCTTGATTAGCAATCAATACTTTAAGAAATACTTGGTGACTACCACTGCTGCAACGTCATCTGTAAAGCCTTCAACTGCAGCTCCTTCTGGCAATGGTAGCATAAAAATCCTGCCATGACATTCCATAGGAGAGGCCTTAAGATGGAATCCTATGGGACACCACCAGTTGCATTATATCTCATTGGTCTGATGTCTGAATCAAAAAACAGAACTCTGTTCCTGAAGTAGTCAGTGATTACCCTTATAAAATAAGCAGGCACAGCCATAGTGGTAGTTTATAAATTTGCCTTTGTTTTATTAAACCTATTTGAGATTTCTTGGTCAATGCTTGGGTTCCAATGGGCTGAAGTATTGATAGAAATCTACCCATTCCATGGGCTACACCTGCTGTAATGATGTTCAATTCTTTATAATTTGTTACAATCTGCTTCATTATATTCTTTCTTTCATTGATCTCCATCCTCTTGCAAAGTAGTTCTCTCCGTTCTAAAATTACGTTTTGTTAATTTTCCTTTTGAATATACGATGAGGGATAGTATCCTTTGCAAAGATAAAATTTTGTGACGAAATTGGGACAAGGTTCGAGAACACTACACAGGATATTCCTGGTTATTCTCTTGCATTTCTTGACTATTTCATCTACTTGTTGTTTGGTATCTATGGAAGAGAGAGGAGGGGGGTTAGGCTATCACCTTGTTAGATCTATTTTTCAAAGAAAAGTGGTTTGGATTCTTGTCCATTGGGTTCTTGATGTATTGACTGACTTTATCTCAATGAGTTTTGAAGAGATCTTCTTTCTTCTGAATGGATACCAAATCTCTTTGTGGAGTACTGAATCAAATACTCTCATCAGGTCCAAGAAGGTAAGACATGCATTCTTCCCATGGCCCATGGTCTCCCTTTGGGGCAGCGGGCAGCTTGGTCCTGTTCCAAATTTTTAGTTTTCAAGGTTTGTAAATAAAAATTGCAGATATGAAGTAATTAAATGATATAAAACTAAAAGATAAAATTATTAAAACTAACTTTTATATTAAGAAACTTTATCTTTAAGAGGGGTTTGATTTAGTATTTTTGAAATGTCCATGAATAATAATTAATTTGATTATGGTACATAATTTAATATTATTATGAACTTGAAAAGTTCTAATTTAAAATTTTAAATCCATGGCCGAAGGGTTTGAAAACTTAGAAGCTGCAGCTGCAAAAATACTTGAAGTAAACCAATTAAAAATAAAAACATGGTAACATTGTATTTAAAGGGTGCTTCCTTCCCATTTGAGAGCGTACAGGAATTTATATACCTTGGTTCCTTAATAACCCAAGATAACAATGTAGGCAAGGAAATTCAAAGAAGAATCGTTGCAGCTAACAAATGTTATTTTGGGCTAGTGTGAATGATGAAAAGTAGAATATTGTCTCGCACAACTAAATTGTGTTTATACAAAATTTTGATTAGGCCAGTTCTTACATATGTATCAGAGGACTGAATTCTATCCAAGGCCCAGATAAATCAACTCGTTTGATGCCAACAAGCTAGCCTGGTGGATCAGGATGAATGCCGAGATCTCAGAGCTGTACAAGGACTGCTATGTAGTTCGCTTCATCAGGGCTAGTCAGCTCAGGTGGGCTGGACATCCTAGACTACAATGGGTAGATGGGGTAACCAAGGATGCATGCTCCATTTTAGGATTCTGGGACAGGAGAGTTACTGGACAGATTCAAGATGAAGGGTGGATCTTGCTTCAGGGTAGTCTCCTTGTGGGTTGTTGAGGCATTTAAGAAGGAGAGTAAATTATTAATTTAAAACTTTTTTATAAAAAACAATTAATAATAATATGCTAAGGTGTATATTTGTATATACATACTCATATTTTTTTATATTATATTTAATATGTTATTCTTTATAAAAATTTCAGACGTAGCATTAGAAAGAAAGCAGATGTCATTGACAGTCCAGTGAAAACCCCAACTCGTTCCTCACTCAGGCTTCAAAAGAAACCTCCAAGTGAAACTGACTAGTCGCCCTGGTTGGTATGTTGTTTTGTATCTAACTAGTTGTATTTTGTTGTAAATTATTATAAATTAGTGTATTGTATAAAATTGCCTTTTAGCTATTATTTTTTCTTAAATCCTTGTATACATACATTTTCTCATCGTGTATGAAATTACTCAGAGGCAAATTTTTTTTTGTTTTTTTTATCTAACTTATAAAAAAATTGTTTTGATTTCACACTGTTGATATTTGTAAAAATGCTTTTATTGTTTTATAGAATTTATGTTTTTTATAATGTTTCTATAATTGTTACCCAGATTAAACATTGTAATATAGAATACATATGACTTTCTTTAATATTTTTGTTTATTTATTTTATTCCCTCTCCTAATTAGTAAATTTTCTATTTATAACAGATCCTATGCTTTGACATTTAAGATGTGTGATAAAGTTTATTTTCCATTGGATTATAACTTTATCATCAGCTTCTTACATTGGCTTTGGATTTATGCTTAACTAACAGTAAATAGTTCAAATTCTTTGTGTTTTGTCTTCTGACATTCTAAAGAAAACTGTAGTTGGCCAATTAAAAAAACTTGTCAGTTTTTATAAAGAAATTATATAATTTATAGAAATAAAATTTTAATTTATAGAAATTTGTGTGTCAAATGTTAATAAAGACAAGTTTAATCTTGATAGATAATATTACTAATCCCTTCTTTAAGAGAGGTTCCTATCAGCTTCAGCTTTGTTCAAAACAGAGCAAGATTACTGAGGTGAAGTCGGCCGAGGGCAGCCTTATCTCACTGAGTCTGAGGCTTGCCAATAGGAACAGAAGTAAGCAAATTTTTATTTGTTAATTTATTATTAATTATGTTAAATTTTTTTTCCTTTTTTTTTTTTTTTTCTTTTTTGTGGTATGGCCAGCTGAAGGCCGCATATATTATTATATTTTGGCTTTCTTTTTAGCCCAAACTTTCTTCATTTTTTCGTTCATTTCCTTTTTCCATTCTTCCATCCATTTCCTTTCTTCCTTTCTCCTCTTTTCTATGCAAGGGCCTTCCATCTTAACTGCTCCTCTGAATTTATTCCACTTCTTTTATTCCAAGTATTGCTATTTATTCCTTTCTGTTCAGGATTTGATGTTCTTTAACTTATTACTTTTTCAAATATCTGTTGGTTCATCCTATTTACAATTTAACAAATTTTTATTTATTTATAAGTGTTGCATGATGGAAAACAAGAGAAATATGATATTTGGAAGAGTTAGACACCAGAAGCCTTTCAATATGTGGGATGAGTCGAGGATATTCTACAGCTCACTTTTTTTCTTTGATGTTCCATGATGTAAATGTGGTGTTATGCAAAAATAACTCATTTAAATGATTCGTTGGTTAATGTTATTTCGTTGGTGCACTTACACGGTGGGCTAGATCTCCCTGCTGTGCACCCTATCGTTGTGTTTCTTGTAACTATTTATTTAAAAAAAGCCAATTTTCCATAAAAAAAAAAAGTGAACGAACTGCTTTTTTCCTATTTTGACCATGAAGAAGCACGTTTTCGACAAAAAACATTCTATACATTTTTAAACTAGATTAAATAGGATTTTGCATCTGCCCCATTCAATCTAACTTACGATGCACAAGGTTACTGGGCTACATCTAGGATTTAAAAAATTACATCTTGTACAGGGAGTGGTCTGATTATAAGCAGATATACGTCTATGTTTGTCTTAGTTACGGCTATATGTCTCTATCAATAACCCAAGCCAACACCAATAATGTTTTTTTTGCTTACTTTGTCCAGACCTGCTGACTTGCTAATTGCTTTGAACAAATCTTTCTTGCTGATAAAATGGTCTTCACCATAATAAACCTGCATCATCCCCTTAATATCATCAAAACTGCTCCAGCATTTGACCCGCTTTTAGCAGCATCTTGAAATATTCTGTTCATCTGTTTACTATATATTTGTTTAGCCATATAATGGATACTGATCCTTGTTTTCTTTTCCGAAATTTCAGATCTTCCTTTCTCTTTTGCTTAATGTGTTTTACCAATTCTTGAGTTCAATTTCATGTTTTCCTTCATTTGAGACTAAATACTAAAAATCAGTTCTGGTTAACTAGAAGAAGCTTTATAGCTTCGCCCTTTCCATTTTTCTTTGTGCAGAGAGAATAATGTACTCAATATTAAAATTTCCTGTTTTTTTATGATATGCTCTAACTTCTAAACAAAATAAATTAAATAAAAATTAATTTAAATTTTTTATAAGTGATATATGTAGTTCAGATTAGGTATATATTATTTTAGTTTATAAAACAATTATTAATATGACTCATTTCCGGGGAGGTATATACAATTTAAATTACCTCTAAGAATCATTAAATATACAAAACAAAGTGAGGTCAAACAACAACAATATACAAACAAGCTGAGGTCAAAAACTTGCAATTTGCGTCCAGTCCCCATACATCCCATAAAGAAAAAAAAAAGAAACCTATCCCCATTCGATGGAACTTAGACCACCCTCTTCATGACAAGATTACTGTGCTAACGTGGAAACATCAACGCTCCTTCGAGTTCTACCAGGAAGCTGCAGACGTCGAAGCTGGGGCTGCTAGTTTACTATCTCTTCATACCTCTAATTTGTGTGATAACACTTTAGCCTTCTAAAAGAAAAAAACAGAATCATGAAACTGTTTATGAAGTCCCTGAATGTCAGGGCTGCAGCAGTTTTCCTAATTCCTTTCTCCACCCAATGTGACATAAAGGAAGCTGGGAAAAGTTTATTTTGAGATAGTGCGAAGGAATCTTCTGAATATATAAATCCATCAATTATTACTGAATAATTGCAATATCATATGTAAATATGTTATATAATCAATATACTAAATAAGGGAGCGGGATTCATTAATTAATAAAGATTAAGCTGTATAATAACAAAAATTACGAAAGTTTTAAGGTTTTTAAAATCTCGCAATGTATGTATAAAGATATAATGGCTCTAGCTTTTGAAGTGTTTAAGATGAAATAGTAAAGTTGTATATATTTTGAAGGAAATTTATTTTTCAACGACTTTTTTCCCTGTGATTTTTTCATAAATTGAAAATAGAGTTAGCTACTCAATGCTAGGGGAAAAAAAATCTGGTGTGTCCACTCACACGACTTTCCTGCCTATTTCAGAAAAGGTTTTATATCTTTACATATGTCCAATAAACAAAGAAACAAAAAAAAAATTGAATTGGATTTATTTTCCTGAAAATTGATCAAAGGAAAGATTTGAGTACGATTTATTTGATAAACCAAAGTAATGTAAACCAGCTTAAGGTAGATCAGTGTAAAAATTCCAATACCCTCTAATATTGCTGATCAAAAACGTTTTGTCGTAGCTTAATTTTGTCAAACAATAATTTCTGTTAAAAGTAGAGGAAATAGTGAAGCTTGTGTGATGCTGACAACAGATTTTCTTACTTTCACTTAGTTGTCTTTTTCCTCTCATTCACCCCTTTCTGACACCAGAATATGAACCCCTAATCTATTGAATACATACTTAAAGAGTCAGGCTCCAAAAAAATTTTCTTTTCTTTATAACTTTTTTTATGAATTTTCTCGAGAATTTAGTCCATATACGAAATTTGAAAGGACAATTATTAGAACATTATAGGAAAGTTTCATCAAAATCGTTCGAGCCGTTTTCGCGCTACAGGCATCAGTAGTCAAAACCCTAAAAAATAAAAAATGATGCTACAAAATCGGTTCTCTAGTTCCCGAGAATATCTTGGCACAGACCACTAGCGGATCCAGAATTTAATTTTGGGGGGGGGGCTTCAGCCCGAAAGATTTTTTTTTCATATACATATAACGATAATTAATTTTTTTTAAAAAGAAAGAAATTAATTACCTATATGAAACGGCGTTTAAGTGGTTCTTGAAGTCCTATTAAATGTAATTTAACGAACAAGAATACTTTAAGAGGTTGTTTTTAATATATTTTTTCTGTATATTTTACCATTCGGGGGAGATGGCTTCAGCCCGAAACATGAATGAAATCATTTGATCTCCGGATCTCTACTGCTCACGTTTTTTTTTTTCATTTTTTAAAACATAATAATATGATTTATTTCAGGAAAGTATATAAAAATTAACATATTGTTTTTTAACTAAACATGTTTGAAAAAAAAATTATTTTTTTTACTGTTTTTAAATTTTATAAAACCCGTGTTTAAAAACAATATTCGTTCTATAAAGCTGAAACATGCACTATACTTAAACATTCTAAATAAAATATATATTTTTAAAAATAAATTACACTCAGAAGATGGAAAAAAGTATAAAGCGTATAATTTTTTTTGTAACTTAAGAATGTCCATACAATATTAAATATCAGTTCCTTAGGATATGAGAAAATGAAATGAATACATATTTGATCGATATTATTTCTATTCATTATAGTTTCCTATAATTTTTTTACATTTTCTCTCGACAAGTTTATTATCCTATGTTCCAAGAAAATTTATTGGAACCAATAAATTCGAGAAATGAAAATTTTACAATATTTTCATTTTGAAATATTAGTTAAATATTGAAATTTTATGTAAAAACACATCATGCATTGTTAAAAAAAATTATAGTCAATTGGATATTTGTTAACTGAACATGTTCGATGTTATATAACTTATACTAAGACAATATTTTTAAAGTTCAACTAACTAACTTTGAAAAATCCGCGAGATCTTAATTATCTAATGATTCAAATCCACAAAGTTTCTTTGGATAAGGGATAAAAATTACGTGGATTTTGGCCATTAGAAGAATACATTCCAACCTATTTATTATTCTGTAGAGACGTGCTCCAGAATAAATTAAGAATATTATGTTATTTGATTTTTTATGAAAATAAAATAAGTCAGATGTCTGAAACATTCTTGGCTCGATGAGATTATAAAACAATTGAACATATGGGTCTATTTATTCTTTTGGATTTTCGTTTGATGAATTATTTATTCCAAAAAAAATCTTACCAACTTTTCTATGACTCGTCGGTCCTGTGTGATGCGGACGCCGCACAGTGGTCTGGTCCCAAATGGTGAAAACGTGAACATAATACTATTTTTTACTTTTTTCTCTGGACTGAAATTACCAATGTTCTCTATCATAGTCTCATTTATTTTTGCGTTTTCATGTATTATTACTGATAATATTTTATATTCATTAGACAGCCAATAAAGTATATTTAGTAGTGATGCTATAGAACGAAGAATCAATGAAATCGGCTGACAAATAACTGTTATAGAATTATGTCCAAAAGAATCGAGTTTGGGACCACTGTGCGCTGTTCCAGATTCGATTTTGTTAAATGTTTCTTGATGATTTTTTTTTACAATAAATCGATGTAGATTGTTTATATTATATTTATATATTTGTCTTCTATGTCCTCTATGAGTTTTTCCTATCTGATGATTAATGACCAAGGCAACGGTTAATTAGATGTAATGCAGATAAATTATCTTTTTAGTTTCTAAAAGAAGATTATAATATGATAATTTTGACAAATTATACATAAATTAACATATGGTTTTTAACTATACATGTTTTTAAAAAAATTTCAAGAGCAAGTATCTCAAAAAGTATTTGTTCTATAAACTTGCACCATCGTCTTGAGGTTTACATGGTCTTGAAACATACTCAAATAAATTAATTATAAAATTTTAAAAATAATTAAAAAGAAATTTAGACGTTTCAAAAACTACACAAACACAATTATCTAACTTAACTAATAGAGATATTGCTAAACCAAATTGTTTATTTTATTGTGAAATGTTTAAACACACCTTTATGAGTTAACGAAATAAAAAAAAAACACTTCAATGATATTATTTTTATCCATAGTAACTTCCAATAGTTATAATACATTTTTACTTACCCAGAAAAAGTTTTTTTTTCACAAGAGGCATGCTCCACAAAAAATTAAGAATATTATATAATTTATTTATTTATTTTTTTTTTATGAAATAAAATCAGATGTCTGAACCATTCTTGGTTCGATCAGATTATAAAACAATTGAACATATGTATCTATTCTTTCAGGTTTTTATATGATGAATTACTTATTCCAAAAAAATTCTAACCGACTTTTCTATAATTCCTCAGTTCTAAGAATTGAGGCTGTTGATCCAGTTCAGGCATTGTTTTTGAAATACGTAAGAGAATATTTCCAAAAATTAAAACAAAAGTAAGTTGACTAATGTAATCGTTAGTACTACAGCCAATGGCGGCCTTAGGGTGGGGCAACCGGGGTATCGGCCGATCTTCAGGAAGGCAATTAGAAATTATTTGAAAAAATACAAAAATAATTAATTTTAGCTTTTAAATAAAGCAACTGTATAAGAGAAATATTGAATGAAATAAATTCAAATATTATATAATATAAAAAAACTAAAGAAATAAATTAAATTTTTTAGGGGGAGGGGATATGCCATCATTACCCGGGGGCGCCGAATGTCTAAGGCCGGCACTGGTTACAGTTATTTATATAATATGTGATGTTGGCAATCCTTTAGGCTTGATGTGTTCAGTTATTTCGTAAGGCATTGTGTGACGCCATTAAAATAATTTTATGAATAACATTATTAAGCGTTAACAACTGAACATTGAGCAGGCGAATATTTTGTAAATTGCTTTATCTTTAAAACATATTGGTTACATTTAAGATCTCCCAAATAACCATATATTATATAATACCAAATAACAATAATAATTATGAACAAAAAACACGAACCATATCTAAACAAAAACTGCATTAATACAAATTAAACAATATACAAATAACAGGAGTTTTGGATGTGAGAGGGAATTGGTAAAGCAGGTATTTGATTGAGAACAATCAAGAGGCAGGGTGGATATCAGATGGCAGGGAATTCTAGAAGGCAGTGAGCAAGAAAGCAACGTTGGAATGTTTTAGTTCTGACGAAGGTGTATAAAAATCAGAAATCTTGTATGCTGAGATTCGACCACGGTTTTGTACTGTAGGAGACTGTAGGTGTAGGAAAGGTGTCGCGAATCGTTCGTATGAAATAGGTAATGTTGAAGTAAATATTGTTGGGGGAAAGAAAAGAAGAGCCACTTTAACTCGTCGTGAATGTGGGATCTCGAGGTACCGAAGATAAATCTTAAGCAGGAATTCATGATTCGTTTCAATCTATCCTCTAATACAATCAAGAAAATGAGAGGATACAAGAAGCCTGCGTGTAGGTTGTAAGAATAGGTGAAGGGAGTAATGAATTAACTTAAGCGTACAAATTGGCCTTCGGGAGATGAAGGTGGTATGAGATTTCCATGAGAGGTTTTCGTCTATGGTGATTCCTAAGTTTTTAACGAAGGAGCCGAATGTGATGGGATGATCGTTAAGTGCCTAAAGGAGGAAAGAAGGAGTTGGGTTTACAGAGACAATTGGAACCTATAGCGTTGGCCTAAGTTTTAATCGGGTTTAGCCTTAGATTATTCAAGTTTACACTGATACTATTTAGGTCTACCTGAGTATTGGCGGACTTAACTAATAACTCGGGTGAAAGAATAACTAAATTTGAAAGTCGTCAATATATAGATGGCATGAACAATGGTGGATAGAATAATTATATAAAAAAAAAATTTAAAAAAATCTGTACCACTACAACCTATGAAGGGTCTTGGGTGCAGTACTATGTGAGGAAGCACTGTTGCAAGACCAACGGTTATGCCGGGAGGTGATGGGGCCGATATCACGTTCAACCGCCAGGTTTTCCCCCTTAATTATTTTTATTAATTAAGGGTACCCACTTTATAGAGGCTGGGTGTACCCTAGGAGGGTCTCCCGATCACAGGGTCGATCCACGGCCAATGAAAAATTACTAGTCATTAGCCGGATTCGACCCCAGGACCTTGAGCTCTGGAAGTCAGTGCTCACCCACTGAGCTACCCCGCTCCCATAGAATAATTATATAGGATTTAAAAAGGAGATGAGAAATGCCCAAACCTTGGAACACTCCAGTGGTTGGCCTTAGGAAGGAAGATAAGGATTAGCTCGGGACACTATCTGCTCGAGTCCGGTCAGAAAGGCTGTTAGAGGAGGATTTTAACCTCAGATCCTGCTCCTTGTATTAGGACTCGACATTTAGGGTCATTTGTACACGCCTTGTCAATCCTAACTTACCGGAAACTGCCAATTCAATCATGATTTTCCAAAGACAGTTGCTGTCCACAGAGACACAGGCTGTTTTGAAATCGATAAAGAAAGCGTGGACGCCCTGAGCTGCTTCCCATCGTTTTTCGAGTTCTAGTTTTAGGATCAAGATCTGGTCTAGCATGCTCCTCTCAAATCTGAAGTGGTCGCCTATTATATTTTCGTAATATGGATATATCTGCTTATATATTGATCATTATCTTGTAGGAAAATTATCTTAAGTGCTTTGCCTATGCAATTACTACACTCATACATGGAGACTTTCTTTAGGATAGGACAGATTAGACCTGTATTAGAAGCCTCTGGTATCCTTCCCTCTTCCCATATTTTCTGGATTAGTTGTTGTAACTTTGCTTGAATGTAATCTTGAATAAAACTGTGTGCTTATTTTTGACATCGAAAATAGTAACAGACATTAATAATTAATAATAAACTGAAAAACAATCCACATCCCAAGGAGAAAATAATTGAAGGTAGCGTTATTTACTGAAAGTTATACACTGATTAGTTATTGATTGAAAATGAATCTACGTACTTAAAATGCGATTTCATCTTCAATTATATAAGCGAAAATTTTCCAATATGAAATTCGATTAATTGTATGTAAATATACACCAATTCGTGAAGATATTTGATCATCAGTTTAAAAACTGCATGCAAACAAAATATGACATTACATTAAAATCTAAATTTAAAATTTAGACATCTGTAGACAGTGCGGAATACTTATCCTTTTTTATTATGTTCTCATCACTTTTTTAGTTTGATATTTTACAATAATTGTTGTTATTAGCAACGGTGTTATTTTTGATGTGTCACCTGAACTGGAAAAGGACCGTGCTTTTAAACAGAAAACGCTGGCTGAACGTTATTTTGGGAATATGGACCCAAAATTATTTGAGAAATTTCCTGAGATGAAATACGAAGGTATGGCAATATTTTATATTAAGGCTTCTTCAGACAGCATTGTCACTGTTATATGAATTTATTAATCTACGTTACAAAAATGGGCTATTTGCTTTTTTTATCCAAGAGGTTTTCATGTTCAATTAGTAGGCCGCAATAGATTTATAAAACAAACCAACACCAGGTAGGGGCGGATACAGATGTTTCCTTGTTATTGTACTGAAAAATAAGTATTCTCTCTATGACATACAATGCTTTGTAAATTTTCTCCTGAAAACTAATTCAGTTTTACTTATAAACTTCTAATTTAGTGTTTAGATATCTAGGGTCTGATTTCATACAAGTATATAATATATACCAAGAGCATAGAATATACCATCATCTAGTTTAAGTGGATTGGTGATATGACTTCTTTGCCAAAGTTATCTACTGGTTAATATCATCTGGGCCATTCTCCCATTTCGTCCGATTTTATAGATTCTAATTTTACTTTTAAAACAGTAAAGTAAAATTGAAATTAAACATTACATTTTCTCGATTCATTTTAAGATAGAATTCTAATGAAACTTGCTAACAATCCCTTCACAGAAATCAGTACAAAAAGAGGAGCCTGATCAAGGTAAATTTGAAACAATGAAGGCGAGGTTAATAGAATGATTATCGTAAAAATAAATAGAAAATGATTAGTTTTATTATTAACATAAGGTTTTATTAACAAGAATAAGCACTATTACTGTGAGTAATGTTAACTTACGTACTGAGATTTGTCGTTAACGCTGTTCAAATGCAAATTTACACAGCCTAAAAGTCTCACAAAAGGTACGTTCTATCGCGTGTTTACACGTTACGTTTTCACTATAAATTTCTCATCTGTTGGCAGGAATATCTCAGAGAGCAATACTAACTTCTTTATTCTACATTATATACACATGACATTCGTACCAGCTACAAGACATTGACCACCCTCTACGACTCAAGATGTTACAACAATTTTAACAACACACCATAATGAATTTACATAATCACCTGACTAAATTTACAAAATTGGTACTGATTTTGGAAAACAAGATTAAATCATGAGAAATCACAACGTATAACATTTACTCTTCGAACAGAAAAAAATCCTAATTTCTCCTATCCTAAATCCTAAATCAACACAGTATGTTACACTAGACTAATATTTGATTTTTTTTAATTCTCCGCTTTCCTTCGTATCCCTTCTGACTAGTATTTCCGGAGATTCATTTTCGACCTGGATAAGCATTTTTAGTTCTCCTTTATTCAATTATCAAATTCTTTCAAAAGTTATATTTAGCATTTTTTCGTAACTCCTAATAATGAAAGATAGTCAATTATTTTAAATAAACCATATTAAACCTACTTTAGAGGAAGACGCATATGAACATTAGACATTTAAGCCCTGTAAAGTGACATCGTGACATCAGCGGGGATAAGACCTAAATGATATTAAATATCACTTAATTACACAATGATACACTGAGTTTAATAAAAATCGTTTGAGCCGTTTTTGAGAAAATTGTAAAAATGTGTTTCAGCGTTTATTTAAAGTTGCACTTCCGATTTGCCTATTTTAAGGAAAAAGTTGCTGTCACATCTAAGGCGTATACCTATCATAAATACGTAATATCAGTTTCGTACAACTTTTCGTTTTTGAGCTAGAGTGTTCACATATACACAGATCATTTTTCGAGACTTAGTTATTTAGACTCAGGGTACCCCAAAACGTGTATTTCCGTTGAAAACTCAAATTTTAAAATTTTCACGATTGCAATACTTTCCCTTACTATATATTACCTATATATATATATGTAGGTAAGTGAAAGTAAAAACCGATAGAACTTATTTGCCAACCCAATACTTCTCTACTCAAAACCATCTGGACATACGACCATACTGACATATATATTGGCCGCACGAATTTACGGTTCAGCGAAAAAGACGCATTTACAAAACCTAGTACAATCCAAAATTGTAAAGCTAATAACTGCAACCCGCCCCCTGGTAAACAACTAAACTTTACATAACGGCTTACGACAACCAACTTTTTTTTGTTACATGTCAACCCCTTCCTCGCCTTTAAGACTATACAGAGTTTTCCCGGACCAGGGAGTGAGGGAGGGGATTTAAAGGACTCGAACTCGTGACTATTTTTATCTAGTAATTTTATGTTTCAGTTGCCGGACAACGGCGGTGCTGTGCACACACGTTAGCCCATTCGACCACCCCGTCCCCCTTTGCGACAACCAACTATTGAACAACACATACGTACTCTCTATTCACCATTTCGTCTGAAACTGCACGGACATTACAACAGACTTATAAAGGACATGGCCCCAACTGACATGCCCTTCGAGAGGCGACTGAAAAAGAGTTGGGTGAATTAAGGAAGTAAACAATGACCTGAATTAGGTGCTAGTAGGTGCTATACTTTCTCGTGACTGTAAAGTTGTTTATTTAGTTTAACACAACAAATTTGCTGATTATAATTATCGTGTCAGGTGCGTACAAATATTTTTTTTTTAAATAAAAAAATAATATGATGTTTATGAAATATATAATATGACAACGTGATATTCGCAATGTACTAGTCCATGGTACAGAACCCTTTTTATTAATTATTAACATCCGCCTGAAACTTAGTCAATAGTTTCATCTCATCGTCACCTAAAACTAATTTATTTACGAAAACTCTTGTAATTGTGGCATTTTCAATCTTGAGATCGGTAAACTTTGTCTATTTAATTAGGCACTAAAAACTCGTAAAGCCCATTTGCTTTCCTTTCCACTTGGCTCGTAAGATAATTTGATCGCAGAATCAAGAAAAAAAGTTTTCTATAGAAATATTGGGCCGTTTGGCCCAAATAAGCTTGTTATTTTTAAATGTTGGGAGTTTAGGTCACGCCAAACATCCCAATAGTTTTTATAGGCCACCTTTTTTCTCTAGTTTCTGATCAAATTATCTTACGATTCAATTGGAAAGCAAATGAGTATTTACCAGTTTTTAGTGCCTAATTAAATAGACAAAGCTTACCGAACTTCAGATTGAAAACGTCCCAATTCCGAGAATTTTTGTAATTTGTAGGTTACGATGAGATGAAGCTATTTATGAAGTTTCAGATGGATGTTAATAACTTGATAAAAAGGGGTCTGTACCAAATACAAGTTTACTAACAATCTACCAATGTGTATCAGTAGGTATGGATGAATATTTCCCATAGATTAGATAGGATTATTTCCATAGTCTGGATTTTTAAATAATACTTTAATTTTATTTTTTTTTCAGAACCAACGTTGGATGATATCAATATTTCCAGAGCTCATCCATTGATGAAGAAAAGTTGAAATGATACTCCGAGTCCGCAATAACACAGTCAAGATATCTTGTGAACATAAGGATATCATTAATTCATTATCAAACTGACAAACAAATAAATACTTTTAACTTCATCGAAATTAATTATTATTTTTTTATGTTTTCGAGTTGTGTTTATGTATTAGTAACCTGGTTAGCGTTATTTAGTATTATATTGTCATGCACAATCTGAAGGGCAGAGCTTCGGTCCGAGGAAAAGCATTGGAAAGCGCAATTACTGCTCTTCTAAGTTACACCAATAACTTTTGGATTCAATTCCTTTCTAAACTATAAATTAATAAAAAACACATTTTTATTTCATATCTTTAGTTGTAATTTGTTTTCGAAGGTTAGGTTTGTATCATTTCGTGTAGCTTACATAGCCCTAGATCTCTAATAATTTTCGTGAGGATCCGTGGAGCCGTTATCCTCCACAAGTTATCACAATTTTTGTGTCTGCCGAGGGGTCAGGCCGATTATATTGATATAAAAATTAGTATTTAAGGTTTTTTTATGTACAAAAAACGAAGATTAACTTTGCTTCTCCCTAAAAAATGTTACTCATTTCATTATTTTTTTAACCACTTTCCTTCATTGCTAGGTAATATATTTACGATGAAACAATGTAAATAAAATTATCGTGATTTTTTCAGTCGTTAGTTTAGTTTGATATCTAAATTTGATCATTTTATTTGTGATTGGCCTTTTATCATTAAATTAATGAAGTTTCCAATTTTCACGCTGAAAACCTTCGTTCTCATAAATTTTTTCGAGATATAATAAAAAGAGATATATTTTGTAAATCAGTGATGGACCACTTAAACATATTACAATGTTACTCTTTCTTCGTGTATTCACCTTTTGTAGAGCTAACGCTGTCTGGAAGTAAGTAAAACAAAATTGTAGTATATTTTTTTTTTTTTTAAACATTTCATTGAGAAATATTACAATCTGTCACAGTTAAGGACACTTATAATAGAGTTCAGAGACTACATTCATACCCTATATACAGAAATGTAAATAAATAAAATAATAACAAAAGAGAAAAGAAAAAAGAACAAAAGAGAAAAGAAAAATATATATATATATACACATACGTAAGTAAAAATAGAAATAGAAGTAAAACAAACATCTTAGATACTAGCATACCTATATACACTATTTACAATCAGCCAGGTGATATCCGAACCAATCTTGTCCCCCCACGTGTGAAGGGAAAAGCGAGGCTTAGGAGATCCCTACGCTTCTCCTTCAGCCACTTCACTAGCATTTAAAACCAGCGGAGGATGAGTAAGAGCGCTACAGCCACAGACACTCTTGACTTGAGTGGAGAATCTGGCCATTGCTAGAACTCCAAAATATCCATATTTACAAAAGGTCTCGTGGCCACTGCCGCTTTAACCTACGAAGAGGATTGTGGGGATGGGTGGTGCTTGATAGGGATTGTACAACGGGATTTGGGTGATGAGAAAGGTTCTGGTGAAATTTGGCTGGGTTAAGATCAAGAATAAATGGGATATTAAGGTCATTATGCAGGGTTTTATTGGTTACATAGAAGGAGCATCGACTATTGTACGGAGGACTTTAGACTGAAAGGATTGAATGCGTTTGATGTTAGAAAATTTGGCTGTTCCCCATAGTTCTAGTCCGTAAGTCCAGATGGGTTTCAGTATTGTCTTGTAGATCAGTAATTTGTTTTCACTAGAAAGTTTAGATTTTCTATTCAGTAGTCTATATAGCTGGCCATATCGTCTGTTAAGTTCCTATCTTTTAAGTCCAGTATGTGGATTCCATGTTAGTCGTCTTGTAGTATATTAAAATAAATTAATGTAAAATATATTAAATTAATAAAACATTGAAAAAGTTTTATTGTATATACACTTTTGTTTTTGTTATTGTTTATTTTGAATAGTTTTAAGCATTTTAATTCATGTAGTATTTTAGAACTAAAGAAAGAGAAGAGAGAAAAAAATAAATTAAATTAAAAAAAAGATTATATATATATATATATATATATATATATATATATATATATATATATATATATTTATTATACTCATACTTATTAACCACTTCCATATATTTATGTATAAGGTTCATTGATTGTCCTAAAGATTAATCAGTATGCTTTGTGTCCAGCGACCTAATATAATAGGGCAGCGAGGTTTTATATTTTATATGAAAATAAAGTGTTTCTCTCTCTTGTATTCCGTCGGTATTATTTAATATTTATTATTTAATAATTTAGTATTATATATATTTTTTTAATTATCTTAAATAGAGACTAGGTAGGCTTGTTCTAATCAAGCTTATTCTTGTTAGAGAGCAAAGAATAAATTGACAAATTCGTGGAGGAATGAGTCAACATTCTAGCTGAAGAAAAGTAAGGTAAGTGACATCCATCTAAGTAAATGGATGTTGGTCGTAAAAGTACAACCTGTCCCGAAAACGTTTTCCAAGCCTTGAGTCCCTAGGAGGAGATTGCACCTACTTTTCTCAAAATACGTACATTTCGTTTTTCTATTTCTCTCCTACAATGGAACTGGGAGTTATTTGGTTCTGAATAGTACTATGGTATAATTGTAAATATTGTCGCAAATTGAGGAGGCTTATCACATTAAAAAACAGTTTTCCAGTATAAATAAATGGTTTGAAATAAAAGTTCGCTTTAAATCTATTTTTATATGGTAAGGTGCTATAAATTGATTCATATAAATATGCACGAGACAGGTCATATCAATCAAGAAGACATAATTAAAACTTGGAATACTTACTTTTTTTTATTGAAATTTACAACTGTATTGCATGGAAAATACAATAAGTAAATGTGACATTGGTAACATGACATGCACAACTTGAAGAGAAACTACCTATTGGTAGAACGCAAATTAAAGTTCCATATTAGAAGGTCCCGAGGCCATCTTCTTTTCAGACGCCACGGAGGATTATCAGGGATCGAGGAGGAAGCAAGGTTTGAAACGAGAGGATTCGGATGGTTCTGGAGTTTGTTATGGAAAGATAGGTATCTGGATTGGGCCAAATCGGAAACATATGGAACATTAAGGTCTTTATGGATGATTTTATTTGTGACAAAGTAAGGTGCGTTGAGGATTTTACGAAGGATTTTGGATTGTAAGGATTGGATACGATAGGAATTCGATGGTTTAGTGGAGCCTCAAAGCTCAATTCCGTAAGTTCAAATAGGTCTTATTATTGTCATATATATGAGTCGTTTGTAATTGATTGAAAGCTTAGAGCGATCGTCTAGTAAGTGCTGCAGTAGTCGAAAACTTCGGGCGGTTTCTAGTCGTTTCAGTCTGGTATGGGGGTTCCAAGTGAGTCGTTTATCAAGATGGAGTCCTAAGTATCTGATTTGTTCGATAGCAATAAGAGGGCAATTGTTGAAGGATACTGTAGGACAGGAAGTCATTGGTTTACGGCGAAGAGTGAATGTAATTTGATGGGATTTATTGGAATTTATTTTAATCCTCCAGTTTTGACACCATTTTTCAAGACTTGTGATGTGTGATTGAAGAGTTTGAGATGCAATTGTTGGATCGTTATTAACTGATAGGATACACGTGTCATCGGCATAGGTGGTGATGACAGTGTTGGAGAAATACTAACTTTTAGGTGTATATTATGAAGATCCTTCAAGCAAAATCTCAGGCTTTACATTCTGGTATAGGGAAGGGACCATGGACCCCCCAAAAAGTAGTTGGAAGTTTATATTATATGTAAACATTATGAGAAATAATTAACATAATCAAGACAATTATTGTAAAACGAACAATATAATACTATAAATACAAATAAATTTATAGACATGTTTATATATGTTTTTTGTTAGTTTGTGTTTATGTATATTTGAAAATAAGTTAATAAAGCAAATGAATATATTACATGTCTTTATTTTTATATTTAAAGGTTAGAGGTAATGAGATGAATTCTCAATTCTTCGATACTTAAAATTTGCCATAGGGAATGGTTTCAAATCTTCACGTAAAAATGAAAGTGTGCACATGAACGAGTCATAAAATCTTAGGATATTGTGCTACATATAATTATCTTTTTATACAAACTAAAATTTTAATAATAGGAGTAAGAGTGATAAAATACTTGCGTATCTACTTTCAGGCTTTAGCTTAGCCATCTAGTCAACTTTTCTTATTTTTTAAATTGATCATAGTTTATTCACTCATGTATGTTAATTGTTATTGATTTTGATTTTATTTTTGTTCTTCGAAATATCGAGGATAGAGCGAAACAATATTCTGGCCCACTCTCTATTTTTATTGGCGGAACGATTGCTACAGTCGCTCCTCAGAACTCTGCGCCTATGTCTTCAAGTTCTGGAGAATCAGAGTTCCAGACTGAAGTGTCAGTGATCAGAAATACTCCATTTATGTAATTTTTGTTTTAAATCTCAAAAATTAATCGCCAGACTGTATAAATTGGGACTATATACAAATCTGGTAAAATTCCTGATTTCAACAAACAACTCAACATACAAATAACAAATCGAATGCACTAATCATTCTTATTAAAGTCTATTATTAGTCATTAGGTCTAATAATATTGGAGACTTGGAAGCTAAGTAGATGTAACCTAAGTTTTCAGGAGAAAATAATCAAAAATATTTTATTAAAATAGAAAAGAAAATAGTTGATGGCATGTGTCTACTTGGAAAGTTCAAATAGTTTAAATATTTTTATAAGTCGTATTTAAAAATGTTTATATATTTTTTTCTTTCATGATATTTACAACTATGTTTAAAAAAAAATAAAAATAAAAAATACTACCAGTAAATATGCACCCAAGAATATAATAAAATGAAAACACTTGTTGAGAAACTACCCACTGGTAGCACTGAAATAATAAATTTACTGAAGAAGATCACGAAGTCATCTTCTTTTCAGACGCCTCGTAGGATTATCAGGGATCGAGGAGGAAGCAAGCTTTGAAACGAGAGAGTTCGAATGGTTTTGGAAGGATAGGTATCTGGATTGGACCAAATCGGAAAGATATGGAATAAAGGTCGTTATGGATGATTATATTTGTTACAAAGTTTGGAGCTTTGAGGATTTTACGAAGGATTTTAGATTGTAAGGACTGGATTCGGAAGGAATTCGATGGTTTAGTAGAGTTCCAAAGCTCAAATCCGTAAGTCCAGATAATTTTCAAATTTTAAAAAGTGGATAAAAAGACCAAGATGCACGTCTATAATTCAGTGTATCTGCCTATTCTCACCTACGTCGGAGAAAGCTGGACTATGTTGGACAAACATTACAGTCGCATAACAGCAGCAGAAATGCGGTTCCTACGTAGGTCGATGGAAAAACAAGGAGGGATCGCATTAGAAACGAAACTATAAGAGAACAGCTGGAAATGAATGAACTCGAAACCACTTTGGAGAACAGGCAACTGAAGTGATTTGGATATGTCTGCCGCATAAACGAGTACATGGACCCTACAAAAGTATTAGAGGCTAGACCCACAGGGAAGAGACCACGAGGGCGTCGCAGAGTTTCATATCAGGAGTTCATGCAGAGGATCGGGGATAGAGCGACAAATCCTTCAGCAAAGACGAGGAAGAGTGGCTGCGCTGGATAGAGGCTCCTCGACGCTAGAAATGGCATTGCGAGGAAGACGAACAAGTATTTTTAAATTTTTTTCGAGATATTTTATTAGAAATATCCTGTTTTTTTACATTATGCGGTCTGTTAGTTATGTCTACTTACGCCGCTGGTTATACCCGTACATTGTCATAAAATCTATTTCAGCGAATCACGTAAGAATTCGCACGTTATTCAAAATAAACTGGATTGATGGTTTGATATGGCGTTACTAACTGATTCCTTTCTCTGCCGATAATTGGTTTTTGCATGTCAATAATAAGTGAAAAACTTATCATCGGTTTTGGACTCGAACTTGAAGACTTGATAGTATTTTGGCCATTATATAAGCAAGCGGATTCTGTAGACTTGGACTAATATGAAAAACTTTGAAACATACAGATAGGTTAATCAATAAAAATGTTTGAGATAAATTACTTGAAACATTTCGTTAAAGTGTCAATAATTAGTGGTTTTACCTTATGGACTTTTGAAAACTAATATCATATCTGAAATGATTCAATTTTTATTCTCGTTCCAATTTTCTTCTTCAACATGTTGCAAAACCTTGTTAATAAAATTGTTAAGGAAACCTTCTATCAATGGAAGGTTTCGGAATTGATAAAACCCTAAGAAGATTCTCCTTGACGGGATTAGATGCAAGGGATAAAGGAGTATTTAAAACAGAATAGGACAAACATTGGTTAGAACTTAGGAGATGGAGGTCGAACATCCGAAGGCAGTAAGCTTTGTAATGGACTCCGCTGAGCGTCCTTCTGTTTTAGTATTTCTTCTGAAGGTCTAAGGGACAACAACCTCTTCGGTTCCTGACACTATTTCTAAAACCCTTCTTATCTTAATTATATTCCCAACTATATTCTTCTATTTGTTTGTTGTATTATTTATTTAATTATTTTTCCATACAGCTACGAAGATATCATAATGTTATGTAAATATAATTTCTTATATTTTATGAAAATATACATTTTATTATGAAATTTATATTTTGAACAATTTCTTCCTAAATTATTAATTTTGCTAAACGTATTTAACTTTATTAAAGAAGAAACATTGTTACAACGGCACATACAAATATGGAAAGGAGGAAAATACATAATTTATTGTATGTAAGTTAATAAATATATATCAATAACTAGTTATAAGATAAATATCTGATTTTCTCTCAACCAAATCCTGCGGGCAACATACTTTGATTATTGATTACTTTTATTATTATAGGGCAACTATACTTTGATTTTTTTTTTTATTTAGAAATATAATAATCTATCAAATCGTGGACAATAATTATAGTGATATATGAATACATTCGCACCATATATACAGAAAATATAAAAATTAACAAAAGTAAAATAATAACTAAATAATAATAAAAAACTAGGTACAATAAATAATAAAATAACCTAAAGATAAATAAATTAAAAACATAAAAACACAGCCATACCTATATACAATATATACAATCAGGCAGGGAACCCCAAGCCAGGCTTCTTCCTCCAACTATAGAAGAAAAAACATAACTCCAAGAGAACCCTGCGCTACTCTCTCAACCGTGTCACTGGTGCTAAAGCCAGTGGAGTTTGAGCGAGAGGACTACTTTGATTATTAATTGTATTTTATATCAAAGAAATAATAATACAAATATTTGGTTGAAAACTGTCTTTTTTTTTTTATATACACTATTAATTTTAACCGCCATGATCCACCTAAATTCAGTTAAATAATTATTAAAATTATTTTTGTCAGTATGAATGTCTAAGTATTCTAATTTACTAATCTCTTCTAAAACTGGACATGTTCACATTAGTTTCAACAATCGTATTGAACATAAAGAAAACAAGTTTTAGCAGCTATTTGTTTCGAAAAGTACATTAGTATAGAATTAGAAACAAATAATTTTTTTTTTTCTCTCTCTTCATGCTTCTACACCTGTTATGATCTTTTTAAATATTAAATCTTCGTTTTCATTGTTTTATAATTCAAAATTTGTCTACCCAGATAAGAATAAACATGAATATTATTCTTTTAACTGTAAATAACCATCGTTTATTTTCGCTTGAATCTAAATAAACAAACAAACACAACACCGTTAAATGAACTAAAGTTAAAGGTTAAACAACAGGTGGTGAAAATAGTTACTAGACGGCCTCAAAAAGAAGGGGGAAAAAATCGTTTACTTGTTCCACTAATATTACTGTCTGGTAGTAATAAAATATAATATTTTCAATCCAAAATCCTTATTGTTTTTAAATTTCATAATAACTTCATAGGTCAGGATAAATTGAATCTGAATTTTCGGTTTATGACTTCATCTGTATCAGTAATTCTTAATATAATCTTTAAAATTAATAGAAAAATCTGGTGCGGTGCGCGCATCACACTACTTTCACTTACTTCCCTCTTCTTAGCAGAAATAAGTCTTTTCAGACTAGAGGGGAGTGAAAATAAAAATTATAAACTTATATTGATTTAAATTTTATTGTGGATATTTTTAATTGTTTAAGTACCCTTATATATACAAATTTTAATATTTATATAGCTGTAATCTATAAAATTAAATATTAAATAATACCAACGAAAACATTTAGGAAAACCGCATATAAATATTTACATAATATTGTCGGAGTTTGTATTATACTAAGTTTATGTTACTATGGAAGCCTGCTCTAATCTTCGGGTACAGTGGCTTAATAATTATTGTTAAGCCATTGTACTTCGTATCCCTTTGGTTCCTACATTTTAACTATTGTCTATTAAGATCTGTTGTTTCTTCTGTATTTAATTATCAAATTCTTTCATATTTTATATTAGAGATCAATGTGAAATGGTTAATTGTTTCAAATAAAAAAAATGTACTTTAGAGGAAGTTAATATTGAAAATTAGCCATTTAAGCCCTGTTAGAGAACATCAATGAGAATAAAACCTATATATTATTAAAAACTGCTTAATTCTACACAGATATAATGGAGTTAACCGAAATCGTTGTAATTGTTTGCGAAAAAACAGAAAAAATGTATTTCATCGATGATATAAAGTGCCACTTTATGCCAGTACGAAAAAGTTGCTGTAACATCTCAGGTATATACGTACATTAAATATGCAATTTCAATTTCGTAAGACTTTTCGTTTTTGAGCTAGACCTGTCCACATACATACAGACAGACACACACACACACAGAGACCATTTTGCAGGACTTGGTTATTTGGACTCAGGAGATCTCAAAACATGTATTTCCGTTGAAAACTCAGATACGCAAAATTTTCACGATCGCAATACTGTCCTTTATTATATAGTTAATTTATAGATAAGTGAAAGTAAAAAAAAAAATAAGCATTTGGATAATATTTGTTCTTGGAAATATTATCAAAGAAATAGAAAAGGCATGTTGTTTTCCCAACTGAACATCTGTCGATCTCCATTTTCTTGTTTATTTGACAAAATATGTCCCCCTATCCTTTCCTACGATAATACCCTGAGCTATGCATGTATTTTTAAAAGCAAATTAATTTTAATGTCAAAGATAACTATGTTTCTTACAATACTTTAAGGGGAACCTTTTCACTTAAGTAATTTGTTTATTGTATTTAAAATACAAAATAAAACATTGGTTTGTCGCTGTTGTGGCAAAAAAATACTACATTATATAATAGTGTTTTAATATAGTATTTTTTCACCGCACCTTCGACAAACTTCTTCTGAAATTAAATGTATGGTCAACCATCTCTATATCATTACAAAATAAAATACATTTGTTGTCATTTAATATTTTGGAATGAAAATTCAAATACTTCTTTTGTATTTTAAAAATAAAATACAGTTCAATATGTTTTATATTTTACTTCAATAAATGAAAAAAAAAGTATTTTATTTTAAATAAAATATTTGAAATACTACCCAGGCCTAGTTTCTAAGCAACAATATCTTCTTTTTATCTATGATTGTTCTTCGACTTGGATTTTTTTTCTTTGGGATCTCCCAAACTTGCCAAGATAGTAGATAGTAAGTACCTTTGCCTTACTGATAGCAGTACGTTGTGCCATGTTGAGCAACACAAGAAAGAGGAGGGGGCTATATAAGAAAAGCCGAGGTAGTACCTGGCTTAGTACGCGATAGGACCTCTTGCTAACATTCCTCACGTCAAGATGGCCAAGAACAGAAGATTCATCCTGAGTAAGAAGTTCGAAGGGGACCCGAAGCAGACGGACTTCAGCCTTGTCGAAGTGCCCATTCCGCAAGTCAAGGATAAGGGTCAGTTTATTTCATTTCCTTCATAAGAATAGAATTTGGGTTATAATATTTGATTATCTTTTGTTTTATTCCGCGTAACATGTATCTGTTAATCGATTTATTAACTTTCGTCTAAAACTTCGTGATTGGTTTCATCTTATCGAGAAAAATGTGGCCCACAAAAATATTTGCACATTTGGCAATCTGCCAAAATAACGAGGTTATATAAGACAAATGGCCCAATACTTTTGTATGCCACCCTTTTTCTCGACTTTGTAATCAGATTAGGTTACGATATAAGTGAAAAAAAAAGATATTCATTAATAGTAAATTAACAAAGCCTACCGATCTCCATATTAAAAACGGCCATTTTAGATAATTTAATAAATTTAAAAAAATTTAGGTTACAATAAAATTAAGTTGTAATAATTTGATAAAATAAGGTCTATACCGCGGACTATTAACTTATGTATGAATAAAAAACTTAGTAAATTCTAAATAACTATGTTTTGACTATATCGAAACAAACCATCGAAAAATATAACAATAGTTATTCATTAAAATGTTTGATTAATTCTTTGGCTCTCAGGAAGAAATCGATGAGGTGCGGCTAGAACAAATATTATTTTTAATGCTTAATTTAATAAATCTTTAAGAGTTTGTTAATGATTTCATACTTAAGGAATACAATTATATTGTATTATAGTAATTGTTTATAAAAAATATTGGACGCCTAAAGTGGTTGTTTGTACTTCACAACTCTATTTATTAGTGAAGAAGTCTTGGAGTCAGGGCTTAGAACGGGACCTCATCGCAGAAGAAGATTTAAATTACGAAAGTGTATGTTATTTTAAGTAAAATGAACCTTGTCTACCAATTCAAAGCCGCAGCTTTTAAAAATGGTGACTGACTTGAATAGTAGCCCAGTAAATTGAAGATCGAAACGGATAATTTGTTGCCAAAAATGTAGGAATATTTTTGATTTTTTCAATTTGTGTATATATATGTTCAAAAACGTAAAAAACAAAATTGCAACGCGGGTCACTAAGGGAAAACTTTTTACAACCTAAAAAAAAAGCCAGACATTTTTTGTTTTTTCGCCTATAGCTCCTGATGGGATCATCGAAGCGAAAAACTTACTCGTTAAGGAATTAAAGAACTTTAAATTTTGCCTATAACGAGTACCTAAAGTTTATAATTTGGATAAATGGTATGGTCGCAAACCACGATCAACGATCGCTGATTTTTACCAAATTAGTTGAAAACAAATTACTATAAATATAACTGCAGCTTGGAAATCAGTTCACTAAGAGACAAAAAATCATTGAATAAAAGTTGTAGGAAATCAAATATTCCACATTCACTGAGTATCAACAGTTGTAATCTAGTTCAGTTATTCCGCCCGAAATCTGATATCTCCCTACTGGAATTGGAATTAGGATTTGAATTAGCAGGAAATTAGTAATAAAGGTATATTTGATTTTCAATACTTCAACATGATCGGTTTCTATCCTTCGGAGTTATTCTTGTTTAAATTAAGTTATTTGCAGTATTTGACTCTTTTCGTTTTCTCAGCAGCAAAGGATTTTGAGACACGAGGTGTCAAAAGAGACGTAATTGATCTAGGTTAAACTGTTGGTACTCAGTGGACGTGGAATTTGATCTTCTATAACTTTTATTCTATGAGTTTTTTCTCTTAGAGAACTCATTTCCAAGCTGCATAACCATTTATAGTAATTTGTCTAATTTTGTTTTGACAAATTTAGTATAAACCAGCGTTCGTAGAACATGGTTTTTTAAGTAGTTAAAAAAATCAAAACTTTTCCCACATTTTTCACAATATATTTACTGTTCCGATCCTCAAGTTACTGGTCTAATATTATTTAAATCTCTTACTTCTCTAACAAGTCTGAGTGGCGTTGAAAGTTAGTCAGCAATCATTTCAGATTTTTCACAATCCGACACAGCCCAGGAGCCATAATCTTTTTTCAATGGTGCTGATACCTCATAATGTTTTAAAAGACGTTTGGTGTGCCTCCACAGACTGTTGTCATCAAAATCATATATCAAGTTTTCTAAATACAAGTTAGTTTGCTTGAATTTCCGTATTTCTCTTTTGAGTTCATTGTTAAGTTTGTTATAAGTTCGTCTGTCTGAGGGAAGTCGGCGAGTTTGCCATTCCATTCGTGACCTTCTCTTAGCTCTAATTAGATCGCTGATATATTGAGGATAGGACGGAAAAATTGTTCCTTTCGTTCCTCTTATATCTTGGAAGAACCAATCAGCTTCCTGTACAGATGAGGTGAAGAATTCAGCTGGTAACTCTAAATCCGTTTTGGTTTTAAGTGCAGTTGGGACAATCAATTGTTCATTGAGAAGTTCACTCAATAGGTCCCAATTCATGGGACCTCTGGTCAGTGATGGGCTTTTTTGGCTTATAATGTCTCCACAACCTACATTAGGTTCACCGTCAAATGACCTGAGCCGAGGTCTGTTTCAGTTGTAATATTGTTTGGTAGGGTCTTCCAATCTTTAGCTACAAATATGTCTAGTACATCAGGTTTTTTTATATTGAGAATTAGGTAAGTACGTCACTTTGTCGGGAGCAAAATTCAACCCTTGATCAAGGGTGTTCTGGCGTTCCTCTCTTGGTTGTGCAGCAGTTGGTTCCAAAAGCTGGTGGTGATGAAGGCAGTTTGGCAAATATGGAAACTGTCCTAGAACTGAAGGTTCACTAATCACCGGCTGTCATGTTTCTGCTGAGCCCGCAGGTTCTTGAGTACCTGCCATCCTCTATAGTTGGCAGGATGTGCGCCGATGCATTTGGTGCATTTGGCTGGTGTTAGACAAAAAAATCAGTTTTAGCACAAACAGACAATTGTTGTTCTTAATTTAGAAGTGAAAATATAATCAAAACAAGACTAACCTTTTACTGTTCACATGTTTTCACTTCAAGAATATTAATCACGTATATATTCACCAATAAAATCTTACTGAAGAAAACAATTTGACTTTTTAAACTAAAAAAAAAAAACACTCTTTCAAGTCACATAAAGTGAGAAAAAGTATTCCATAAGCACCGACAATGAAGACACTTGTTTTAGTCCCATAACCGACGAGCTTGGCTTGAGTGAAGAATCTGGCCATTTTTAAAACTGCAATATACACCTATTAACAAAAGGTTTCGAAGCCATTACCGTTTCAATCTTCAAGGAATAGATTTGAATGATATGTAAGGTTCTGTTAAAATTTGAAGAATTTCTCAAGAAGAAAGTTTTAAGGCTTAAAAGTAATGTGTATTATAAATATGCAAATCCTGAATTGAAGTCATTTGCTTCCTCATTCCGAAGCTGTTATTCAATACCAAAAGACTGAAATCGAATTCAAAATTGTATTGTTTATCATATTTATACTTCAACGTAATATGATTCGTGCTTTTATCCTAATAAAGAGTCCTTATAAGAATTAAAAATATATTTTAAAAAAATTATAATATATGTAGAATTAAATTAACCATTGAAGGTGTCCTTAATAATTTGTATCTGAACATCAGATGTTTATATTATTTTTTCCAATAAAGGGATGAGTTGAGTCATTGTTGAATTGTTGATATAAAAGAGATACTATGAAACCTTGAGGCAGTATTTATGCTTTTTTTTATCCTTTAATTTTCATGTTTATCTTCTTGGCCTTTTTGAATTTTCTTTCTTGAATAACAACTAAACGTTTTAACTTCAACTTGGTTTCAATATATTATTTTTAGTGATCTATCGTTCTTCTTTCTCTCTCTAGATACAAAGTGGTCTCCAAGTTCATTTAGCCTACATACTGTTCTTGATTAGGAATGTAAACATAAAAAATGGTTATTTTTAATATTTAAAAAGAGTAGGAATTTAAATATCGAACAATAATATCTATAGAGATAGTAAATAATGCCGATAGTTATCAAATATATCGAAATATTAAAAAATATCGATATTTCAGCTCTTGGTGTTTTTAATCTTTGAATGAATGTTAACGGATCTAACATGGAATTGAAGTATTATATTTTTAATAGCGTAATTGAATATTAATACACTATTATACCCCAACGAGAACTCTCACGTTAGATAGCTATGCTTCGCCTTAATACCAGGAGTGTCCAGAAGGGGGTTTAATGGCACAATAATGTTTATTATTTTTGTCTGCCAATTCTCGGAATCAACATATAAAGTTATAACTGATCTAACTTTTGAACCGTTGAAGATGAACTAGTAAAATAAAATAATATATATTCTTGTAGAAAATTTAATTATTAAAGACGTATTTCAATTAAAGCAAATTTTATCATCTTTAATTTTATATAGAACATCTTTGTCGATGCGATGGATAATTTTACTGAAATAAGCGAAAACCCGAAAGAATTTTATTAATATACCCTTCAGTATTAATACAGTGATAAACCCTTTCCATTAGAACAGCTTTCTAGAAATAATAAATAACTTATAAGAAATATGTAATTGTATTTAAAAATGATAATTAAATGACAATATTAAAATAATAAAATAAGACGCAAATAAATATGAAAATAGAGAAAAGACAAATTAAAAAAAGGAAATATGTATTAAGGTAATTAGTCTAATGTTCCATAATCATAATAAGAAATTCTTTTTAAAAACTAAAATATGAAAGTAATGGAAACTTAATAAAAAAAAAAAGAAAATGAGCAATCATTGCATCTGAAACATTAAATATTATGAAAATTCTACAAGCTTCAAATTATTTATTTTGATTTATATATATTCTAAAAATGATTACAAATGACAACGAATTGTTAGTTTAATTTTTTTTTTTTTTTGGTGTTACAGAAGTTCATTTTGAAGCAATAGCCATAAGCGTTGATCCATATATGAGGTGAGTGTCGTGCATGTTTTGTTATATAATAAGTTTTAATATATTATATTTTATCAACATGTAACCATATAGTATACTAATATAAATAATAAGCACTAATACAAATACTAAGCAATTACAAATGAAATTTGTATGAATGTTGATTAAAGTATCGCTTCAATATTTTTCTACACTGTTTGTCTTCGCCTCTTTAACAGGGCGTCCTGTTAAGATACAATTTTGAATAATAACCCATTACAGAGAGGATGAAATGCTGAACAACAATGCTCTCGCTAACTATATGCAGGTTCGATTGTAAGTCTCTGAGATATCTTAATCCATGTGCAAAAAAAATTCAATTAGTCGACTCCAGCCGACTTAACCCAAGCGTTACACATCGGAAATCTGACGGCTCAATCTAATTCAATCTACATAAAAATAGTGCAAAATGCGCCTAAAGAAGTTTTAACTTTAATAACAATTATTCTACACGAGTGACTAAAATATATAATCTAGACTCAAGAAAACAGGAAAAATCGATAGATCGATAGATGGCTAAGCTGAGGCCTAGAAGTAGGTACGCAAGTTTAATACCATGTTGTTATTGACATTTTATTCTATATTCAAAAATAATTAAATTTAGCAAAATATCTTAGCATTTTATAATTCATTGATGTGGACTCTTCCATTTTTACACGATGACTTGATCACATTTCTCTCGGTAAATTCTAAGCATTGGAGAATTGAGAGTTTATTTCAGTGCCTCAAATCTTTAAATTAGGGGTTAAAATGTTTTTTAAAAAGTTTCATTTTAACATTTTCTGTGAAACTTTTTGGAAAAAAAATTCCATATTAATCGATTCTGTGCAGACTAGAGATTATGTTTAAAACAGACATTTTTTTTATTCTATATGTTAGGTACTTGTCGAAAAATTGCTAAATATTGTAGTTATTTGGCCGGAAATTACGACTATATTCCTAGACCGAATTTATAATGTGTAGGTACGCATTCGACGCATAATGTAATGTTGTTTAATTCTTAAAATAAAAAAAAAATTCATTACAAAGCATCGTTTTGTTGTTATGGAGTTAAATCAATTACTGAAAAAAGTCTCAATATTCCATGTTTTTTTCAAAGTAAGAAATAATCGCTTCCTCCATTGTAATACAGACCAATCACCGATCTTAAGCTTCTTTTTTGTACTTAATAAGTTCAAAACTTCACTGGTTACCAAGAATTGGAGCCTCTTACAAAGCTTTGTAAATTTTATAATTAATTAATTTTCAAGAAAATGCATTACAATATGTTAATAAACTAAGTCGTAAAGATATATTTTTTTAAATTTTAGTTGTAATTTGTTAACCAATTCTATCTTATTCCTAAATCACAAAATTAATCGCTTCAAAATATATACTTATATTATTATTTTGGGTGATTAATCCCTTCTCAAGACATTGGTTTTGTAAATAGCTCCATTCCAAAAAGTACAAATGTGCCTTTGAAAAAAGTTGATGTAGCTACTCTAAATCATGGCCATATGCAAGAGGATGTTGTTGCTTACTCATAAATAATTTAAAATGAAATACAATATAATATAACATAAATGTCTGCGAAAAAACAAGAAAAATAATTTTAAATATAAATGATATATATTATTAAATATGAATATAATAAATTTTAAACTTATTCTATGTGTATTTTGTGTTTTATATAAAAATATTTATAAATTGTAATAAGAATAACTACTTTGTATAATATATTATAGTTTGAAATAATTTATCTACCTGAGATTTTCCTTTATTTAGTCTTATCCCTCTCCCTAATATGTAAGCTGTGTATGCACTTTCTCTAAATAAAACAGGAATTTAACATTTCCTAAATGCTAAAAAGTTTATAAAAACGTGATGTATAAAACATTTGAACAATACTTCAAGCACCACTTTGCACTTATTGTAGATTTTAGACAAAATTAACAATCAATCATTGGGCATAAAATTTAACTTAAATCAAGATGTTTTGATCATATTCACAGTTTTATTTATACTTTTGCCAAGAATATGTGTGTTTTGAAACATTTTTAACTAATAATAGCAGTTAGTTATTACAATAACTTTTTATACTATACAAGAAAAATATTTCTTAATAATGAAAAACTAGTTTTCCAACTAAAGTATTCTTTTTATTTTCCTAGATTAGTTTTATAACAAATATTGTGTTATTATTTTGCTCTCTTTAGAATTAAGATTAAGTTATGATTCTCATTAAATAAAATTTTCATCAATACATCAGTTTCATTAGGTCATGCTATCACTAGCGATTCACACAAACAGAAATTATTTTTGGAGGAGTTGGTCAGAGATGCAGTCAATATATAATAACATATATTATAATAGTCTTTTTAGATAATAGACAATAATATATTACAATAATGCTATAATAGGCAAATGCAATACAACAAAATACTATTATAATACATAGTATTATATATTAACTGCACCCTCTTCCCCTCCCCCTGCCCTGACCAATTTCTTCTCAAATTATAATCACAGTCAACCATCTTCACACATTAAAAATTATTTTTATATTTAATTTAATTTTTTTAAGGGTTCTCATTATATTTATTTATTTTAGGGCACTAGCTCATTTTGCTGAACCAGGGATTACTATGTTTGGAGAAGTTGTCTCAAAGTAAGCTATTATTGTCATCAATTACTTCTTAATTTTATTTTATAATGATCATAATTGATGAACTAAGATAATATTCATTTGAACATATATTATTTTAATATATTATATTTATTCATTTCTATTTTGTTCATATTTTTTTTTAAATTAAAAAATAAAATAAGATGTCAGCCATTGGCTAAAAAATATATAATCCTTTGACCAGTTTCTTAACCCTATTAAGAATGTTAGTTATTTTAATTAATGAGTCTATTAGGAATAGACCATCATAGATTTATAACCAGCTGAATAGAATATTAGTGCCCAGTACAATTTAATGTAGGAATATTTTAACAATTTTAAATTTAATGAATATATAAAGAACTAAGTAAAAATTTGTAAACTATTTATTATTAATAAACTGACAAATATTTTTTGTCTATTTATGCTTCCTTTTTTTTTTTAGAGTTGTTGAGTCCCGCCACCCTGATTATAAAGTGGGTGATTTAGCGGTTGGATATTTTGGTTGGCAAACTCATTATGTTGGTGTGCCAGAGGAAGTTGACTCGCCATTTGGTGGTAAAAGGAAACCTTACGTTCTGCCGGACCTTCACGGCCTGCCCCCATCATTGGGTCTTGGAATGCTGGGAATGCCTGGGTAAATTACTATAACTATAAGCATAATTTTTTTATTATTTTAAAGTGGTAATTAAAAAAAGATAACTCAATAGAAGATGGGGTGATAATTGTTGCTTTTTGCTTTACGTGTGAAGTAGTAAGTCTGATGATAGTGCACAATAAATATAAATTTTAAATACATACAGTGTACCACAAGAAAAGTAAAAAACTTCACAGTGATGATTCTGCACCTCAATTATGACAAAAAATGTCTTTTTAAACATTGATTTTTAATGGTTTTATAGAAAATTAATCTTTTTTTTTTTAATTCTTGACTCTTTTACATTACATTTCTTCCTCTTCCGGAAATTATCTTTCACAAAATCTTCTGATACATTTGAAGGGCTGAGAAATTTCTTATCATTTTATTTTGTCTGATATTGTTTGGTTGGAAAAATTAGTTTAAAAAATCTATCTTGTTATGAATAAAAGATATCAAGGTTTGTTTTAGGCTTGATATACAAAGAATAGACCTTCTCCTAGAAAGATTAGTCTTTAGCTAAAACAAAATGGCTTATAATAAAGCTGGTGCACGCAACACACAACTTTCACTTACCGATCTACTATGAATAGAAATTATTATAAATTTTTTGAAGTGCATTTTAAACGGAGCTAAAGCTTAAAGTTAATGATAACAAGTCATAAGAACCAGGGGCGAATCTACGGGGAGTGCTTTCGGGCTGAAGCCCCTCCCCAAAATGATAAAATATAGCCGTGTTTTATCGAAAAAAATATTTAAAAATTATCTCTTAAAGTATTATTGTTTATGTAATTACATTTAAAAGTGCTTTAGGAATCACTTAAACACCATTATACAGGTAGTTAGTTCCTTCTTTTTTTCCAAAGTAATTATCGTTATTTTTATGAAAAAAAAACAGCTTTCGGGCTGAAGCCCTCCCCCCAAAATTAAATCCTGGATCCGCTAGTGATAAGAACCATTATAATTACAAAATGTCTATTAAATATATCGACAGCAGGCAATAAAAATCTAGTCACTCCATCTGCTTTTATAAACCACACAACTTTCTTTGCTTTTATAAACCTCAGAATGACTAACTCCAATTCCAACATTTTTGAGTGGTCATTTTAGTGATATTTTTAGTTGAAAAAGTTATCTATGCAGAATATGAGTAAGTTGATTCCGGAGGTGGTGATTGCAGTGTTGGAATATAGAATTGAGAATAAAAGTATAAATTTAGGTACTTATTTCTTATAAAAAATGTTCTTAGGAAAGATACTTCATTAAATATCTGTATAAAAAAGGTTTTTTTAGTCTCAACAGTTAAAAAAGTATATTTTAAATTTATCCAAATTTTCGCCTCTTCAGAGAAAAAAACTAGAGACCATATCTTTCCTCCTAATTGTCCGATCTTAACGAATTATTTGGGGTTTTTCAGGAAATTTAAAAACCTTTGAAACATCTTATCACAATATTCCCAAAAAAGTGTATACTTTTTGAGTTATTCGGAATTTAATTTTACCATCTCTCGTAACTTTTTTCCAGCTTCTTTTCATTGAAGTATGTTATGTAAATAAATTTAAAGGGTGTCGAGAAAATGACTTTAGCGAAGTTTCATTGAAATCGGTACATTCGTTAAGGTGCTACAGTCTATAACAACGCAGGTTTTTCTGCATTTTTATTTTTTTTTCTCTTTTATTAACTTATCAAATTCATTCAAAAGTTATATTTAGCATTTTTTCGTAACTTTGAATAATGTGAAATGATTAACTTTTTAAAATAAACCATATCAAAGGTACTTTAGAGGAAGATGTATATGAACATTGGACATTTAAGCCCTGTAAAGTTACATCAATGGGGATAAAACCTAATTGATGTTAAAGACCACTTAATTATACAATGATACACCGAGTTTAATCAAAATCGTTAGAGCCGTTTTTGAGAAAATTGTGAAAATGTGTTTCAGTTGATATAAAGTGGCACTTCCGGTTAGCAGATTTTAAGGAAAACGTTGCCGTCACATCTAGGACTTTTCTTTTTTGAGCTAGACTGCTAACATACAACCACACAGACACACAGACCATTTTTCGGGACTTGGTCATTTCGACTCAGGGTACCTCAGAACCTGTATTTCCGTTGAAAACTCAGATCCAAACATTTTCTCGATCGCAATACTTACCCTTACTATATATTACATATATACGTAAGTGAAAGTAAAAATATCAATTTATAAAAAGTCAACTCATCTAACTAAGGTAGTCTAAATACTATAAAAAATTAAGAATAATCTATCCTGAAGAAGATCTATCTTCTTTCTAGGAGTTAGTTTTAATAAAAGCTTCTAAAATTATTGAACTTTAATTATTTAAAAAGTGGATAACTATAAAAAAATACAATTTAAAAAAAAAGAAAGTAATTACAGTAAATGTTCAATGTCCTCCTCTTTTAATCCATGATCTCCTCCAAACTACTGCCTGATGGAGATTGTCGCGATTTTCATGCATAATAATCCAACCTGTCCAGAGGCTTTCCTGATCATTAATTTTTTATTATCGCTGCATAGACTCTTCGCGTCAATGCACCCCACATCTAAAAGTGAATTGATACTAGTCATCAAGATCCTGAGTAAGATTCCATCTGTGGCAGGTAATTATTTATTCTGTTTAATCAGTCATGGAATGATCCTGGAATGAAAAGACTCTCCTGGAGCATATTCAGCCTGTATGAAGTGTATAATCTTACTTAAATAATTAATTAAGGGTGAAATCTGGCAGTTAAGCATGATTTTGGTCCAATCAACTCCTTGATTAACTGTTGGCCTTGAAGTAATAATGTTGTTATATATTCATTTCTATGAAATATAATTTAATTTATAGTTAAAACTGAATACAATATTTCATAACATATTCAAACACCATTACCCCTCCCCCCTCCTTCTTTGTTCAATAAAATCGTTAGAGGGTGAGAAAAAAACAAAACAATAACATATCCAGGTATGTTTTATTCAATGGAGTAAAACAATATAATTCCGCGGGTATAATCCTTAATAAACTAAGCAAGTCATTTATATATTGTCACAATCATTTTATTATTATAATTTTTAAAATAAATTTTAGGAATTCAGCTTATTTTGGTTTTACTGAGATATGCGATCCAAAACCTGGAAAAACTCTTGTTATAAGTGGTGCGGCTGGTGCTGTAGGATCCCACGTAGGACAGATTGGAAAAATTTTAGGTTTGCATTATCTTTAATTACTATGTAATTAAAAAAATTATACTAAGTTGATATCATTAATAAAATATTAATTACTCATTTTGTATAATAGGTTGCAAGGTCATTGGTTTTGCTGGTTCTGACGACAAAGTTGCTTACCTTCAAAAAGAATTAAAATTTGATTTTGCTTTTAATTATAAGAAAACAAGCGTTTCAGAGGCTTTGAAAATTGCAGCACCTGAAGGAGTTGATTACTACTTTGATAATGTAAGTCAAGTTAAAAATATAAAGAAAAATAGTATTACAAAGTTTTTAAATACAATTTAAACAATTTACCAAAAATCAGTTTAGAAGTATTGATAATTATAAGACCTTCATATAGATGACTTAAGGTGGTTTTTAAATAGTTATGAAAGGTGAAAATTTGGAACAAAGTTACTTTTTAAAAGCGAACTTCTCCATCAATCAGCATTTTTTTTATCATTGATTTCTTTATAGAAAAGTTGGTTAATTTCATAATCATTTGTGTATTTATATATAAATATAAGTGTATATATAAATACACAAGAAAATATGCACAAAAGTTAATTTTTCAAAGGACATCTATATTTATGTAACAATGTGGCACATATAATAAAATAAAATTATCAAGTATGTGGATGCTCTTCAACAATAACACAAGTAGCATGAGAAGTTTTAGGTCCAGTGAATAAAGAATCAATATCTCCTTGGTTTGAAGAAGAATGCAGAGCTCTTACATACATAAATAATGCGGCCTATTAAGCCATCATCAACAGGAGGAGCCTGTTCCATACACAAAAAGGAAGACATGTTTAGATGGGCTAACTATACAGAAATATCTCTGCTTCCGTGTTCATTTAAAATCTTTTCGAACATCTTATTTTTCCGGCTACTCCCAATTGTTTAACAAGAGACTGGTGAATACCAATGTGAATTCCAGCAGAGCGGATCTACTTCAGACCAGATTTTTAGCCTTACTGTAGAGAGGAAGGGAGTACAAAGTGACCACACATCATCTCTTCATTGGTTTCAAGTCAGCATACGAAATAAGCTTTATAAAGCAGTATATGACCTAACTGTGCTACCAAAGAGCATACGACTCATAATGCTGAAAATTGAAAATGTTGAAAGTGTGACCAGATACAAGGCCAAAGATCATCGGAATTTCCACACAGGAGAGGAATAAGGCCAGGGGATGCCCTGGCATGCCTACTTTTTAATATGGCACTTCGAAAAGCAACAAGAGATTCTCAGATTCAAACTTCACGTACAGCAGATATGGAGCTGATCAGTAAAGATTTAGCATACATAGATGATACAGATCATAAAGGAAGTTCCAGGCCAGTAGTAGTTGAGGCATTCTTTGTTCTGAAAGCTGCTGTGAGATGGATGGAATTTATTGTCAATGAAGCCAAAACTTGTTTTCTGAAGAAGCTTTGAGATTGAATTTCTCAAGCCATTCGATAACTCGGCGAATATAACTTATTATGTACAGAACTCTCATTTGTCCTATAATTTGTTATGGCTCGGAGGCATGGACCACAATCAGGGCTGAAAACCAACTTTTCACTTTTGAATGGAAAGTGTTACACCGAATTAACAGCGGTGTGTATGAGAATAATGAATGGTGGTGGATAAACAATCAGGAGCTGTATGACCTTCATCATGAGCCGGACATCTCCTTTGTCATCAGGCTCAGATAGGCAGGACATCTAGCCAGAATGTTTGACATTTGCCTACCAAGAGAATTACTATTGAGCCTCTTTATTGTCGTCCCTGAGTTGGAAGGTGAGAAACTGGTTGGCAGTAGCACAGAATAGAGAGACATGGCGGTTGCTGTTAAAATAAGCCAGGATCTTTTATGTATTTAGGTTGTAGTGCTATTGAAGAAGAAAAATGTGGACACTGTATCATTGCTCCCCTAACAAATCAATGTACTACCATAATTTTTTAGATTTCATGAAAAATAATTCTATAAAATTATTTTTTGCTAAGCTATTTGTCATCTTTAAAATTCAAAAATACTAAACTTACTTTTACAATGTTTTGCTTTTGTCATGAATATTGTCTGCAGGTAGGAGGTACAATGAGTAGTCAAGTTCTTAGTGCTATGAATGAATTTGGAAGGGCCGCTTTATGTGGAGCAGTTGCGATTTATAACCAAAACCCTGGAGATCCTCCTTTAGGTACAGTAAAATCAATAAAATATATTTTATAATACTAAATTTAATTATTATTATATTGAATTGTCTATTTACTAAATTTATATGGGATCCCTTAATTAGTTTTAGATATATATTATGGAACACACTGAAAGCTTCTATATGTTATAAAATAAAACTTGATATTGTTTAAAAGGTAACAATTTAATAGAACAGTCTACTGATCAGAAAATATATTTTATAATTTTATTTATTTGATGTATATTTTTATCTGTAATCTTATATTTTTCAAACCAAATTTTAAGTTTGCCTATTTGCTCAAAACTAGCTAAACATTGAAAAAATATTACCAGTTCTTTCAGAGTATGTTTGAAACACCCCTACTAACACTACTATATACTATTTTACAATTTGTATATTGATTGTTTTAGCCCCTGCAGTTCAATTAACTATGATTCTGAAGCAGATCCGAATGGAAGGGTTTCTAGTTTTTAGATGGCTTGACAGATGGTTTGAAGGAATTAATAAAAATCTTGAGTGGATAAGAGAGGTAATTAATTGTGGAATAATTGTCATAGAATATTGGTCAATCAACAAATGGTTATGTAATATGTGAATCAGTAAATGCAACATATTATGGATGATAAGAGATAATTAGAAACCAAATCATGAGTACAAATTAGAACAGGCTGTATCTTTGTTAATAACAATATGATTTCCATTATTATTTTTTTAATTTTGTAGGGAATTCAGAATCGTTTTAAGTTATTGTGGTTATAATCAGCCTTAAGTTTTTTTATGTCTTTTGTTGGTAATGTGATTTTTTTTTCACACTTGAAGAGGTCAAGCTTCTTCTTTGGATCATTGGATTTTATGCAGAAATAATGAAGATATGGAATACCAACAAAAAAACGTCTTTCATAAATAACATATATAAAAACATAAAGATAACATAAAGATACATATATTATTGTGACCAAAGTGATGCAAATAGTAAATATTTTTAGGTAATCTTTGATCTGATATGATTTTATTAGATTATTATTATTAAATATCTACATAAATTTGAAATACTACAATGCCTTATAAATCTGCATATAACTCTATTTTTCAGTATATCACTAATCTTTGAAATCAAATAATAAATAATCATTAACTAATTACTTACAAATGCTAAATATAAACTAAATATAAATAAAAAGTGTTAGCTTCGGAAAACATTGATCGAAAAACATTTTTCATTCTTCATAGATCTTATAATAGTTTTATACATGAAAAATCTTATAAATTACTTATAAATATGCAATAAGGAAAGTTGTTAGCATTACGTTAAGAAAGGATGATCATAATTTTAATTATGAGATAAATCTTTGTTATGGATTAAAACTTAATCTAAGCTTAAATTTTTTAAGGAACATTAATAGACAAAAGTCAGAAGTATTTTCTTAAAATGGATTCAATTAAATAAAAAATGATGCAAAAGGTTTTAAGTCGCAACTTCTATTTAGAAATATAGAGGATTTTTACAACATCCATTATTATGTTAAATATAATATTTAAAATGCTCAGAAAAGCAACTTTCATAAGTGGTGTATTTTGAATTTGATGACATTAGAAGTTATTCGCTATACATATTGTAGCTAATTTTATTTTAATTATTTTCAGGGAAAGTTAATCTACAAAGAACATGCTACAAAAGGCTTTGAGAAAACAGCTCAAGCATTCATAGGGATGATGAAAGGTGACAATACTGGGAAAGCAGTCGTGCTTGTATGAAAATATTAAAAATTGTTTCCTTTATTCTTCACTATCAAAATTATGTTTCTGATGATATTATTTTGCCTTATTGTCATTTTTAAAAAATAAAGTATTCTTACTAACTAGTCATTCATTAGATTTTAATGAAATTCTATTAATTTTCATCCTTTTTAGAAACATTGTTATATATTTTGGAAAAAGGTACTTATTTAACCAAATACTTTAATTCAAATCATTGCTTGAGTAGAGAAATAAATATTATCATTAGATATCCAATAAATCAAATATGATAATTTGTTATGAAGTTCAATAAACAATCTTATGGATATTGTATTTAATGTTTTTTTAATGATTAAAATAACTCTACCTAGTTTTTCTTTAACTATTGAAACGAATTTGGCTGAATGTTTACATTTTGACTGGATTCAAGTTTATAATCTTACTTCCAATCATCCTATAGTACTATAAACCAGTTATAAGAAAGAAAAATGAAAAATAATACTTGGGTAACTGAAAACCTACTTTAAAAAGTAATTCATAATCTCCAAAAATTTCAGCTATAAATCTTAATATTAAACATCATGTCATTGTTAAATTGTAGTATTTTTTTTTTTTTTAATACTAGAAAACCTTTCTTTGGTATTTACGAAGTGCTATGGAAAAAAAAGTTTACCTACCCACTTTACTATCTCCCTCATACCTCTGTATTTCCCAATATTTTTATTTTACTTCTTATACAGGTATAAGGTTTTTAAAACCCTGCCATGGCTCTATTCTTAAGCTGAAGATACAGTTATCCGTTTCCCACACAAAAGTTCACTGTTTCTCTCCTCTCTAATCATAATTATTTAGATGACATACTATTTTAAGATACTAATTGGTAAAAAATAATGATGTAGAGATGGTTGACCGTTGATATGATATGAGAAGGAGTTAGTCGAGGGTGCGGTCAAATAAATAAAAAAATTAAAATATATGAATAATTTTAATTTTTGCCAGGTAAAAAATAATACTATAACAGTAATACCCAACAGCATATCTATATAATTTCCCAATGATTTTTAAACAACTCATACTATACCTAGAGCATAAATTTATAGGGAATACACAATTTATATAGATTAGTGATGAATCTACTAAACTATGAAGCTCAATTGAACTAACACCATTCCTGAAACCAATTTGGAATGATGCGCAGAATTTTGAGAAATCCTTAGGGAACTCATATGTTTATAAAATTCAAACAATAAATCAGAAATATAATTTTATGAATGAATACACACATCTCACAATTAATTCACATTATATACTAGAATTCAAACATTTAAGGAAGTTGGCAGACTGTTATACATATCATGAGTAACAGGTGGTCAGGACAGTCAGTTTTTTAAGATTTGTATTGTGATTTTACTCCAAGCTTGGCGGGTATCATCAGGACCCGTTACCAACACTGAAAGTCTTCAAATACTGGTATTGGTGTTTTTGTACTTCAACATCTGCAGCGATGGTAAGATATCTTGATTACCCATAAGAACGTTGGCAATGAAAATCTCAAATAAACTGACTGTATTCTATCTATCACCCATTAAATCTAAACACATCTCTCTCTAGCTCTACAAAAACATTAATTATAAAAAATTTCATTTCTTTATCTGATATAATCCTAACTCCCTTGTTATCCACAGGATTGCCTAAAATAATGTGGTCTGATGGTAAGCCACTTGTTTACTAACTATTGTTTTGTTTTTTAAATAAACTCTATTTATTGATTAGTTTTCAAAAAAATCTGGTGCAATACGAGCATCATAAAAACTATACACGTTATAACATTTGAATAACTTTCCACTTCCTTTTACGACTGTATGTAATAACTCATAATACTAATGATTATGGGGGAAATGGATGTTTTGGAAAAATTCTTAGCTTTATTGCAAACATCTATAATGAATCTCATTGAAAAAAGGACTTTGTAAACATTTCTTGTGATTTTTTTAAATTATAGGTAAGTAAAATATAATAGTTAAATTAACAATAAGAAAATACTGTAACGAGAGGTTTTGGGTATTCGTAAATATAGAGGAAACAGCCAAGTCGGACTAGCGCCCTAGGCTGTTTCCATAGGTTTTAGTACCCAAGTTTCTCCTATAGTTAAAAATGAATTTTTTCATTGTTAACATTTAATCATATTTTATTACTAGTTACAATGTGAACTGGGTAAACAGAATTAAAGATACTTTAGAAGATGAAATTTGGAAAATTCAGCAATTAAGTTGTTTTTTCAAAGAGGAAATTTTCTATCCGATGTTAAAGACCACTCGATTTAGCATTGATATAACAAGCTCAAAGTATTGGCGTTTTTGAGAAAATTAATGATATATAAGTAGTAACACTTCTGGTCATTCAATTTTGGAAAAATTACTCTAACATTCCATGTATATGTATATATCTATAATTTTTTTCTGTTGGCATAACAGAAACTGACCATAGATCTTTTGCCGCCTTAACAATCCTGCTCCAACTCTGCCTGTCTTGGGCTATTTCTTTCCATTTATCTGCATACAGCTCTGCTGCATTTTTGTTGATTCTATTTATCCAATCCCAGATCGCTCCGGTTATCATGCAGAGGACATTTCTCTCAAATCTTTCTAGGATTCTGGTTAATGTCCAGGTTTCACAGCCATATATTAGAACTTTACCATAGCATTGTACACCCTTAATTTGAGATTTTTCGGGATTTTAATACCTTTTAAAGGGAGAAGGCTCTGTTTGCACTAGTTATACACTGGTCTATTATACCTATCTTAAATATTTAATTTTAAATGTAAATTTCATGTGACTTTATTTTTTTTAGTAGAACTGTTCACATGCACACTTTGCGAAACTTGTATTTTTGGACTCAGGGGCCCTCAAAACTTATATTTCAGTTGAATACCTAAATTAGAAATTTTTCACAATCACAATACTTTTCCTTATTGTATATTTCACATAAAGGAAAGTAAAATCAGAAAAACAAGGAATTTTATTTAAACAAAATTTGACCAACTGAATTCGATGTAGACCCAGTTGAGTTGTAACAATTAGCTACGCTCAGGATTACTAATCTTTGTATCCAACTCATCTTTTATTGTCTTACCTGAACTATACTTGTACATGGATCATGTTAACACAAAATGATTTATTCAATTAAAGGGAAAGGTTGAATAAAATAAACAAGTTGATAAAAATAATAGCTTTCTTTTTACTGGTTTCATGAAAATAACACAGACAGAAATAGTGTTGTGGAAGAAAATTAATAACCATAAAAAAAGAAATATCCCCTCGTTTTACAATATGATTCCTTTGGATGATGCACCTGAGACCTGAGTTAATACCAACTAATATCCTTTTAATGATATTAACACTTATTATTAACAGTGTTACCCTATTATATAAATCAAACATGGTAAAAGTAATAAGATAAAAGTTATCCTCTTCTATTATGCAACATAGAAGGTTCCTGCTGATTTACTTTAAATACATACATTAATTAAATAAAAAATGAAGCTGAACCGACAATATACTTGAGCAGCTAAGTATTGCCTGTTAAAAGTTTACAATCTTATTATCTGTGCAGGAGTACAATTAATTTCTAAATACTCTTAATTTCTTCTGAGGGGGATCTGTAATACTTATCGAGTTTTCTTCCTTCTTAAACCAAACATATTGAGGATGAATTACTTATACCATTCTCTAGTAATCAGTCATTACTGAGCTTCTCTGTCAATTACTTGTTTAAACGATATACTCCTTTGTATTTATGACAAATCTTTCAACATTAAATGCCTAATTTATACATCCTTTTGATATTTACATACATTAGAAAAATACAAAAAATCCCCCTTTCATTCGACATCGATAGGACCACCCTTCGATAGATACATCAAAAATATAATTACCTCCTATCTCCTAAGCCTAATTTAGTTACAACTGACATCAACATAGCTAACTACATACTCAAGTACTGTAGAAAAGCTTAGTACCATTACAAACTAATCAACTATAAAAACCTTTTTAAGGGCAATAATCTTCTAAATTGATAGTCAGTCTTAATTATTAAACAAGAAACAATAATTCATTGTATTATTTAAACAATATTATATTAATACAGTAGAAAAAGTACAACAATCCTAAGAATGTCATCCACATTTCCTACATGCATATACAAATTAATACATATTAGAGTGTGGCCTTTATAAGTGATTGAAGTTTTTTTTTCTCATATTTTAAATATTACAATATTAAAACTAAATCAGGGATAAAAAAAACGAAACACTAAATCGTTTGATTGGAACATATAATAGAAATTTGAAATGGTAACAAAATAAAAGTGCTTTATAAGCAGGTCAACAGAAATTATTTTTAAAAAGTTGAGATACACGATAATCTATAGTCATTAAGCTGTTAGATTTTCACTAAAAATGTCATAATTTTTATCTTTGACTAGCCATGTTTTCGATTTTAGATAATTTATTGATCAAGTGCATAAATTCAGCTTTAAAAAAATAAACTATAAGACCACTTTCATCTAATGAATTACACAGCCGTTTCTAAAATTATTTGTTTATATTCTTTTTAATTTGGTAAATTCGTAATAACTAAAATTTTATAGTAAGTTTCCCATAAAATTCAATATTTCTGAAGAACAGAAATGAAGGAGATAGGAGGCTCTAACAAAAAAAAAAAAAAAAAAAAAAACCATTTTATTAATACAAAAATGGCATTAACCAGATTTACTTTATTTTCAAATCTCTGACCGGCTATAAGCTAAGATTGAAGAGTTGTTTACATCCACTATTCCCGATTCTAGGCACAGGATAGATAATTTATAGGATTATTCATAATAAACTTTTCAGTTTTCAAATTATTAATAAACCGAACATGAACACAGTAGCTAAGCTGTAAACATATAACTAGATCCAAACGGAGCACAATGCTATCACAATTTTAAGTAGAACTATAATATATAAGTATATTAATAAATTTTTAATAAAATTTTTATATAATCTTTTTTGACAGATTTAAAACCAAAACCTAGGAAGACTAGAAATTAAAAATTAATTTTGATGATCACAGTCAATAGTACATAATACGCTGCTATACAACTAACTCAACAATATATAAGTATTTTCACAAAGACTGATATGAGATTATAATAATAAATCATTAAAAATCCAAAATTATTTAACAAACTTAAGATCACAAAATAACAGCATATTAATTTTAACGATTAAACAGAATTCAATTTATATTTACCAGCAGCAATTTTGTGCCAGAATCGGATTTTAAAACCTCATAGTTTATTTCCGAGCTGATCTCAATCACAATGCTTTAAATATTTTTTGGTAAATTTTCAAATAAACAATAAACCAATCAGTAGAGAAGATCTTAATAAATAATAATAATATTACATCAATGCAGAATAACATAAGATGATTGGTTTTTCAAACAGTACTATTGGATAAACACAATTTCTTGGGTTTATGAAGTAATCCAAAAAAATAAAACTGATATGTTTTCATCGATCAGAGAATAATAAGTTTGAATATCTCTTCACATTTCATTGGTTCCAAACAAAGTAAAAAGTTTAATGAAAACATTTTTGAAAGGAAGGCACATTTTCAAAAGAAATAAAGAAAAATAACAGAAAAAAAAACAAACACAAATTATAAAAAATAACATTTACTGGAATCAAAATAAAATGTGAAACATAAAAGTTTTCACAAGATATTTTTTTTTTTTTTTTTTTTGGAGATAGTGTGGGTGGCTTGACCATTTCCTCAAGAGTTGAATCCCTTTCATCCAGTTGGACTGGCGATGGATTTAGCTGCCCTTCTCCTCACCAGCTTGGATTCTGAAGGCGGAGAGAGGCCAAGAGGTGAGGAGCCCTCCTCAATCTCACTGTAGCCACTGCCTCCGTCACCACAGATTGAGAAGTGCTGCAATATTACCCGTTTCACAGACATAGCCGATTCAGCATATGAAGACAGGTCTCTTGCAGAGTTGTTCCTATTTAAATAAAAATAAATACATCAGGTAAGCATGAATTAAGTACTTTTATTATACATGCATTCATAAATATTCTAAACGATAAATTTAGAATAAGTTTATTTTAAGATATTTTTTTACAATAGAATATTCATACATAAAAAGAACATCATAACATTACAATTAAGCGGTAAACTGACCTTCTGATCACGGCAGGAGTAGGCAGTTCTCTGTCCTCAGTGGCCTGTCGCAGCCACGGGTGGGCCAGGACTTGGGCAGCTGTCAGTCGAACCGCAGCCTCCTTGACCAGGAGCTGGCGGATCAGGTCAATTGCTTCAGCCGACACAGTTGCCCATTCACCAGCTGGAAACTCCAAACGACCTTCCAGTATGGACTGGAAGAGCGATGCCTGGCATAGGTGACACGTTTCACCGGCTTCCCATCGACAGTCTGGTGAACCACAAGAACCCCAGAATGGTGGATAGCCACACAGTAGTATGTAAACCACAACACCTAAAGACCACAAGTCACACCTAAAACACAATAAATATTTAAAAATAGTTCAAACTATGGAAATTTAAAAAACAAAAACAGAAAGGTATACGAATTTTGTTTTATTTAATATGTAAATATAAGTTTGTAACGCACGGATAGGTCATAAGCAACGGTTAAAACTCTGATATTTAAAAAATTGAAGTTAATAATAAAATATCATGAAACAGTATACAAATTTGATGAACTAAACAGCTTTTAACTAATTAAAAAAAAAGTTAAATCAGATTAAAATTTTACTTAATAAGCCTATATGTGAAAAAATTCATTCTCAAACAAAATATGAAAAATAATGTTATTAGTTTTATGAGCATGAAAAATTAGCCAGGGTAGGCAGCCATTTATATTTTTATTAAGTTTTCCAACGTTCCCACGCAAGCACGTGGATCGAAACATTGGTAAACTTAATAAACAACATAAATGACTCACTACTTAATTTTAATAGTCACAATATATCTCTATCTCTAAATTATTATTATTATTAAATATGTTAAATACAGGGAATACACTTTTGAAATATAATAAATTAAACTAAATATTTAATAATCAAAAAAATGTATTACCTTTTATCATAAGCTGCCGCCGTTGCAGAGGTAAATGCTGATACCACTTCGGGTGCCATGAACTCAGCTGATCCAACTGGTGTGAGGAGTTGAGGTGTAGCAAGAGGAGACGAGAGTGAGGTGTTGAACTTGATTCCGGAGCCAAGATCAAAATCACATAGCTTTACAGGTGTCAGTCTATCCTTATATTGGCACAGAATATTTTCTGGCTTTAAATCCCTGTGAGCTATGCCTGAAACCAAAATAAATACATAAGTATTACGTAAAAAATACAAAATAATACCTAAGGCTCTAAGTGTTTTGAGAATAGAACAAACCTTTTGCATGGAGAAAGGAGAGAGCGTTGGCAAGGTCTCGAACAATCATTGCAGCTTCTCTTTCAGTAAACCGAACTCTCTCCTGTATTCGGGACAGCAGCTGACCACCCTCAACTTTCTCAAATACAAGGTAGAACCTTAATCAAAATAAGATCAACATTAAATATAAGATAACAATAATAAAGACGTATAATTCAAATTTGAAAACGACCTTAGATAGGCCGATATCAATCACGTTAATAATTACCTCTGATCATCCTCAAACATTTCAAGGAGTTGAATAATGTTCGGGTGACCCGAGCAATGATGGAATGTCTCCACTTCCCTGAAGACCCTGGCCCTGGGGTGCCCTGGTATCTTGTCAATCATTTTCACCGCAAACTCTACTTCTGTAAGAACGTTCACGCATGTTTGAACGGAAGCATAAGCACCAGCTCCCAGGACTTCCCCTTTCAGCCTGTAGAGATCTGAAAACAGAAGAAATATCATCAGGTTAATAGGTGCAATTCACAAATCCTTACAATTTACAATATTCAAAATTAAACTGTAATCCATCATTTTTACAATTTTTTTCTATAAATGATTTAGCAGTAAACTTACATTAGAAAGAAACATTGAATTGTCTTAATGCTTAAATTATTTCAATAAAAATTGAAGGTTTAAAATCAATCGATAAAATTCTGTTCTATATAACTGTTTGAAAGGAAGTTATTAACACAACTGTTAATCATAGAGAAACAAATACATTAATAAGGGCAAGGTTGCACAAACATATTTGTTAATCCTTGTATATTTAATTAACTATGCAAAAATGTTCTATATTTTTTAAGTATTAAAAATTACAACCCGTTATGTTTATGTTTTTTATAAAATATATATATATACACAGCTACTGACTGAATCAAAAGGAAATCATTTCAGGATTCAATCTGTAATTCATTTAATATTTGGAAACATTGCTCAAAACTCACTAAATTTAGGTTATTCATTCTATTCCAAAAGTTAGATCAAACTTTATCTTTACAAGTTTCTGTTGACCCTTAATTGGATGAATTGTAATAAAATGAGAAAGAAGAGCATATTACAATTAATGAAACATATCATTGTATAGGGGAGGGAGGGGCGAGGAGAGGAAGGAAGACAAAACCTGATGACTAAATTAATAACTGATTAATGACTACAATATCAGACCATCTTGGAAGTATTGTCTGATTAAACCACCTCCGCTTCGGAGGGACCACGTGGTGCGGTAGCCATTGAACCCACCAAGCGTTGCCTTCCACTTGGCGGACCTCCCACGGCTGCCTGCGTAAAATTTTAAAATAGTCCGGACGGAGTTGGCTGCCTTCCTACTAGCGAGATGTGGCCCAGGAACAGGGACCCCCAACCTAACATTTCCAGGATGCGTCTCTAAATAGAGCGAGCGAGGGAATGGCAGGTGTGCAGCCAGACCTTCCCATTAATAATTTTAACGGCGAACATCAAATTTAATACGAATACACGCTTAAACTTAATCGAGAAACGTAAAAATATGAAACTGATAAGAATTCATTAATATTCATTAAACATCAAGACATAATTTTAGACAACACAGGAAGGTCTCAATCATCCGAAACCCCTTTAATCCGAAAAAGATAAAAAAAGTTGACTAACGAGAGACGGAATGGAAAAATGGGTCTGTTTCTCAGTACATATTCTCGGAATTGCTTCATATGATAAGTGTCGAAATCATATTATAGTATCTCTTAATATGTGGTTTTTGCAGCAGAGATCACCAGGGTGTCCCATTCCCTGAAATACATTTGCTGGAAAATCAAGTTTTACTCAAGCTTTCAAGAAGTATGACAAAGCAGATTTTTATGCCAGTAAGGTAGGCTTGGCAATTCTTTTATATAAAATATGTTTTTATTTTATTATATTTTATTACAGTGAAACATTTCTTTGCACCCATTCTATTTTTCATTACAGACAAGTCATATAAAAGCCACAAAGGCATTTAATACTTGCTTGGAGTAGGAAAATGAATACAACGCTGACTAGTAAAGGAATTTGCCAGATCAGGCGTTTTCTTTAACAGCAAAACAGAGACTCACATATATATTTATTGTTTTCGATACATTGTGCAATTTTTCTATAATTATAAATTTAACCTTTGATAAACCAAAATCGAATGCCCTGTTGATAATCAATGTGTTGGGATTATCAAGTCCATTCGGAATATTCATATAAAGAGTAAAAAAGAACAATATCTATAACATTTAATCTTTTATTTAACGATATATCTTTAAACAAAATAGAACAAGTGTAATGTGCCCGATCTATTTTAGAAATTAAATATCTATGTGATGTTAGTAGGGTTTAGTAGATCTAAGATTTCAAGGATGGTTTCTAAACAAAGAAGAGTAGGGATAAGTCAGAAAACAAAAACCGTACTTATAAGAAATGAAAACGAAACATCGGAAGAAACCTAAACATAAAGACATAAATAGTGATCCCGTACAGACAGAGACTTTTAAGTTCAGTCAGTTCTAATAATAGTTAATCTGGAATTGAAATAATTTATTAAAGACGTATAAAATTGTAATTGTGTTCAGTACGCACATTCGTAAAACAAAACAAACTATACTTTTTAAATAAATAAATAATAAATGTTGACACATAAAATTAAAAAAGATTTCCTTCCTTTTTACGAAGACAAAGTATAGTAAGTACCCTTGAGTCAAAAACGCGGAACCGGAGATCGCGCAGCTGCTTCTTCCACCGGTTTCAAGGACCGGTATTAGAATACAGGAACACGTTCGAAATAATAGAAACTGTTAGCAAACACAATCTAGGGATTCTCGACAGTATTTAAAATATTCAAGAAAAACTATTTTAAATCTAAATATGCCGAATGGGACAAATATAGGACTGTTTAAATGCCAACCGGTCTAAGTAGGACGGAATGAATTTCTAACTCATCTCTTCATTAATCTGGCACGAGATAACTTGGGAAAATTTCACCTGGTTCTAGATTTACAGAATGCTATAGCAGAATAAATAGTTATTCATAATCAATTTCATTTATTATTAGTTTATTAATATATTTAAAAGAAGTAAATGGCAATGAAGTTGTGTATTAGTGATATAAAATTACACTTACAAGAATGGAAAATAACTGAACAGGTGCATTTAACGAAGATCAGTTTTTAAACCGAACAACTTATATCTGTAACACGGAGAGCCAATTTTCCATAATTTTGAGCTATTAAATTTTGTTTCTTAGTTACTAAATTAATTAATAAAAAAATGGACATGGCGTCCTTTACTCCCACGACATAGATAAGTTACATCTAACCAGACATCCATCCCATCTAAGATTTATAACAAAGAGCGTGTGATAAAAATTGAACTAACCTTTTATTGAATAATGGAACAAAATTGTTAAATATGAACCATCTTTATAATAATGTATTGTATTTTAGCAAATTAAATAAAATGTAATCACTCTATTTAAAAGCTTCATGCATTAACGTTTGTAAATAAACAATGCGTGCACGGAATCACTTTGATCATTCCCTGATCCAGCGAAGTATTATACAATATTTTATGAATATGGATCTAGTTCGAGTTCTCGACACATAAAAACGATAAAGAATAATTCTTCAGCTTCGTACAGTCATTATAGTATGTAAGAAACAATTTTGGCGGCATTGATGCTAATTATGGCCCAAACATTTCATTCAAATAATTCGTTTAATAAAAAAATTACATGATCAAGAGTTTGTTATATTTGTTGTTACCAATTATAAACATGGCGTAAAGTAGATTAGAATGACTAACTCTAATTTCAAAATGTATATCTTTATTCACAGTTAATTTTCAACACTGCAATCTCCTACTATGGAATCAACTAACTCATTGTCTGTACAGATGTTATAAATATCACTAACATGACTTCAATCAAATATGTTGAAATTGGTGTTAAGTCATTCTGTCAAGTGAAAGACTCATAGGTCCCGGACTCCGTAGGTTAATAACTCTTGAAAGATAATTTAAAAAAATAAAGCAGACAGACTTTTCTTAAATACATTAATTTTTCGTTTTATAAGCTTTAACAAAATATACAGTCATACAATTGGAGAAGTGGATATGCGATGAAGTAAAATGTTTAATTCGTGAATGTGGATGGGGTATTTTTAAGCAACAAGTATTCTCGACCGACATACCGATCGTTTCGGTTAAGATAATTACACGTTCCCTTTTACAGGCAATGAGTGGCCTACGTTAAGAGTGGGAAGCGGTAGACCCTGAAACCAAATCGTGAAGAAACATTCACCAGCTTAGAGGTTAATCAACAGTTAGCCGTAGCTAAGCGAATGGTGATACTGGTTCTTAATAATTTACATTTCCGACGAAGAGTAGAAACCTCAACGAAATCCTTATACTATTCGTGGAAAGGTTGAAAGGAAGAGAACACATGACAAGAACAACAAAGGGCGGGGTGGGGGCAGCCGCCATAGGCACGGCAGCCGTGGTCACGTACGCTAGGCCACACCCACTTCGCAACAGCCGATCTTCTGTTGTGTTGTGTTCAGTCTCGGCAAATAGCTGAGGGGCCAACGGCTAAAATAAATTTATATTATTCTCTGATAAGGCTAAGACCCCAACGTCGTAAGCAGAGCTGGCTCCAGACCACATCCCTACTAACCATCGTAAACAAACAACAAATCAACAGGACTCTCCCTATAGGCAGATATTTATAGTTATACACTATCATACAATTTAGCGAACTTATGGGAGAGGAGCCAAGGCACCAGAAAAACCACAATGAAAGGTTCTTAATGCTCTTCCGAGGCTAAGCCAATCCTGCTCTACCATTGAATCAACCAGAGGTTGAAATAAAAAAAAAAAAAACTTCTATTTTTATTGTCAATAGTTTTTCAGTTCTTTCGGAACAAGAAATTTTTCTCTTCCAACTTTCTATAGAATTTTCGATTCAAGTTCTATCGATTTCGCTAAAAGACGACCTAAAAATTACTTATATAACTCCATAACTCCTCAAACATACGGCACAGAATCGAATCATATGTAATTAATTTAACACAAATTATAACTCTAGTCTACTTAAGGACTCAACATATAAGAACTTATGTTAACAACGGAATAAAAGTACAGCAGGATATATTACATTAATTTATAAACAGGACTTGAAAAGTAAAAAAACAATTTTTCATTTTTAAAAAGTTTTAGGTACCACAGAAATATATATATTTGATAGTTTTTCAGTTCTTTTGGAAATATAACTTTTCCCCTTGCAACCTTTCGAGTAATACTTTTAGAGAAATTTTATTTTTAAAAATATCTGTCGATTTCGCTAAAAAGACCATCGAAAAATGACTTCTATCCATAGCTACTCAAATATAATATCAGAATCATGTGTAATTCATTGAAGACAAATAAATCATAACTCTGATTTATCTACGCCCATTAATCGTTTATTTTTTCATTAAACTTTTTTAAGAACTTGAAAGAAATTACCCTTTTACCGTTAATCTGGAACCTTATTACAAAAAGTTTCCTGAGAACTTTTTTTTCAAATAAGTTACACAAAAATTGTTAAAATTGAACTTTTAAAAAAGTAAGTATTTTTTAAAATACATCACCTAATAGTAATAAAAATCGAATGTAAAATTAAACTTTCACGAGCATTTTCTCAATGTCCCTAGAATGGTTCTGATTGTTAATAACATATAAAAACTGATATAAGAGTTTGTTTATTTATACTGCTTCATACGCATAAATAGCAAATTCCGCACGAAATCTAGTAATCCAGTTTCAGAAATAGGAACATTTTTCGAGCCACAATATGATCACAGAAATACTTGGTCTATTTCACATCTGCCAAATTTATAAAAATAAATATATGATGTAGACCGCCAGGAGTCGGAAAGAAATGATTGTTTTTGGACAAAATGGGCACTGAGTAAAAATAAAATATTCTTCTGTATCGATATTGTTCACTAATTTAAATAGGATAGTTCTGTTACAGCGTTGAAAAATTTATGGGCATGAAACACAATTGATGTTATAACAATGCGAAATCTTAAGACCCCGAGCGTAGACCTTAGGCGATGTTCGCCATTTTTATTTCTGAAATTTAATGCTATTCACGTATTTCTTTCGCTAGCTCAGCATAAGTGGAAGTGAAAGTAAAAATGGGCAGTTCATGCAACTACGGTATTGATTTTCCAAAACAATTTGAACTACTTAATTATATAACTGGATTTAGTGATAGTATTCTTATTTTAGAGAGATTATTGTGATTATGAGATTACAATTCAAATACTGAAGACCGCAAAATATCACAGAACAATGCAAACTGATAAGAATGTAACAGCAACTACTAATATATTATTTATAAATTTAAACAAAACTATCTATATCTGCATGAATATAAATAATAATTTGTTTGGATATTCGTCAGTGGAAAAACGAAAGTAACAACACGGCATATCAAGAAACACTAACAATTGTCTAAATAAAAATTTAAAATAAACAATGGATGGAATGTCAACAAAGACCAGACGTTTGTTTTCGTCCCTGCCAGCTATATTGGATATTTGGCTGGCAGTGGATAGCTTCAGTTTATTAACTAATGAAATTTAAATATGCATACCCTGAAAACAGGAAGTTACAAGCGAGGCAGTGGTCTTCTTCCGGCGCCGCTGCCTTTTAGCTGCTGCCTTTCGCTCCTCCAGGACTTCGTTGGTCTTGTCCCGGAGGACGCTTGGCCTGCCCTCTTCAACTGAAACCAAAGAAACCTTAATTTAGAAAAATATTCACTGAATATATATATATGTATGTACATATAACAAAGTAAAAATAAATAGATAATTCAAATGTCTGATGGTGCAGGTAGCCAGAAAAGAAAAATATACAGGCAAGCTGAAAGGTAATTTAAAATATAAAAAAGTTTCTGCCCAAGGCTAAATAAAACACGAACTTTATCGCTTTTTGCAACATATAATCTGAATATTTGAGGTTGGAGAAAAAATCACAAACAATAGTTTCCGCTTTATAAAACTGGTTGTAAGGTTATACAAAATACTTTTGACACATTAAAATTACTTATGGAAATACGACTTCTTATTCATACGAAGTGATTGAATCAGTACCACTAAGCAACTGCATAAGTATACATACTTTCATAACTACTAGGAATACTCGAATATCCATCAATATAGGATAAAGCTTGAAATCGAAGACTTCTATGTTAACCTTGATCGGGCAGGGTCAGGTGTTCAACGAATAAAAATAAACCGAAGAGTTCCCGAGACCGTCAGATAGTCTACAGGTTTCCTACAATTATGAGTGAAATAGAATTAAAACGCAAACCTTCTTAATATCGTTACCTATATTATGGAATATACGAGTAATTATTGAGTCGAAACCGAAAGATTTCCTCCAGATTCTTGGCAATGCATTCTTGCCTGATTATCCAAGAAGGATACCAAAAGAAGACAAAAAAGAGAAGAAGAGCGTGACAGACGACCAGTTAAGAAAAATGCGAGGATAAAATAATGAAGGAATGATGGCTGTTTACATTAACATCCATCAAAGTTCAGCGACCCCTGGAAAGGTCCAGCCCAGTTCTTGGGCTACACTCCGTTAACCATACCACACCACTTCTTTACGCAATACTCCACTTTCCAGCCGCTCGTCATCTGGAGAACGGTTAATACCTGATAACGGGGCGCGTATACGCTCATTTGAGGTTAAATATTAATTCCTATCGATGCTAAGTTTCTTGAGTACGAAAAAAAATCATAATTACATATTCAAAATCAACTTATTACTTGACAATCCTTCGTATATGACAGTATTTCTATATACTCCGAAAGGTTAAAAAATAATAATAAACATGTTAAGGAAGTAAAGAGATGCGAGGGAGGTATCTTACTTTAGTGTTTTTGAGGAAACACTTCTAAATCCAAACCTTAAGCCTCCGAAATATTTTAAGGTTAGTAGACTGAGAACTGACTCCTATCCATTAATCGATTCAATCGATACGCCTGGCACTGATATCGATACCAAAGATTTACTGCACCAAGGGATAAAATACATCAATTATAATGTTTTAATCTTTATTAAAAGGATTAATTATTTTTAGCGTTTAGTAATGGCAAATCTGCATCGGGAAATCGTTTATCATTGAGGAGTTGTTTTTTAAAAGTTCAAGTATTATTCTGATCATTTTATCGCTCTGTACCAAAAGTCACGTAAGTAATCAATTTTAAATTTAAATAAAATTAAAAAATAATCTTCTGTAGTAAAAATATTATTTGAAACATTAACTTAAGAAGAGGTTCGAAAAAAAATAAATAAATAAACCAGTAAAATAATTAAGTTATACGTATTCTACCTTCAATCATACCCAGAAAAAGAATTTTTGATAATTTAAAAAAATTCTAAATCGAATAGTATGCACAGGTTAAATAATTCGTAATATATTTCACACTTTCATTTAGTTCAGAAAAGAATTTATACAGCAAGCGACTAGGTCAATATATTTAAATACAATCGAGCTTGGGAATTTATTTAATTCCATAGTTATGCAGCAATATTAGATGAATACAAAACAAAAATTAAAATTATAAACAAATATTAATTTTAACTTTATAAGAGGGGTTATGATATGACTTCTCGAATGATAACTAAGCACAATAGCCCAAAGAGAGAAAGAAATGAGATACGTAAGGAGTTGTGTTTCTTTTGCATACAAACTTCTGCTTCAAAGGATGGTATGACGCAAGTCTTTAGATCGGTTACTGACATCCATACACAGGAAATGGGTGGATACTATACAATGAGTGGAATAACAAAACTGCAATTAACTTAAATATTAAACATCCGTAATTTTTAACATGGGTATAGATAAAATATTAAAATAACATTGCTACTAATTTACACCAACGAAAGTTGATTTGATTTTTTTTTTTTTTTTAAAGGAAAAATACCTAATGACTGGTAACACACTATATTGTTCCAAATTTAAATTTTAACAAAACCTAAGAAGATATACTCCACTCCTTAGAATACGCAGTCATTAAAATATCCTTAGAAATTGTATCAATTCGAAGGTGGGAAAGAGGTAATAAGCAGGGCTTGAAATGGAAAAAAAAACTATTATTTTTAAATAGTTTCGAAATCACTGGAACTTATACTCTCAATAATTATCAGTTATTTGGAACTATTACTTTTTTCGTTGTAACTTTTCAAAGTAAAGATTTTACAGAAATTTTATTTTTAATAAACTTTTATTTCAAAGTTCTGTCAATTCCGCTCAATACACGATCTAAGGAAATGACTAAAACAAATTATAACTCTAATCTAAGTCCAATTTACGTTTATTTTTCATTTAATGAAACTTTTTTTAGGAATTTGGAAAAAAAAAAACAAGTTAAACTTTTACTATAAACTCGAAACTGTATTACAAAAAAGTTTCTCAGAATTTTTATTTTAAAAACTTCCACAGGAACTGTAAAAACGAAACTATTTAAAAAGTTTCAATCTCTGATAAATAGCAATCTGTTTAGTTGATCACTAAAAAGGAAGGGATATAAAAATTCATTTATGATAATTAATCGGGAAGCAATCGATCTTCCGAATAAATGTAAAAATAATAAGTTTGTGATTTAGAGAAGTCAATCTCAATATATTTTATCTATTGTTTATATCTGAACCCGCTGATATATATCTATCTATAATTCAAATATTAACTTTTGCCTTTCTATCATATTAATTTCAAGGCTCGATAACGAGGCAATTTAATTAATTCTTGATTATCTTCTTACGCCAGACAAATTGTTCATTATAATTATTCTCAGGAGACTGAATGTCCCGGAATAAAATTTACTTTTTTATCTTTCTTATAAAGTATTATATTGTGAAGTTTTATGGGTATCAGCAGAAAGCTGACTTTTCTTTCTTTCTTTATGTCTATATTTATGAGCTAACCTATCCAGCTATTACAGAGATGAATATTGCTTTGTGACTCATGGGTTTAAACTCGAACCTGTGTAAATATTAAACTTTCAATTGCGTTTTTTCCCGAAAAGATGATATTCGCACTTAACACATCATGAACAAATACCGCAAAATTATAACATATTTACTTTAAAATATTATATTGAAAGAAAGTAGAAGCATTATTTCTCAATACTACAAAATTAGGAAAAACTAGAACAAAGAGTTTAATGGCTAAACATTTTTTTATCGTTATTTATATATATTTATACTACCTGTATATACCGAAATTAAAAAAATAAATATTAATTGGCTGTTTATTAAAAGCCATTGAGGAGAATCGATAGAGAGGAGATAAGGAGATTCGCCGGGACGATATCGGTCAAAGACCTCTTCGCAAAACGGGGTGCGCCCGACCCCTCATTCAATTTTCGCCATCCATGATCGCTTTCTATTTTGTATCCACCGCTTATTGGATTAAATGTTTCAACATTTAAAATAATAAAAATAAGTAAATATCCAATTTGAAAAATAAAACAAAATTAATTAAATGTTAGTCTATACATTAAAAAAATCATGGGTGAGTCCTAGCATAGTTTGTATATATTCAATCAATCTTAAAGAATACGAATTGTTATCTGTATTCTCATTATATAGGTTTATGTAAATATTGTTTAACGCAACTGACTAAAATCAAATAGAAATAAATAAATAAATATTATTTTGCATTTATAAGATTATTAAAATCGTCCTTGGAAAGCCCCTCCCCTCACTCGTATGTTAAATCAATTATTATGTTTTCTTTTATCATTTATAAACAGACCTCTTAATATTTAAATCAATGAACGATGATATAAATCTTAATAGATATTCGTCAATAAACACGAAGAAAAATATAAAATTAGATAAGATGATAGTAAAAATTTTGAAATTATTATAAATATAAAAATTACAAATTTACTTAAATTCTCCCTCAACGATATTATCCAATTTTCTTTTAAATAAATTAAATGTTTATAAAAAATAAAAACAATAATAATTATGCTCATTATTAATGTTCAATTCACAAATAATAAAATGTGAATAAAAACCACGATTTCTCACGTATTTTTTAAAAATAATTTGGAAAACTGAAGACAATGAAATTTATAAAAAAATAAAAAATTATAAGAATGCAAAAAAAAAAATGACTTAAAATTTTGAACTCCTTAGAACATACTTAAATATTAACTATCGTTAAGGTAGACCAGTAATTAAAAAAAAATAATGATTGAAAGTCACAAAAAAATATAATATAAAATCGCCAAATCGATTAAAATTATAATATTATATATATATATATATATATAATAAAATATATATTATAATTTTAGCTGAAATGTACAATGAAAGTATTGTAAATAAAAAATAAGTTGATCTCACTGAAAAAAGAAAAGAAATAATAATTATGAATTTTAAAATGCACCAAATAAGGTGAATGCCTATGTTCTTTTTAAAATTTATTTATCTTCAAGTTATTTTATTTTTATTTATTTTATATACTTTTTACTACTGGTTACTTGTTATTTTGATTATGTTTTTATTTATATGTCTTACCTCGCTATAACTATTGTCCGAAAGTTATATTACTCAATAAAAAAAAAAAATTAAAATATTCCAAAAATATCTACAAACGAGTCATTAATGAATTTAAGTTGGGACCTACAGAGAGGAACACGCCCATGTGGAGAGAGAAGTAGAGGCAGCGAACAGTGTTGCCAGGCAGGGACCCCAACGTGAGGAGGTGACTCGAAGGTCGAAAACATGGCCTGATCTCCTCCATATCTCTACCGCATATATAAATATATATAACGTCGCTTTTATCAACAGATTGCCGTATCTATAATGGCAAACATATCAAAACATCCTCAATGCGCAGAGGGGAGAAAGATAACCCAAACGCTATGAGGCTGCTGTAATATCAACATAAAAAAATAAAACAGAAAATCGTAACCACAAAACGAGATAACTAAAAATTAGCAACTGGAATTCAATGTATAAAAGAAATAAACAAACATAATTTCTATTACGTATGCGAACCTTAAAATTCTTTTATTGATGCTATAAACTTATTAGACTAGGAAGAAATAGGTATTTCACTCCTAGACTAAACAAATAATAAATTGAATAGTACTTTTAGAATACCACGTCTTATTGCGTTTCCATCAACATACTAATTTCAGCTTGAAACATCTGATATTTACAAATATTTTCAAAGAACGCTATTTTCAAAGCTTTTCTAGACGCATTTGGCAACTGATCAAACAGTCTGTTTGAAGTTTCAATTTCGCAACCAACTTTTGGGAGGGAAAAAAAAAGTCCCTCACGCCTAAACTCAACCTCGTGAAAATTTCTATGGCAAGTAGCAATGGCCGAATTACATTAGTTAAGAGAAGATTCAATTTAGGTTATCAATGTGTACGTTTTAGTTCTATATTAATCAGAGATTCATTGCAAGAAATGTTGATGGTTTTATATATATGAAAGAAAACGATAAATGGCTGAGGAATTTATTTAAAAATATGGAAGTAATAAAAACATAATACTGAAGGCATTTGCTCAATTCTACAAACTTCGGAGTTGGTTAATAAAAATATATTTTGTAAGGATTAAATCATGGATTAGTAATAACACAAAATTGTTATAAATTAAGTAAGGTTCAACACCGGAGCTCCGCTAATTATCATCTAAATTAAAGATAATGAAGCAACCTTTCTAAAAAAAAAAACCTAAAATCGAATCAAGGCCTTTCAGTTTAGTGGCCACGTCATAAAAGGATAATACGTAGAAAAGTTTCAGAATTTAATTCCTTACTGCATATTTGTATAATTTGTATGAATATAATTTAGTCACAAAATAAAGGATTGTTATCAAACAAATTTTATAAGGAACAAATAAAGAAAATAATAAATAGCCTAATAACGAGTTCGCGAAATGCATTATATATTTTTTACTAATTTTAAACAAATAAGTTTAAGCCTCGATTTATAGAAAGTAATACATATTTCAATTGGATCAAAATTGAAAATTATATCATTAACATTTATTTATATTCAACTAAAAGAAAATCTAAAACTGGCCAAGTGATTAAGATATTAATCATAAACCGATTGAATTTTAAATACATATAATTTAAACATATAATTAATAAAATAATGAGACGAAGAAATCTGCCAGAGATAAACAAAAAATAATGTCAAACGAATCGAAAGATTATAAATAAATAACTAAAATAATAAGCTGGCGGATAATGATGGCAATGGATGGATAAGGCTTCCCTGCGAAGTTGGAAGACTTCAGTTACGAAAGCGGCGTAGTTGGGTAACCAGCGAGCTCCCATCACCTGACTTTTTATCCGGTTAACCTTGGCCTACGTGGCGCTTCGATGCACCTCCATCTTTTTATTTCTTTTACTTTTCCTTTTATTTTGTGGTTCGCTATCTTTTGCTTTCTTTTTTGCGTAGCAGATCCGATTGAGAAACATCGGATAGCGTGCCATATATGCCGATCAATTAGATCTACTAACTGATATAAGTAAAATATAATTGATTTAGCCATTATGTTTTAACAGTATAAGTTGAGACAAATTGAAGTACGGAAACTAATTTGTTTAACTGGATAGAATCCTTAAAAATGTACATTAACAATTATATTACATTCATAATCAGTTACTGTAACACAGTATGGTCACTCGTTTACAACAAAACAATGTTTACAAATAAAATTAATTGAGGGGAATGAAACACATACAGACTGATCCCCTATTTGATTATCATTATTAGTTAAACCATTAAGTTTTATATTTAAAAAATAACATTTCACATTATTAATTCTCTAAATATATAAATTTAAAAATATTACAATTAAAGATAACACTATTTTTTATTCATCATAATCGTATTTAAATCGAGGAGGTTTGATATATGTATTACATCAGTTTGGCGAAATACATCAATAAAGACGTTATTAGACATCAGATAGGTTTATTTTGTTAAGCAAGTAAAACATTCCCTTCCTCTTTCAGGATACATTACAACATTACGTAACCGGTAATTTATTTTTACAGCAGATATATAAATCACATACTTGCAAAAATAAATAAATAAACAAGGTTGGAAGCATTTAGCGTGCTAACCCACAGCCCCCGAGAGGTTCGAAAATACTAAACCAGAGAGAGCTACATTCTTTGCTGGAGTACGCCACGGGCCGGTAGCCGGGGCAGGCTGGCCATAACACAGGAAAAGAAAAAAGAAAAAAAAAAATGCCTACGCCTCGATACTACGCCGCAAGCCGGCATCCCATGCATGCTGAAAGTAAACAAAATAAAAATGGAGGCAACAAATATGCACAAGGTCAGTCAATACCTTTCTTCCATTCAAGCACTCTCTATACGCAATTATTTATCCTTAGGAATGTATTCCGTCATAACATAAAAAAAAGGTATTCCCGCGTATACCTAATGTATATTATTATTAACCAGGCTGATTTATATTATATCGAATAAATTATTATTACAATTAAAAGACTGTAAATATTATACTTATACAGTTTACCTTTTTTTACGTTAGAGTATATCGACGGTTTATTGCAAAAAGTCGTTAAGTGGCATTACATAACCTTAAATAATTAAGGATTTTCCCATTAGGAAATCAGAAAATTCTGCAAATGTTATTGCTATATTAGTTATGTAAAATAGTTGGTTACATTTACATGAATTTAATAGTATTTTTACATCGATAAATAAAGTAGAAATTAACAAAAATATATTGCACAGTCGAAAATGTACTTAATAACTTTTTGCAATAAACCGATGATATATGTATATATATTTACAGTAATATATTAATTCTTGAGATTTTAATTTGTGTTTGTAAATAAACTACATACTTGATATTCCTCAGGGACCGCGTCCCAGAATAAAGTCTATTTTCTATTTATCTATCCTATGTACATTTGTGTGTATGTTTTTATATGTTTACGTTCCTTAAATATATATATATATATATGTAGGTGTTTTTCATTATTATTAGTTATTCATACTAATATGAGTAATAAAAACACAAAATATCAGATTCAATAAGTATCACTGTTTTTTCTTTTACAGTTATTATTACTATTAAAAAAACGACTTGTTGATAAGAAATTAACGACTATCCTATCGGAGGGGATAGACTGTTCTAGAACCGGCGAAGCCTACCCCAACAGCTGCTCAGTTAAAAGGACAAGAGGCCCCCTTACCTTCCAGTATGCATTGTTGATCTTCGAGCTATCATAGGATTTCTTTAATAATACAAGTACTTAATAATACAATAGCGAGGATTAAAAATAATGTTTAAAAGTAAATGACATTGTTCTTTGAACACTAATAAAAACCTCATGTGCGGTTTCCTTAAGGTTAACAGTTTAGCCACACGACGCAAACCGGCATAAATAAAAAAATAAAATAAACGGTAAAATCTAATTTTGATTCATTAATATTACTTTTCGAATTATTTATAATAAAAAAAAACAAGAATGAAAAACAAGGTTACCAGGAACAGGTTTTAAAATAAAAAAGCAAAACAAGATTTAAGAATGCAAAGGCACAAGAATCTGATGCAACACTGAGATATGTTACAGCGATCGAATCGTCATTAAAACTCGTTCGATTATCATAGAATGCCGGACCGTTCGTGTACAACCATGCCTAAACGTCGCCAAATAATTTTTATATGAGTCACTGATGAAAAGATCAATAAATAATCTTAAAAAATAAAATTTAAATAGAGACCGGGAAGAATCAAAACAAAACCGGTATATAAATAGTGACCGCAAAATGACTTTCACTGCTTTGTTTATGTCGGGTTTAAAAACATTTAAAGTCTATTTTCGTTGTGTTTAGGTCTCAAGCCGGGATGCCGGTAGGTTGCACCAGCCAACAACGTCATATCATAACTTCCCATTATATTAATAAAAAAAAAAAACTATTTTTATTTAAGATAATTTTAAAATCTGAATGTATTTATATTTTATGATATGTCCATATCATAAAATATAAAGGTTTCTACGTTTAATGCTCACACTAAGAGGAATAAAAAAAATTATGTATTCACTGATAATGAAAAGATAAAATATTTATTTTTGATGAGATAAAAAAAAATTCAAAATCTGATGAATTAAAAAAAAAGATAAGAAAAATCTTTAAAATGAAATATATTTATAACTAGATTATAATAAATTGACCAACAAAAAATTATAATTATCTATGGATAATTCACATTATGTTTTTATAAATAATATGGTAAGAAAATATGATAAAAGTTTAAAAAAAAAAATAGTGTAATAAAATATAATTGACTTACTTGAAGGGATGGGCTCTTCACTTTTTAATTCTTCCAAAATTCTTTCAACCATTCTTATACTCGAATAACCGTTATAAAAATTACAAAACAGCCTTTGGCCCTTATTTATATAAAATAATATATATATATATATATAAATACGATCTATAGGAACTTTGTACAGAGACACTATACTCTATATATTATGATCACAGTCTTGATATTTTGTACTGGACCGCGGCACTCAACTCGAACTCTAACGACTTGCCAATAAAACACAGGCTAGTAGGCCATCTGACAGAGCTGTGGTCTAGACGGAGCAGCGGGGTCTGGCGAAATGACGTGGCCTTCAGCCGCTCGAGGCCTTTTGAAGGCTCGCACCGGTGGTGGGGGGGACCCTCAATGCGCAGTTCCCCCCACCCCGTCTTTATTTATACCATTCTCTTCTACATTCGCTTTTAATACCTATCTTCTTATAATTTGTCCGTCTTCGCTTAATCGTTCCTTATCTAAATCCGAAAGTGAACAATAAACATCTACATATCAAATATTTTTTTTTTTTATAGTAAACAACCTAATTATTTTTTTTGTGGGATCTTCATATAGTTATTAAGATTTAATCAATATAAGATTTTTTTTTTAGAGAGATCACATTTACTCAAACAGATCTTAAATTAAATTAATAAAAAATATATTTGATAAAAACATTTATTATGTTATTTTGAATGATAACCAAATCAACTGAACAACAGTGCTTTCGAAATGTAATATTAAGAAAAGTCGTCAAAACCCCTGAGAAATCAAATATACTTAAATTTAAGGATTCTATAACCGAAAGAAATCCCATTTTTTTTCGGGCCACCTCAACGATGGCATAGTTTTATTTCAAAATTAGTAGTTTTTAGTTATAGATTTTAAAACAAATAAATGGCTACGTAGTTTAATTATTATGTAGAAATCGAGGACATGAACTACAGGCGGATTTATGGGGGAAGGCTTTCGGGTTGAAGCCCCCCCAAAATGGTAATATGTAAACCATGTTTTATGGAAAAAAAATTATCTATTAAAGTATTGTTGTACATGTAGTTACATTTAATAGGACTTTAAGAATCATTTAAACACCATTTAATGTAGTTAGTTAGTATCTTTCTTTTTTTCCAAAATAATGATCTTTATGTACATGAAAAAAAAACTTTCCAAAAATTAAATCCTGGATCTGCTAGTGACATGAACGGAAATAATAATTCATTTATTTTTACTTTGTTATTTTTTTTACTGAAAACCCCAACCAATTGCTCTTCAATATATATACGACAGTCCATTATTAATCCACAATCAAGTAATAATAATGAATTTATAGACCTCCACTGAATTGAAATATGCAATAAAAGAATTTCAAAACCCTCTCTGAAAAGAAGTCAAAAAAAATAAATAAGGGACTATGAAAAAAAATTTTTCTTTTTTTATATTACTGTATTTATTATTTTGTATAATTTTTTTCAGGAGAAACTCATATCATTATTTTGTGAAATATTAATCTTGAGAATTTAATGTTAATGTTATACTTAGAGATATACTTCACGTTAGAATATTAATATATGTTGATGAGAGAATAAAATATTTTTATGGCATCATACTATTACACAATGTTATCATTTTTTCGTTTCTCTCAACTTTTATCATCAGATGTTTTTGTTCTGATTTGATTACCATTAACAATGAGACCATTGTTTAAAAAAAATATCACGATAATACAACAATTAAAATATTTAAATAATATAAAAAATATTAGTTATCAACTTTTGATTAATAAGCGATAAATTTTTTACTAAGACTACGTTTAATTCCACAGATCTTATTTAATTAATAAATAATCTAATCAATACGAAGTTTTATTACCTCTATATATTATGTAACGTTTCGGCAAATATTTTATAAAAACAACAACAGCCTTAACATCATTAAAAAAATTTATTCCCCCTATTACTACCCAATGGTATTTGTTAAATTGTAAAATCAATTATTACCAATTTACTAGGTTTTATATATTTTTTTTATTATAAATTTCTTTAGTTTTTCTTCTTTTCTTAATATCAGTCTACCTGAAAATTATAAAAATAGCCGATGATGTAACAATTTAACATCTTAAATAAAATAATTGTTAATAAAAATTATTATTTCATTAAAAAAAAATATGAAATACGTATAGAACATAGTACTTCTTAATAAATATCGAAGGGAGTTAGTTGAATGTTCTACATCATAACTGACTGCGTCCTGACATTTATTAAATCGATTTTTTTATTTATTAAATAAGATCTGTGGAAGTAAAAAAAGAAATTTGTGGTATTTGTAAGAAATCGATCGTGTGTTGATTAAACCTTAATCACTAACATTTTGTATAAATCATAGCAAAACAAGGTACGTAACACTCCTGATAATTTTTCCAATAATGCTCTAATTGATAGTAACCAAATAAAAACAAAAACATTTTATTAGAAGATGGTGAAAATTGAATGAAACGGAAAACAATATTATGTAAGAGAAATATTTGATTAATTCGTCAATATTTATTCCCATTCCAACGCGAAATATATTCTCAAGTATACATTAACAAGAAACCGGTTTCGCGGAACAACTCAATGTAATGCTCAAGACTATATTCGATAATGATCGATACAGACTATATTCGATTACGATAGATTTAGACTAATATCCGATACAGTAACGATATGAAGTCTTTATGTTAAAAATAACTTCAACTTTTAACCATAAAAATACACATCGAAAATCACTGGGAGAATGAAAGTGAGCTTTCGGGTTGAAGCCCCCAAAATTATTCTATTTAAATAGTTTTTTTTTATTGGTACATGTTTGTTTCTGTGAGAGATTTAACCTCGATAATGAACCATCACAATATGTTAACTTTTTAAATAATACAAATATAAAATAAACGGACGATAGATAACTAATTATTTAAATATAATATCTGATCTGGAATTATTAAACTACAGTTTATTTAAGGTTATAAACAGATTTACACATCCATGAAATATTTTTATATTTCACACAAGTACAATGAAATAGCTTTTTAAACAATGATATTGCCTCGATTCGATGGATTTTATATATTTTTTTTTCAAACTTAAAAATAATTTTAAAAGTTTATATTTTATAAGGAAATTTCGTTTAATTTCCTTGGAAACATGTTATTTACTACATAATAATAGTTTTCAGAAATTATTATTTATATATTTTTTTCCACACTCCGCTATTTTTCTACGATTATCTTTATTAGATATATTTTTTTCACAAATTCTCCGCTTTCCAACGATATATTGTACCTATACGTTCTGATTAATATTTCTGGAGATTCATTTTCAACCTTAATAAGCTCTTTTTTTTTCTCCATTATTCAAATATCAAATTCTTCCGAAAGTTATATTTAGTCTTTTTTAATTACTGCGAACAATGATATTAATTATTTAAAATAAACCAAATTAAAGGTACTATAGAGGAAGACATTTTGAACATTGGGAATTCACAACCTCTGTTAAGTGACATCAATGGGGAGATAAGACTTAAGTAATGTTAAAGATTAATTAATTATACAATGTTGCACCGAGTTTAATCAAAATCGTTACAGCCTTTTTGTAAAAAACCTTTAATATCGTTATTGTTCCTGAAATTACGATTTTGTTTTATATATAAAGAGGATTTAGGAGCAAGTTGCGCCACAACAAAATTTTTGAGTGGGCGGTATATTTTGACAGGGTTTTAACTTTTTAATAGGGGGCATATTTTGACAGGGTTTTGACTTTTTAATAGGGGGGCATATTTTGACAGGGTTTTGAATTTTTAAGAGGGGAGCAGATTTTGACAGGGTTAAGAATTATCGGAGTGAAAAGTTTCAAACCATGGAATAAGTGAAAACATGGAACAGATCATAACAAGTGTAATTGTATATGATTTGCGATTCTTGTAATTCTGCTTTCTTTCTTATGTGAGTGATTCAAGTTAAATAATTGAACAATTATAATACTCTTTTTAAATAATAAAAATATGTATTAAAAAAATACCTCTAATAGCATTATTGTACCTCAAATTACGGGTTTTATTACTTTTCTTACCTTTATATGAAATATATAGTAAGGGAAAGTGTTGCTTTCGTGAAATTTTTCTATTTTAATATGACATCAAGAGGCACTTAAACATCATTTCATATAGGTGTTTCGTTTTCTTTTTCTTTCAGAATAGTTAAAGTTATTAAATAATGATGAAAAATGAATCTAAGAGGAAGGAACATTTCTTGGTCTCTGGGATAGTCTAAATGTTGTTTAGCTTGGTTGTATACGATTCGGTGGCGTTTAGTCTTTGAAAAGTCTCAAATAAAAATAAAATAATGGTAGAAAGAAATATATTCTTTTCCTGTCGTAAAATCAAATAGTTAGAGACTACTTAATAGTAACAATTTATAAACTTCATACGCATATTATGAATCCTTTTAGCATATGTGAAAGGAGGAGAGTAGTGTTCTAAGGTTTATGAAAATTAATTATTTAAAACCAATAGGTCGAGTGAGTAGATTAGAGAGATATTTTAGCTTCGATATTGCGAGTTTAGGCTTCGATGAGATTTAGTCGGCGGAAGTAATGTGGGCAAAGATCGGCAATGAACCGCAGGATTAGTTTGGCCTTATTATTATTGAATAACTGGTTCGCTAATCCTAATCTTTATTAAATTTAAACTTTAAATGTACGATAAAAACTTTGTTCACTTGGGAGGATAAAAGACATTTACCCAAGATATTGTATTTGTACAGAAAAAATGTTAACATAAAAGCTAGATCCAGTTTAGTATATGATATGTATTCTAACATGAAAATTTCGCCGGCTTATTGCAAAAAGTCACTAAGTACATTTTTGGCATAACATAACTTTCAAATATGTTTTTGTAAATTTCGACCTTATTGAGCGATACAAAAACACCTTAAATGCATGAAAATTAAGCAAAACCCTTCAATTTATTCGTATATAGTTACACTAAGTGTAAAATTTTCTGGTTTCACAAATGGAAAATTCATCAAAGTTCTCAATTATTAGAGCTTATGAAATGTCACTTAATGACCTTCTGACATAAACCGACGATATGTAACTTTTTAAATTAGAAAAATAATACAAATATTTTAAAGCACAATATACCTAAATTTCAACTGTGAAGACCACAAGCTGTTGGGAATAATAAAAGGCTTGGCGAACCCGAAGGTTCGATGCCGACACCACAAATCAGTTTTTACACACCTCCCTCCACCTGTCCCCTTCCAAACCCAGACTCACCAGATCGGCCTTTACGCGATCCTCCGACCTTACCTTCAGTCCAATCC